AAATGAAGCGACACACACCAGAATCTAAAAAAAAATTTGTATTTAAAGCTGAAAAGAATTTTATTTTTAAGCTTTTTCAATAGCTGGAAAAAAAATTGCTAGACTAAGCTCAAATCAATTTAATTCATTCATTCATTTGTTCATTATTTTTTCTTTCATTCATTGCACAAAAGGCAAAATGTTTTTTTTTGTTTTGTTTTGTTTTGATTGAAAATCATTCAATTTATCATTATTATTGCAATAATAGCAACAGGAAGAGAAAAAAAAGGCAATGCATTGGCAAAAACGACCATATTTTGATTTAATAATTCAAACTTTTTCCGCACTTTTGGTTTGTGCGTGCGTGTATAGGATAAGATTCTTGCACCTATATAAATGTAAACAAAACAAACAAATAGAAAAAAAAAATTCTTTCCAGAAAAAATAATGGGAAAAAAACTTTAGAAAATGAACAAAAAAAATGATGAATAAGAGAATTTTGTATGAATGAGAAAAAAAATAACAACAAAATAGGGATATGAAAATAAATTTTCTTTTCTTCCCCTCATTTCATTTTCTTTATTCAACACTTTTGAACTCTTTTCCTTATTTTTTCGTTGATTTTTATTTATTTATATTTTTAAATGAGAAAAAATTTAGCCTTTTTTGTTGTTGTTGCTGCTGTAGTTGTCGTTTTTATTTTTTTTGCAAATAACATCAAGTTTCACATCCAAAAACATCACATATATATGTTTGATGATGATGATGATGATGATGATGAAAAATTCTTTTTTCGTCTTCTGTCATCATCATCATGAATTGATTCTAACGAATTACAAAAATGGAATGAATGCCGATAAAAAAAATACAAGTGGCACACACACACACATACATATGCAGCATGTATAACAGAATAATAATAAGCGGAAATTGAATAATCAACCTGCTAAAACGAACAAGAATCAAACGTGTGTGTGTGTGTGTGTGTGTTTAGTACATAAAGAAAGCAAGAAAAAACAATAATAAATAAAACCAGTCACCTAGAATAATAAAGAATGAAAGCAAACAAAAAAATCATTACAACAAACATTCTGACAAGTTGATGATGAATATTATTGAAGAATAAGAATAAAAAATGAAAAAAATAAAAAAAATTCAATTTAGCCTCAAAACTAGTTTTTAGTGAATCGTTTATTTTTTTTGTTTATCGGTAGCGGATGGATGGAAAGAGATGGGAGAGAGAAAAAATTTCCATTCGTTGGAACCATATTCACACACACACAAATTTGGCATGTGAAACATTTTCCAGAAATTCTCAAAATTCTCTTTTGAATATTACATCATCATCATTCAATCTATTAAATTCTTTTGATTCTTTTTAGCTAATTCACATTCAATTCAGCAGATTCATATGGCTATCATCATCATCATTGCTCTTGTTGTTTTTTTTCTGAATGAAACTATTTTCATGAAAATAAAGAAAAAAAAATGCTCCAGGTGTCTTTTTCCTGCTTTTATCTTTTCGTTACTATTTTTACCCAAAAAAATGTAAAGACTTGTGAAAATATTCTTACATCATATTCGGTTGGATGGATGGATGTCATCACTTTCAGAATTGATAAAAACCAGGTTTCAGAAGTAGAAGAAAATTACATAAAATTTCTTTATCCATTTTTCTGCCAAGGGCAGATTTTTTTTTCTTTTTCATTTTGTTTCCCATTCTTTAAATCGATCAATTGTTTTTTGTTACTACTTCCATCAACAAAAAAACGCAACAAAATGAAAAAAATCAATTGCAAAATTGATGAAATTACAATTCGATATTCTCAGAACTAAACTAATGCCAAAAAGTTCTACAACTTTTAGTTTGCAAACGATGATAATGTTCCTGTTTCCATTTAACACATCTAACATTGTAACAAAGGAAAAAATATCCACTAAATGAAAATATAGAAATTACATAAACAAATCGTTTTCTATAAAAAATGGACGAATATAGGAAATAAAATTGAAAATGAAAATTTAACCCAACTTACAAGATTTTTAACCCAAAAATGATGATAATAATAAAGACTTGATTATGAATCAAAAAGCCAAAAGAAAAACACTTGAAAAACTTTTGAAATTCACAAACAAAATAAAATCACAAATATACACTCAGGACAAATGGAGACAAAAGGTTTTTTTTCATTTAATGATTTCAAATGAATGAATTTGAATGAGATGAATTTTAGAAGGAGAGATGGAAAAATATTTCATCTGATTGTTGAATTTGTTTTTTCTTCTCCATTATTATCATTATTTTCGATGCATACAATTTTTGTTTTCAGAACACACAAACAAACAATATATACTAATTATAATATTAATTGATCGAGGAAAGATTAATGACGAGAATGATGATAGCTATAGTAGTTTAGATAAGCAAAACAATGGCAAAATTCTTTGTCTTTTTCGGTTCAAATACAAATCAGGAAATTTAATATTACGAACAACAACATTATAGCGATGGGTTTCGAATCAAAACCAGAATAAGAATGCATTCAACAGAGAGAATACACAAATATTCGTTTTTTTTTCGTTTGATACCATAGAATCAAGATTTTATGGATATGCGCCGACTCTTGGCCAAACACACATACACACACACACAAACAATCTACAGATACAATAAGAATTAATGTTGCCATCAAGTACAAAGTGTCAAATGTATAGATGTTTATATGAATGGATACAATTATTTATCACAAAAAGAATAAAAGAAAAAATCTCTAGGGCCTTTTTATTTTATTTTTATTTTTTTTGATTATCATCAACAATGAGGTTCAAGGGTTCTATCAATAATAATAATAATGATAATAATAAGGGGGTGGCATTTACAACATCTGTTCAATAAATCACCGTTGAACAAAACAAAAAAAACATTCGAAATTCGATATCCATTCAAACGTGAAATGGTCGCCCACCACCATTATCAATTAATAAATTTTACAAATTCTCAAATGAACAAAAAAATAGCAATTTTTTCTACATTAATCGAAATGGTCGCCCACCACCATTATCAATTAATAAATTTTACAAATTCTCAAATGAACAAAAAAATAGCAATTTTTTCTACATTAATCGAGTTTACATCAAAATGAAAAATATGGTAAAGACAATATTTGCCGAAAATGGACACAAAATAATAAAAATGAAACGAGATACAAATAACGACAGCAAGAAGAAGAAAAAAAAATAAACAAAAATTTCAGATACATAAATCAACCGATGAATGAAAATATTCGAAACATTCGAAATAATATTTATCGAAATGTGGAGAAAAAAAAAACAGAAACAGAAAAAATAAGAGAAGAGTTTTGAGACATGTAAAATATTATCTAGGTTTTTTTTTTGCTGCTTTCACATTTCGATGATGATGTTGTGCAAGCGTGAAACACATTATCATCAATGACCAGTTTTGTTGTTGTTGTCACTGTTGTTATTATTGTCCGTTGATGACCATCCATACAATAATAAATGTGATGTATTTTCATAAACAACAAATGTTATTGCACATGCAGGTGTTACTCGCAATAAATTTGGAACGATTCCTTTATAGAATCCTTTGGCACCTTCCAATCTAGACAATGAAAAAAAAAAAAAAAATTATTATAAATTGAGATTTAGGTGATCTGAATATTTTCTGTATAAATAGAGAGAACCGGAACAAAAATTAAAATAGATAACGAGAACGAACGAAAAAAAAGATTGTCCATTTTTCTTCTCTGAATTACAGACAATAACAAATCTTTTTCAACATATTTATAAAATGGACAAGAAAAAAAAAATTCATGCATCAATTTTAGTTCAAATTCATGTTATTTTTAGATATATTGATTGTATTATAAATTATTTATCATCAGAAAAAAAACCTGAAAACAACACGGTGGTAACAACGAATCATTCAGAATTATTTTTTTTATACTCTGTCCATCATCATTATCATCAACAATAATAATTTTCTGTTCCAGAATAAAAAACATGAATATTCAAATAAAAATAACCTTGAAGAATTGAGAATATGAATGAAATAAAAACTAAAAAAAAAAAAAATTGATCGAATCAATATCATCATCATCGTCATCATCATCATCATCATCATGTTTTCGGATTGCGATGAAAATTTAAAATAATCTGTGAAGACAAAAAAAAATCGATTGAATCAAAAAGCAACAACAACAACAACAAAAAAAATCCATCCAATCGCCTTTGTCATTTGGGATTTGAAACTTTAAAGACGATGGTGTTTTTTTTGTTCACATTGATATGCATGACAGCATGTGTGTATCATCATCATCATCATCATCATCATCACAGAATTCGTAACATCACAATTTTGGAATGAAACTTTTTTTTATTGTTCAAATGAATCTAACATGTGTAAGTCATTTTTGTTTTGTTTTGTATTCTAATGATATTGCTTGTGTTCATCGTGTTAAATAATAAATTATAAACGAATAAACACGATCCGTAAATAAACCATTAGAATGGTAAGTATTTGTTTTTTTTTCGTTTCAATAAGCTAAATGTATGATTAAACGGCTGTCAAATCTTGCAAACACATAGACACACACAAACACACGCACAGAGGCATAAAAAGTTAATGAAATTATATATATCAAAAACATGAACCAGACATGATGATCATCATCATTGGAGAAATGAAGAGCCCAAAGAAAAATTTATTCAAAAATCAAAAAAAAAGAATAAAAACGAATGAAAATGAAACGATCCATGCATGAATCGATTGAACCTTTACGTTCAAGAGAATAGAACCAAGGGAATAGAAATTTTTTTTTTTTTTTTTCATTTGCATTTTACGTTCGACATTTCTATATACATCTCTCTATTTTTCTCATTAATTCAATCATCTTTGAAAACGATAAATGATCATCATTCAGGTTAAATTCATTCATTCATTCATTCTTTATAATTATGGTTCATCATATTCAAATTTCAAAAGTCAAACAGAGAAAATATTTAAAGAACAAGGAATTATATTAAAAAAGGCATCTTAAGATATTTAGATAGGTGAGGGTGTGTGTGTGTGATCGTAATTTTTTTTGCCCATAATAATAATAACTATATATATATAATTTTAAACAATTATATTCACATTTATAATAATTTTAACAATGATAAAAAAAAGCGACAAAATATTAATGCTGCAAACACATTCACAATATAATATATAAATATAAATTAACAAAAAGGGATAATTGCTAAAGCTTAATTGATTAATAAGATAATAATTAGGACGGAACAGTGATTCGAATTTTTAAATTTTCCGATCAATTGTATGAATATTTTCACAGGTTTAAATCAATTCGGCCATCATCATCATCAAAAACCTACGCACACTATTTATTGTGGTTGTTTTGTTTTAGAGATTTGGTTCGATTTTTTGTTTGTTTGTTTGTGTTTTAACACAGGGTGTAATCACATAAAAAGAATTTGATCAATGTTCATTCATCAAATACAAAAGATGATGTTTCCACAGCGCTAATATCAGTGGCTATTAAAGATGATAATGATTGTGTTGATGATGATTGTTGTTGTGATGGTGATGATGATGATGATGATGATGATGATGTTGATGGCATTTGATGATCAACAACCGAATCCAATTTAGATGGCCGAGAAAAATGTTCATATATAATGAATACGATGCAAATGTTCGGTGTAACATGAAGTAGATAGGCAGCAAGACCTTTGTAAAATCCTCGTAACGATTCGTACCTGACATATAAAAGACCGAGAAATAAGATATAAAACAAAAAATAGACCAAGACGGAAAGAGGTTTTTTTTATAGAGACACACAAACATTTAAGAAAGTGTTAACTATAATTGAAAAGTGTAGCCCTACACTAGATGAAGATAAATGAACCATAAAAATGTGGGGTGAAAAAAGCGTAACAATAGAGGAAAAAAAAACATGGAAAAATATAAATGGGATCAGGTTTTATGGTTGCTCCATAAATTAGACCACAATTCAGTCATTCATCTTACATCATACCGGATTCCATTGCTCTCGGTCCGATGGTTAGAATTCGATAGAAAGATGAAAGAGTTTTGTGCTTGTTCAAATTCGAATTACCGGGAAACAAAAGCTCTAAGGAATTCGCATGAACATGCATACATACATACATACACACACACACACACACACGCAAACATCAACAAAATCAAAAATAAAACGGAAATTTGAATGAACCATGAAAAATTTGATTAGAAAATCATGTTATCATTAAACCAACGTATTTAAACAAAATTCTGATGCCGGAAGCAAAAGGTGAACCGACTAAATCGAATTACCGATTAAAAAAATGAAATCAACATCATATTAATGCAAAAAATGAAAAAAACAAATTATACAGTTGCAGCGAAGCATGAATTTATGAATGGGTATTTTTTTCGAGACGTCCAATGAGATCGAAAACTATAAAGATTGAAAAAATGTTTTGGATAAACATACCTCCAAGTACGACGTATAACATCCACAACGCCATTATAATTTGCATATTGATCTTGTAGACGTGCACGTACCACCTGATATGGATATGTGATGATTGCGGCAAATAATTTACTTAAAGCAGCACAACCAAGATAGGCTGCTGTCCCTAATCGTTCTTCCCGTCGTAAACCATAATGTTCAATATAATATCGTTTCAATTCTTCATAGGCCATAAATTGTAGTGCACCATGTGATACACCAAATATACCTGGTACAAATCCACGATATAGGCCCCGAATGCCTTCAAAACGATAGATTTTGGTCAATGCATCCAACATACCACTATAGCGTTTAGTAGGTTGGACAGCATTTTCGCTCATACCACCGTATTGAAGACATAATCGTGTTTTAACCACCCATATTGGATTAGTCAACACCAAGGTCATAATACCCGCTTCGGATGCGGCCACTATATGTTGACCAGCATTCAAATTCATTTGTATATCACCGACATTGGACATGTGAGATTTTATTGCATTGTAACTGTATGAAAATTTAAATATTTAATAATGGACAATCGGATAAAATTTTTTTTGCTTACAATAGAAAATAAAGACCCCAAGAAGTTCCAGCACCCCAACAATTTGGTGTGACACCTCGATAAAATCCACGAACACCTTCCTGACGAAATATGGTCGTAACAGCATTAATTAAGCCACTATATTGTGGTCTAGTTGCTACTTGACCATCATTGACTGATTATTAAAAAAAAAAAGTTAGCGATTATTTTTCATGTGAAAACAATATGTCTTACCAGCCAACCGAACTTTGAGCAAATCAAGTGGATGTAATGCCAGTGTGGATGCTACCCCTCCGGATATACCGGCGACTAGATGTTCATATTTAACATTCGATGATAAAGTCATATCAGATTTTGATGTTTTTTGGCTTTTTGTAGTCATTGTCGCTGATGATGATTGATCTGGATTTGATTTAGAAAATGGTTGTGAATTTAATTTATTCATCGTTTTAGCGACCATAAAAAAATTCAATTTTATTGCCAATAGTTGATTCGAAACGATGCCCTTTTAACTGTTCATCATGAATAATGGGTCAATCATTTAACCATTATTTTTTGATTGCTATTGATAATGATAGATTTCATTTCATTTCATATTAATTAGCTCAACTATGCAATAAAAAAATTGCGTGATAAGATTATAAAATTTGCAAATGACTTGAATGAAGAAAAAAATCATAGACAAGCATGAAAACGAGAAAAGAACAAAATAAACCTGGCCATACGAGTATCGTGTAATGAACGAAAACATCGATTATTTTAAAATTTGATCAAAACTTGGTCCTTTTCGTAAAAGCATTTATCATTATATTATGATTTGAGAATGAATCATAAAATGAAAAATAAAATATAGAGAATAGCATATGTCTTTTTTGAGTAAACAGAATTTTCTGGTTTCAAACAATAAACAACAAAAATAAAAAAAAATCTAAATAAACGATAAAAGTAAAATTTTTTACCACATTTTCAATAAGTATTCATATAATTATGGGTGTATTTTTCACAATTAGAATATTAAAAAAAAATCAATGTATCGGGGATTAACGACGGTGTTTCCATTCAAAAAAGATGGAATTTTATGAATCCAAATCATGTACAAATAGTACGATATTATTGTCAAGATTACATTGTTCTAATGGCAGATTCATATCCGATGAATTAGGCAATCTATTATCATCGAATGATGGTGAATGTCCAGGAAGATCACGCGTAGGAAAATTTGTACGCAATTTAAAATTTATCAATTCCATCTCTTTACAAAATACATAATAGTAAAGATATTTGACAGGATCTGTACGGAGAAACCGGCGCTCTAAGCGTGTACCATTAGGCAGTTTGAACATTATACGCCATGCATCCGATTGATCAGCATCCGGTTCGGTTGATATGTCTGCGAGCAATGATTTCTTCATATCTGATATCCGTTGTTTACGTTCCTCTTCAGCTTGTTGTCGTTGTCGTTCAAGAAATTCTTTTCGTTCAATTTGTTCGCGTTCTTCACGTTTACGGCGTTCTTTTTCTTGATCGGCTTTCAACGATTCTTCAAATGCTGCATCCTGTTGAGCGCGAATCAAACTTGCCATATCACGTTCCTGACGATCAAGACGGGCAGCCATCAAGGAAAATTCATTATTTTGTATAGCAGTACGTAAAGTGGCCACAATGGTATCGACATTGTGGAAGCCTTCGATTTTTTTCATTACAATCATTTTGTGATTCTTAAGGCCAATCAATGCCATGAAAGGATATTGATTAACCTTTAACGATTGATAAGCTTTATAACCTTCCGGATAATCAACTGAGCATGACCAGAATATTAGATTTTCTCCATTGATTAAATCGATAAATTTTTGTGTGATAATAACGTTTGTACAAAATTTATCAATATCGCGATATGATGGAGAATGAATGTAGATTAATACGAAACGTATCTCACGTTTACCATGTTCGATTACTTGGGAATAAGTACCACGAAAAAATGTGGGATGTTGTTGTCCATATTTTTCCTCAAATTCACGAATGAATAGTTCGACTGTTCCATTTGGATCATAATCTAGAAAAAATGCAGCAAATTTTTAAAAAAATAATCGCAATATAAATTGTAAACCTACTTAATGTCGGATAGATCATCGAGATGAAAAAATCATAAAATGTATTCAAGGTATTCATGACCAATATAAATGGTAATTTAAATATCCAGGTAGCCGTATTCCATAGTACCATATGAAGACCATTATCATTATCATTATTACTATTATTGTTACTTCTATTGTTATTTATTGCACTTGTATTTGTATCATTATCAAGCAATAATGTCGATGATGATGAAAAACTCGTGGAAGAAAACGATGACGGAGGTGTCGGAACATTTCGACGTCTCAATGAAGATGTTGTTGTATCAGGCTGCTCTTCGTTGTTATTACTGTTCGATTGCTGTATCATATTCTGAATGACATCGCGATTATAAGCTCCTTCCAAGGTAAGATCCAAAGCAATTTCAACGTTCCATTCATTTGCTCGCAATATATGATAGGATTCAAAATCATTCATTCCGGATATATCCTTAAATAAATAAATAAATATTTATTCTGAAAGACAAAATTTGAAACTCACTTTAAATTGAGACAATTTTTTCCGTTGATCTTCGGTCAATTGATCACGGATTTGTTCGATTAGATCTTGTTGTTGATGATCACCCATTTCTTATTATTCTAATAATTTATTACGATTGATGACTTTTTATAACAGCAAAATATGTGCATGTAAATTGGAATTAAGCTTTTGTTGTCCAAAATAATAATTAAAACAAAAGAAAAAAATAATATGATGACAAGCTGAATAAAATGGCTATATGGTCGTTTGATGATAATGAGATTATGGCAATGATGAATTGAATCAAAAAAATGCTGTGATATAAACATAAACATCCAATATAAACACATTCGCTCGAGTCTATTTCTACTCGTTTGGTTGCAAATGTAAAATTGCTAACAATTATTCAAACTATTGTATAATATGTCAGCAAAATCTGAATTGGAACTCGAATTAAATTGTTTAAATTTTTGTTCAAATAAATTTATTGTTGTAACAACAACAAAAATGCAACATACATTGAGCCATCGAACGAAATTAGCTGTTTCTTCATCCATACAACGTTGGATGTGTTTTTTATCGACTGGCTCATCACTATCGAAATGCAATACGGGAAACTAATAAGTCGGCCACGGGGCTTACTATTATTTATCTCCCGCATCAGCGTGTCTTTTGCCATTTTACCGTCAAAATCTATAGCCCTCACGATCGCAGCATCGGTATATGGTGGAGCAAGCGATCAAAGTTCGAATTAAATGGTTTTGGAATTATTATTATTGTTTAAATTTTGTTCAAATAAATTTATTGTTGTAACAACAACAAAAATGCAACATACATTGAGCCATCGAACGAAATTAGCTGTTTCTTTATCCATACAACGTTGGATGTGTTTTTCGACTGGCTCATCACTATCGAATGCTAATGATGGCAGCCCGACTGATGATAAAATTTCAACCACATTCAAAGAAAAACTCGACAAAGGACCTGGATTTGACGATTTTATTGCTGGTGTCGTACCACGAAATGTACAGACATTTAGTGATTATCAAGGAAAATTAAAACGGGAAATAGGTGAAAGTGAACGGCTACGTTTACCACCATGGCTCAAACGAGATATTCCAGTTGGACCAAATTATCATCGATTAAAATCGACACTTCGTAACCTTAAATTACACACTGTTTGTGAGGAAGCTAAATGTCCAAATATCGGTGAATGTTGGGGTGGATCGGAAAGTTCAACTGCAACCGCTACCATCATGTTAATGGGCGATACTTGTACTCGTGGATGTAGATTTTGTTCCGTGAAAACTGCTCGTAAACCACCGCCAGTAGATCCAGATGAACCAATTAATACCGCACAAGCTATCGCAGCTTGGGATTTAGATTATGTTGTTCTTACATCGGTCGATCGTGATGATATGCCTGATGGCGGTGCTGAACATTTTGCCCGTACTGTCCGTGAAATCAAACGTCTTTCTCCCAAACTTCTTGTCGAATGTCTGACACCAGATTTTCGTGGCCAACGTACTGATGTTCGTGCGGTAGCATTATCTGGTTTAGATGTGTTTGCACATAACATAGAAACTGTTCGTGATTACCAAAAATTTGTAAGAGATCCACGTGCCAATTACGATCAATCATTGGACGTTCTTCGATGTGTTAAAGAATTTAAATCAGAAATCATAACGAAAACATCATTGATGCTTGGTTTCGGGGAAACAGATGATCAAATCAAACAAACAATGGAAGATCTACGGCAAGCTAATGTCGATTGTCTTACATTGGGTCAATATATGCAACCAACAAAACGTCATCTAAAAGTTGTCGAATATGTAACACCCGAAAAATTTGCCTTTTGGGAAGATTATGGTAATCAATTAGGTTTTGCTTACACTGCCTCTGGTCCATTAGTTCGATCTTCATATAAAGCTGGTGAATTTTTCATAAAAAATTTGATTGTCAAACGTCGCCAAAATAAATCATCATCATCATCATAAAATTTATGAGGTAAGATTAATGACGAATGTCCTTAACTATTTCTATTCAAATTGTTGACTTTTCCGTTCCTCATTGCAAAATTTCAGTTCTAAAAATTGTCAATGATTTTGGAAAGTCAAAAATTAATTCACAATTTTTCACACAAATGAATTTATAAACAAAAAAAATAATTGAACGTAATTTATTTGTTTTTGCTAATTGTAACATTTTTTTTCAAAAAAAAATTCACAGGTTGTTGTTATCTTTGGAAATATTCTATAAAGAAAATTGAAAATTCTCATTGCCATAATTATATTAGGTTATATCATTAATAGTTTTAAAATAAAAATTTTTTTATTCTAAAGCGTGTTTGTACTGCCACCAAGCGAATCGGCTTCTGAATCTGAACCGGATATAGAAGATCCTTGGCCATCATCGCTAATTTCATTGTTTATGACACCACCAGTTTCTTTGGTCATTATTGAAAGATCATCATCAGTATGGCTAATGGATAGGCTATCCATATTCTGAAATATATCATATAATGTAGTGATGAATCGATAAACATCAGTGAATGAATTGTATAATGGGGTCGGTGCAACACGCATCACACTTGGCATTCGAATATCACACTATTTTTTTTATATTTAAATCATAAACAAAATTAGAGAAACCAAACCAAACCAAATTGAATATTTCATCTCTTACCACAATGCCACGTTTCTGAAATTGTTCATGAATGATTGAAAGCGGTACGGAAAAAATCAATGATAATTGTGCTCCTCGTTGTTCCGGATCTGATGGTGTTATGATTTGGATGGATGGTATCAATAATGATCGATTATCGCCGTCATTATTTGTCGATTCTTGTTGCTGATGAGTATGCCGTTTATCGGTTTGTGGAAAAAACGATTTAATCATAAACTCTAGATATCCAGTCAATATGTATTCTTTTTGTCGTAATTCTTCCATCGATGTTTGTTCAAATATCTCCAGACTGGTCATAAGCATTGCGTTCAACACTGGCGATGGATTACTTAATTTAAACATATCGGCACCTAAAGCAGGATCAAAATCACCTTTCATCAGGAATTTTGTTTGTACATTGTTACCCCACCATCCTTGATACATGGGAAATGTTTTGCTATAATTGGCAAAATATTTTTCATTCACATAAATCCCTGCCATACTTCCAGCACCGGCATTCATATACTATTTTTTTTAATAATAAGATATGGTTAAAATAACATGACAGAAAACATAATGATTCAAAATTCTTACCTTATATGTACACCATGCGGCAAAATCAACATTCCAATCATCCAAATATATTGGAACATTGCCAACTGCATGTGCTAAATCCACACCAACTAAAATTCCTCTTTTTTGAGCTGCTTCAGTCAAGCGTTTCACATTCAATAATTGGCCGGTATAATATTGAACAGCCGGAAGTAATGCCACTTTAATTTGATCACCTTGTTCATCGAACAATCGTATGATGTCATCCTCGTTCAATAAATTTTCTCCCTGTTTATTTATCATTTAATGGTATTTAAGATGATAATATCAGTAATATAAAACTCACTTTTCTAGGTTTTAATAATATCAGTCCCTTTTCCGGTGATATTCCATGCGATCGTAGCTGTGATTTAGCTACATACTATAGAAATAAAGAGGAAAAACCACAAAGTCAGGAGATTTTTGATCATCATATTAAAATATGATTTATCAATAAAAACAAACCGTATCAGAAGGGAATGCATGATCTTCAATCATCAATTTATATCGATTCGAATCTGGTCGATAGAATGTTGCCAGTAGCAAATGTAGATTCACGGTCAAACCGTTTAAGATGGCAATCTCATTTTCTTGTGCTCCAACCATTCGTGCCATTAATTTTTTTGCCGGCAGATCCGATAATGCAGCCGGTAGATATCCATGAAAATGGCTGTGTACACCTTTGTTTGCCCAATTATCCAATACTTTTTGTACATTTTGATCCAATAGTTTAGGTTTCAGGCCCAATGATTGGCCACATAAGTAGATACATTCCTCCTCTGGATCTTTTAAATTGATTTTATCAACTTATCGAGAAGAAAACAAAAATATTAATTTTAGTAACCAATGTAATCAATCATCATCGAGTGATTTTTTTTCTATCTTTTTCTCTATCAAATGATGATTTGATTTAATATATCAACTCACTATTGGGAAGATCAGCTTTTTTTGGAAACGTAAACATCTGTCGAAATGAACACAACGGATCATGTTTATCCATTAACCTTGCAAATTCAGCCGATTCAATTGAAACGTTCCATTCGTGAGCATTTTTTTGTAGGATGGCCACCGGATTTATTCGTGATTTAGATTGCTATATATGAATTAATAGATTTGAATAATGAATTAAATTTCATTTGTCATCGATCCATGTATCAATAACTACTTACAATTTCTTTGATTTTTTGCTTACACTTGGTTTTTACATCCATTTTATTATTGTCCCGATGACTTGATTCATTATTGGTAATTTTTGTGGTCGACATTGTTACTTTTTCTTTCATTAAAAAAAAAATAAATTTCCTCTTTCACTCACTTTTTATTTTTGTTTCGAATCCGAAAGTAATTCGTCTAAACGATGATGTAATAATCAAATCAATCTTCAAAATCAAAAAAAAAAAAATATATATCATATATCGTTGATATTAACATTACGAGATTGAACCAATATCATCGATCCTCGTTTATATACTCATCATCATGATCATTGTTGGTTTATGATTGCGCGGTGATTATGGTAGTTTGATTGTGGTGGCCGTTGTGGTGGTGGTGGTCGTGGTCTTTATTGAAGTTTAGAAAACCTAGGCACCTTCACTATAAACGTCTACATTGTTATGAAAATATTGTTTTTTTTGTCAAATCTTTTGTGCTAAGACTTTTTAAATATTTTTTTTTAATTTCGGGGGTCGTGGCTTGCCATCATCATCGCCATCATTTATGTCACCTTTTTCAATGTTTGTCTGTCGGATCGATCTCAATATCGTCATTGAAATGCCATCCATTCATTTGATCGGTATATGAAATAGACCAAAATAATAATTATGGATTGAATTTCAAAGTTAACATACAGAGGGATCAAACGATGATGATGAAGCAGAGCCTTGAATCTTTTTTTTACAAAGTTTCTATTACGACCATAGAGTGATGATGATGATGATGATGATAGTTCCATTTAATGATAAATTGACAATTTTTTGTCATTCAATTTATCAAGCTTAAAAATAAAATTTTTTTTTCGATTCGTTTGATTCGATATTTAGAAACCTTCAATATAAATATGTATATACAACAAGATATATATAATAACATTTCATTACATATCAATATTACCACATTGGATTGTTCATCATTTTTATACATACATCATACACACACACACACACACAAATATACGACAATTGACATTTTTATATTTGATATACAATTAATGATTATTATTATTATTATATAATTCTTTCCCTCATATTATTGTTTCTCGACCTGTCTATTATTTTGTTGAAATAAATCCATAAAATATATATGAAAGTTTGGATGGCAACAAGTTGTTTACTAACCAAGAATGATGATTGGCCTTGGTAATCACTATCACATTTAGTCTAATATATATTGGTACCAAAATATCGTTATAAATCATTCAAAAAAAAACCACTCATTTGATAAAACCAAAAAAAATTTGATTGACCAGATTTTGATAGATTCAAGTATTTTTTGTCTAATGTCCATTATTTTTATTATTATCTATAAAGTAATCTATAAATAAACTTTACTTTTACTGTCCATTCGTATCGAAATCATTACCATTATTGATGTTGATTATAATTATTATTAAACCCTACATATAGTCAAAGATAATTTTGTTTTCATAGCCTTAAGAAATTCATCAAGAAGAAAAAATGGCCCAATTTCTCTTTATAAGTTTGATGATTAGCCACAAAATAAAGGTGACAATCATCAGGTTTCAATCGATCAATCAATCAATCAGTTCAATTCAAAGAACGATTAAAAAAGAAAGGGATGAATTCATGATGATAATAATAATAATGATCATTTGTAGTCACGAAACAATAATAAACAGATTTGGGTTTGGACATCCCCATCATAGCAATGGCAATGCTACGCAACATTAAATGGCATCCAACTATGTGGTTGATTGTTTTCTCTTATATTGATTTGCATAAAATATTCTAAGAAGAATTCGCTAAGAAGAAGAAGAAATTGATGCTTTACAACCACAAGCTACCTATTATTATTATGCTGATGATAATGATGATGATGAAAAATGCCCCTTTACCATGCGATTATTTTTACATTCATAGCTAAAAAAATATTTTAGAAAAAAAAGAGATAATTGAACTTGATTATAATCTACCTTTATTTTTCATATTATTTAATGATCATTATTGTAATGATGATGATGTTAGACAATTTCAGACTACTACTGTTTAGTCGAAATTCCAAATGTCCAAATGTTTGGATATTTGAAATATTAATGCCAACATAGAATATGTCATCTCATCATTGGTTATATTCATAGGTCATCTTCATTCTTGCTATTCATTTGCTAACCATATATAGGATATATAATCATTTAAACAACCACTTGCATAATCTTTTGAATCACCAAAATATCTATCCTGTCATAAACTGAAAATTTCCTAATTCTTTAAAAATTTTTCTTTTCCATCATATCAGTTTATCGGATAAAAAAGATTTAAAAATGTCATTAACAAGCTTGTTTCTTTCTCAAAAACCTGATTAAATTCCTTTTTAATAATTAGACGAATTAATCAAAATGAATTTGCATCATCATCATCATCATCCTTCAAAAACGAATTTTGTCATCAATGTCTTGGATTATCGTTATTATCGAAGAGATTAATGATGTTTCTAAAAAAAAATTCTAAATGTTTTTGTTTGTGTGCATTTGGCCTCTTGAAAACAACAACAACAGCAACAACAACAACAACGAAAAAACCGGATATCAACACATAGAATAGCTATGATTGTTCTACATTCTCTCTCACTCATATTTCATTAATTATCAGCTAGTTTTTTTCCACCTGACAAATTTCAAATAACAATGTTTACAACCAATCAACCAACAAACAAACAAACAATTGTCAGTTGTGTTCATTCGTTTTATTTGAGAATCTTTAAAAAGATCTTGTCCATAAAATTCAAATAGAAGCTTTTCATCAGTAAATTCGGTCTATCTCAGTTAATTATCTTCTATTTTCGTTTTGATATGGTCTGAATTTTCTCTTTATCACCCGACCAACCGACCGACCGACCTGACCAAGCCTTGAACTTGACATTTTCAATTCGGATGGCTGGTCATTTGGATGATGGTGAATAATGCTGATATAAAGTACATTATTAGAGACAGAGAGAGAGAGAGAGATGATGATGGTGATGGTGATGGTGATGATGATGGATGAATTCAAATTTCAAATACGGCAGGTAAGAAAATTGAGAAAAAAAAGAGTCAAATCTATAGATCAAAAATACACGGGAATACCGTTTTTATTTTGTTGCTTGGTTTGTTGGTTGGTTGGTTGTTGTTGTTGTTGTTGTTGTCTACAATATTCATCTTCATTTATTAGAGTTCAACAGTGTATTTTGTAAGAGAGATAGACAGATTTTCATGTTTAGATTACACCATTGAATTATATTCACATCACTATCAACAATCGACGTTTTAATCAATTTTGATCATCGGCTCGAATCATTTTTTTGTGTGCTGATTGAATTTTTTTTTTGTTTCATCGTTTCGAATCTTTAAATTTAATTTGTGCAAGAAGATGATGAATTTGTTGTATAATTTTTCAGGTAAAATGAATTTGAATTTTTTTTTGCCAACCGTGACTCATGTTTTTCACATCAAGCAGTGTTCATAATGGTGATAATATTGGCCGTTTCGGATGCAGCTACTATTCATCATTCAATGATGAATACAGATCAATTGCATAATACAAAAACAATTATGACCAATTCATTGGCGGTTGAAACGAATCCAATTTTAAATAATCCATATCTGATTGATCAAAAAGCTGAAAAACGTTCTGGAGAATTTTTTCCTGAAAATTTTATAACAACTGGTAAAATGGCAACACCCGATTTTGATAATATTCCTTCACAATTTATTGGACCAAATTATGCATTCGGAAATTCTCGATTACCATTAATGGCATCGGGACTGTCTGGTATTGATAAATCATCAGTCATTAATAATTTGCCAGCTAAAGATGAAACCAGTAATCTGTTTGGATCAGCATTGAAAAGATATGATATGAAAAAATATTTATTGAAAAAAATCCTTGGAAATTCTCATGATCTGGACGAAGATATCGATGATGGATTTTTCAGTAACAAACACCTTAAACGTCATGGAACAGCCGGTGTTGCAGCCAAAGTTCTCGGTGAATTGATTGGCATCAAAATTCGTGAATCAATCGAAGGATTTGGTAAATCATTTAGTGAATATGCAAAAGATTTTACCGCTCGAAATTTCGTCACTATGGGACAACTATTCGGTCGATTATTTCGTATCTCACAGCCATAGAATTTTCGTCAACAATAATAACAAAAAAAAGACCAATTTAAAATGCCAATTTTGTACATACCAATTTAATTAAATTCACTGTCAAATTTTATTTTTTTTTATTTATTTATTTATATTTATCATAAATGATCAATCGAAATTTTTTTTTCAAATTCAAGTTTTTAAAATTCGAAAATAAATTCTAAAATCAAGACTAAAAACATTGACCGCTAGATGGCAGTAATTTGTCCATGAAATTTTCATTATTCTGAAAAAAATTCGATTTTTTCGAATTGAGTATCCGGAAATAAAACTCATATAAACACATAAAAATAATGTGTGTTTGCTGTATTTAATCATCATCATCATCATCATCAGGTATTATTATTATGACATTCAATTATTGAAAAACAAATTTTCTTACTAAATCATAATTTATTATCAATAATGATTTGATGAATGGTTCGACTAAATGTAAATATTCGTTGTTACTTATTGTTGACAAGTTACGTAAATTATGATTTCTCACCATTATTATTGAAAACCAAAGTGAAATGATCATCATCGTTTATTTTTTTCAAAAAAAGAGAGAAAGAGATAGAGAGAGAGAGAGAGAGAGAGAAATGTGAATTGTCGTCTGACAGGTTACCGATGTTCTTGCATACTGGTCATTCGACTTAACCGACTTACCGGCCAATCAAAAATAACAAAAATAAAAATTTGTTTGTTACCTAGTGACCTATTTGGACACACACACACACACACACATTTATTAGTCTATTTATTGTGTGTCCGTTATATACACTCTCTTTTCAATGTAAATGTTGAAAAAAAACTTTAACTAAAATTCGGTTCGATTGACATACAACAACATATACTTAATTATTAAAATTTGATTGGAATTTTTGTTTGTATGTAAATCACTTCATTGAATTCGAATTTTTGGCTTTCTGTCTTCATCAATAATGCAATCAATTCGTTCATCGCTACTGGTCAAATTGGCTACAACGAAATTTACATCATTTCGAAATGTACATCTATCTATTGCCACGTCGATGTCTAGACGGCATCAACAACAAGTAGAGAAAGAAATTCCCATCAGTTCCAGATTGGATCAAACATTATCTAATGCAAAACGAATATTGACAAAAGGCGATCAAAATGATCAAACACAACCAAATCTACAGAATTTAATCGCTGAAGAAGTGATGGTCATAACGCAAATTCTACAGAAATTAGTTGGCACCAATTATTCACTTTCGGAAATACAAAAGTAAGTGAACTTTTATAAAAAAAAATGTTGTTTTTCAATTTTTCACATTATATTTGATAGATTATATGAGAATGAATCATCTTCCGATCATTTTATACGGGGTTTGATTGTTCTATTGATTTCAAAGGCAGCTTTATCATCCAACAATGGAATACAATTGGAACAGAAAGATATTTCAACAATACAATGGCGTCTAGCTAAAATAGTTGAAATGATACATATGGCAGTACTTATACATCGACAGGTACGAAACGTTGCATTTAATACATTGGATTCTGGATCCATTGAAACACAACTTAATCTGAGTAATAAAATTTCCGTTCTGTATGGCGATTTTCTCTGGGCTAAAGCATGGAAAGAATTGGCCGATATGGGAAATATTGAAGTTATTGATATGATGGTATCGGTTTTGGTCAACACTTCTACCGGACAATTTCTTGCCGAAGTTGAATCGCTTGATTTGAGCCGAAAAATGAACGTTGATTATTGGTTAGAGAAAAATTTCCTTCTAAATGCCTGTTTACCTGCATTCGGCTGCCGATCAACACTTAAATTGGTTGGTTTCGATGAACAATTGCAGAAAAAGGCGTATGATTTTGGCCAGAATTTTGGCTTTTTTAACAAAGCATATCAGGAGATCAAATGGTTCGACAATAATGGCAATTATGAAGAGCCAATCAATAGTTATTCATTGGATCTATGTTCATTACCGGTTATAATGCATTCCATTGAATCTGGCCGATCATTTGATCGAATGATTCAAAAGAATGCATTCAAAAAACAATCCGGTGAATTTATTATGAATCAACAAGAATTTATTGACATCATACGTAAAGGTAATGGTCTGCGACAATCACGATCAATTTTGGAAAATTTTCGACAAAAATCCTTACGAACGTTGGAAGTATTTCCAGAATCTGAAGCAAAAGGGCAAATAAAATCCATATTGGAAACAATGGAACCATGATTGATAAGCGAAACATATTCGAAACATTGAAAATTGAAATCTAATTTGAGCAGCAACAAAAAAAAAATTCGTTGGTGATTACGAACCAGCGTACTATAATGAATATTTTATCAAATGGAATTAATGTTTTTTTTTCTTGTCTATTATTCTCATAGAATCTTGTTTGTGTCCAAATTATAAATGTTCTTTGTTGTATGGTATGTTTTATTTTGCATATAAAAATCGTTCGATAAAAAATTCACATATTACAATCGGTGACCATTGTAGCAGATTTACCGCAGTATCGTTCGATGATGATCATGATTATTTATGTCTCTCGGTGGATTTTTCTGTTTCAAGAATCGAATTGTGACGTGTCAACACGCAATTCCGAACCAAAAAACAGAAGAAAAAAAATATTCTCTAACCACCTTTATAGGTTTTGATGATGATTCTAGTTTATAACATATACCAGCCACACTACACTTGGGACAATTGATATTTTCATGACTGTTATTCATACAAATTGTGGTTGTCTCAAAGGATTCATCAATAAATCGATCAAACAAAAATAGATTTAAAAAAAACTACTAGCACAATTCTTTTCGGATGGTTTTTTTTCAATTATCTTGATTTGACTTTAATTGATCGATTGATGTTGATGATGATGATGATGATCAAGCAATCAAAAATTTCTGAAATTTGTTTTGAAATTTCATTTTTAAAAATTATAAAAACTTTCATTTTCATTATGGACATCAATATTTTGATTTGCTAACGTTTGATTGATGAAGCCCGAACTGTTACTCTCTCATGTAAAATTGGACAGTTTGTTGCTATCAAAACAAGTCGGAAACAAAGAAAATTGAATTCTCTGAATGAATGAAAAACACTTAATTTGTCCCAAGTGGTTCATATTGACGGATCCTATGGTCTATTATTTTTGTTGTTGTTGTTGTTGATGATGATTTGACTTGCTGTGCTAAACCAAACACAATGATGAGCGTTGGTATTCTCCACCTGCCATGACTATAACGATGATGATGATGACTATGGTGGCCAACTACTAAAACCACAATTACAGAGGTTTTTTTTCTCATTTCCACGGTTAGACCGGTCGGCCGCATCGAGAACAATTGTCACGCAATTTATTAGGTTGGTCAATCTTGTTTTCGAATAACATTAAGTTTTGAAATGATTAACAAAAAAAAAAAATAAAATAAAATAAAAATAAAAAAATAGAATTCGGCTTCCTGCAGCTGCTATATGAATGACCAAACAATTTCGAATTCCGGGATGCATGTTTTTAAGATGCCAAAAACGAATAAGAAAAAAAAATTGTCAATATTCAATACGATTGAGTGAATAAAGTGTATTCGATTACAATCACCAGAGAAATGAATGAAATAAAAATTTCTCATATTGATAAACAAATAAAAATGACAATTTTTTTTTGCAAACAACATCAAAATCTGATGGATCAAATTTTTAACCCGCGAGACCCAAACTGATCGGTTTATGTTATTTTGCACACAAACAACCGTGAGAACCCAATCAACAACAACGACGGGAAGAAAAAAAAATGTCATAAATGACTTAATAACTGTACTTTACGGTGGTATAAAAAGTGTCTGAATGGCTCAAATCGAACGAAACGATCTCATCGAAGCCAGATCCTAGACTCGATGCCGGTCGCGTGTGAGTGAGAAAAAGAGAGAGAGGTGAGAGCATGGAACTGGGACAAATATACGTGTTTGAAGTGATCCAAATGGTTCAGCTCTAATTGTACAAATCGAGCATGAATAGAATAGAAGCGGTTTGACTATGGGAACAAAATGAAAGCCATTTTCCCACTGTGATATTTGGTTCTCGATTATTGGCTATTGGACCATGTGTGTGTGTGTGAATGTGTATTTACATTAGCATCCCAAGCCTAATCAATAATCGACTAATTCCTGTGTGGCATAAAAGTTGTCCATCAATTTTTTTTTGATCTACAATGATTTTTATTAATTTAAAAATTCATTTCAATGAGAAGACTTGGACTTTAAATTTCAATTTCGCTAATAAAAAAAAAAAATTTATTATTCAATTAACAGAAAAAAGAGCAAAACTTTTTTTCACCTCTAACCAATGAACCAGGTATGATGTCACCACACCAAACAAACAAACAAAAATTGGCATTTCAATCATTATATTAGTGTGAGCGTGTATGTCGCGTGTCTAAAGCTATTTAGTATGACTATATGACCACAGGACAGGAAATGCAGCTGAAAAGACTGGCAGCGGAAGAAGACAACCTCTCTTTCTTTATAGCTTTTTGTTATTGTCAAATTAGAAAAGAATTATTCTTAATTTAAAATTAATTTTAAAATTTCGATAGCTCATCACGACTAACGGACACTTGACAATTACAATTTGATCCAGTCCGAAAATAGGTTTCGATTCATAAATGATGACGATGACCTTGATTAAGATGACACGTGCCATTTACATGTTGTGTTCGTATTTATCATTATGGCTAGGAAAATACCAGAAAAAAGAAATACCCAAATTCGGTAAACTTCACAAATTATGGTTCTTAGAACTGCAAATGTTATGAAGGAATCGAAAAATGGGATTTTCCCACGATTTATTTTATGATGACGATGATGATGAAATATTCTACCCCCGATAAAAATTACATCAAAAAAATTCGAATAAAATGGTTCGGAAATATTCGTGGGAAACAAAGGGCGGTCCATTCGAAACGTAATAGACCGGCCCACATGCTATATGTTTCCACCAATTGGTTGAGCATAGAGCAATTGGAACCACCCTGTAAATTTGAAATGAAACAGTTTCAGGGCAACAGCCGCATCCACACACCAGATTCAAACATACATACATATGAAGGTCTAGCTTCCGACCGCGTGTCATATACAGGCGGCCAGCAACAGTAAGCGTGTGTCCAAACATTTACATTTTAAGAATCATACACAATCACCAATCGTCGATTCATTTGATCAAGTGACTTGCATACGTTCGGTCACGTGTTCTTCATATATTATTCTCCCTGAACGTTGAAAAAAACTTGGCGTATTTTTTCAGTCTAAGAAAAACTGGTCCATCATTCAAATTATGTATCCACAGCCACAACATTATGGACATCATCAAACACAAGTCTATCCATTGACTATGATGATGGCGAATCCGGTTGTTACTGCTCAGCATTATAATAATTCGACGATACCACCCTCGACAGCAAGCTCATCTTCTTTCAGTGGTAATTTTTCCATGATGAACGATTCCGAACAGCCAACATATACAACATTAGTTCCACCACCACAACAACTAGCATCATCGGGAATTAAACTTCGTGGGATAGATGGTTGTGGTAATGGCGATGATTCAATGGCTACAACATCAACGGATGAAGAATTGGAAACAATAAGCCATAGTAGCAGTCATAAGAGGTAAGCGGTATTTTTTATATTATTTTCTTTTCTCTCGAACTAAGGGATCCGCCTCTGGTTGTATTACACACATCAAACACGTGACACATTGTCGTGCCCGTGAATAGTTCCATGTAGCCAGAGGAAGTCTTGGAACACAAACACACATCACATATACACATTCATATTGAGCTCACGCTGGTCGCATGTCAGTCTCGTGTCCAGTCTTGCGCCCGAACAGTTGCCTTTAGTCGATATCTTTGGTTTTAATATTGCTTAGTTGGTCGATATGTCGGTGGTGATGTTGCAATCCTGATGATTAAGTCTTTAAGATTGACTTAGCACTTTTTCTCTGATCGTGTCCGGCCGTGTGTTTGACACATTGTTAGTGTATACATGTGCGGGTGTGTGTGTGTGTTTGTCTGTGACAAATCATTTATTCTTTTAGATCTTTTAAAAGTATAAAGTTGGCGTGTGTCGGATCATCATCCGTACGTCTGTCCAGCAGGCGTACGGCGTTTCCTTGAAGACGTATTGTGTAACAACTCTCACGTGTCGATACTCTAATTGCTGTGTATCATCTGCTTTGTTTGTATTTACAATAAAAAAAATTTGTTTGTTAGTATCATTAGTGTGTGTGTTTTGATAGTTTCGGTAGTTATCAGGTGATGGACATGTGGCGTAAAAACGCTCAAACGACAAATTCAAATCATCATCATCAGCATCACCATAGCCATGATCATAATCATCATCACCAACAACAGCAGCAACAAGCGAGCCATCATGTACAAAGCATGGCAAATAATCACCTTACCCACCCACATCATCAACCACAACAACATCATTCATCAAATTCATTTACACAACCTAATGACAAGTTTAGGTCAGTTCAGGGATTATACAATACACAAACAGGAAGACAGGTGTAAAAAAAACAAAAATGACGTTAATTTTGAATAGTTGATTTTGTCGTATTTTTTCTTTACATTAATGAATGATTTTTATTTTGTAATTTCAGCATACAAATGGGCGATGCAAATAGCCTGGATAGTAATTGTCATTTGATGAGCCGAAAAAAACGACGAGGCGTAAGTGTTTTAATATTCAACATTTGTTGGCGACTATTTCTCATTGTTCCGGTTTTTTATATTGATAGATGATTGAAAAACGTCGACGAGATCGTATCAATAATTCATTACATGAATTGAAACGTCTAGTACCTGCTGCATTCGAAAAACAAGGTTCAGCCAAATTGGAAAAGGCCGAAATTCTTCAGATGACTGTCGATCATTTAAGGATGCTACATTCGAAAGGATTCGATGCATTTTCATTTGATCCGCATAAATTTGCCACCGATTATCATATCATTGGATTTCGTGAATGTGCGGCCGAATGTGCACGTTATCTTGTCGTACATGAAGGATTGGATTTTCAGGATCCACTTCGACTTCGTTTAATCAGTCATCTTCAATGTTATTCCGCACAGCGTGAAATTAGCCTCAAATCTAGTACCGGATGGAATCCAAGTTTGTTCACAACACCTATGAATAATTCGGCACAACCGTCTTCATCAGCTACATCAACATCGACCAGCTCGACATTGGCAGCATCAACAACTTCAGCTACGATCACGAATAGTAGCAGTACATTTCATTCATCATCATCGTCATCAACAACGACTAATACAACTTCTCAGGCACCTAATTCCGGTTGTAGCGATTCAAATAATAACATGCAAACATCCATGCCATCCTCATATCAACAAACATCCAACGTCAAATCCGATTCTAATCCATCTAATACACAACATTCCTCATATAGCACTGGTTATTATGGACAATATGATACCACTGGAAAATTGGATCAGATAAATGGCATTAGTTCAATGTCTTGTAATAATACCGGAATTAAATCACCAATGTCACCTGCATTCACGACATTGAATTATCCAGGTGCTTCTTCAGCCACCGTAGCCATTCCTAATTCCCCATCGACAACGACCAATTCGTATTCATATTCATATCCGGCTGCTGGTGTGGGCGGTTCATATTTTGCACCAACAGCTACTGCTGCCAGTTATATGACAACAATGATGCCTGGTGCAGCATCTATGGCTGTTGCTTCCGGTAGCAATCAACCTGGCATTCCAGGCCAAACTGGACAATCAAATGGACAAACAAATGTGAATTCAGTTAAACACTATCGTCCATGGGGCACCGAATTGGCATATTGATATAAAAAAAATGATCTTGATGCTCAATAATCTAGTCAATTTATTTATTCATTTATTTATTTCACAAATTTACCTTTATGATAATGTTTGTATTATAAGATAAAAAAGAAATTTTGATTCTATTTATTTTTGTACAAAAAAAAAAAAAAAAATCTATGGAATAATAACAATAATAAATAAATTTTAAAATTCCATGTCATGTCCTTTATGAAAGGATTCTAATATTCCATGCATGCATGCTCTCATTGATGCAGCGTGTTTACACATTGATTTAAATTTTTGTTTTTTAAATTTATTTTGTTCTTGAATGATAAAATGTCACCAACTTGTGATAAATCGACAATGCCAAATAAGATATTATTGGATGAAGTTAAAAAATTGAATGATTATTTCAGGGATCTAATCAATCAAATTCCAGCGAAAATTTTTTTCAACAAAAACGAACAAATTCTTCAAACAATCGAAAATGCAAAGAGAAAAAAATTTTCAAACAATTCTGATCTATCGAACAAATCAAAACATAAACGAATCAAATTAGATCCTAGTAATCAGAAAAGTGTTTCAGATGTTGCACAGGAATTCGTTGAACAAAAAGAAAGTGATGGAAAAATTAATGAATTGCGTAAAAAATTGGCAAAACGAATTAAAGAACTTCGTGAATCGAGAACTGGTGGCAAAAATGATCAGAAAACAAGCCCTACAATAATGGATAATGACGATAATAAATCAGAAACTATATCGAATAAAAATATGCCAAAAATATTCAATAAAAAAGGTAGGGAATGATTTCAATCGAATTTTTAAGCAATATTACTTTATTTTTTCAGGCAACTTGGTATTCTCAAAATTTGATCTCACCTCACAGGTGGATTTGGCTGCCGAACGTGAAATTAACAAAGATCGAGAAAATAGAAAACAAAGTGGCAAATCTTCATTACAAGGATTATTGCTGAAAGCAAAAAAAGACGAGCAAAAAATTTCTCAATTACAAGTCACCGATTCGAGGGCCGCTGATCGATTTAAAAAAGAAAAAATATGGCAAACAGTGCTGGAAAAAAGTGAAGGCAACAAAGTTCGTGATGATCCACAATTGCTTAAAAAATCATTGAAAAAACAACAAAAAATGAAGTCCAAAAGAAATAAAAAATGGACCGAACGAAAAGAATCGATAGAAAATCTAAAACAACGCCGACAAAATCAACGACAACGAATGTTGGAAGAGCGAAAAAATAAACATAAAGAAAGACGCTTGAAACGTTTTCAAAAGAACCGAAAACTTAAAAATAAGACAAATGAATAAAATGATAAATTTAATTTCATTCCAATTTAATTGATTTATATGTATTTAACTTCATTATTGAATATGAGACAATAATAATGATTATCGTAGTAATAATGGTGACTGGAATGCCCAGCAAGAGATGAAATGAAATTTTAGCTGGAAAAAATCGTGCGATAATATGATTTTCATACAATAGAGGTACAAGGATGATCCATAGACTATAATAGATCAATATGGATGATGTAATGAACAAAATAGTGATTCCAAGTGGCCGATCATAGCCAGCTAAAATCATTTTTTCGGTTGTGAATTTGAATATATTTGATGATGTATTCATGAAATTTCATTTGATTAAAGAGCACATTGCAAAAAGTTGGAGTCATTCATACAATCCGTTTTTTGTATTTTTCAAAAACCATTTTACACCCTCCTGGGAAATGTTCGATTTGAACAGTTATACAAATGTGTTTTCAATTTGTCATTTGTTGACATTTCGATTGATCGTATTAGTTTATGATATTTTTGCATTTGAGTTTTGAGATGTTCATCGTCAACGTAATTGTTTTTAGAAAATTTAAGCTTCAAAGGAGAATCATCTGCCAATAAAGCTCGATACAAATGATGGATAAGAAAACAGTATAAAACCGATTGTTCAGGCGATTGAAAACTTTCGGATAATAATGTTTTGAGATAAACTTCCAATGTTTCCAGATTGGTTTCAATTGGATTCAATAATAATTGAATAGGCATCAGCAACTAAAAATGAAAACGGATAGGATGAAAAATTGAAAGTACATAAGTAAAAAAAAATCTCATACCTCATCGAATTTAAAATAAGACATTTTAACCGAAAATGAATATTCTGATAAAAAATGACAACGGAAATAATTTGAGCAATTTGGTTTAAAATAAACAAAAAGATAATTGCAAAATATTTGATTATAGTATGATGAATTAACAAATTGATCGGCAAACATATTGAACAAATCGATTATGGTACCCATTCCGGAAGGTAAGCTATCTTCATTCGAACATTGAACTGGTGAATCGGATTCAATAAATCGAACGAAAAATCGCCGTAATATTTGATCAATTTGATTGTCAAAAAAATAATCTTCATTGATCAAAAATGTTGTGCAAAGAATTTCAAACATTAACGTTTTGGTGACATGAATTTTTTTGCGAAAATGTTCATTGAAATTGTGTTCAAGATGTTCAATAAACAATAAATGAGATATTAATTCTTCCAATTCTATTTTGGATTTTTCCTCATTATTTTGATTTTTTTTATTGAAAATGATTTTCACTTGTGTCAATAATGGATCGAAAAGCCAATAACGATGATCGAATTGAGAATAATTTTCATAAGTTTTTCTTATCATTTTAAAATCTAAATTATCAGCATCATAATAAAATGATTGATTGAATAGACATTTCTGCAATAATTCTTGTTTGATTTGATTATTATTCATAACGTTTATCATGAGAGCAAAATTCAATATGGATCTGGAGAATTTTCGGTCATTATCATTGAGATCACAATCAATTGAACGGATAGCTTCGCCTGTAACAAGACATGCCTGTGCCACAATATTGATTTCGATTAGATCGAAAATATTAGATGAAAATGTTCCATCAATATTGGCCGTAACAAGATCAATGTAATCGAACAAATAACCAAATGTTTTTACCGGAAATTTTCGCAAGATATTTACATCAGCTGTCCATGCAATTCGAATTAAACTTTGCAATAAACAGATAGCCGAATCATGGCGAAATAAAGGCACGCTATCAAATCCTTTTAGATAGATTGAACCATATGATGGTAGATTTGGTGAATCGCGAACATGACCACAGATTTCTCGTTTTGTTGTATTTGAATTTTTTTGACAAGAATTGATCAATTTCGAAACAAATCGATGATTATTGCCTAGCAATTTTTCCAATGTTAATTTGATGAATTGATTATCGAGTTTTAAATGTTTGATGATGAACTCAACGAGAACCAATATGCAGAGGCTACAATCGAAACCAGGAACGATTGTTTCATTATGGATGACGATGAACCATTTCATTGCAATATCATACAGATCGAAACAATATTGATTAGCATAATCATCTGGACAATCCAGTAGTTCATGATACATCTTAATCAATAGAATTAAAGATGATGCAAATTTAAAATCGAATGTTTTCATAGCCGAATCTAATGATGATGGTTCTGTTGGTGTCAATCGTCGACAATAGCCCAATGTTTTCAATAAAAATGGACACATTTCAAAAAAATTTTGCTTCACCATTTTCATTAGTTTATGTTCTTGATTCTGTTCACAAAAAGATAATAATTTGATCCACAATCTTAAAGCTTCAATGCTGACAATCGGTACAACTTTTTGAAAATTATTAACATCGCCAGCTACAAAATCTTCTGGAACTAAAAGAAAAAAGAAATTTATCGAATCAATAACCGCTATTCTATCCAATACATCAAACAATCGTCGTAAAGTGATGGGCAATTTATTTTGGATAGATGTAATGCAACAACGAAATAATTTGAAAATTTTGACATTCGCACCATTAATCTCAGACAATGATTGTTGCCTATGAAGATTCAAATTCATTGCAATAGCATCAATTAAATCAAAACAGTGAATAATTTTCTCCGAAGATTCAGGTGAATGTCGTGCAAATCGAATCAATATGTCAAAAATATCTTCTCGAAATGGTCCATCTGATGATTCATTAGTCAGTTGATTATTGAGCAAATAGGCAAACCGTTGTAATATGGATGTTCGATTCAATAGACAGCCGATAATATCATAGAAAAGATATTGTTTATCGGAAAATGACTCATCATCATTTTCATGGATTTCTACATTAGTTGGTTTCAGATTCAAGTCAATTTGATGGCCATGATGAAGAAAATCTTCGAATATTATATAACCACGATCAAGAAATACTTCATCATAGATGGTATTACATATCAATGCTTTAAGGGTTTGTATGGCTGATTTCCATACAGTATCGGCCGTTTCATCCAAACATGTTCGAACGATTAAAACGAGTGGAGATTCTTTTAATAAATATTCGACCAGGTTCATATTGAAACAGGAATCATAAAAACCTTGATAGGCTTTTGTAACGATTTTTTCGAATACTTTTAATCCAATTTGTTTCTGTGAAGAAAATGAACTTTGCAAGTAGGTGAACAATTCGTTGATTGTATAGCCCGGACGTTCAGGTTCATCGCCATGATGATGAAGGCCTTGATGTATGGTATCACTTTCTTCTTCATGTCCATCGGTAAGAAGAATGCCTTCAAAATCGAACCGTGCAGCAAAGGAATCGGGATTTTTCGATTTTTGATTATGTTCTTGGCTATTCTCACCTGAATGTAGATCGCCAATCCATTCAAGTTTTTCTTTTTCAATTACATCCATGTGTATATATTTACCGGCTTTAATTTCTGCCATTTTGATAGGAATTTTTTCAGCAATGTCTTCGACAGTCTTTATCGCTTCTTCATTATCGTTGGTTTTTGCTTCAATGATGGGTTCGGCAGTCTTTGGTAAACTTGATCGATATGAAAATTTTTTACTTTTTAAAAATTCTACAGTTTTTGAACTCAATTTTTTCATTATTTCGTTTCGAAGCTTTTCAATATCATCCGAGCTCATATCATCCAGCAGTTTTTGATTTTCTCGTTTAATTTCTGAAATATCTTTTTGCCAATTTTTTGAACCAAGACCAATCCCAGTGACTATCGAATCTGGTCCAGACGAGTTCTCATCTTTATTCTCATATGTTGATTTATGCACCTGTTTCGAACATCTTTGAGCATATAAACTTAATGTACGAGAAGATTTTACAGATGAATCAACAAAGGATTTATTGTCAAGAAACAGACAAGGAGCCTCAGGAAATCCACTATGATTAGCTTCATCATCAATATGTTTATCAATCGAAGTTGGATCATAATTTCTTTCGATAATTTTAAATTCTAGCTCAACAATATCATGATTATCTTTCAGATTTTTCTTCTCGTCATCATTTTGATCGACAGATTCTGTCTTGTTTGTTTCGATCTTTGGTTTTGAGCTAGAAATTTATTCTGTTGACGAAGAAGATCATCTTCGTTTTCACAAACGTTTGGTCGTTTAACAAACATTGTTTATTTTGTTGAATTCAAATTCTCACGAGTTCAAATTCGATGATAACAAAATCGCAATGACCGTTCATGAATAAAGTGATTAGAATTCAAGAATGTTTTATTATTATTTTTTATTGTTCGTATAAATCATAAGATTATATTACAAAAATAAAAATCTAAACTTTGGATCTTTTTTTCTTCAATTTTTTCACCAACGTTTTTTGTCGCTTTAATCGACGTCCATTCATCCAGTCAGGATATTGTCCGAATTTGTTTAGCAAAGTTTTCTTATCACGTTCATTTTGATCAGTTTCCATTGAAATGTAATCAGAATTTTGGTTCGGGTTTTCGTCCACATCTATTTGGAATTTTTTTACAGCAATCGCTTGCATTTCTTCTTGTGCTTGTTTTTCATTCTGTTCGGATTTCTTTACCATTTCAACCAAACGTTTCAATTCTTTTTGTCCATATCGAACACGTTTAATGGCACGCATTTTTCGTTTCTGTTTACTACGAATACTTTTGGCCATTTTGTTTTGATTTAAAATAAATCAAAAACGATGATGTTAGAATAAAATAAAAATAAACAATTTAAAAAATTGAAATCAATGAAAACTCAAAAACACGTGGAAATCATCTGTTCATAAAGTACGTCCATTCAGGATAATTTTAAATTTGAATTCAGTTTCATTTTGATTTGAAGGTAAAAATCATTGTTAATCAATCGAGCCCCGACAATCGTTATAAACACACAAACAATGCAAAAATTTTATTTTTAGCTCGACAACTAAGAAAAAAGTAATACTGACCAACTAAAGCAATCAATAGTGGAAGATTAAAAAACCAAGAACATATTTGGATAATAAATACAATAATACAATACTCAGTATTTAGAATAAACAAACAATAATAACCTGGAAATTATGCAAATTATCAGAAAAGCAAATCTTCGTCATGTTCATCTTCGAGAATATTGGCGGGTTCCTTAAATTGATCACCCATTTTATCTTTCAATAAACGAATTTCAGCTTCATGAGCTGCTCGAATTTTTTTCTTTTTTTCCTGTATCTTTTTTAGACGATAAAATTCTTCTCGTTCCATTTCGTCCAATTCCGAAATAATATAATTGATCGTTCGATCGAAACGAGGGATGACAACATATTCCAATGCATTCACACGTCGATTTGTTATCTTGATTACTTCGTCCAATGTAATGAAACTAGTTTGTAATGACGCCAATTCAACCAATAGTTTAATCGCGTTGGCATAGTTTTTCTTGATTTTCGTCAATTGTTGTCCACCACGAGCCAAGCCAGCAAATTCATTTGCATCGCTACTATTTTGAAAAGTTTCAAAAATTGGTAGATTCACTCCGGCAACATTATCTTTTTTACATCGAACTTTGAACTGTGCGTTCGTTACATTCTGCAGGATGATGTGATTAAAATCACTACCGACAGTGAATTTAGCTTCGGCCAAGCTGAAAGATGCTTCACGCATTACATTTCCCATCAGATTTTTTGCTTCGATGATTTTTTTCAATATACTTCGGAATCGAATTTGTAATGCATCGGCTTTTTTCTTCAGTAAAGAATGACCTTTTTGTGCTCCTTTCAAACGACCTTTCATCGTTGTTAGGGCCATTCGTGATGGAAAAATATTAATACGATCTTTGGAGCTCATTTTGTTCTTTTAATTGTCATAAATGACAAATTTTTTTTTACTCGAACAGCCAAAAAATAAACAAAAAAGATGAGCCTTTTAATGATCAAGTTTATCTATTTCTACTAAAATAGTCTTAAATGTTTAAATAGGTAATTATTAATTTTTTTAGATATATATTGGATTTATTTAAATTCGTCTATTATTATTATTATTATTATTATTATCGATTATTGATCGTTAAAACTCATTGAATCTGTTTGCAATATATAATAAATGAGAATCGTACTGTTGTTATGACACCAGGTCGTTTGTTATTTGATTGTCATTGAAAGAAACTTGAGAACTGGAAACAACAAATAGAACAAAATTATCAATATTGATAATTGGTTCAATAATTAAAGTATCGTTGAATTATTTATGCTGTAGCCATGATAATCCATTGGCTACGTGGTGATAAACTCATGGTTTCCGAAAGTAACCGATCATTTATTCTATTGTCTTTGTTATTGTTAATAATTACACCCAGATTCGGACAATCAACATTAAGCCGATCTGATCGTCGCCCCTCAAAAACACATCAGGTATTTCCGATTTTTCTCAAAAAAGACATTATTGATGATGTTGAATATTTCTAATTTATCGGCAGCCCATTGAACCAAATCCACCAGTACTGGAGACTGTACAGGAACGATCATTGGTCGTTTCGAATGTCAAACCAAAAGATATTATACGCGAACATCAATCCTATAGTCTTAATGGACGACAAACAAAAAATTTCAACGGAACCGTTCTGGCCTACGTGACGCCTGTATGTATTGTTTTTTAATCTTTTGATTCAATCCGTTTAAAAAAATCTATCTGATTTCACAGTGGAATTCACATGGTTACGATATTGCTAAATTGTTTGCGCAAAAATTCACTCATATTTCACCCGTATGGCTTCAAGCCCGATTGAATAAAGAGGAAAATGATATTATTGTCGAAGGAAAACATGATATTGATTATGGATGGATGCAAGAATTACGCACTGAAAACGATCGAATCAAAATTGTACCACGTGTTCTTTTTGAACGGATGACCCATTCACAGTATTTACAATTGATCACCGATTCTTCATTAGCACGACAAATTGGTCGACATTTAGCAGATCTTGCACGAAAATATGAATTCGATGGTTATGTGATAGAGATATGGCGGGCATATGCCGGTCAACATCGATTAGATCTTGCACGAATGTTTGAATGGATTACTGACGCGCTGTCGCTATCAAATCTTGAGCTTCATATTGCCGTCCCACCTCCCATTTATTATGGCGATTCTCTTAGCACATTCCAAAAAGATGACATTGAACGTCTAGCACCATATATTCAGGGATTTTCCGTTATGACATATGATTATTCTGATCCATCAAGACCGGGTCCTAATAGTCCACTGAATTGGATACAAAAATGTATTCGACTTTTAGCACCAAAAGATACAAGTCCAGTACTAAAAAAAATTCTAATCGGATTAAATTTCTATGGTAATGATTATTCAATCACTGGTGGAGGACCAATTCTTGGCACACGATACATAGAAATTTTGAACAAACACCGACCAAAAATTCTCTGGGATGAATCATCAGCTGAACATTATTTTGAATACAAGTAAGTTGTCATTGTTTTTTTTTGAATTAAACATTTTTTAATTTAATAATGAAAAAATGTACAGAGAATCTTCTGGTCGTAATCGTGTATTTTATCCGACTTTATATTCCATACGAAAACGTATCGAATTGGCAATAAAAATGGGCACCGGATTATCCATATGGGAACTCGGTCAAGGATTAGATTATTTCTATGATATTCTATGAATCTTGTTGTATGCACATTGAAAATAGTAACATAAAAATTCATCAAAATAAAAAATGAAATGAAAAATATTTTTATTCGTTTTCAATTATTATAATTATCGAATAAGGTGCTGAAATTTTAGATTAAAATAATTAATATTTTGAATGTTCTTGATAAGGATAGAGAAAATATCCATTGTTTGGAACAATTGTATGTAATCGTGTATCTGTGTTGTGTGTGTGTGTGTGTGTGTGTGGCTTCCATTATTTTTCTGAACTTTTTAAAATCATTTTATTATAGATTGTTTGAGTCAGACAATCAAATGTCTTTGTGCATGAGTGGTATGTTTATTCATGTGTGTGTGTGTGTGTGTGTATGCATGTATACCGGAAAGATATGGATCATAGATATACACAAATCCGAAATCTTCGACAACAAAATTCGAAACAATAATTCAGGTCGACTTATTTGTGTCCCTGGTCTATCTCTGGTTAGAATCGATGACTTAAGAACAACTTTTATGATATGCGATGATTTCATTGATTCGAATCATGGTGGTCGAAAAAAATGGCATATGAATTATCTATGAAATATATATATCTTCTCAATAAACACAAACACAAATGTAAATGGCAAAATTGATGTTCTTGATTAGAATAAGAAAAAAAAATTCAAATAACTTTGATAGCTCAATAAAAAGAAACAATGATGATGTAAAAATTAGATATAATGAGATTTGGGAAAAACAAGAGCATGTTGTGTCAGAGCGTGAATTGTTTGGGTAATAATGAACAGAAGATCAATGAAATTATTATTGTCAAACATGATAAATAATTGAAGATTTTAAAACACAAGACAAGATGAAAAATTTATTTGTAGCGAATAAGTGGACGTAAAAAAAATTGACTAAATGCATCTATTTAAAAATATTTAAATGTAACATGTGTGTCGACGAGTGTGTTATTGTTCTGGACGATTGATTGATTGAAAAAAAAATTCGGACAGCAAAAATTTGAAAGATATGAGGAAAGCCAATATTTTTTTTTTGTATGTAATTGATTGCAGAATCAGATATTATCCTTATCATCAGAAGTTGATAAAATATGAATTATGAGGATATAAGTAAATTATTGAAAATTCATCAGATGAAAAATCAGCATCAAGAATAATAATATATTATATATGATACGTAGTGAGGTTAGATTTTCGTCAATGACAGAAAATTCATCCAATAATTATCATTTTAAATTAAACAATTAAAAATTGTTGATTTTTCTTTTTGACTCATTTCGAAATAGTATTCATTTCCTTCTTTATGGAGCACGGACGGTGGTGGTTGTGGACTGGTGTTTGATGTCTGATTAGATGAATGCGAAAATAAAGACGATTGTGTTCATGCTTGCATGCATAGATTTGATGAGATTCGTAAGCAAATAAAATATTTTATATATAGCTGCTTTGTTTTCTACAAATGTGATGACCATTAATAGGTAGGTGTGTGTGTGTGTGTAGGGCACGGTTGTAGTGGTTGTCAAATGTGAAATGAAGATATGATAGTGAATATAACGTTTGATGGTCATGATGATTAGAAAAAATTAATATTTTCGGTTCTTTCGGATTTTAATTCTGGTCATTATTAAGTATTCGCCAATTATCTTTAGTTAAAATCGTTCAAGCGAAATACATGACTTTGAATGAATTTGGGTGTAATGCTATTGATCGTGACATTGCAGCTGTTGTACGTTCATCGAAATTCGTTCCAGGATGATGACTTGTACCTTCACCACTGAATGTAATGAAAAAAAATAAATTTTTAAAAATCAATGAATTAAAAAGTACACATACGTAGGATTATGTGGTTCATTTTCGGAAAATGATGTTGAAGTATTGGATTCAATTTCAGCTTGACTTAATCTACATGTGTAAATGAGAAAGTAAAAAAATGATTACCAATAACAAATCAATTACTCACCTATCGATTTCTTTTAAATCGACCAGATGATAACGAGCACGGAATGCAACTAAATGAGCATAATAGGCCGGAGCTGGAATCGATACCGAACGTGTACATCGTACATATGTATGACAAAGTTGATAAGTCAGCAATTGAATTTCATCTGAAAAAAAAAAATTTGAATACATCATTATAAAAATATAATGGACAATGTGAAATGACTAACCAGCAGAAAAATCATTATCATCCCATAGTACATGATAATGTGAAGGGCGACTTGTGCCCTGAATACCGGCATGCGAACATAAATAAAAATCAAATTCTGTAGGATGAGTAATTCCAACATCAACAGTGGTACCAGCTGGAATGTTGCCACTTCTGCCAATTTGTTCTTTTTCTTTGGCGCAGAATAACCGTGTATGGTGACGTTTTTGTGTAACAATAAATGTAATGCCAGGACGATAATCTTCTTCAAGTTGGACACATGCCTTACGTATGGCGATCAATTCATGGGTTAATACTTGTTGAAATTGGCCTTCGCTTACACCATCACGATACAATATTATACGATATGGTTTGAATCGTGTAGTTCGATAGAACTGTAAAAGCAGTTCGCGTACCATTGTGCTGAGATCTTGAATGACATCTTGGCGATGCTGTTGTACACGAACAGTTGCTGCATAACGACTTGGATGGCCATCCATTGAACCGACAACAGCCGCAATGGATGGTTTTTTAGTATCGCCTGCTGGTGGATGTGTTACATCTGCGCCTAAGAATATCACAGGCTCATTGAACACCTTCGGTCTATTGAATATGAATGATGAAAAAGATTAATTTTAAACAAAAAATGGATACAAATCATCATTTACCTTATGTTGGGCACAAGGATATTGTTGATACCACCCAATTTGACATTAATCTTCAAACATAAATTCGATAATGTTTGTGGCGATGTTTTAGTAACATTTTTTGTCTGAACACATTGTGTAGCGATACCTAATACGGTATCACCAACACGTTTAACTTCAGCATAGACGGGTGTTTTTCCTGGCAATACGCATACAACCAATTGTAGGCCAACATATGTTTGTTTTAAATAACGGAACATTGGTTCCACTTGATCAGCACCGGTAGCATATTTGCAGAAACATGGCTGCCCAATGATAGGCATACCAGCATCGTTAGAAATTTTTTGCAAACTTTGAGTAAAAGAACGCAATGCATCTTCACGGCACATTCGTTGTGGCGTGAAACAAGCGATAGCCCATACACGAATTTCAACGCCAATATGAAATTGTTTATTACGCATATCCCATACACCAAAAGCTGGTATAGCTTGTTGTTTTGTACGCCCACCATATTGAATTTTTGGTGCAGGTAGTACTCGTCCTTTTACTTCCATCATCATATTCGATATGCTTAAACCAAATTCGCGTACATATGGATCATTATTAAAATCGGCTTTCTGAACGAGATTATTAATCTCTCGTTCACGATCGGGTGCAGAACGGGCCGTAGCTTTGATCATTGTTGATGTTTGCATATCGGTCAATTTTTTGATACATCGTTGACCAGGTACAATATTACACACTTCTAATGGAAGATAGGTATGTTTGTGCTCTTGGCCAACTTGAAGACAAGGCAAATTTGGATATCTAAGTGCGAAAAATATATGATGATGAATTAAAATAAAAACAAATATAAATAAAAAAATAAGTTTACCTCAATTTCATTTTATATTTATCCAGAAAATATTTGGCCACAGTACATTCGATTGTTTGACCATTTTCAAGTTGCAATGGGAAAGACTGTAGCTGTGCAGGACGTCGGGTAACATTACATACCCGATATTTTCGTCGCATAGTACCACAATGAGTGATTTCAATTTTAAGACCTTTGATCTCTTTGGTAAATTTTACACGAAATGAATCAGACAAATTTTTACGACATTGTTCATAATCACGCAAATCCAATACTTCCATTAGGAAATCGACCACTGGTTGCGCTTTATAAAATGCAGTCGCTGATACATCGATATTCAATGACATTTTCCATTGTGATGGACGTACTGATTGATGGAAACCAAACCAAACTTCACGGCCACCACCCAAAGGATGGAAATAACCATCGGGTGATGAGAAAAACGAACGTCCAACCGGTGTATATGTCATCGATGGCAAATGACGCATGACAACATCCAATGCTTGTATCGAATCCTGTGGCATTGTACGAGCATTACCTTCGAGAGCTTCTTCAAGCAAATCAAGATTCACTTTGGACACGTATTTGATTGCAACGCGAAACACTCGATCCTTTCCTTCACCAGGTAGTGTTACTTCCAATTCAATTTTGTCACGACCAATAGGCAAATCATCACGCGTGTAAATATTTTTTCGACCATCAAAAACGGGCTTTATGTTGCCAAATATTTTGTTGTATGCTTGGACCATTATCTCGATAATTTCTCTGTTGATTTTTCTTGGACATTTTTCCGGTGTAATGGTCACATCATAATGATGGAGAAAACCACGCGGCATAGTTATCTGGAAATGATTTGCTCTTAAATGGATAGGAAATCCATAATGGCCATAATCAGGTCGCCGTGGTGAGATAAATCTTGGTCCAGAATAGCCAGGATCACCTACTGCACTGCTACCACTACCACCGGAACTACCGTTCCCTCCACCACCTGCTTGTAGACCACTCGTTGATGGAACAACCGAACTTCCTGGTGCAACACTACCAATTGGACCGGATGTACCCCCTCCACCATTACCACCGGTACCGGCTGACCCAACGACCAATGATCCAGTAAATTGGCCATGTTGACCGATTGTTGTTGGCTGCATTTGTGGTAGTGGAGCTTTTCCCCTATTATTAGGAGCTAAACAAAGAAAATTGGATGATAGAAAACAACATGTAAAGAAAATTTTATTCCTCGGTGTTATTATATAGAGAGAGAGAGAGAAAACGTATTTCTGTTCAAAATTTTGAAGAATATAGTTTTAGTTTGCTTACGTTGTGTTCCCATTGGAAACATGTTGGGCACAATTGTCTGTTTTGGGTGCTGCTGAATTTGGTTTGATAATAATGGCGGCGAGTATGTTGATGTTGACGATGATGACGAGCTCGAGCCAATTGGTGGTGGCGGCAGTGGCTGTGATGGTGGTGGTCCTCCGGTGGCAACAGCAGCAATCGATGGCGACAATCCGGTTATAGCAGCAGCAGCGGCACAAGCAGCCGATGGTATCGATGTAGAAAAAATATCGTCAAAGACGACTGCACTCGTCGATATACCGTTTAAATGTGCGAAAGCCGTGTTGAATGATTTTTGTTGAAACGTACGGATTTAATCCGGAATTATAAAAGTTGATACAATTATTTGTGAACAAAAACAAGAATGCTTCTTCAAGAATCACATATAATTCTTTTTGTCTGGACAATCAAAGCAAGCACTGATTAATTTTATCAACAATTTTTTTATGTATCAGATGATTCAATTGTTTCACAAATGAAAGGGAATGAAAATCGAAATTAAATTCAAATAGATGGAATTGTGTAAATTCTATATATATATAGACATGCAAAAAGAAAGAGAATATTCTAGGTATTTTTTTTTATTTGTGGATTAGATTATCGTCGTAATATTCGGTTATAAAAAGTCGATGAGATTATGATGAATGTATTCAATGTGGAAATAAATGGATGATGGTAAATAAAATCAGAGCATCTATATTTATGATTCGTAGGTTCGATTTTGACTTAGAACGATTGATTGATTCGACGATATTAGGTTATTCATGATTGTGAAAAGGGGAAGACTTGATTTATTTTTCTGAAAAAGACCAGGACAAACAAACAAAAAATCATTCAATAAAAAGAAAGAAATAAACTAGACCAGTTAAAAACGTAGACAATAAAAATTCGAAAGTTGTGTCTATCTTTGGCAATTTATTCTACTATAGTTTGAAAAATTCTTATTTCGGATTTGATTATCGATTAGACATTAATATGTTTGATTGGTTGACGACTTGTAATTTATGAATGTTGTGTTATTTGACTAAATATTCGTATTTTTTTTTTGGCCAAGAATTAGAGGGAAAGGGCACAATAAACAATAATTGATGTTTAATCGGTGTATAATTATTTGTGTTTTAGTGTGGATGATTTGACGATTTGACTATTGAAATTCCGACAAAAAGAAAACAAAATTGATTCTTCAAGTCACACAAACCAACCCAACAACAAATTAACTAAAGCACACACGTACACACACACACAAAATTGTCGTAAAGTGGTGATTTGATCGTTGGGATTAATAATTAAAATGAGGCTTGATACAATCCCTATGAAAATAAATGTATAAATAGGATTTCATCCATCATAATACACCCACATACCTCAAACACAATTACACACACACAAAGATCCATTTATATGGAACACACACACACACAAAAAATATAGTCGAGCCCGAGTAAACAAAATAGGAAAATTTAGTCGCTTCAATGATGATGATAATGATGATCTTGAATAAAACATTCAATTATCAATAAGTGAATGTGGTTGTTTAATTTTTTTCTAAATAAAAAGTCAACGTAACAAATACTGGGCCCAAAGGCTCAATTTTTTTTTATTTTGATATATTTGGCCAGATGAAACAAAAATTTTGATGACACAACGACAATACAATAATCAGCCATACACACACACAAAAACCACACTTGAATCCACTCAAATTTACAACCAGGAATTATTGTTCCTGTACAACACAATACTCACACATACAAACAGCATTTTCATTGATCTGGTAGTGTTGTTGTTGGCTGTATAGTTTTTTTTTTTTTGGATAGCCCATAGTGATATGTAAAAAGTTCGAGCTGTGCTGCAGCTCATACAATTGGTTTGTTCATTTCAATTTCATTAGTTGTATACGATTGATGATGATGATGATGAGCATGAAGTCTTCTTAAGAGAAAAAAATCAAAATTTTTTCACCAATGAAAGATGGTGGCGCCCCTTTCCAAATGAAAATTCACAAATATGACGCCTAGTTTTTTTTTTGTCTTTCCAAATATATTCAAAATGTATTAACAAAAAAAAAAAAAAAAATGAGCAAAAAAAATCTAACGACAAAGCCAAGCAGCATATACAAATATATATATATATAGTTAGCTATATATAAATAAAAGTGGCAGTGGCAATGGCAATCGTTATGCTGCTACTTTTTCACACGCTAATAAAATATTGATGATGAGAGTAGCACAGCAATTGATCAAGTGGTTGTGAATCCATTTTATTAATGAATCAAAATGGCCGCCATTTTTTTTTTTTTTAAATGTGCTACTTCTATGAATCTTGGTTTATAATGAGCATGCGTATTCATTTCAACATTAATAATGCTACTATCAAATAAATTAAACAAAAAAAAAATCAACAAGAATAGTAACGGCAAAGAAATCAATAGAGAAAAAAAAATAGTTGTGTTACCAAAATTTGACATCGTGAATTTTTATATAACAAAAAAAAAAAAAAATACCCAACCCGACAAACACCCCTCGTTTTAAATTAAAGCCAGTTTTGATTTTTCACATTGTATAATTCCATTGGATGTCAATGTGAACATGAATCACAAACACAATATATTAGCCACTTGGATTTCTCGTTCCATGGAATTCGTCGTCAAAAATCAAGGCTATAGCTAAAAAAAAAAAAAAAAAATCTAACCTGTGTATAAAAGAAAATTGAAATCGAATGTCGGACCTCTCTTAACTCTTGAAAATACAAATTAGAGTTCCTACAATCATCATGCATGATGATCAAGGCCAGATTTATGTTTCAAGGATTTTTTTTTTTCTAGGTATACACAACGCACATTCACATCTGGTTGTTTTTTTTCCCATTTTACTATTTCTTAAACATTATTGATCAAACCAACCAAGCATCCGGTCAATATAGTTTTGGGTTTGTTTTTGAAACATATTCAAGGCTATTCAAAAATCTATTGATAAGTCATATGTGTCTATGACCCAATTTTTCTTTCCATTCTTTCCTTTCTGGTCACATGAAAGTGAAAAAAAAAATTTATTATTCAAACTTTCAAATAGTTGAAGACAATCTTCGAAAGATGTCGCTACTGACACAAAAAGACGTATGTCATTTTTTTTTTTTTTTTTTGATTTCCGTTTTAAAAAGTGTAAAATTTTATAATTCGAATGTATATTTTTTGGCAGATTATTGTCCAAAAATCCATTATCAATTGATTGCATCGAAAACGAATCACAACATTCAACAACAACAACATTCAATCAAAATCAATCGGGTAAATAAAAAAAAAACGCTACATTTTTTCAACCATATCAATGATAATGGCAATTTGTTTTTTTTTCGAAAATAAACAATGAAACATTCGATTTTTTTATGAAAAATGAAATTTCAAATAACAAGAGCAAGAATTTTTTTTTCGATGAATGAATCAAAATGAACAAAAAAATTATTATTCACACACAACTCATAACGCATGAACACGGCACACTACTTTTCAATATACTACCAGCCTATATATATTCTGTGTCCGTGTTGAATGAAAATTCGGCTATTCAATGATGATCATGATGATCATGATATTTTTAGCTTCTATTTTACAAGGACAACATCAAGCCATTCATACAGCTTGTATGTAATATATATGGATGACAAAATTGAACGTCGAATATGTTTGTGTTTGGAAAAAGAAAAATTTTTCGGTGTGAGTGGTGAACAAAAAAAAATCAAACATAAATGTGGAGAATGACGTCGATAAAATATTATCATCATAACACACACACACACACACATCACATCACATATTCATACAGTGAATGATTTGAACAAGAATTGTTATTTTTTTCTATATTCATCAAATTAATTCTGTAATCTGTGAAAAATTTGTCATTTTTTCCATTTTCATCTTTACTGGTAAGTTTGTCTATAAACATTTGTGTACTTTTCACTTTTTGTAAAAATTCTTTACCAATTTTGACAAACTTGAACTCAATTTTTTCATCACCTTCATGTGTGCGCGTGTGTGAGTCGATTTCGAAATCATTATCAATTTTTATTGACCAAGAATATTGCTGAATATATATTTCAATTTCATTCGATTAGGTCAATGTTAAATTGTTTGTGACATTCGAATCTGTCGTCTGTGTAAATCCGGAGTGATTTATTATTTATTTTTTTTTCGTATTGTGATTTGTCATCTTTTACTATATTTAATTCATATCCAATTCCCTTCTTCATCATAATCATAATCATCATCATCATCATCATTGCCAATTCGAATCATTCGATTCGAATATTTTTGATAGCAATGATATATAAATGTTTTTGTGTGTGTGTGTTTGTCTGCAAAAAAAAAAAATTTCGCCATTGCAAATTTGAAACATTACACAAGCACAGGTAATGTAAAGAAGAAAATCAAAGTTGCAGTCACTTGGATCGATGTATGGATCATTGGAATTTGTTTTTCACTTTTGGTCTCATATCTTATATATGCATTTTATTTCGACACTAAATCCATATGTGTCTTTGTGTGTATTTTTATGTTGCAATAACATTAAAATCCAATCCAATATATATTACTTGTCTAAACAAAAAATGAAAAGAGACAACTGATCTGAACTTGATCTTGTCCTCAATTACTGGATTTTTGTTTTATATATATATTGATTGAAATAAAAATAGCTTTACAAAAAAAAGTGGCGGTGATTGGTGATTGGTGGTGAATCTTGCCATTCGATGACATGTGTTTGTGTGTGTGTATGTGTGCGTGGTGATTGACGAAATCGAAAGTCCTGCCTTTTTTGATCGATTTCAACAACTCTTTTTTTTTGCTTATTTCCATCACCACCGTCGTCGTCGGAATCTTCGTAATTTATATGACAAAATAGAAAAAATTTCTATTTTTTCTTCATACTGATAAAAAAAATGTTTTCTCTAAATTAATCATTTGAATTTTGTTGTCATTTTTAGATCGTATAATGCCATTCATCAACTGAATTATTGTCGGTGCAAATGTTTTGGTATAACAAACAATCATGTCTAGCGATTGTAATAATAAACTCATCATCGATGACGACAATGGTTATGGCCAAATCAAAATGTCCACATTTATGGCCATGAAATTCGCCAAAACATTTATACGAAAATATTTTCCAAACATCAAAATCAACGCTAGCCGCAATCATGATAAAGGACCACCATCACCTCGACTAGATGAACTATTCAATTTTAATCCAATGGCAAGCCAATTGATTTCATCATATCAAAAAAAGGTAAATAGTTGTCTTGTTAATTGGATTCAGAATTTTATTTCTTAAGATTTTCTAAAAAAAGATTTGCCATTATGATAAACAACAATGGGATCGGACATCGGCTGCGATTACCATGACAATGACCCCTGAAGATCAAATCATATCTCGTACAGATCATATGACAACGGCCGCCGAAAATAAACCATCTACATGTACACCATCTCAGCGATCATCAAACAAATCAAATTCAACTACGACAGCTCCAAATAATATAATAAATGCTGATTTAATCGATTTGGATCTAATATCCGGTTCAGCCTATACTATGAAATCTAAATCACAACAAGGATGGATATCGATGCTATTTCAGGCAATATTACGTGTCGTATTCTTTCCATTATATTTACGATGGTGGGCTGAACAAACTAGTGCTTGTTTAGTCGCATTATTATTCATTTTGTACATTATGCAAATCATTTCGATTCGGTTTTATTATCAGAAAAATTTATCTACATTTAACAATACGTCATTCACGAATTCATCTTCAACATCGAATTCAATGAAATCGAATGAATTTGCCGAAATTTCTGCAACAGAAGTTCTAATGCCTATTGCAATGATGATTGTATTAGGTATTATACATACACAAATTGTTGGCACCAAAAGTTTCAAATCGTCATCATCATCTTCATCATCATCATCATCTGGATCATCATCGTCTTATTCGGTGAACAATCATTCGAATTTATCATCGACCAATAATGTTCGAAAAACTCATCATCATCATCATTCAAGCTCACACCAAACCGATTGTTCATCTACATCCGGTAATTCATCAAGTAGTAGTAGCACAAGTTCGTCGGTGGATTCATCACCGGTTGCGAATGTACGTCAACGTATACAAAACCGGATGGCACGTTTAGAGAAATTTAAAAATGATGATAAACATCATTCATCAAATTCTTCGCCGACAAATTCCACGAAACCACCCCTACCAAAAACGAATCCAATTAATTTACCTAAAATTCGATTCTTCAAAGAAAATGAAAATCAAACTATTAATCGATCATTCGATGCTGATGATGATAACATGATGCATGATTTTCCAGTTATTCCTCCACGAAAACGTGCTGATTCGCTGCCTAAATCATGGTCTAAAAATAAACTTCGTAAACCAAGTCGACTCCGAATTTCTAAATCGACAAGACATTCGTTAACATCATCATGGAGTTATGACGATGATCATCTGAATTCATCACCTGTTTCATTAAGATCGAGCTTATATGGTAGTTCAATCGATTCGGAAGGAACAATTTCACCAATGACGCCAACTATTTTACAGGTACTTTTGGAGAATCTAAAATTAATTGTATTTCTTTAATATTTGTCAAAATAGGGCGATGAATGGCCTGCCGTTCAATCGGATGCTTCATCTGACGAAGAGAATAATAATGCTCATCATGATGATGCCTATCATAGTGGCGATTATTATCAAAATCATTCCGGTATTCGAAATTCACAGCAAAAAATCCGTCATCGTCAATCAACATCAATCGATGGAGACTGTGGAAATCAGGATCAAACATCTAATCTATTGAATAAAAGTGATAAAACTTCACAAATTAATATGATAGAGAATGGTCCGACCAATATGCAACCAACCACACCAGTAACAACAACCTCAGTACAAACTGCATCTAATGAATTGAAAGGTTATTTTTTAATTGTTAAGCTCTGGGGACTAGTTTTTTTATATTTATTTATTTTTTATCATTATTTTTACAGTGAGCTGTTCATTGTGGCAACATAATGTTTGTCAAAAGTTTGACTTATCCGTTGTCGATATTAGTTCGTCGATTATACGAAAAGTAGAAACGGTCGAACATAGTAATGAATACATCTACTTAGGAATTTTATTTTCACTCACCGTATCATTGATACCATCGATTTATCGTCTACAATATTCGACCAAAGATGGTCCAAGTATTGCCCAGATATTGAATTCATCTTCATTAGCTGCTGCTGTTACACAACCAGTAGCCGCAGCAGCATCAATGATGCCGGCTGATGTATTACATTTATCCGATCTTTATGGATTATGGAATTTTTTTCTTGATGAAGCATTTTATTTCAATCGTAATACACGTGTTCGTTTCGTTATAATCACAGCACTGATCGAACGTTTTGTATTAAGTCTAATCTTTTTCTTTTTACTTTGCGTTACTGAACGAACCTTTAAACAGGTATAATATTTGTTATTAATTTTTCACAATTACTAATCTTTTTTTTCTTTACATTTAAAGCGTTTTCTGTATTCGAAATATTTTTCACACATTACACGACGTGATCGTGCAAAACGTTCACAAATTCCACATTTTCGTTTACACAAAGTACGAAATCTCAAAGTATGGCTTTCGGTTCGATCCTATTTACGACGGTAAATAAATTTTCAAGAAAAAATTTTCATCATTTTATGTAATCTTTTTAAAATTCTAGATATGGTCCACATCGTTCGGTCGATACAATCTGCTCGACAACGTTCATTATGTCCATTTGTTTATTAACATGTATTAGCCTACAAATCCTTAAAGATTCAAATGAATCCTGTACAACGCGATTGATTTGTTGGGAAATGATATTCTGGAGTCTTGCAATGGGCATATACATTATGCGTCTTATGATTCTGGGTTCTCGAATCAATCAGAAATATCGTTCCAATTTATCCGTATTGATTACTGAACAAATTAATCTTTATCTTCAATTAGAACGTAAACCACATAAGAAAGATGCCTTAATGTTGGCTAATCAGGTCTTGAAATTAGCCGTGGATCTACTCAAAGAGCTTGAATCACCATATAAGATCTCAGGTTTTAGCGCCAATCCATATCTATATAATATAACAAAAGTAGTAGTGTTGTCCGCTTTTTCTGCTGTACTAACCGAGATGCTTGGTTTTAAGTTGAAATTGTATAAAATCAAATTGATACGTTAAACACATTTTCCGTTTTGTGATATTGTTCCAAACCACACCACCAACTTTTACCAAGCTAGTTAATTACACTAACAAATAACTAATTGTGATTGTCGTACAATTTATTTTATGTGATCATGGTTTGAATTGAAAAGAATCAAGTCTATTTTTTTGTTGAATTGTTGAAAAGATTTTTATGAATTAAAAATAAAAAAAATGAGCTCAAAATAATTTTGAATTTATCATTGAATTCGTTTGGTATTTTGCACCAGATGGTGCTATTAATTTTGAATCTTACAAAATTTACAATTTTCCACGTCTTCAATCAGCTGGCCGATTTATGCTTTTTTTTGTTGATCAAAAAATGAATTTTTTTTTTTTTGAATCATAATCAATAATGAATAGCGGCAGTGGTAGATATAAATTTGCCATCCCATTGGATGCAAATGTTCCGATTTCGGCTGAACAATTCAATAAATTGGTACCGAATCCAGCCAAAAAATATCCATTTGAATTGGATACGTTCCAGAAACAGGCTATCATTCATATTGAAAAAGGAGAAAACGTTTTTGTTGCCGCTCATACATCGGCAGGTAAAACGGTAGTGGCCGAATATGCAATCGCATTAGCATTTGCCAATAAAACACAAGTTATATACACATCGCCAATAAAAGCTTTATCAAATCAAAAATTTCGTGACCTACGACAGGAATTCAAAAACGTTGGCATCATTACAGGTTCGTTGTTTGGGTTTTATAAGGCTATATAATTATCATTCGAACATTTGTTTTGGGGCCACAATAAAGGTGATGTTCAACTTAATTCGGAGGCACCATGTCTTGTCATGACTACCGAAATTCTTCTTCAAATGCTTTACGCCAGTTCTGAAACGCTTAATCATTTGGAATTTGTCATCTTTGATGAATGTCATTATGTTAACGATACGAAACGTGGTCATGTTTGGGAAGAGGTTTTCATACTTTTACCGTCTACGGTTAAACTTGTTTTGCTCAGCGCCACTGTACCGAATGTTATTGAATTTTCCGATTGGCTTGGTCGTACACGACAACGACAAATCTATGTAATCAGTACAACACGCCGTCCAGTGCCGCTAAAACATTATCTCTACTTGGGCCGTGATGGTAAGACACAGAATCAACAAATTCTTATTCTTGACGGTGATGGCCCTATCAACAAAACAAATCATGAGTTAGCTACCGATTTAATGGATCAACGGAAAGCAAAATTTGGTTTCATCAAACGTACACCACAAACCGAACGTAACATATATCTGAATCTAATACGTCATCTACAAAAGAATGACAAACTACCGGTCATTTGTTTTACATTGTCGCGAAGAAAATGTGATCAAAACCTTGCAATGTTGTTAAGTATCAAAGAAGAAAATTCAACATTGACGAACAAGAGAGAATCATTCTACATCAAACGTTTCATATACAAACATTTGAAAAATTTAGACAAAACCGATTTCGAGCTTGAACAAGTAAAACGAGTTAGTACAATGTTGGTCCGTGGTTTTGGTGTCCATCATTCGGGCATTTTACCCATCCTGAAAGAATTGACTGAAATTTTATTCAGCACTGGTTTGGTGAAAGTTTTATTTGCCACTGAAACATTTGCAATGGGTGTGAATATGCCCGCAAGAACGGTGGTGTTTGATTCGTTGAACAAACATGATGGAATTTGTCGACGATTTTTACGACCAGCCGAATATATTCAGATGGCGGGTCGTGCAGGTCGACGTGGTAAAGATACAGAAGGAACGGTCATCATTGTAGCCAAATATGAGGTTCCGTCATTGGTTGAATTGAATCTTGTTATGAAAGGTTCAGCACAGCTATTGGAATCACAATTTCGTCTTACCTATCATATGATTTTGAATATGCTCAAGTAAGTGAAATGTAAGAATTTTTATTACCAAAATTATTCAAATAATTTTTCCTCAGGAGCCAAGCTTCATCCATTGAAGAATTTCTCGAACGTTCATATCGTGAACATAACAAGGTACTAGCTTCATCATCGGTTGAATCTGGTATTCAACAGCTCACCCTCAAGATGAATGAATTGGTTGAACTTTCATGTGAAAAGTGTTCTACCGATATCAATGAATGGTTTGAACATTTCAAAACGTTCAAAGAATATAAACGATCTTTGATGAACAAGATTATTCTTCGAGCTTCGGATAGGAAATTATTGAATTCAGGTCGAATTATCGTATTTGAAGATACGGATCAAATCGTACGGGCTGGCTTATTAATAAAATCACTAAAATCTGCCAATGCAATCAATGAATTGGTCATATTATTTGCTGGTGAAAAAGATGACTTGGAAGTGAAATCTATACCAGTGCAGGAAGTAATATGTTTACTTAACAAACAGGTTAAAGGAATTGATTCAGCAGAAATCAACATCGAAAATGAGAAATCAAAATCATCGTTTGGAAGAAACAAAAGAAAATTTGCAACCGAAGATGCTGGCCAAAAATTGAATGATCTGAATTTACCTGCAAATTTTCAACTACTAGTTTATGTAGCAGATAATTTTATAGGCCACGATAAACTGGGAAAATTAGATCCCGATACAATAATGTTGTTACAGGAATATGGCCGAGCTTTGAAGTCGGTGAGCAAAGGTCATTATGCTTGCATTCGATGTGAACAATTTTTGGCACATTATCACATTTATCGGGCACGTGCTGAAATGCAAGATTCTCTTGAACAATTAGATTTCAAACTATCGAATGAAAGTTTGGAACTATTACCCGAATATCGACAACGGACCGAAGTGTTGAAAGATTATCATTTTCTTGATGAACATCTTGTTTTACAGCCAAAAGGTCATATAGCTAGTTGCTTATCAGAAAGTGAATTAATTATCACTGAAGTGGTATTCGAAAATCTTCTTGGTAATCTAAGTGACGAAGCTATACCGGCGGTATTGTCTTGTTTCATTTTCGATAGTAAACGTGCCGATCAAAGTGTTGAATCAACACAACATATACAAGAGATTGAAGAATTGGATAATATAATCAAAAAAATTGTTCAAATATGCATAAAATTTGGACGGGCTGAAAATGAACGCGGTATTGAAGATAATGATACTCATTATTTAGATCAATTGAATCTGGATCCGGTACGTGCCGTTTATGAATGGGCTAAAGGACAACATTTTGCCGATATTATGAAATACACTGGTTTACAAGAAGGTATAATGGTCCGTTGTATACAGCGTGTGGATGAATTGATTAAAAATGTTCGAATCGCTTCACGTAATTTGGATCTTGTGGATTTCCAAACAAAATTGGAACGATCATCAAAATTGATTCGTCGAGATATTGTTTTCATGCCTTCATTATATACAACTCGAGATATGGTTGATGTTATTGATCATGATAATGATAATAAACAACAAAACACCTTTATTCAACAAGATGTTGTTGATGGCCAAATTGTCAACATAGAACCTAATGATTATACTGATGATGATGATGATGATGATGAAATAGATCTTGGTAATGATTTTTTCAGCTATCGATTCGATGATACCAAATTTATTGAAAATCCGGAAGCATTGAACGAGGAAAATTTTAGCGCCAATTTTCTTTGAAATTTGTTTTCTAATTCTATATTTTTTATCTAAAATTTTCTCGATGAAAAAATCTGTGATAAAATTCTAGAAAATATTAATCGATTCTTTGAAAAAAAAATTTTATTTACAATAAAAATTTGTTCATGTAATTAACTCTTCAACATTATCATTAAAAATGATTGACGACAGGTATAACCGCAATCATCAGTTGATCAGTCATCCATTAAACGATTCATGGCCATCATCATCATCATTGTGTGTGTGTGTGTTAATTGAATAGGCTATTAGTTTATTTTATATTTTAATCATTGTGGACAATCGTTTTCCAATTTCTTATTTCAATTTGGCTTTCCAATTTGAAATAATTGTTCAGTACAGATGTACCTTTATTTATGAACATTTTCACATTTGTCATGTGTTCATTACAGAGAGAGAGAGAGAGAGAGAGAGTTTTAAATTCATTCCAATCCACTTTTCCGGTATGTCATTGTCATTGTGAATTTATTATGAACATTTTTTGTTTTTTGTTTTTATTTGCCTACATTGGTATTCAGTAGAAAAACAACATTATTGTTTTGTTTTAGTTTCTAGCAGAAATTTTTTTTTTTTTTTTTTGACTAATCGTTGTAACAACAACAATGTTCAACATTGGCCAACCAATCATAAACAAAAAAAAAAAGATCAGACCTATGACGATTGTTGCCTAGAGATTTAAACGATGATAACAATCATCAATTTGAATGAGAAATATCAACTTTTTTTTACACAAACGTTAACAAAAAAAAAAAAAAAAAAAAAAAATAGTCAAACCAATCAACATCCAACATACTCATAATCATCATCATCATCAACATTATCATCGTGATTATAACAACATCTTCATGATCATTTGCCGATTATCATATTTCAGATATATTATCAACTAGAAACGCCTTGATGGTGGCAGTGGTTCTCTTATCAAACACACATACACACACACACATATATACAAAGGATCATCATTTAACCGTAGAGACCGTATATTTATCATTTTTCCAAATCAAATAGTTGGTGTATGGATGCACATATATTACTTGTTGATCCTATCCAATGAATCCAATGAATTGGTTTTAATTTTATTATATTATTTTTTTCAAATATATCATTAGATCAGCAGTGCACATCAATTTTTTTTGTTGTTGTCTGGTTACTAATCCAATTAATATTGGTTGTGGTGGGTGTGTGTATACATCATCACAACACCTATTGAAACTATTGAAATTAGCCTTTATGAAACACTGTTGTGAATTTTCACCTAGTCTCTTATATTTTCGAATACTAATATTTATCGAAAATATCATAAAAATTCAAAAGAATCAGAATGAGTTTAGCTAAACTTGTTCCAATTGTAAGTATTATAACATTAAATGTATAGAATAGATTATTATGATGTTCATTTTTTTTTTTTTTTCATTGTCGTTTAGAGTCGTTTAAAATATCTGAGTAAGTGAAAAGACACATTTGAAAGATTTTAGATTAATCAATCTGGATGATGGATATTTTTTTTATTCTTGAAAAAAATCTAGCTAAAATCCGTGAAGTGACCATCGATGATCTAACATTTCGTTTACATTATCGTTTTACATTTTCATTTCTGATCATCGGCAGTCTCTTGTTGGCTGGTGAACAATTTTTCGGCAAACCAATTCAATGTATAAATGTCAAAGATGGTACGGTTCCGGATGCCGTAATCAATTCATATTGTTGGGTAAATTTTAGCTTGAATAAAATAAATAAATATTTGAATAATAATGAAAATGATTCTTTCAGATTGAAGGGACATTTACCTTGCCAAAAGGATTGATGAAAAGTATGTGTGTTTAAATTTAACGATGCTACGGTTCCTTATGTAAATTTGTCTTGCAAACTTTTTTATCATCATCAGTTATCGGCTATGAAGTATCGGCACCGGGTGTAGAACAATATAAAGAATTTGTTGAAGAGGCTAAACATGTAAAAGATGAAGTAATTGAACATTCCTATTATCAATGGGTTGGTGTCGTTCTTTTTCTTCAAGCATTAACATTCTATGTAGCACATTTATTATGGAAATTATGGGAAAAAAGTAAGTGTGTTTTCAAAATATAACTACCATTTATTTGTCTGTTTATTTTTTCCCCGTAGACAAAATGAAAGACATAATAAATGATCTGAACAAAGCAATATTGGAAAATGAAAAGAAAACGACAGGTAAATCGAATCTGGTCACGTATCTTTATAAATCATTCGGACGTAACAGTAGTTATGCTTTCCGATATTTTCTCTGTGAAGTATGGAATCTGGTAAACGTTATAATTCAAATGGTATGTATTCAATGACCTTTTGCTATAATAAGCTATGCTAACATATAAACAATATATATAGATGTTCATCAATTGGTTTTTGGGTGGACAATTTGCCAGCTATGGTCTTGATGTTCTCATGTTTCTTGATGGTGATTATTCAGAACGAGTCGATCCTATGGCTAAAACATTTCCAAAAATGACTAAATGTACATTCAGACGATTTGGTCCATCCGGTGATATTGTCAAGTAAGAATTAATGTTTAATATATTATATATGTTAAAAATATTCTCTGCTTTCATGATTAGAACTGACCATCTTTGTATGTTACCGTTGAATATATTGAATGAAAAAATGTACGTCGTATTCTGGTTTTGGTTATATTTGGTCACCATATTCTCTTCTATATCGATCATTCGACGTTTGATTCTGATGGTATTTCCTGGTGTACGATATTTTTTACTCAGTAAATTTCAACGTCTTGCCGAACCAAAAGATTTACAGACAATACTCGATCAATCCACATATGCCGATTGGTTTGTCATTCATCTGGTAAGTTAGTCATTCATGTACAAATAAAAAAAAAATCTAATTTGAAACAAAATTCTTTAATTCAAAATGTTTTTCTTTATAGCTAAGTAAAAATCTTGATCCAATGCATTTTCGTGATGTAATGAGAGATTTGTCGAAAAAAATCAAAGATGGTGATGATTCCAACTATGAGAAACAAGTCAACGATACTAATGTTTAAATATAAATAATAGCAATCACAAAAATTTCTAATTTTGGAATCGGATAACACACATATTCCAAGACCTTAAATAATAAATTGGATAAACCTTTTTCTTCTGCTCAAATCTTTGTTTTGTAAAAAAATTTCCAATTTTCAGTTTCCTGTAGAGGAAACACGCACATTTATTTTTTTTATAGATTCAAATAAAAAAAGTTTTTGTTCTCATTTTTTTATTTTATTTTGTGCTAATCATCATTTGTCTTTATTTGATCATCATAAATTTTTTTTTACATATTTTTCTGTACAAGTGTATTTATCATATTTAGAAGAAAATTAAAAAAACGTCGAGGACGATCATATATCCATAATATTATATTGGATGATGATTATGATGACATTTTGTTCTTTGTTTTTTTTTCTTGTTGAGAATTTTTCTTTCTCTTGTCTAATCTTATCACTATTTCTATGAAAAGATCTGGATGTGATCAATGAACGTTATTATTATTATATTTATTAATATGTCTGAAATGAAGAAAATTTCCTATTGGATTTTACTTTTTTTTCTCTTCTTATTAATATAATTCGATTGATATTGAATGATATACTGATGATCATTGATTGCAATTGCAATGATTGAAATATGGTTTTTATGCGAGGACATAAAATGTACTAAAACATAAAAGAGCTTCATTGTTTACCTATCTATCTATATATTATGGATAGAATGATTTTTTTTTTGGTTCTAAAAATTTATCATCTACATCTACATTTAATGTAAGAGTTATATTGTCATCAATCTTGCAGATGTCTATAAATGAAACAAAAAATCGTAATGATGAAATAAAAAAAAAATTCCATATTATACTGAATATAATAAAAAAGGAATGCATTTGTTTTTGTTTTGATTGCGATTGCATCAAATTTGTTGCTTCATTATTGATTGGACAACGTAAACTTTTGATAATGAAGTTCATCTTGGATCAAAAGTTCCGACCAAATTGTTTACTTGAATCGATTATAATTGTTTTTTAATCGATTGATTGATTGATTGATTGTAGAACTTGACAACAAAAAAAAAAAAAGTTTTTCACATTGGAATCCTACACATAGTGTTATCTCGTTTAACGATGAAAATAACCGGAACCATTGTTAATCGAGACACCGCTGTATACTTGCAACTAATACTTGATCATAAGACTTTTCATTGATATTTACTGAAAAAAAATCCGATTGCTGTTGTTGCTGATCATAATCCAACTTGTTGCATATATTTTTAGCGGCTCAACAAATTATTTGAATGATGACCAGTGAATCGGTTATGGATGAGTTTGATAATAAAAAAAAATTGTTGACATGAGACAGTTGTTGTATCACAGAATCCCAATGTATTTCACTTTGTATTTGAAATTATTGTTATCATATATATCTCATTTATTTACTCTCATTGCAATGTAGATGTTCACTTTTTTTTATTTATATTTGTTATATTTACTTTCATATAAATCTGACGCAAAAATTTTGCTGTTTGTTTTTAATCCTAACCGTTCATATACTACGTGACATCAAAACCTCTTAGCTACAAAATATTTAACCGCGTGTTTCTTTTCTTATCAGATCATCAAGTTAGTTGTAAAAAAAGGAAAAAATCGACCGAGATGAGATTAGGTTAGGTTAGGTTGGTAAGCAATAATAAGTATGCTGTTCGATATACGTAACATTTTCAAAAGTGTCAGGTGTAACACACAAGTCATGGCTGACCCTGCGGTACCAACCCGAAGGCCGGAAGTAACACGCCGTGCATGGAAAACCACCCCCAGGCACGAAGCGTTAAAATTGACACCTTTGGCCGGATGCCAAGTTGGAGGGGCGGCGCAGCCGTCCCTACCTGCGGGTATCCAGCTGTATTAACCGTCAAGGATTGATATCTTTGGCTGGATACCAAGTAGGGGGGCGGCGCAGCCGGTTAGGTTAGGTTAGCCCTGCGGTTATCCAGCTATATTGACCGTCAAGGATAGACAGGCAAAAAAGTAACCAAATCGACCGAGAAGGGATTTGAACCCTTGACCTTTGGATTTCCTTCTAAAATACACAGATAAACAATTTTACCCTGTTTTTATCCTTTTTTAACCCTTTAATTCATGTTTTTTGATAAAGGTCATAGTTTAAAGGTAGAAGTCCAACGCGCTAATCCACTGCGCTACGCGGTCAATACATTGCAAGTACATACAGGAAATAACGCTCCTCGGTCAAAATAATGGCAATAGATACTTTTTAATCTTATTTTCAATTTGTATACCGGAATTTTATTCATTTGGTTAAATACTAAAACTGTATACATTCACAAATGTTTGTAGGTTTGTAATTCGACAAGATATAGTTGAGCCCGTCTGTATGACGACAACAAATGAAAAAAACTCAAGGCCTATTTCATAAGAGACATGCGCAAACTGGAAAACAAAACAAAACAAAAAAAAAAGAAAAAATGGACCCTTCTTTGTTCTTGAGCTAGCTTGGTAGCTAGCTGGCACACACACAGACACACTTATAACTGGCTCGATTCTAGACTATCATCATCATCAAGATGTAATCATAAATCGTCATTGTCAAAAATTGTCTTGGTAAGTCATTTTTTTTCAAAAAATACTGCTCTATCTATTATAACATAACAATACAATATATATAATAGTTTAATTTTTCCCATTTTCTTTACTATACAAATACATCAAGTAGGCATCCATCCATTCCAATAATCAACCAACATATCAGACAAAAATCGCATCTCTCTTGACTATCAAAACATCGTAATCATAAACATCATCATCACCATCCAGACAGTCAATTTGGGAACGGCCATCTCTATAGAAGAGAGAAAGAAAGCAAGCAGCTTTTTTTTTTTTTTCATACATCTATTGAAACTCGTTTATGGTGGTCGACGTTGCCAATCCGCTGCTGCTGCTGCTTCTTCTACTTTGACAATAATGATATCATCATTCCGATTGTGACTGTCCCCTTTTTTTTATTTGTTCCACTGCTTTAAGCATCAATCATCATTATCATCATTGATGGTGGTATTACCATATAGCAAAAGCAACAACTTATTCGATGACAAGATAAATTTTACCCCTGTGTCTTATTTTTTTTTTTACGTACGTGTGTGCTTGTGTAGTGTTTTAGTAGTGCTGGACTATACAAAGTGAAAAAAAAACATCCCCATTATCAATTTGATCGCCCACGCACATACATATTTTTTTTCGGATGCTGTGACTATTGAATTCGATCCCATATATTGTCGTTGCCAAAGAATTTCCTTACAATCTTGTGCCTTAATATACTCAATATATCAATATTTATACATCATTAAACCAACGATATTAGCATCACATTGGCAACCATATGATCTATTTTTCACACACACACACACACACACACACATTTATTTATATGCTGGTGAATTTGTTTATGGTCGGCTAGAATCTTATTCCACAAAAAAAGAAAAATGGTCTATGATGTGCTTGGCTCGATTCGTAGCCTAATCAAACTTGATGATTATAGCATCGATAATAATGTATTTCGTTTGCATTATAAAGCGACCGTTATTTTTTTGGTCGCTTTTTCCTTACTGGTCACATCCAATCAATATTTTGGTGACCCTATAGATTGTATACAAAGGGACGATGTACCACCTGCATTACTTGATACATATTGTTGGTTCGTTTATTTAATTATTATTTATTTTTTTTTTTGAAATCAATCAAAATTGCTAATCATTGATTCGGAATATACATATAGGATTCATTCAACGTTTACATTACCTGATGCATTGGATAAAAAAATTGGTGTCGAAGTACCACATCCTGGTATTGATAAATATACACCCGGTGAGAAACGTGTCTACCATAAATACTACCAATGGGTGTGTTTCGTCCTGTTCCTGCAAGCTGTCATGTTCTACATACCACGATATCTTTGGAAAATGTGGGAAGGACGACGATTAAAAAGTCTTGTACTTCATCTAGATTCACCCATAATGGATAAAGATGACCGAGATGAACAGGTCAATATGGTGGTCGATTATTTTCGAACCAATATCAGGTACGTTCATAATTTTGATGTTTTCTTAAAAATCATTAATTTCATTAAAATTTTTATATTTGTTTATGATAATCACCAAATTCAGATATCATAATTCGTACTTTTATTATTATGTATTTTGTGAATTTTTAAATTTTGTTAACGTCATTCTTCAAATGTATCTGATCGACGCATTCCTTGGCGGAGCTTTCTCTACCTATGGTTTTGATGTTATTCAATATACTGAAATGGATCAGGAAAATCGAGTCGATCCAATGATTGCCATATTTCCCCGTATGACTAAATGTACGTTCCATCGATATGGTTCTTCTGGTGATGTTCAACGTCATGATGCTCTTTGCATATTACCACTGAATATTGTCAATGAAAAAATTTACGTTTTCCTTTGGTTTTGGTTTGTCTTTTTGGCCATCATCACTGGAGCATTGCTTGTTTATCGTTTGTTTGTCATATTTTTGGATCCTGTTCGTAAAACTATGCTCAAATCACGAGCTCGTCTTTGTAATCCATATAATTTGAACATTGTTCTTAGTGTAACGAAGATTGGTGATTGGTTCTTACTGTAAGTTCATTGATAATCAATTTTTTTATTTTTATTTACAATTTTTTCCCATTATTGTAGTTATCTATTATGTAAAAATATGGAAGGACAAAACTTTCGTGAATTTATTGAAAGATATTCCGAAGAGATTATGAAATCAAGCAACGGAAATGATAATGAAAAAGAACCGATAATAAATAAATCTGGAAATGAAACGCCCGAAGAAAGATAAAGATCACCACCACAAAATAGCATTAGATTCAATTGGAAGAATGTTTAAAACGGAAAAAATGGGACCAAATAATCAAAATCCAGAAAACGTAACAACAACAAAAAACCAATACACATACCAATAAAAAAAAGAATTTGCAGCATGATGAGACCAAATATAATAAATTGTTTCATGTCCAAAAAAAAAACATAGCCATCAATCAATAATTATCAAATTATTGTTTGCCTTCTTATTTTTTATCAATTCTCAATACAAATATATTTTCTTTATATATTTTATATGATTATTTACAAATTTTTTTTCGTAACCAATTATTACTAAAAAAAAAAAAAAAAAAACTCAAATTTCTAACCCCTTTCGGTGATTCTTGATTCTTTTCTGATATAACAAAAAAAAATCGACCAATGAATGAGCTTCCAGTTATGAAAATTTTTTCCCGTTTCCGTTGTGATTAATTTTTTTTTTACTTTCATTCACATCAACCACCTAACAACAACCTTGCACACACAAATAATTAATTCCATTAGAAATGTTTGAATGACAATGAATTAACATTCAATCATCATTGATTTTGACCAAAAAAATTAAACCATTTGCCATGTTAAAACAACGAAAAAAACATTCATTATATTTGACGAATATTTTGCATTTTGCAATGTTTTTTTTTTTGTTTTTGATTAACATTCTCTGCCAAATAACACACAATACAATTACTTTTCAAACAAAAAATGTTTTCATTTTCATTATCATCATCACACACACACACACACACAATGAATTATGTTTGTATTTCATATCATCATCTTTTTTTTCATATATAGGAATTTATCGGCAATTTTATGAGGCCATAAAAAATCATTTAATCAATCGAATATATATCTAGCTTGTTTTTTTTTGAAATAATAAATACATTTCATTTATCATCATTTATAATATAAAACTCAAGACAATGACGATTTTGATGATGAGATCAAAGTTCAAAATTAACTCCCAAATTATCGTTTTCAATGGTTTTTTTTCCTGATTTGCGCATCCATGGTGATTGTCAGTGCACTATAGTGCTGGGGGAAAAAAAATGTTCAATTCTAAATAATTTGTCCGCCTAGTGATTTTTAATCATCAAGTGTATTATACATACACACATGTACATTAGTATAACATGACAAAAAAAAATTTGATCATCATCAAAATCGATAATTGTCATTATCATCATCATTCTACAAATCAGTAATCATCAACAACAACAACAACAACACAAAAAAGCATAGAAACAAATAGATTTAAAAACCATAAAAAAATTGATGCCAGATTTTTTTTTGTTTCAAAAAGGATCTATACACCACCAACAGCAACCGGGAGAGAGAGAGAGAAGACATAGGCCTTTCCCATCTACAATTCGACTAAAATGTATTAAAGATTACTTCAGTGAAAAGGTAGGAGGACCATTCGATTTGTGGGGAGGAGTATATTGGGTGGACCGATGATGATGATGATGATGATGATGATGTTGGTCTACAGTTGTATCTGTTTGTGTGATCATAAATTAATTTTTCGTTCATTTATTCAACAAGATCTTAGTCTATTTTTTTGTAGGCTTTAGGCATTCATTTTTCGTTCATCCCATTTACCAGAATTCATTTGAAGACTACGATCAAGAAAAGAAAAAGATTCCAAAAGGAACTACTACACAATCGTCATCAATCATCAAAGCCATTTTGTTTTAGATTTTGGTGACGGTCACCATAACCACCAATCGAAAACTCATCAAAACAAATCTTCTGTTGCTGCTTTATTATTTCAAATTATTTCAAGAATTCATCATATAATTCCAATTTGCCTGTGACCATTTCATAACAAACGTATCCTGTTAACTTCCGACGTGTGTTTTGTTTGCGTTCTGCAAAATAATCAAAATAGAACGCCACATTCATCATGGAATCATTATTTTCATCATTGAAGACTTTCTTCAATAAACCACCAACTATTATTGATAATCTTGTATTTCGATTACATTATCGTGGTACATTCATCATATTGGTGGCATGTAGTCTGATGGTAACAAGTAAACAATATTTTGGCGATCCAATCGATTGTATCTCCAAGGATGATATTCCTAGTAAATTGTTGGGTAAGTTTATAATTTGATTCATGTATATATACCTGTTTATTATGGTGGTGGTTCAAGGTTAAAATATATTCACCTTTTAAACAGTTCATTCATTGTATGAATGATGAGAAAAGAATTTCAAAAATGTAGATCTCATTATGTATATACGGCAACTAATGGTAAGGACCTTACCCTGCTGACCACCAACAGGTTGTGCTAGGTCTTGATGATGATTGTCTTTTATGTTTATGTGTCGATTCAAACGATTGATATTTTTTTCTGGATAATTTACAGATACATATTGTTGGATACATACGACGTTTAGCATTGAAAATGCATGGAAAAAAACTGTTGGACATGAAGTTCCATACCCTGGAATTGATAAAACAACCGATAAAGAAAGACGTGTCTATCATGCCTATTATCAATGGGTTTGTTTCGTTCTGTTTTTTCAGGCAGCATTTTTCTACGTTCCCCGTTACTTATGGAAAGCATATGAAGGTGGCCGCGTTGCCAAATTGACCGTAAATCTTAATACACCATTGGGTAGTGACAACAAACGTATTAAATTATTGGTCAAATATCTCAAAGTGTATGAAAATCGCCACAATCATCTATTCTATTTCTACTCCTTCATGGAAGTAATGAATCTGGTTAATGTTCTTGTTCAGATGATTATCATGAATCGATTTTTGGGTGGCGAATTCACTACCTATGGTTGGGATGTTCTTAACTTTACCGAATGGGATTGGTCAGTCCGTTATGACCCGATGGTAATTGCAAACAACAAATCAAAAATTCTCTATTCGTTGTTTATTTTTAATCTTTCATCCATTTTCAATCAATAGATAAAAGTGTTTCCACGTCTCACCAAATGTACATTTCATCGATATGGTTCATCCGGTGATGTTCAAACTCATGATGCCATGTGCATTTTACCCATTAATATTTTGAACGAAAAAATATATGTTCTTCTCTGGTTTTGGTTCTATATGGTTGCCATTATCTCAGCAGTTGCCATAATCTATCGTATGACTACATTGCTGTTTCGACCAGTACGTGTGTCTCGAACACATGCCCATTGTTCTATCGCTAATCGCTATGATCTGGATAATTTACTTGATCGTCTATCGGTTGGTGATTGGTTCCTATTGGATATGTTAGCAAGAAACATGGATGCATCCTGTTTTAATCAATTGATCACTACCTATCATAAGGAGGATGATTCTCATTCTAAAGCTTGAATTTAGTCCAGATAATTTTTTTTTTTATTTATCTATTTCTATATTCCGACCAAATGACCAAATTTTTGTTACATTATTTGAAAAGGAAAAAAAAAATTCTCCATTCTTTGCTCAAATTGTTTATATTCTGATTGGTTAATGTCTTCTTTGTTCAATATATATCATTATCTTTTTTTTTACTGCAAACGATGACAATCTGGATAATTTTTGCTGCTTATTATAATTTTTACCATTATGAAAATAGAATAGCTCATGTGTGTCTACCATCTGGTGGACACGAATTAAAATCATTGATACCGGCTTTGTCGACACACATGGTATAAATTAAATTTTTCTCTTAATCAATTTCAATAAGATTTCATCATCAGTTTTTATTATGTCATCGGCTATTTGTGCCATAAAAGGACAGCTTAATGCTAATATTCAAAAATGCTAATATTCAAAAACTAAATCTTGCTCTCACTTTAAATACTGGTCAGAATTTTCGATGGCGATTAATCGATTCGAATAAATGGCTTGGTGTGATTTCCAATCTTTATGTGGTCATTCTGGAACAATGTGACCAAACCATTGGCTACGAAGTTATCAATGTTGATCATGTTATCAGTACCTGGCCAGCAAAAGTTTCGACGAAAAAAATCCACAATTCTTTTCATAATCAACTTGAACATTACTTTCGATTAGATATAGATCTCGATCATCTTTATGATCATTGGTCTCGATGTGATCGTCATTTCCATCAAATAAGCAGCCGTCTAAAAGGCATACGTCTATTACGTCAAGATATTGTCGAGAATGTTTTCTCTTTTATTTGTTCATCGAATAACAATATTCAACGAATATCAAAGATGGTGGAAACTTTATGTCGACAATATGGTACCAAACTTTTTAGTTCCCACGATCAATCAATCATCACAGAGGATGTATATTCATTTCCGGAAATTTCTACACTTGTCGTTGGTGATCAAATCGAACGTCAACTACGTGAACTAGGATTTGGATATCGTGCTCGATTCATTTGTCAAACTGCTCAACAAATTATGAATCAAAGCAATCAGAATCCAGAAGAATGGATCAAACGGTTAACTCGATCTTCCTATGAAGATGCTCGCCAGTTGTTGATGTCATTGCCAGGCATTGGTGCCAAAGTAGCCGATTGTATCTGCTTAATGTCTCTTGGTTTCACTGACTCAGTGCCGATTGACACACATGTACTGCAATTGACATCCAAACTTTATGCAAATGAAAATTCATCATTCAAAATGACAAAATCATCATTAACTGCCAAAAAATATGCAGAAATTGGTAATGTATAAAAAATGGTTTTTATTTTTTAACCCTTTCCAAACTTTTATTCATGTAGGAGATTTTTATCGTCAAAAATTTCAATTACACCCTGGTTGGGCCCAGACTGTGCTATTCTGTTCGGATCTGAAACAAAATTCGCATCAAAAAATCAAAAAAACAAGATTATCCAGCAATGAAAAAAAATGACAATAGAAAAAGAAATTGAGCGTCAAAAAGCTTGATGAAAACTGAAAATCGAATGATTTTGTTCAAAAACGAATTGGTCGGATGGGCATTAATTTAAAATTTAGGAGCGATAATTCCCGGTGCCGGTGGTTCATCGGCATTGTTTGGCAGTTCATTTATTGGTAAATTGGTGATAATTATTGGCATGTTTAACCGTAAATCAAACGATAATGGAATTTTCAATTTAGCTGTTACTATATATTGAATCTGTATGATGGGACAGGTATTATAAACGATGGGCAGATTGATCGGTATGGTGACATTCAAATCATGGGTAAGTTCACTTTGTGGTTCTATTGTAGCTCCCATTACTGATGATAATTTTTGCATCGATTTCCTTTCCTCTTCATTTGCTTTGAATGTAATCTCTTGTCGTAGAGCACCTTTTAAAACAATCGTTTTCAATGATTGATTATTAATTGTACATTTGATTGGCACTTTTGTTCCTATGATGGATTGAATTACGAATAAATAATAAATAAATCAAATCAAATTAATTTAATCACACTCACCCAATGTAAAACCTGATCTTGATATTTCACAATGCATCAATACTGTCTTTCCATTCAATAAGCCAACATTTTTGCTTTTGTTTTCCATTATTGGAATCTATAAAAAAAATGAGATTGTGTAATTTTATAAATTTTTTTTTACAAAACTTACAAGCAATTCATTTGGTTGAATACTTGGAGGCGAAATGATATTAAGTACAAATTCATTCTTTTCCGATCCAGCTTTAGCTTTAATCTTGTAACGAATGATACCAAAATGTACATCTAATGAACTTGGTACATTTGATGGTACGATAAATGAATAGCCAATATCATGTTTGCCTGTTGATAATTTTGTATGATAAACTAATTTTGTTGTTGAAGAAAAAATTGAATAAAATTTTAATAATTGATGACTAATCTAATAAAAAAAACGAAAACATACCTGTACTTGGTTTATATACCAATTCTAATAGGCTTATTTCTTTAATATATTTATCGAAACCATTATTTTTATCATTATTGTTACGGGAATTATCATTGGTTGGTATTTCTACACGTGCTTTACCAACTAATTTTATTTCAATACAATCAAAATCTACTTCACCAGTAACGGTAACAATACAATGACCAGTGACCACTTCACCACTTGTATATGTTGCACTAGGTCGATCCGGTATCAATGTGACTGCGGTCACCTGATTCATTATTGATCACGATATTTTATGGATTATTTCAATTCAAAACAAAAACAAAATAATTCATTGATTGATTAAATTAAAAGCTGTAGAATTGGCGTGTTTTTGTGTTAAAACATAAAAAAAGTCACATTTCAACCTTTTAATGAATGTGTGTTTTATTATTGTTTTATTTTGTCTTTGTGTGTTATATGTGGTGTGATGACTGGCATTCGGACAAACATAAACTTGATAGCACACTTTTATGTCCATGGTAACATTTGTTTATACACATCTTCGTGCTCCATCCGTATGCGTTGTACTTTCGTATATGTATAAGATGACGGTTATCTCACCCCTACCCCCCACCACCACCATGAAGACTTCGAATGAATATCGAATGTAAACGTAGTGGCAAACATGTTTATGACAAAAATCCTTCTGAATGAATTACCATCTAAAATATAATAAGTTATTAGAATTTTAAATTGAAACAAATAAATGGCGGCAATAAAAAACAACAACAGAATTACGTTAATTGACGTTAGTTTTTTTACATTTCCAACGTTATTCGTTCGATATATTGAGATATTGAGATGAAAACGTTTGTTTTTACGATTCTGGATTTGAATATTCAAACAATCAAAAAAAAAAAAAAAAATTTTGACTTTTAAATTAGGCTAAAAATAAAACCAAATCGATGATATTGAATTGAATGGTTATATTGATTGGATCACTATGTTTGATGATTGTTTTCAAGGTAATGAATGGGCAATTTTTTTTTTAAATGATAGGCTATCATCACACATGGTTAATCAATCATGTCAACATCATTGTCATTGTGGTTGATTTTTTTTCTGTCTATTCATCATCATCATCATCATCAAATGTTTTTTGTTTGTATTGATTATTAATTTAGGTTAATGTCTTTATTGGTATTCGCAAAATTGAATTGTTCATTAATTTATTCAAACAATTTAGGCAATAATTTCATTGCATATAATGTGTGTGTGTGTGTGTGTGTAAGTAATATATTATATACAGCAAAAAAAAAATTGTTGAAAAGTTGATTTTGAACACAAATTCAAAAGTTTGAATTAATCATTTGATAATTCACATACACACGATGATGGCAGCCGATACATTCGCATTTTTGGACAATTCATTCCTTTGTTTAATGATGATGATGATGATGATATAATTGTATCGATTTGATGATTTCCTACTTCTTTATGTTCAATACTGATCAACATATGTGTACGATATTTTTGTCGACATTTTACACGAACAAATTTTTGATTATTATTGCATACATCGCCGATATAATTACAGCCATGATTAGGATTGGTACAAATTTCTACCGGTATTTGTTGAAAATAAAATGAACTTTGTAAAATTAAATGATAAACATTGTGAATATCTTTGATGACAGATGGCCGTATGTATTTACGATCAGCATCGCATAATGTTCTATTGGCTATTGTTTCGCTTTCCATTGATGGATTCACATTATTGTTATCGAAATTATTCGTTTGAACCGAATGGACATGAAACAATGATTTATAGCCATAAAAATCATCCATATTTTCCGGCATTTCAATGTACATATCATCAATGATCGATGTACAATTTGTTATTATTGAATTTACATAATCGCTAATTATGAAAAAGATAGAAAAATATTTTGGTTATTTTTTTACCTCGTATAACTTGTATTTTAAAACGTGAATACATTTATACTTACATTGGATAACTTGAATCATATTCACAATAACCAGCTTGACGTGCACATTCAATGCCTTGTTTTGGAAAATTTTTTATATTTGGATAATTGGAAATTGTATCGAATAATTGTAATCCATAACCGTTGGAAAGAAAATTTTCCGCATGAATATAGCCATGATCGGGTCTAAATGATTCGACACCAGTGAATGCTAATTTATGAATATTATCACTGCTTTCGGTTTCCATTGGATATGAGATATATTTTTTATAATCATGTGAAAATGGTTCTTCCAAACGATTCGTACCAGTCGTTTCCAATGATTTCATTGTCCGATTATTTTGGCTAAATAAACCATGATGAAAAAGACCATCATTATCATATTGTTGATCCTCTTCCTTAGGTGGTTCATCTATTTCCATCGGATCGTTTATCTGAATCGAATTAGTCGATAGAAAATCATTCTTTCCGCCTGTCGATGGCAATGGTTTAAATCCATACTCCAATTTTAGATTCAAGGCTTTTTCCTGATTATAATCGCTAGTTTTTCCGTTTGTTATTTTTTTAAACTGTTTATTATAATAATTGCGGTTATTATATTTATTGTTTGCTTTACGTTGACGATTATTGATGGAAGTTGTAGCAGAATTTTGATAATTTATTTTTTTGATCGATTCAGCCATATCTTCATTAACATATTTATTAGAAAACTGTTGTTGTTGTTGTTGTTGTGGTATTTTTTTGAACGAACTATAAGCATTGTTGCTGTTGGTGGTTGTCAACGATTTTGTTGCATGAATACGATTGAATTTATTCTCACCATCTAGACCATCATTATTCAATGATTTTTCACTGGGAAATCGAACATTATTTTTCGTTTGTTCCAACATTACTGATGATGATGATGATGATGGAAGAAAATCGTTCACACCAGTTGGTAGATCAAAATTCGAAAATGTTTTACCATCAAATGTTTCCATTGCCAAATGATGATGATCGTTGGCTGAAAATTGTCCATTTGATTTTATAAAATCATTCATTTGTGGAACAATCAATGAACCACCATCACCATGTTCATCAAATTCATTTTGCCATAATGAATTTCTAACGAATGATCTTGTGAACAATGGATTCTTGAGATAACGATTCAAATTATTACGAATCAATGAGGAGAATATATTGGATGCTGTCAATGTTGAATCAATTATCGTTGAAATGATAATGATGACGAGAATCAATGTATTTTTTGACATGATCGGTAACATTGTCTTTCGAATGTTTCGAATACAACTGAACTGGCGGAAAAATTTTTTTGAATTTTGATTTCAGATCACCCGTTTTATTGTCATAGGTGAAAATCGATTAAAAATCAATTGAAAATTGACATATGGACATTGTAGCAACAAAATGATCGATTAAAATCAGATCGAATATGGGAGAGATCAAGGTTTTGATACACAATTATGCACACTCACACACACACACACGCTTGTACAATAGAATTGATGATCCAAATTACAGGTTACATTTAATGGTTTAGTGTGGATCTGCCGCTATGAAGTTCTCGATCAAAACTGAATAGGACAGTGAAAAAAATCGACCCTTTTCCATTTGGGATTTTTTTCTTTCTTTATTTGAATGAATATAAATGATAAAATGATCATCTAGATTGTATTACTAAGAAAGAGATTTTCAGAAAGAGAGAAAGAGAGGGAATGAATTTATGCACCCAAATGGTTAACCAATTTTATTCATTTCATTCAATTCAAAACAAATGATGATCATATGTCATCATAACGACCAACCAACGCAACCAATCATTCGCAAATAGGTAATCATCAACGAATCTACCAGCCATGACGATAAATAACCATCCAACCATATTTTATAAATATCTCTCTCTCTCTCTCTCAACGATCATTATGGATGGATGAATGACAAAAATATTTTAATTAGAATGACCGAACCACCATCGAACACCACTACGTCATCATTATTGTTGCTGTTTCAGAATTTTTTTTTCTTTTTAACCGATTTATAATAATAATAATAAGAAAAAATGGACAAAAATAGTTGTCCACACATGAATGACATAAAAATGAATGAGAGAAAATGATGAAAAACATTTATATTTTCATAATCAAGGTGATAATCAGAAAGGAGACAGAAAATGAATAAGAAAAAAAAATCTTTGCAGTATTCAGTTGGGTTGAATTGTGTTCAATGATTTGATTCAACTCGAATTGTTCCAAATTGACACACACCAACAACAACAACAACAACACTGGACAATGATTCCAAAGAAATGAAAAAAAAATCATAAACATAAATAAAAGGTGCAAAGGATGATTAAATTAATTCGGTCGACAGATTTTCATCATCATGGTCGACTATTTTTTTTTTTGTTCTTTTATTTGCTCGAATGCTCATAATTGCATCGCTTTAGGGAGCCATTTTTTTTATCTATATTTGTGACTACTATTATGACCTCCCCACCGATCATACCTGAGTTCAATGATTAATAATCATTGTTCTGAATATTAATTATCAATTAAATAGTAATACACCTTGTAATTTTATCTACAAGTTCTTTTTTTGGGTGAATTATTATGGACTTTATGGATTTTAACTTGTTTTTTTTTCGTTTATGACAACAGGTTAACTATTTTTTTTGTTCGCATATCATTGTCGACTTGGATAAAGTACCTACGGGCAACAAACAAACAAACAAACAAAAAATGTCAACCACCGAATAAATAAAAGAAGCCTTCAACCATGCAATTGACCAATTATAATTAGAACATATCTTGATTGTGTTCAATTTTTTTCCTTGATTAAAATATAATTTTTGGGATTTTTTTTTTGTCAATTGTCTATATTTATCCTATTTAGGTATAGGAACAAAATATATTTTTTTTACTGGTGATTAAATTACTTTTATTTTCATTCGAATGTTTTTTTTTTTTTTTTTGACTCAACCAGGATCTATATTTTTATTCGGTGCAATGATCATGATGTATCATTGATAATCATCAAATCATTCAACCAGCCATAAAAAAAATGATGTGTATATTTTCCCTTTTTAGACATTTTTTGATTGTTTGCTTTATTGAAATTTGATTTATTTACTCGAATCGAACCGAAAATTATCAATTTCTGATGATAATATATGATGATATATTATGACACATTATCATTGGCCATTCATTCATTCATTCATTTCATAATTTTTTTTTAAATGAAAATTACCATTTTCATATGTTTCATATATATAGGTATTGATAATCGTAATTTTGGCTACCACCACCGTCAACAAGATCGACAAGGTTATCTTTGTCATACATTTTGGCATATATACTATGTAAATGACACGTGAGTGTTTCAAATCTTGTTTTGTCTTGTCATTTTTTTTTCAAGTTGTTTTCCTGACATTGCACACATATATAATACATACATACATTGAATTGAATTGAAGTGTCTTATGATACGTTGTTGTTTTTACCATCATCATCATATAATACTCAACTCTTGTTATTATCGATCAAAAACAAGGAAAATCAACATTGAAATAAATCGACAAATGGAATGTATAAAATTTTAATCGAAAACTGTCATTTATGAATGACGCTTACAACGCTATTTGTAAACACACACATTTGATCGGCAGAAAGCTATGTCGTGTCTTTGAGAAAATATTGTTTTTATTACAATTAATCCGTTATCTTCATAAAAATCAGCTCAAATTGATCATGGGTCGATTATAATTTTTTTTGAATCGCTAACGCTGTAAACAAAAAAACAACTACAACAACCAAACATTTATGACTTGGCCTCTCCTTTCGTTTATGTATACGTACAACCACCCCTCTCTTTCGACAATTTTTCCTGGTTGCACATCGATCGATCGATCTATCACTAAACCGACAGATATCCATCAAGCAATAAATCGAGAAATGATACTGTAGTAACCCAATCAAAAACGGCAAAAAAAATGTTTACAAAAAATATTGAAAAAATCTTTCTATTCCTTCTGTTAATGCTATGTGCAAGTATTCTTTGTCCAACGAATGAATCAAATAGATCGATAGAATCGCTAAGGCTATCATCATCATTGAAACAAAGTGATCATTCTACTATCATAACATCATCACAATTATTTAATAATCCAATTACAGATCAATCATCAACAATTATTCATGATGGCGGTAAAATTTCACAATTGAAATTACCGAATACAACTACGCAACTAAAACGACAAACCAACACAAATAATGTTGAGAAATCTTCATCACGAAAATGTGTGAATACGATTGCAACGAGATGGTTTCTATTTTCATCATCGCTGCCCGTTTGTCTCAAAGTATCACATTGTACTAAAGAAAGTGAATCAACCAGCAAGGAAGCAAATGAAAATTTTCAGGGTATTTTTCTAAATAAAATCAAAGGTAAATCACATCAATGTTTTTCGTTCGATATTTTAATTAACACTTTTTTCACATTCATAGACGAGAAGCTTAACATTTCTAGTCAAACAATGATCGTAAACGATGCTACCGATAATGAATCGATTGTTACGAATCAAAGCCTCGATCAGCAACAATCGAGTATAAGTGGTGATAATTTTGTAGGACCACTTATTCAAATGAAACCATCAGTGGTTTCCTCACAGGATATGCTTTCATTCGAAGAATGGCGTTCGAAAATATCCGAACAAATGGAACAGGAAAATAAAATGGAAATTGAATCTAAATTCGCTCATGAAATTGGAAGCAAACCTGATCCAGTAATTGATCAGCTTGGCAGTCAAAAATCAGTGAAAATAACGACGAATCGTGCCAGAAATTTCGCATCACATGAATGTGGAGCAAAAGTTGTTGATTCAAATTCTGAGGCCAATTTTGTCAATCGTGTTCTGAACGAACAGATGGATGAATATATGTTGAATCCGTGTAAGATCAAAAATTGGTTCGTCATTGAACTTTGCGAAACCATACAACCACAATATTTGGAGATGGCCAATTTTGAACTCTATTCATCGATACCAAAAGATTTCAATCTTTATGCTAGTGAACACTATCCGAATCGTAATGGCTGGAGTCCATTGGGCAATTTCACTGCCAACGACATTCGATCGCTACAAGGTTTTAAATTGCAAAATAATGGTTTTGTTAAATATCTTAAAATTGAGCTCAATTCGTTTTATGGCTCGGAACATTATTGTCCCATTAGTTTGATTCGTATATTTGGTACAAGTCTATTTGACGAAGTCGAACGTATCGATAATCCTGAAAAATCATCCATCGATTTTCTCGATGATGATCATAATTCGGTGCATGAAGAAGGTACACCAATTTCACTATCATCTGATTTAGAATCAAAAAACTTTACCGATTTAGATTTGTTTGGCAGCGCAAAAAATGCCGTTGTTAATGTCGTGATGAAAGCGTTCAATTGTAAGTTAATATAAGAATAAGAATGGAATTTAAAATTTTAGTAATTTTATTTCATTTTTTTGATAGTTACATTGTTTAATGAGATATTATTCAAAGAAAAAATGGCAAAAATGAATGATACGGATCAAAATTTTTATATATACAATCAAACAGAAATTGTTCGTCTTTATCCGCATTTCGAGCGAATGATGATTGAATGTGAAGCATATTTCTTTCCAGCAGGAGATGGTTTAAATCAAACATCGTTACACATTCCAAATAAATGCCTTTTCTATCAGCTTTTATTTCGTGATCAACAATTATTTAAATTAATGTCCACCCAATATCTTATACGGAAATATTTTAATAATCAGCTATTCTTTCAATGTGGTAACGCGAATGAAACACAGACAATCAATACGACCACATCGGCAGTGGCCGTTGAACAGCTAGTCCAATTGACGAATGGAAATAATCATTCCATTAGCCATATACAAAATGTCAACGATAAAGATGATCCACAATCGATGGTCGTTCAATTATCAGGAAAAAATCTTCCTACTAAATCATCATTTATATCCTCTACGACGATGTTTGCAGCTAGTAGTACGAGTAGTATTCCAGACGTTTCCACTATCAATGTTACTACATTGGAACCATCGTTGACCGAGCCTACCTTATTGCAGCCAATTGTAACGATGAATACACTTTTACCCACGAATACTTATCAATCGGTAATTATTTCCACCTCAACTTCTGCTATTGAACCAACAAGGCATGGTTCGAGTTCATCTTTATCATCTCAATCATCAAATGAAACCATTAGTCAATCTCAACCTGTTGATTCATTTGTGCCCAATCAACCAATTGCGAATCTTCTTGTGGAACCAGAGAGCGATGTTCAATCATTCAGTTCGATGAGTGGCCAATCAAAAGAGGCAGTTATCGTTCGATTAACAAATCGAATAAAAAATCTTGAGAAGAACATCTCACTTATGTCAACCTATTTGGAAAATCTAAGTGTTCGCTATCGAAAACAAATGGAAGAAATGCAAGCAATATTCAATCAAACATTTGATCATTTCAACACATCAGCAAGGGTGGCCGCCGAAAAAGATGCTAAACAACAGGAACAGATAATGAAATTGCAGAACGAAATCATGGGGCTGAATCAGCGATTTACTAGCCTTTTCAAAGATATTGAACAAAGTAATTGGCTTTTTCTTCGCATTCATCTTGGGCTGATGATCATTGAATTAACTATAGTTGGAATCTGTTGCCTTATATTTTATTTGAGTTCCAAGCATAATCTCAATCAAATAATGAAGACCCATCTCCATCATGGTGATCGACAGTCAACATCTTTATTATCAACTACAAATCATCAAACGAATACTCAACCTCTGCGATTTTCACCAGATGATAAAGTTTTTTCTAATACTATCAAACTCTTCAAGGTAACCCTGTTTAAAGTGATTGATTTAAACTCAACAATTGAATTTGTTTATTTTTCACATAGAATAATCAATATCGTCGAACTAAGTCATTTTCCAATCTGGAATCGGTGATAAAAAATGATCAATATATCGATTCATTATTCACAAAAAGACGTGATAAGTCTGTCGGACAGAAAGGAGGACCTATAACAAATTTAGAATGTAACAAAGAAAATATTCATCGTGATATTCATGATCCTCTATTGAATGGTGAACCAATGACTGATGTGGTACCAAAAATTTTAAAAGTTGTCAATCAAAATGTTCATTGAATGAATTTCACCTTTTATTTATATACGTGATATCAAAGTATTTTACCCCCCTTTCTTTATTTGGGTACAATTTTTTCCTTTTGATTTATTTATTCAATGTTTTTAAAAAAATTAACATTATTAATTTATGAATTTGGATTGAAAAATTAAAATCAAAATATCATTTCAAACCTCGATGGCCAAAATTGCAATGAAAACGGTCAACACGATTAGACTGGTCTTTACATAGATTGTACTGAAACCATTGCTGCATTGTTCAGGACGGATACATTGGTTATTCTTTGTGTTTCGAACCAATTGTTCTTTGCAGAAACATCCCTGTCGGCAATCCATCGTACATATTCGTGGTCGATCTGGATTGAAAATATCCTCACATGTTCGTGGGCAACTTGGACCACATGATAAATATATTTCATTTGCCTTACAAATGTCATGACCATTGATATATTGTCCATTGATTACATCATTGCCGATCATAATGATCATCATCATCATGATTATGATCGAAATTTTTCCCATTCGTATAATCATCATCATCTTTATTTATGTTGAGAATGATTACATATACGTAGTTCTTGTGTATGATTATAGATGAATGGGAAAGAAAACAATTTTAGTATTTCAAAAATAAAATCTTAACAAATCTTTGAGTCATTTCTGTAACTATAGCATCCACATATAATAATTGAGATCAGATCAAATAATAATAATAATAAATTTCATTATCTACATTGTAAACATCCGTATTTTTTATTTTTATTATTAATAATAATAATCGGTTGTAAATCACAAAAACAGCCATTCTATCCTAATCGCGATAACCGAATATATGTAATCAAGAAAAAAAACCTGTTGCATGCTAATTTTTGATTATTCATTTTTTTAAAGGCAATCAAAATCCGAATTTTGGATGGCTAATCGAAAATAATGATTTTTGGCTTTGTTTGCAGAAAAGGCAAAAAAATTTTAATTTTATTATTTGGACATATTTCAAGGCTAATCATTCAGGCAAAAATATATTGCAATATTGGTCATGGTATGATGATTGTTAATAACAGAAGCCAAAAGAATCATTACATTTTTTAAATTTTATAAACCAATGAATATATGTAAATCTAATCACCACCCACGAAACTATAGTATGTTGTTGTGTGTGTGTGTGTGTGTGTGTGCTGTCATTATGATTCAAAACATGATTTCAATAAATCAGCCACTGATGTGATGATAATGATGATTCGTTTCCGTAGAAACGACCATTTCCTTTTTTTTGAATATTAGAGTATCAACAATAAATCGATTATTCAATTTGTTCATATATTTAAAATTTTGGTGGCCATTTTGATAAAGATATCTGGAACGGATTTGGTTTTGATGGCCATTATTTTATTGAAAATAAATACGTGCAATTGTTTATAATAAACAACATTCAAACCACTTATTCGAATTTCTAATTTTTGACTCAGTGGCCTAATGTATGAAAGAGTTCAAAGTTCATCTTCACCTTGTTATAACTATATATAATTATCATAACAAACCTAAAAAAAACCTTTGAACACTTTCTTCCTCAAAAAAAGGTAAATGGCCGTGAAACTTGTTTTTTACTATTATTATTTTTCGAATCTCACGCGCATTATCGAATCATATTGCTTCTGGTTCATATTGTTTATTTCCATTTGATTATGTTCGCGCACTTATTATTCACCAGAACCTTATCATCATGACCATTATAAGCATTTTTTTTTAGTAAGTCAGCGACCAAGGCAACAGATTACAATCGACCCAACTTGCTTGCTATATGCACATTTAATAGATTTCTTTCTAAAAAAAATTTTTTCCTGTTGATACATTCATTATTATAAAATTGTCCATAATTTTTAACACAAAAGCTTGCCATCATCATCAAAAAAAAACGACCAACCCGAAATCGTTTTTGCCTGTTCAAATAGATTTCGATTCGTTTCGAACAAACATCATTAACATCATTTTCATTACAAGTGTTGGCATTCATAATAATCTCATTCATATTCGCTTGGTTAAATGGTTACCATTGTCTTCATTGACTAGTCATCATCATTTTGTTAGGTTCGTTTTTTTCAATTTTCAATTTTTTTTGTTGCCTTCTGGTCCATAAACAAACAAAATCTGTTTGATTCGACAGATAAATTTTATTCAGAATGTTCACTATTCGTTGCCTAGTCCAACTGATTTGTCTTTTTGCTTTATCAATAAATGGCTACATAACCTCTGATAATGATAATGGTAAGTTGAACCGATCGTTCAATGTGCAAAGTTTATTTGTGGATATATATTTTTATTATATGAAGCAAGATCATTTACTACAATGAATCAACGACCTTTATACAACATTGGTCACATGTGTAATTCAATCAAAAAGACAATGGATCATATCGGACGTGGTGCAAATGCTGTCGAAGTGGATGTTACTTTCAAACCGGATGATATATATCTATTTCATGGTTATCCATGTGATTGTTTTCGTTATTGTTGGGATCGTGAATTGCTTTCTAATTATCTTAGATTCGTGCGACAGGCAACAACACCCGGTCATCCTAGATATCATCCACAATGGGCTATACTGTATTTTGATATTAAATTGAAATCATTTTCGAATGAAGAAAAACGTGAACACGGTGTACGATTTGCCAATCATATGGCATCGTTTTTCTTCAATGAAATTCCCGTCAAATCTACCATACGATTTATTATTGCCATATCATACGCTGATGATGATGACTTTATCTATGGTTTTATCAATCAGCTCAAAGAATTGGGACTTTATGATTCCTATAGAAAGTAATTGTTTTAAAAAATTCCTGTTGGTTTTATTCAATCCAAATTCTTTTTTAGCTTTTTAGGATTCGACATAGGTATAGAAAAAGATGTCGACCGTGCACGGGCCATTTGGAATCAATTAAATATTACAAATGTATGGCAAGGAGAAGGCATTACCAATTGTATTAATCCAATTGCTGGCCATCAATTAGAAAAATTGGTTCATATTCGTGATAGCCCAATGACTTATTTTTCTAAAGTTTATCGATGGACAATAGATCTTACTGATTCACTTCGATCTGTTCTACAACATCAGATCGATGGCGTTATGACTAATCATCCGGAACGTGTTCTTCGTATTATCACAAGAGATCCAGAATTATCTCGAATATATCGATTGGCAACGATCAAAGATGATCCATTTAAACGAATACGTGCCAATAGTAGACCAGATGGACGAAATTGGATTCCCAATTATACTAGCCACGGAAAAGTAACACGAGCCATTGCCGATTTCACCGATTCATTTCGTTATTACATTCGTGATATCATGAAATCAATTTTTTAGGCATATAATCAGAAAATGTGTATATTATTATTTTTGCCAATATGTTTCAGTAATTTTTTTTTTTGGTTCGAAAATCGTTTTATTAAATTATATCAATGAAAAATAAATGAAAAAAAATTCTAAGCTTTACCATTTCGAATGAGAATGAAAATTCCCACCAAAAAGCTTAACATTGACAAACTAAAGGAAATTTTTGTCATAAAATTATGAGACATTTGTGCCATCAGAAATGATAAGACTACCACTAATGAATCAGTGACGACAAATATATGCAAAAGTAAATCAGCTATCTGCAATCCAAATTGACCGGTTATTGCGGCAAATTGTCCAACCATGCCTACGATAATTGTAGCAGCTCCAAACATTAAATCATTACGATCCAACGACATCATCACATAGGCATTGAGAAATATATCGAATGTAAGTAGAAATAAAAGTAGAGCACGGGCCAGAATAATTGTATATGAATCGTTGATATTTCGAACATGATACGATTGTTGTTGGTTGAATTGAATATTCGAATCTTCAATATTCTGCTGTTGTTTGGGATCCATAACGATTTTTATGGCCATAATGTCGATGACAGAGTCACTTTATCAATCGAATCAACAATGACAATGATGATGAGTATTAAAAGAATGAACGGTAATTGAATTAACAAATTCAAAATTAAAGACGCAGTTTTCAATGATTGCGGATTTGTTTACAAATCAACGATGACAACGCCACCGCTTGGATTTTTTTTTATATCCATGACCAAGTTAATTTATTATAATATGTATCAGATTTATTTTGATCAAGGATATTGATATCAGATATGAATAGTTGTAATTTTAGATTTAAAAATTGTTTTTGATAATAAATAAATAAATGGCTGCGACAAAGATGTTGTCAGCAAAAGTTTTGTATTCTATTAAATATTGTTCGGATTAATTATAATTTAATTGAAGCAATTACCCACCGTTTATTAAATAAAATGATTTTATTTATCCATTTAATATCCTTCGTTTGACCAAGTCACCTTATAATCTAAATATTTTTTAGCCACTAAATCGCAGCTAATTTTATGATCTGCTTGTCCGAATCCTTGTGAATAACCATAAATGTGAATTATTTTCTTTTCAGGTGAATGTTCAATTCGACCACCTCCGACACAATCATATTTAAGTTTTCCATCTTGAGGTGCTACAACATCGAATATGTCAGCTGTATGAATAAGAGAATAATAATTGAAAATAAAACTAGAACAGCAAAAAAAAAATAAAGAATCGATTACCATGATAAGCAGCCCATTTATAGCCTCGAACCAAAAATTTAGATTTATCGCCATCAATCACCTTGATGAGGATATATTTAAAACGACCATTGGAATCGATGTCAACATCGGGTAAATCATCAATGTTCAGAATTCGTGACATTTTTCCAACGAATATAATTTCTCGCTAATTTGAAAGAAATATGAAAAAACCTATTTGCCAACAAGAAACGAGCCTATCGATTGTATCGCGATACGGCATGTGTCTGTTCGATCGACTCGTCGTGTGTGTACGTCTGAATTTCTTGCTGTTCCATGATTAAAAATTCGTTCTCATTCTTTTGACCGAATCTATTATTAATAAAATTAAATAAAAAAATTCGCTTGATAATTAATTAAATTAACGAATTTTCTACGCTATCATTGTTATCGATTTGGATGTCGATGTTTTCATCATGTCCAATGGTCTACTTGGAAATAGATCATTTTCAATGATCAACAATGGTAATACCCTTATTTAAAATGTATTATATTAAAATTCTTATTATATCAAATTCTTTTTTTTAGAAATAGACGATTCTTCATTGAGAAAGATGACAATATTTGAATTAAAATTGAGAACAAATCGTATTTATATTGGCGAAACAAATAATGAAATTTCAGATGTCCAAATTCTTCCAGATCGTATCGTATTGAACCGCATACGTCTTAAAACTGGCCCTGGAGAATACAATATTACCTTACCGTATGTGGAAATGAAAGCCATACGTTATTGTTTTTGTTCGGATGTTTCAGCCATCTTTATTCAACCAATTTTTGAATCCTTTTTAAAATTATCAGAATGGACTCGAAAAGCTGGAGCAAACAATGCACCAATTCAATCTTTGAAAAGGTCTGTACCGGAAAATTTTGTCATGATCAACCTTCAAGCTGATATTGATCCTATACATCTGAGTGAATTCCGTACAGCTGCAAAGGAATGCCATCGGGACTTGCAGGTGTTTGAAATTAATATTACACACGCTACTAAATATCTTAATCAACCAAATAAATTATTTCAATCGAATCAAATCAGAACATCATCATCTAGCTATAATCATTTCAAACGAAAAAAAGATGATAAACTTGAAGAAGTTATCGATATCGATGATGAAGATGAAGAGAAACATGGCGATATCCAAACACAGGACAAATCTAAATACAAGAATAACATATTGGATCAAGCCATTCTGAAATATCCGAACGATGAGGACTTTAAACCAATCATACTATATGGCAATGATTTAAAATGTTTACGGGATGGACAATATCTAAACGATAACATAATGAACTTTTATCTAAAGTATTATCAAATCAATGGGCAGATTCCACAGGAAATAGTTGATAAGATTCACATATTTGATGCTCTATTTGCTACACATTTATTGACTGTCAACAATAAACGTCAATACAAATACATGGAAAATTCAAAAACTTTTGTAAATAATACCAACGATATTCTAGAAAATTCTTACCATAAAAAGTTGAAAAAATGGACCAAAGACATTGATATATTTTCGAAAGATTTTCTTCTTATTCCATTAGTCATCAAGGGTCATTGGTTTTTGATCATTTTATGCTACATTGGTAATGTGATTGGTAACGCAAATAATTCAGCCAATACAGCTTCGTCTGTGATGAGAATAACACGACAACAAAATGATGTGGCAACAAAACGGCCAACATTTATTGTGATGGATTCTATTGACTGTAAAATTAAACGTAATGAAATATTTTCCTATTTATTGGGATTTTTACGACTTGAACTCAAAGAGAAACGTTCACTCGAATTTTCATCAATTGAATGGTCTAATTTCCGAAGCATCTCTGCCAATGTACCACAACAACAAAATACATATGATTGTGGCCTCTTTGTATTGGAATATATTGAACGATTTTTAAAAGCTCCCGAAGATATCTATAATAAACTACTACAGGATAAATCATCTCTTCATGATTGGTTCGAATCAGAAACATTACATCATAAACGGGCAAAAATTCAGCAAATCATATTGAATATGTTACCTCCTGATGATGCTAAAAATCTTGAAGATCAACTAACACGAATTCAACTTCGTTGTATGCGAAATGGAGTAATATAATAATTGAACATTTTTATCAAAATTGTTGAAATCATTTATTAGGAGGTGTTGTAATTTTTCTTTGTCAACTTTTTCAAAACGAAAATCTTATTTTTTATTCTTTATACATACAATGAATTCCTATAAACATTTGAACTTTCATTATCAATTTAAATGATACAAAACAAACTGGTATCACATTACCAATGTTTAAATTCTCGACAAATTAAAAAAAAGAGTAAAATTTTTACATTTTATAAAAAAATATTAGTTTTGTTTTCTCATCGATTTATTGATGATATAAAATTCAAACGTACATTGCTCCAAACATTTAAAAACTTTGTTCGTTGTATGCTTGTACATTGAATGATTGCATTCGATGATTATAATTGAAATGATGATTGTCGATGATGATGATAATTTATAATGTCAATATAGTCAAATATAAATCGAATGTTTGATGACAGGAACATATTGTGAAATATAATATCATCACTGACAAACAAAAAAAAAAATCAGATGCTTTTTATGCATGTTTGTGCATACTATCAATTGAGGATCATTATTTCATTTTTTTTTTTTTTTTTTTGATACTCATTCTATTGCTATATCATCATATCAATTTATAGATTTATTAATTCAATTAAAAAATAGCCATGATCAATAAATGGTTGATTGCATTTGCTTGTGGTTGGATCAATCTGTTTATATTTTCCGTATTTCGTTCATCTGGCTTGGTTTATGTTAAAGTTTTGGAATTGTTCGATTGTACATATCAACAGGCTGCTTATTCCGTTTCATTGGTCGGTAGTGTTGCATCTACTACCGGGATTGCTTCTGGTTTTCTCACTCATTACTTTACACCACGATCATTAATTGTGATTGGCATATTAATATGTTCGTCATCGGTCAGCATAACGTATTTGGCCAGTTCGATTCATTTCGTCATCATTTCCGTTGGAATATTGCAAGGAATAGGAATTGGATTTGTCACTTGCTTATTGCCTGCCGTTCTAAATTCACATTTTGATCAGCAAAAATCAATCGCATTGGGCATTTCATATGCGGGCGCAACTTTAGGTGCATTCATTTTTCCATTGATCATACAATGGATGTTTTCAACTTATGGTTTCCATGTTACTATGCTTATCTTGGGTGGTGAGTTTGATGATTTGAATGTCTTAGCTTTACAATATTATCTATTGTTCTCCATATAGGTGTCATTCTGAATGCCATCTTAGGTGCCATATGGCTAAAGATTCGTAGTAATGACGAACATGACGATGAAGAGGAACATCAACATTCAATACGGGAAATCCAACTAGAAACTACTAGAATCCGCACAGAAGATTGTAGCAATAGCAACAATGAAGAGCAAGTTGCTAACTTTTGGCAACGATTCAAACAGAATCTCATGAATGACTACCGACTATTATCAAATTTTCATTTTTTTCTTTGTTCATTCACCTACATTAATTTTATCATCGATTTCATTTCCTTCATCATTATTTTACCAGATGTGGCCAAAGATCGTAATATAGCACCGGAAGATGCCAAATGGTTGCTCTCCATATTTGCTATCACTGATTTTGCTGGTCGTTTATTACCCGGCTGGCTTTCCTTTTGGAAACTTACATCGGACAAATGCACATACATAATGTCAATATTGATTCTTGGCCTATGTATGCTACTTTTAGTCATTATTGAATCGTGGACAAATTTCGTTCTTGTAACATTGCTATGTGGATTTGTCACTGGCTGTCAAATGGTATTATCACCAGTTGTGTTGGCCGATTATTTCGGAACCGAAAATACTGCCATTGCATTCGGTATGGAAAACTTTATCTGTGGATTACTATCAATTTTTTTTCGACCAATGATAATAGGTAAAATGAATTTATTTTAATGGATAAATTTTAAAAAATTTTTACTTTTATACAAATAGGAATCAAAGACATTTATGGAACTTATCACAATTTAGGTTACATCTTATTCGCCAGTGTTGTCATCAATATCACTTTGTGGATAATCGAAATTGTATTTTGTCGTCATCGAAAAACATTAAGAGAACAATGATTGTTTTATGAATAAATCTTATTTCATTTCGATAACTGTCATTGATTTGTTGTTATTGTCTTTAATGACAGCCGTACTTGTATTTATGGTCAATTGATCTGAACGACTTGCTTTTAACCGGATCTCACCAATAACCCAATGACGTTTACCAATATAAGTAGAATAAACATTGGCAAATGGACATTCGACCAACAGATAAATAATTAAGGCCGAGCAAAAACTATAGACAGAATTAATAATGAATTCGTTGAACTGTAGAAAAAATTAAGCGAAAATTAGATTTATAAAGACAATTTTTTTCAAGGAATTACCATTGTATAATGATTGAAAACCAATGGTTGTCGAGCATATGCATATCGAACCCAGGTAATAATGAAATGAATCAGATAGATTGAATAACAAAGTTTGCTAATGGGTGTAAAAATTCGGCTACTCAGAAAATCCTTGACTAAATGACCAGTATTTGTAATTTCACAAAAGAATATGATATAAGCGATCGATAAGGACCATGCAAGACGATGAAATCCAGCATACAAGCTTTGAATGATCATTGGTGTTTGTGGATATGTAGTGAATACATAACCACTAATAATGATCAATAAGATGAATAATATAGCTGGAATCCAAAAATATGGAAAAAATCTAGGCATTCGTGGACTAGGTTGTTGACTTTTGTATGTAACCAACAGATAACCGGTTACAATACCAACCAAATATGGTGTTAAATGAAGATAAGTTGGCATATAGATTTCAAACATTTCTCGATACATTTGCCTAGATAAGAGAAATTAGAAATTAGATTTTTTTTTGTTAGAAAAGATGATAATAAACTTACATTTCGTCAATCTGATTGAACAATATGGTTGGATGAAATCTCTTTATGTAAAAATAAATGGAAATGATTGTACAGAATAATAAATTACAGAAACTCATGCCAATAATGGCTCGTTTTCCAAATCGATAGATCAAAAAGATGAATAAAAAACTGAGCAAAAATAATTGAAATTCGGCCGATAAATACCAGGTATGCACTTGGCATAGATTTTTGGTATTTGAGCGAAGATTAGCTGTGAATGATATGATCATCCACCAGCTTTGATAACAGCTATTTACCTGTTGCTCCATCATTTCTGACCATAATGGACCTTGACCTAGGTTTGGTATGATGAATATTAAGGCAACTATCAGCCATAATGATGGCCAAAGTCGTATTATACGATTCAAAATAATACGTAGAATGTTAATTTGTTGTTTTGATTGCAACAATTTAAATAAATGATATGAATGAAGTAAGGCGCTCATTATGAAGAATATATCGACAGCAGGCCAAGCATTGAAAAGTAGATACATTTTCATATCGAACAATGATTCTATGAAACGGGTGCTCGATCGAAATGCTTCTTTCACCGATAGCAGATAGGCATGGCCATATACCAGCCAGAACATTGTCAATACTCGAATACCGTTGATGGATGCAAAATTTTCGGCACTAGGAGATTCTAGCAATGCGATTACATTGTGTTTGATTGATATACGACGCAAGAAGAAATGCCATTGGTTTTGATCGTTGTTGTGCCATAATGGTAAGGTTTCAATCACTGTTGCAGTAACTACACTGACAGTTATCACAATGAATATAACTAAAATCGATATTTGAAGTGGTGTAAAATGTTCGATATCCGCTAACGTTTGACAGCTATCCACAGTGACAATAAATCTATCAATTTGGACCAAATGATCAACGATTGTTTGAAGATCTTTTTTGCTACACCCGGATGGCAGACAAAGTGCTGTACGACCTTGACGAACTTTGAAATAATGAGCGTAACGCAAGAAATCGGCAAAAAACTGTTTGGAATATAAAGAACAATTGTTGAATTGAATACTCACAATGCAATCTGGCTTACGGTCGATTCAAGTGATGTCCCAGTTGTATTAAAAATCAAATCTTGTGTGATCAAATGCGTTCGATTTGTAGGTACAACGGCATGATATTTGAGTAGACAATATTGGCCATTAATATTTTCATTAGGAGAACTTTCGCCTGCATGAAGACATTCATCAAAATCACCAAAATTTGTATACGTTCCCAACAATATTCCAGACGAAATAAAACCACTGGCGTCGATTACTCGATAGGCCCAAGATTCTTGTCGAACTAATGCCATAAGAAAATCTGTCATAGATTGTTCACATTCGATCGAAATTTTTTGTCCAGTAATCAAATCACTTTGCATCAATGATTCAGATGTCATGTCGATGATAGCATTGTTGATCTGGTTCAATATTGAACTATATGCTATCCAAGGAGCCAGAATACTTTTATCTTTGGTCAATGTTTTCCAATATTCGGACGATATTGCTTGACCAAATTGTTCGATATGAGTGCGAAGATTTGATGTAGAATCATAGATTGATGTTTTGTTTGATTCATCTTGAATGGTTAATGTAAAAAACAACAAAAACCAGATAAATAGAATCATTTCAAACGAAATTTTGTATGCTTTGGACATCATCATGGTGAGCGAAATGCATTAAATGTCGATCAATGCTGGTTTTATCTGCGAATCACACTTGAAATTTAAATCAGCATCTCTATTTTAATTATTCAAGTTCAACAATGATTTTAGACATTCATATATTTCTAATCAAATTTGGTTACCGTTTTTATACATTGTAAGTACACATTTTTGTTATTTTTCATTGACGAAAACTTTTAAAATTCGATAAAAAAAAAAATTGGGGATCAGATCGGTTTTTTTCGATACCATGTCGTAACAATTATGATTCGACGGAGCATCGTTTCACAATCGGTAATTGTGACTAACCGTCCATCATCATTTCCCATTGAGATAGAACCCAAAAAGGGAAGGATCTTCAAGAATTCAAGAATTGAAGAATTCAAGAATTGAACATTGTTTGCTTGATTGATTGTTTTAATTTTTTTCATTTATAGAATTCAATTACGTTTGTTAAACTTTTTTTCATAGATTTTTCTAGAATGAAATTCCAAAAAATTTATCATTCTATTCAATTGAATTATAATAAACAATTTAATGCTAAATTAATTTATTTAAAAAAAATTTCCGTAAATATATTTGAAAATGGAATAAATGAAAAAAGAAATATTTTTTTAGAGATAAATTACTTTTTTTTCATCTTTACCAGATGGCAGCATAAGGCAATTATAATTTCATCAAGATTACAACAACCACCATATGTCTATAAAATTTGAATGCCGCTACCACTCTTAAACACAACACACTCACTCACTCACTCATAATCTGGGCTCACAAAAAATTATTTGCTCACACACCGAAATAAAAGAAAAAAAAGGAGGAAAAATTTGTAAAGCGTAAGTAGCGCAAATTTTGAGATGGAAGCATTTGTTGGCTAAAGTGGCCAAATTTCTCTCTCTGTTTATTATATACACGACGAGTAATTATTTTCATTTGTCCCGTATGTTTCATGGCAGCTTGACGATTTTTTTTAATTCAACGCCAATTTTCCATCGATTTCGTCGTCGTCGTCGTAGTCTTTTCGTTTAAAAACATTTTTTTCTAATTATTTTTCATCTTGGAGTATATATGGTATATATACAAATTCTTAACCTTTCATCAATTATCAATCAATCATATCTCTTTGATTAATCTATAATATAAATCGGTATCAATTCAATCAATCCTTTTTATATGAGAAAATTCAATCCATAATCGTGTTTCTCCCATTATATTCTGTTTTTTTTGTCTACCGAAAAAAAATCTGGTGAATTTTGAAAAATTTTCCGATTCATTTTCTGTTTTATGTTTGCCCTTTATTGTTCTTTTGGCATTTCATATGATCCAAACGAAAAATGACTTGGCCCCAATACAATTCAGATGGTGATGGTGGTGGATGGTGATGATGGATCAGTGATCTTTTTTCTCTCATTTTCACAATACACACAAATTTTTTTACATAGAAACTTGTAATTTATCATTCATATCGTCCGTTTGGAGTCGCTGCAATCATAATGAACGTTTGTATGCTATATGCATTCGTCCAATAATTATATTTGGGGCAAGAAAACCACGCAAGCGATCAGTGACGATGCGATTTCATAAAACAAATCTATATATCTGTGATGTCGTTGTAATCGTTTTTTATGCTGAAATCAGTACAGGCCAATTGTTGGTTTTGTCCTTTCATGTGTGTGTGTGTTTTTATATGTGTGCTTAGTAAAAAACATCGTTCGATGATTTTTACACAAGCAAAAAATAAATACAAGTTGCTTGAATGGCTGAAAGTGAGAAGAGTATCATAAAATTCATCATCATGTCTTGTAGAGTTTATCATCAAAATTGTTTATCAATATTATTGAACACAGATGAGCTTAAATCATTTTGTAATTAGTTTATTGGTTTCCGTTTTGCGGATATATATGTATATAAATATCTTATCAATGGTTCTTGTAATTAGGTCTTATTTTGAATTAAGAGTTAACTTTAATCAGATAATAGGGAGAAATAAAATGATTTAAAAATGTCAATGATAAAATCAATTCTAACCTATCGAATTCTTTTTGTTTTTTTTTTAGTCTGAGAATCGTGATCGTAAGATACAATTTCAGTTTTGCTTATAAATTGTTGGATGCCAGAAATTTTTAAAATGGTAATTTAGCTATATAGCCAATTATGATTCAATGACTGAAATGATTTTTTTCCATACTTTTAGGCTCCAATAAATCCTGTCCAGATATTAGATGCCTTTACACCGCTATTGACAGAAAATGGTGGCATCAAACCAGTAGAAGATCAGACACAATTCCAAAAAATTTACGAGTACGTACATTGTGAATGACAATGAATTTCCTTTTTTTGTTTTCATCCAAGTAATCGAATAAATTTTTTTTCAATTAGCATTATGAAAAATTGTTCGACAAAATTGGTTTCCAAATGTATTTACTATCAAATTCTCATGTCAACAAGTCCGGAAGTGTTGGAACAGTAAGTATTTTTTTTATAAATCATTTTGAAGATGTATTTGAACAATTCCAAAATTGCTTAATAAATTTTTTAGATTTCTTAAAATTGGTGGCTGGGATCTTATCTGTTTATGGGTGAAATCATCACGTGATATTGGCAATGTAACTTTTTTGTTGGATCTATTAAAATTATTGCATATATTACCTATGAACATTGATCGTTTACGTGAGAATGAGTGTCCAAAAATTGTTAAAAAATTATGTAAACATGAAAATGAACAAATAGCGTTAAAAGCTAAACAGATTATTAAAAAATGGACTAAAATTATACAGACATTGTCCACAACGACGACGACCTCTACGTCGTCATCAGATAAAATCAATAGTAATTCTAGTAAAGAGAAAAAACGTAAATCGTTGGACAATTCATCATCATCATCATCATCATCATCGTCGTCGGATAGTCATAGTATTAAAAAAAGTAAATTATCAAATTCTACGGATACGGAAACAAAAGCAGTGAATAAATTAGATCGTTCATCAAATGAAGCAATAGCTGATGTGTATGAAACCTATACGGCAGATGAAATGAATAAACTGTTGTTAGAAAAACCGTCTGCACCAAGTGAAACGACGACAATAACTGTGAAACGTCCTGTTACGGCCAAAGTTAAACCAGGAAAATTTCGTCTCGATCTTTCCACGCCGCCGTCAACCAAGAATGAAAAAACAAAAAAATTAAAAGACAATCAGAAAATTGATCAAAGTAATAATGATCAATTGATAAAGAAATCGCTTTCCAACGATAAATCTTTCAAGGTTACTTCACCTACTCCTGCAACCCGTACTGTTTTGAAGGTAAAATTCAACTATTCAGTATTTTCTTAAATAATCAATACTTTTCTATTATAATCACTTATCCCATTTGGAATTTAAAAAACATTCATTCATTTATTCAATTTTTTAGGATTCAATGAGCTTTATGGATGCCCTATCGATGATGCCTGTCACGAATGTGGTTAAAAAGAGACGTAAAACAACGCCTACAACAACTACCTCAGCTCTGGCTTTGAATACGAATATTATTAGCAGTGATAATATGAAACAAGATTCATTTACATTGAATGATAAATCCAATAGTAGTAATAATAACAGTTCAGAGATGACTATAAATGATATGTCATCATCAACGAATTCTCAGGATACTGAATCTAATAATAAGTTAAACAATGGGGCCGGTTCAACATTGACGATAACCAATGATGCTGATTTAGGATCTAGTGATAATACCAACAACAGCAATAATGATAATGTTAATGATGGTAGTCATACTACCACGGCCACATCAAAATCTGTTGCGCCTAAATTTTCATTCTATAAAGATATTCTTGATGAAAAATGTGATGGCAGCAATGATAATGTTGAGAATGATGCGTCGATGAAATTGAATATTAATAATAATAATAATATTTCCGATGATGCGAGTGATTCCAAGAATAAAGATAGCACTGCTAGCTATGGTATTACCAATAACGTTACAATTAAAAACAATGTAGTTAATATCCATACAGAAGATGAAAAATCAATTATACATAGACAAAATGATGATGATGATGGGGATGATCATGATAAGAAATTGGATTCAAAATCAAAAGCAACAAATGATTCATTTTCGGTAAATTCTTCCAAACCGAAACCAATACTATGTTATATTCGCAAAAATTCTAAAAAACGTGTTAGGTATGCGTGAGAGGATATTAATGTTTACATTTTTAATCGATCATTAATTTTCATAAATTTCTTTTTTTTCCGTAGATGGCCTGATGATGATACTGATTTGGAGAAGGTTAGGTATTTTGAACTTGACGAAACGGAACGCATCAATGTGACAAGACCATCAGCCGATATGAAACGATTCGATATGAAACATGAAGCCCAAATGATGAGTGATGCTAAAAAAAGTCAATGTTTTACCTATGCTCCATGGCATCTAATACCAATCGATATTGATTCATCTAATATTCTTGTTGAACGAGGGAAAGATTCTCGGGAACGTATCATACAAATGGAACGGATGAAAACAACATTGGAATGTTTTTATTTTCATAATCAATTACCTGATAGTGCAGATGAACCGGAACATAATGCCTATGAGCTCATGTCCGATTTATCTAGTCAAGATATGAAAATGAAAATTATACCATTAGAGGATGAGAATTCAGTGACAATGGATAGGGCATTTATTCAGGACTATTCCACAACGATGGGTCAACAACAACAGCAACCACCTCAAATAATTGATCCTATTATTAACTATAATAATAATAATAATAATAATAATATGCCATTCAATGTTGGTGGTGGCCCAACGGATAACGGTGAAAATTATCCACTGGGTTCTGGTGAACAAAACTATCTACCACCACCATCACTACCATCTCAAACATTGGGTTACAGTCACCAACAGCCGATAGGTCCACAACAATCAAATTATAATGCAGGATATCAATCTAATCTTCCACCAAACAATTACAATGATAACAATGTGGGGCCACCACCACCTACGCATCAGCCGTTTGATCAACCACCGCAGTCTTTGAATAATAATTTCAACAGCGATTACAATAATTCTTATCATCAACCACCTGTATTTAATCCAACGCCGTCGTCACCATATTCGGATTTTTCAAACGTTCCGCCACAACCTAATAGCCAAAACTTCGGTCCTGGACCACCCCAATTTCATAATCAAAGTTTCGGCCCTCCACCATTGTCACAGCCAATTCAATCGAATGATAATTATTGGCCAGAACCAAATTTCGGTAATAATACTAATCCAAACAATAATCATCATAATCCTAATTATCCACCTGGTGGACCACCACCACCTGGGCCACCTCCACCACCACCATATCATCAAGGGCCACCAGGAGGAGGTCCGAGAATGTTTCGTCCAAGAGGGCCAGGTGGTGGTCCTCGAGGTCCACGATTCTTTGGTGGACATCGTGGAGGCAGCGGCGGTGGTGGCGATATTTGTAGATTTTTCTTTAAAACTGGAAAATGTAAATTTGAAAATCGTTGTAACTATTCACATGTGATGGATCAGCAAAAGCCTCCTATTCGTTTCTGAAATACCATTCATTTATTCAAATTTTAATTGCAGACAAATTCACCCGTCAAATGCTCATAATATTTCAACTTTAAACTTTGTACATTCATTACCTTATTTTTTTAAATCATTTTTGTTGAAATCATTTCTTTATCACGAAAATTCCATTATTATTACAACTTCATTTTCAAATCTTATCCATGTGTAGCGAATATATAGAAATATGATCATTTGTCAATTGAATGCATGTCAATTTTGTTATTTGTGTTTATTTGAAAATTATTTTTTTTGTCACCAATAATATATTCACAAGGAATTAAAAATCATAAATGAATTGAATCAATTTTCCATTCATTTTTCTTTATTATTTATTCATATATCTTTAACAATAATCGTATCAACTAATCCAATGCCTAGAATTCGAAAATCTTCGACCAATGCTGCCATATTGATGACAACATTATCTGTGGATAATGAATGAGCTGTACCAGCTAATTTGGTCGCTTCAACTGATGAATATTTGAATGGCCGTGCTTCAATTATCTCTGGTCGAAAAAGAACGCCAATTTCACGTCCACCATATTGATCGTAAAAAAATAGAGCAAAATTTTGGTAGGCTTGTTTCAACGAATTTAGATAAATATAAGCAGGATTATAATCAACGATTGGCATCGAATGTTGCTCATTATCAGCCGAATACAATGTGTGTTTGATTTGAATATTATCTGGAAAATCAAATGATTCATGTTTGTTTGGCAAAAATTTTGAATTCAATTTGATAATCATATCAAACATGTTCATTTTCACTTTGAACAATGATCTCAGTTTGACAGGTTTGAATAATTGAAGCGATTCACGCAATTGATCGAGTTGAATTCTCGCCAGTTTTTGTAAATGAAATACTATTCTCGTATCCGGTGATGAACGAGTATGCTGTGAAGGTTTTCGATCATGTCCGGTGACAATGGTAATAATAGGCCAATTGGATCTTTGTTCCTGAAAACTTTGACGGATATTAGCCATTCGTTCAGTTGTAAGTGAATTATTAAAGTTCAAAAAAATGATATTTTTGACAAAATCAAAATGACCGATAAAATCAAGAAAACGGATAAACATGGACAGGTGTGAACTAAGAAAAATAAAAGTGAGTAAATGGACTATGGAATAGCTAACTTACTTATTGGATGGATAAATTTGACTACCATGTTGAAACAGATAAGCAACAAGCAGATCGATTGTTATTTCTTCGAAAAAATGTTTGATCATTTGTCGCGATAGCCAACGTTTGAATAGGCGACAAGTGATATCATAACAAAAATTTTCATTCTGAAATGCATTCAATGAACCACAAATGGCGGGTAATACTTGGGTCTCGAATTCAATCTGATCCGCCTCTATATTTCTGGCAAATTTTAGCTGCTTAGTATTGCTCGATATTTGTCGATGAATTGATAATTCTTTTTGTAATGCTATTATCAAATGTAAAACAAATCCGTGTATGTAGACATCAATATGGGATGAAGTTAACCTTACACACACATCTTGACAACATTTTCGTAATGATTTGGCCAATTCATGGCTGAGTAGATATTTTTGATTTAGAAATTCTTCGAAATTATTTGAAAATTTTCGTCCGATCGGATCGATACGAACAACCAACTTTATTGGTCGTACGTATTTGATTTTATCTTCCGTAGAATTAGAATCGAAAATATTGCATTGATTTTGTACATTTTTTGGTCGAGAATTAACCGGCAACGGTGGAAACACATCGGTTCGACGACCTACTGGATCTATGTTTACAACATCATTTACTTGAAACGGCACTTCTTTCAAATTATGTAGATGTTTTTTTATAATATTGATTGCTTGATTGATCTGAGTAAAACATTCTTCCCCTGTTCCATAATAAAATTCTGGATCATTGAATTTAAGATTCTTCATCTCCAACATTTCATCCAGATAATAAAAAGTCCATGAAATGGAGTTTAATTTCAGGTTCATTTTCCGGTTCATTACATGTTTGATAGCATTAAACACAATCGAACGACAATCACTAATTGTATGCGTTTCCCAAACAACAGTCTCTCGAATATCACCATTTTGAAATCGTCGTATTTCTGAACGTTTAGTACCCCAAAGTTCACGAAAATCGTTGGCTTCTGATCGGTTAGCCATTGGACCTTTGGTAATTTTATCAAGAAAATTTTCTCGTTTAATTAGAATTCCGAAAACAATTGGTCTGTTTGATGTAATCGGCTTAGTCGTTATGTCCCATGATTCTCGATGGAAATAATTTTCTGGCTGAATCAATATCAGACGTTCGCCTACAGCCTGTTGGATTAATTTTTGAATCTCCAACACCATAGTTAGAGTTGAATTTTTTCCACATTCTATATAAAACTTTTGATTCTTCAATTGGTCTTGTTTTAAATAATCGCACAGAATGCTAATCAAACAAAATATTAAGACGTTAGAGCCTAATACATTTACCAGATTGAACTTACCTGATGGAAAAGTCAAAGTAGGAGGTAGGATTGATAGTTTTCTGAAAAATTTCGTCAAAATCGACTTGTTTAGAATTAAGAATTTCGACCGTTCTATGGCAATCTATCTTAAGTCGTTCATAGATGCCTTGATTCAAATTATAACAAAAGTTATAATTCAAACTAGATTCAATTAGATTAACCGGAAAATTGTTGATAAAAGTCTCTTTATCAACTGATTGGATATTGTCATTGTTGAAACTTAGAACCAGAGGATTCGATTGCCAATCTGAATCCTTCAATTTGCTTAATATTGTTTCGAATATCTGAAGCGATGATAAATTGGGATTCAACAAGTTATTTTCCAACAAATGACAAGCAAACAATGTCACAATATGGGCAAAGCTTTTTCGAAGGTTACGTCTATCCAGCCAGATTCGCATAAGAATAAGTGAATCTTGTAAATTTGAATGATCCGAAATGATATTTTTAATGTATTCATTGGTTTTTATAATAGTCAAATCATTGAGAATAGTTTGATTATAATAAGGTGTGGATTTAAATTCTTCGTTCATGCCCAATGCTTTGGTTCTGAATAAGACATTTGGTTGGATGAAAAGTTTTGTATACAAACGATTTACCATATGATGCTGTAGCAAAAATGTTGAATCGATAATTTAAGGCATGTTTTCCGGTAGGTATTATATGAATACAAGGATTAAGATGATCACCATTGAAAAACACATGAATTGAAGGCCCAGGACAAGATGATTGCAATAGGTCAAATGTTGGGCAATATAAGCAAGATAAAAGGCTCGTTTATGATGATAAACAAAATTCATGTGATCTTTTTTTTGCCAACATGAATTCGGAATTTCCAAAAGAAGATCAATTTCAAAATGCTCATCATTATTTCGGCTATTACATTTCAATACATAACTTCCAACAACATGAACAGCGATTGGAGATTGAAACAGGAAAGAAGCTTCACATTTCTCTAACAATTGTTCGTTAATAGGACATTTCACATTAGTGAGTAGATTCGGATTCAATTCCTGTGCAGGTAAATCTTCAAGCAGTGATAATCGAGATCGAAATGAATCGATCCAAGCATCAATTTTCGATGCATTTTTTTCACTGATTCTATGACGTGATAAAATATTTTTCACCTGTTGATTATAATTAAAAATTTATTATCTAAATCTGTAATTCTTATAATGGAATTATTTACCTTTTCAATATTGGTCATTATTTAAAGTAATAAAAATAAAAACAAAAATAGAATGAATTTCAATTTCGAAAACAAAATTTATGTTCACGTTCCAAAACACACGGATCGATTCCATGCGTTCAGCGTGATTCATAAATGATAGTATAGAATGGGCGGACATATTTTATTCTTAGCCGTATGAGTGAACAACGTATTATTTGATGCCACTACCACTAAAATACGTTAGGGTTTGAATTTTCGAATCTCTCTCGTTCATTTTGTTATTACTGTATTCAGACATTTTAAGTAATTGTAATTTTTTATTCAAAAATGAAAAATATAAATAATTACAATTATTATCTTATCAAATCAAATAATCGAAACTACAATTACAGCTCTACATCAATCTTCCTGTTCCTCGTGAACGTGAGTGTTATATTATCATTGTGAATCATTTAGTTCTCTATTTTCATTTCTAATTTGTTTTCGTCGTGGTTTAATTTTTATTTTTATTTTTTTTGAAAATATGTCCAATCTTAGTGATTCAGGAATGCGTGTATTTGGTGGCATTAAAAATGGCCTTGAATTGCCTAAGATAAATGTTAACAAACAACAAGAGTCAAATAACGGAAAGGAAGTTAATTTAAACTTGAAACACTCAAATACCAACAGCACAACAAGTGGCGGTGTATCGATGAAGAATAGTAAACCATTGAAAAATTCAGCAAAGTGCACGCCGAAAAAATCTGGCTTCACTATGAAAAATTCTGATAATCCGGACAATACTCATTCACAAACTAAACGTAATGGATTGAATTTTGAACTTAGTTTGACTCCAAAAGGAAAAGAAAATAAGATCAACGGCGCTAATAATGGCGAAGGTGAGTTTTATATGTTTGATGGTTTTTTATGTCATCTTAAAAATATTTTCTTTTTCTCACATAGATTGGTCTCAGAAAACGAAATCGATTAGTCAAAAGCAAAAAAATGGCGCTAATATAGCATTCAACTTGAATTTAGCTGTTAATATGGATGATGATGCAATCAAAAGCGATAGCCACAACATTGCCACAAACAGTATTAAAAAGATCGAAACGAATAACAACAATCCTACAATGCTATCAGATTCAGGCATCCTTGATATAACACCAAACAAAATTGATCAACCATCATCCATTAAAGTGGCCGTTCGTATGCGGCCATTGGCTGACAATGAAAAAACTGGATCACAAAAAGATGGCAAGATAACAGATGTATTGATGAAAGATAAAAAGGTGATGATACCATCAAAGAAAGATTTATTCGAATTTGATTATTGTTTCGATTCATCAAATCGTGATTTGTTTAATTATGCATCACAAGAAATTGTATTCCGTAAGATGGGTCAACCATTATTGGACTATGCCCATCAAGGTTTTAATGTCTGTTTGTTTGCTTATGGCCAATCTGGCAGTGGTGAGTAATCATTTTTAGTCATGTAATTTTTTTAATGATTTATGCGGCTTGTATCTGTTAGGTAAAACATACACAATGTTGGGCACTGAAGAAAATCCGGGCATTACTCCTCGTTTTCTCAACGATTTATTCAAACGAATTACCACTACGAAAAAAGATATTGAATACATTGTCAACGTTAGTTTCCTTGAAATCTACAATGAAAAAATAAACGATCTTCTTTCTGATGAATTTGAAATGCTCGGTAAAAACTTACGTGTTCGTGAACATCCTCAAACCGGTACATATGTTGAAGATTTGACCGTTTTCACCGTAGAAAGTTATGAAAATGCTATGGAATTACTTAAAAATGGTCTCGATCGCCGATCAACTGCGACAACTAATTTGAATGAAAAAAGTAGCCGATCGCATTCGATTTTCAGCATTATTCTGGTTCAAAATCGTCGATTCGATAGACATAATGATGATGATGACAGTAGCGATGATAATCCACGTACGACAGAAACTTCATGCATTTCTAAAATAAATCTGGTCGATCTGGCTGGAAGTGAACGTGTGGGTAATTTGAATTCGGATCGTTTCCGTGAAGGTACGATGATCAATAAATCGTTGTTAACGTTAGGCAAAGTCATCTCACAATTGGCTGATAATAGTAGTAGTCGTCAGAATTCGACACATCATGCACATGTCCCGTATCGTGATTCAGTGTTAACCTATTTGCTAAGAGATTCATTGGGTGGCAATTCTCGTACATCGATGATCGCTACGATTTCACCAGCTAAAATTCATTTGGAAGAAACAATCAGTACCCTTCGTTATGCATCGATTGCACAGAAGATCATTAATATTGTTCATGTGAATGAGGATCCAAAAATGAAAATCATCAATACTCTATTGAAACAAATCAGTTTTCTCCGCAAAGAAGTTGATCGTACACGTGATTCATCACCCAATGATAGCTATATGGATAATAATCAATGCGACTCCAATAATGGTACGAATGGAAATGACCAAGCTCAAAATGAAGATTGCAATTGTGATCATGGAAACAAAAAGCTTCTTGATCTCAAAATACGCTTTAAAACCATGACTAAAAATGAGGAAGAAATTCACAAAGAAACTAAATATAAAAATCAAAATCTTCTAAAAGATTATTCCAATTTGAACAAGCTAAAGTTTGAACATAACATTGACAATCTTCGATCACTGATCAAGACAGTCAAGAAAGAAGATCATTTGAAAGGATTGAAAACAATTGCGGAATTTGAATCCAGTAATAAAGAAATCATTACAGAAAAAAAGACAACTACAATAACCACTGAGTTACAAAGTATCACAAAAAAACATAACAAAAAAGACCAGAAGAAAGACGATCAGTCAAATTCCAGCAAAATTGAAACCGAAGTTAAAGTCGACCATAGTCATTCTGGAAATGAAACTGGTGAATTGATTGATGAAGACAAGAAACAACAGCAAGGGGATAATGATACATTTCATTCATGTGATCAATCATCCGAGAATGAATTGCTACAATTAGCTACTGAAGATAGCACTGCCAGTCAAGATTTCAAAACGCTTGATGATGATAGCATCCAGAAAGATGAAGACTTTGAAAAGTCTAGTAGTTCGGTAAAAAAAGATGACCAAATTATTAATGATGACGTTAAAGGTGATATTAACAATGAAAAGACTGGTAAAGAAAAAGCTAAAAATTCGACTAGTAATCTCAAAGATGCTAAAAATAAAGATTCTGGTTCAGATGCAGACGATGATTGGCAAAATGATAAAAAAGGTAAAAAAGGCAAAAAGAACAAACAGAAAGGGGCAAAAAGGTCGTCGATAGAATGGTGAAAATAATAAGCCATTTATATTGATAATGATTTCAACCATGAAAAAATCCTTTTTGTTATAAATTATTTACGTTTTATTCGAATAAATATTTCTTAATTAAAAGACATGATTCCATTGTTTAAATCGATACATCCTATGACTCAATGAGAATAACATTCCAGTGAACATAAAACAAACATTCCATTCGACTAGAACGGCAATGACGAACCAATTAAAACCAGCCACATCCGGTTGCCAATTCATACGTGTTTCATGATGTAACCATTGATCTATGTGTCCCGTATTCCAGCAGGCTATTGCTGTACTTGCAATACATATTATCCATGACATTAATTCAACATGTGTCAATATGGACCAAAACAATGGTCGACTTTCAATTCTATCACATTCATAGAATTTTTCCATCATAAATTTTTGTTGATATTTATATGGAATGTTGAATAAGAGCAATAGCATACCGATTCCATGCATGATCAGGTGTTCATTTAATCGAAAATTACCTACAATTTCGAATCCAATTGCTCCGATTATCACACATATAAATGATTGGAAATTTTTCCGTTGCATCATGTCTAGCATAAAGTTATTGTTCACTTGTTTATTCGTAGAATTCGGTATCATAAAAACAATATAATAATTGATTTGTTTATAACTATAACGAATCCATGCGATTAATAAAAACATTATGGCCAATATGTCAAGTGTTTGTGCATAATAACCGGCCACAGGTTGTAATGCACCCATATCGCTAATCAATTTAACTGGCCATGCACCGTTAACAAAAACCACTATGTAATAACTGGAATGTTTTGTAGTTAATTATAATGTTTGGATTTCACACAATTTTTTAACGTACCATATTGATAATGAACCAATCAACATTAATCCGGTTATTAATGGCAGTATCCAATATTGGTGTTGCAAATGAAAGGTCAAAATTCGTACATAATATGCGATTTTCCATTCGTTTATTGTTCTATTATCAATCATGTTCATGTTTTTTCATCGACAGACTGTGTCATATTTAATTGTTATATATTTCATTTATATTTCCTTCATCAACCAAAAAATCGAGAAAACGGAAACGTTAACTGATAAAAAAAAATGTAACTCATGATGGTCTCAATCATGATTATCGGTAATGAGATTTCCTTTGTTCATTTAATTGTTTTGTTTGTTTAATTACAATTGTGTGAAATTCATTGGATTTTTCAATCGACAGATGGAGCTTTGAGTTTCACTTGGTTTCATCATCATCATCATTTATATTTAAGACTTTTTCGATTACGAACGTCAAATTATCAGACATATTCGTTATCCAAATCCAAATATTTATTTGTTTAATTTCATCACCTTGTCGTCATACGCCCCATCACCGATTCGAGTATACGTGACGTCTAATTTTTTTTTCTTTCCCTATATTCTAAAGTGCTAAATTTAGCTTCTTTATTTTTACCATCGCATCTCGTCAGAATCGAACATATCAAGATTGCAGCCAGCTCTGAAGCAGTCTACCGAGAGGCCTGGCTAAGAAGGAAAAAATCTTGATGATGATCTTTACGTCTAGCTGGCCAATTTTCGTAAGTTGGCATTGATGGTATATGTACGTTCATGACATGATACTACAATTATTTAATGGTTTAACATTTAGCATTTCAAAGAATATTCCAAACAGTTACAACACTATAGCTAGTATTCATTCTGATGGTTTTAAAATGAGAGCAGAACGCCAATAATAATCACAAATAATACAAAAATTGAAAAAAAGTAAAAACAACGAAAAGAAGAGAAATCATAACGGTGCTATCATCATCATCATTAACCACTAGTGTATGCAACAAATAGTTCTTGATATTCGCAAATGACTTGCACCAGATTTACAATTGCAAACACACCTACCAACAATAACGAAATAAAATCATAGAGGTGATCATAATCGTGAATGTGTGTCTGGTGAGCGCGCTAGTAATAATAATAATATATCTAATAAAACAACAAACAAACAATCGTTGTTTTAGGCGAATAAAAACGAAAACAAAAACTTTTCATTGATTGATTCATAAAAATCGATCAATTTGAATTTATCATCGAAATTCGATCATCATCATCATTAAATCAATTACATTGTATTTATGTTTCTACGTTTGTCATTTATCTATATACAATATAATGAGGCTCACCATGTTCCAGTTTTAGTTTTGTTGAATCCTTAACATAATCTGTTCGACACATTGAAATATTCATCCTAATCCGAGAATGGAATCACAACAACAACAACATTATTCAGCTACTGGTGCTGGATCGAATAAAAATATTGGTCATTATTCACAAACATTGACTTATCTACTTGGTGAGCTGAAACATGTCTATGATCAACGAGGTAAATATATTATTTTAGTCGCTAATTTTGTTTGTTACTCTTAATTAATTTCGATTTCATTATTTCTTTGTATTGGATAAATCCGATGAATCGAAAACAACTTAATCAACATTAAATATTGTAGATGACCCTGAAAAGAAACGTAAAGCAGCTTATGAAAGATTGGCTGAAATATCGAAAATAATGCGTGTGATTTTGGAAAAATATTCATTACTGGAAAGTAAAGAATTATTATTAAACGCTAGTCAATTGGTCAAAGCTGTAAAAACATATGATTATAATAATTATTCGATTGAATTGCATTCACAATTGGTCGATAACATCAACGCTTTGTATAAATCATTCCAATACAAGTGAGTTATCATATTTGAAAAAAATAGAAAAATTGTAGCAGCAGCAAAATTTTGTTTTATCACCATAGTGATTTAATTTAGTCACAAATTATCTATTCAATCTATTAGCATCTGCATCTTGTAGGATGGCAATACCTTTTGCATGTATACTGTTACATATTACTGTTTATGGATGAAAAAATAAAAACGTAAAAATCCGCCACCAAATTGTAGTTACCATATTAACCTGATGATGAATAGTGATAATGATTTTTATGGTGTATTATTTTTCTTTCTAAATATGATGATGATTACGTCTTTTTGTCTTATCTGTGGGATTCGGACTTTTATTTTTAAGAAAAAAGAATTCCTATTCATTCCGAGTCGCTTGTTTTTTCTAAGTTGACAAACCGATGCAACTTTTTCATTGTTAAAATTGTTTCATCCATTATTGAGACTAATAAACATAGAATCTTTCAATTAATTGCTAATAATTCCGGTTATTTATTATTTCGACTATTATTGTTCGATTTTGTCAGAATAGCTTTTTTTTTGTTTTCGATATATTTATTTATTAATATCGATAGCTTGTTTGATCATTGATCCGATGAGATGTCGATGGCCAACAGCTCTCCTATTGATTTTGATTTTATCATCTGAAAAATCAATTATCACATGTCTATTTTTGTAATTATTATTTTCATTTTTCAATCATATCAGATTTTATTTATCATCGTCATTGGTTTCTTGTTATTTTTAATTTTTTTAAATCAGTATTTCCAATTGTTTAATGCAAGACGGCGTTTCAATGTCTTCTTTAAAATCATTGGATTTAACACAAAAAATACAATCATCACCACCACCACCACAACAACAAACATCAATTGGCCATCCAAGTCCTAGTGCCAGCAGCAATCGATCCAATAAATCAAGAACATTACCGATTAATATGCCTGAAGAACGAATTTTCTCCTATGAATCCGGTCTAGATGAACTTATGAAACAGGCAAAATGTTGGTGCAAATATATGAAAGAATTGGTCACTTTCATTGAAAAACGTGCCCAAATTGAAAGTGAATACAATCGTGCCATCTCTAAGAATGATCAAAACATGCGAACAACAATTCATCAATTGAAAAGTGATAAAGTATGTGTCATTGTTTTCTTTGTTGACCTGATTTGATTGATGTTAACACTGATTAATTTTTCTTATATAATAATCCATTAGGCTTTTTTACCTTTCCATAATGTTTATAATCAATTTTGTCAAAACGAGATCAAAAATGCCAACATGTGTGATAACAATTTTGATCTGTTGAGCAAAAACATTTTAGCTCCTGTTAATGAATTTCGTTTAGAGTTTGATAAACAAATTAAAAAGATCAAAGATGATTGGGCCAAAGCGAATAAACAACTTAATGATGTTATCAGCACTTATTCAAAATCACGTGAAAATTTCTACACACAAAAATTACAGGATGCTGAAAGTAAAACGAAACAAAAATTCAGGTACATTTGTCTTGTTGTTTATAGAATGAATCCATTTTATTCTCTTTTTATTGATCATTAAAGTTATTTAGAAAGTAGCAATGAATTTAATGAAGCTGAGGCCAACAACACTAAATTTCTATGGATTCTTAATGCACAGAAAGAATCATTTAAAAAATCCAAACGTGAACTAATTAGCCGATTACAGAATCTGATGGCTATTACTGAGATTAAGATCAAAGAAATTACTTCTCATTATTTTGAAACGCTACGTGATTCAATCACTTATTCGCCTGAAGAGATTCATCGGGCAATTATTGATACTGATCACCATGAAATGGGAAAACCTTATCGTGATTTTTCCAATAGTCTTCCTCTAATGTTTGACGATTCTTCATCATCTATCAATCATCAGTCGATACAATCAACTAGTCATCATCATTCAGAGAATCAAGAACTTTATTCTAGCGAATCTGACAGCGGTATGAATAATAATTCAAACGTTTATCTAATCAAACAGCAGCAGCAACAAAAACCGGTACATATCCGTAAAGAAAGCAAAGCGGTGAATGCCATTAATCCTAAAACACAATCGAATGATAATTTTCAAATTAGTAAGTTTTGCTTTGTTTTGTAGTTGGAAAAAAAATTCATTAAACTTTTTTATTGCATTTTTTTTAGAAGTGATTGAGAAAAAATACAAAGTAAGTTTCATCAATTCTTTGTCTTGTTAATTGTTGATTCAATTCGTTCTTAGAGTGTCTATCAATACAAAAAAGGTGTCAAATGTAATGAAAACAAATCCGGTCCGAACCTTTTGTTTCGAGTTCCCCTTTGTCAACTTTCTTCAAATGCTGTACCAGATGTTATAAAAAAATGTGTTAATCAGATCGAAACACGTGGTTCTCGAATATCAGGCATCTATCGAGTATCTGCAGTAAAATCTCAAGTAGATAGCTTGACGAAAGCTTACGAAACCGATCCGGACAGTGTTGATCTATCGAATGTTTCACCAAATGTTATTGCGAATTTGTTGAAACAATTTTTTCGAATGGTAAGATTCAATAATTTAAACAATTTTAAAAATTCATAGTTTGTATCGTTACAGCTTCCTGAGCCGCTATTAACATTCCAACTTTACAATGAATTGATCGAAGTTGCTACGAGATATTCTAAAAATTCTCCACTTGATTCTTCTAGTGAAGAAGAAATTGTCACTAGATTAAGGAAAATTTGTCGTCGATTGCCGACGATTCATTATAATACCCTACGATATTTGATAAATCATTTGCGCCAAATTTCTAAAGACTCGGAATTTAATCAAATGAATCCGGGAAATCTAGGTATCGTATTTGGGCCTACATTGCTGAAAAAAGCGTATGTTTCTTTTTTATTCTCTCTATAAACACATGTTGCATTAACTTATTTTGATTTATATCTAGCGATAATGATGATACAAACATGCTATACGATACTAATCATCAAAGCAGAGTGATTGAGCTATTTATTCTTTATTCTGATCAAGTGTTTGATTCTGATTCCGAACCTGACAACTATGCTGGGATAGGTATCGGATTACATCGAAATAATTCATTTGGTCAAATTGATAATAAAAAGTCATATCTACGTCTATGGAAACATCTGATTCATCTTTGAAACAAAATGGCGAAACTATCATGAATAACAGCCATTTCAATAGAATGCCACAGTTATTAAAATCGGCTACTTGTTCCTCCATCCGTCCGGATGTCAGTCAAATCAAGCACAATATGAATCAGGCTAGATTCGAATTTTTTGCATCTAGTATCAATCAATCTCAACAACCACAGCTAAGATTTTATTCATCATCATCATCATCATATTCTCCACCACGAATCATAGATGATTCAAATCTAAAAACGAACCCGAATAAAGTATTTGCTACAATCACAAATCATGCAAATAATAAGATTGCCAAAAACGATACTGTATTATCTCCATTCTCACAAATAACCGCTTCATCCACAACAGTCGGGCCATTAAATCGTCATGTAGGTTCACTTCATCAACAACACCAGCAACAGAAAAACGTTAAACGAATCGTATCGGATTATCATTTGATCTCAAGAACTGGTAGCACACAACTACTTCCCGATAAATCAATTAGTCAGCAATCATCACCAAAACCAATTTATGTAAAACATAACGAGCTTTCAAAATCATCATCCGATATATATTCATACAAAAACATAGATTTCTCTGTCAATTCAAATGAAGATCATGTCTGAATCGAACCTATTAAGATCTTTCACATGTCAATTTTAAATCATCATTGTCAGCATTTAACCCCTAAATTTGATAATGATGGTCACTAGATTACTTAAAAAGAGACATAAAAAACAAAATTTATATTTCTATCATGTTTATTTATTATGGTGTGGCTAAATAAATGAGGTGGTTATTAAAAAAAATTTTATTTTTGAATACAATCAATTTTTATGATATGATTTTTTCATTGAAATTGAGCCCATTCGTGAGGGATCTTGTGATGGATAGTAGACGCTTGATGAAGATGAGGGACCTATGGTGGGTGGATTTAATGCTGGAACTAGGCCAAAATAGTCGGGTGTACCGACAGGCAACCCGGGTACGGAAGCAACTTTATTCTGCTTATTGCTGGGACCTGGTTTGTTTCGTTCTTCTTCATCATCGTCGGTTTTACGTTTGCCTTGCGATTTGCCCCATCTTATTGTCAATTTAGTACCTTTTATGGTCAGGCGTTGGAACGCTTTCTTAACAGCTTCTTCGGCCGCTTGTCTAGTTGTAAACTGTACGAATGCACAATTCGATTTATATACCATGTTGATGGAACGTATTTCACCAAATTGGTAGAAATAATCGCGTAGATCACTTTCTTCAATTTGTTCGTTAATGTTACCGATATATAAAGTAGTTATGGACTTATCTTCAGGTGGTAGAGGTTTTGGCATTTCGGCGGCACGTTTCAATAATTTTTCGGCCACCGGGTCGTTTACGCCAAAATAACGATCTTTAATATTCTGGTCGGAAAGCGGATCACTTGGATCAGATGGCTTTTCATGCCTATATGGACATTCTTCACCTCTTTTACATTCCCCTTTGACCCAAAAACTGCAAATATGAGGCGCATTTCTTTTGTAATAAGGCGAATTTCTAGCCAATTTAGTTAGCACTTCTGAAGTAGGTGCATCTTTGAGAGCTCCAAACGCTTCTGTGGCATCGGAATTCTGTACGGCTCGATCGAGCATTTGTGAGTAGTATTCACGATTTATTTCCGATTTTGGTAATTCTAGCTTTGTTCCCAGCACTTCATCACGAACTTGTACCGGTAGGCCATATTGTAGTTCTAATAAACAAGTTTGACAGATATTTTTTGCCCGAGCACAAATGGTACAAATTTCAGTTTTTTTATATCGCATTTTTGATCCTGGACACCAGCGAAATGTCGTGAATGGCCTGCTGCACACTTTGCATTCGGCTCCATATTTTTCTTTCATGACTCTCAAGAATGGGTTATCACCTAATTTTAATTGGAAATCAATAACAAGAGAAAACTTATATTACCAAATCTTACCTAAACAAGTTTGACACAAAATTGGAAACGATTCATCTTCCCAAACCTGTCGATTATAATGCGAAGTTCCTTTGGACATGGCCATTTTGATGTATTTTAAAATTAAAAACTTTTGCTTGAATCAAAATTATTTCGAGCACGATTCGAATCAAACATTTGAACTATTAACACCCAATTAATTCATGTAAGTAATAATAGTTGCACAAGGAATGATTTTATTCTCAAAAATCGTAAAAGTTTGAAACAAAAAAATGAGTTTTCAAAATCCATTCAATTCGATACCAGTTTTAAATACGGTCACATTGGACGTTGATAATTGTGAAGATGATTTTGAAGAATTTAATGAAGATAATTGGCTCCCATCGACAATGAGCAATCAACAACTATGGGATGAAAATTGGGATGACACCGATAATGTGGATGAAGATTCATTTCGGTCTCATAAAACCAAACATTTTTCAAAATTGATATATGTCAGGGTTTTGTTTTGTTTCTATGAAATCATAACAATACCAAAATGGAAATTGAAATGATCGATTAAACATCCGATCATCAGAGGATGGTGAACTCCAGTAAACATCGAAATGGAGAATTTCAATAAATGCAACAACATCAAATCTAAAATTATTATAAAGAATTTACCATGAATTAGCATTATTGGCAATGAATTGCTGACCAATATGATTTTTCTTATATTTCTACAATCTTCGTTTTCTTTGGCTTGGTTATCATTGAAAATATAGAATAAGATGGATACGAGGAAGATGGCAAAGTTACTAAAAATTCTTCCATCTATACACTAAAAATAATTTTATTGACTACATTTTGTGTTCAATTTTTATCGGTGGAACATCTAAATGCTTCGCATTGGGCATGAATTGGCTATCGTTATAAGTCGTCTTTGTTTTTGTGGTAATTTGTGTTCAAAGTTCATTTGATTTGTTTATTTGTTGCTGAACGAACTTTAATTGTAAATCAATTGGTAAATTTTGCATGAAGAGAATTTATGTATTTGCCATAATTCTTTAAATAGATTTTAAAAATTTTATAATGCCTTTCTTCCACCATCTTTGAGGTGGAAATCACTAATCATCAACATGTGATAAAGGTCAATTCGTTCCAAAATTACATTATAATTTTTTTCACTAATTATAGGGTCCAAATAATGAGAAACTGCGCATAGTCACAGTGGTAGTGTAGCTAATCATTTCAATGCAAAAAGATTTGGTTGTCCTCACTCAACCTTTCGCCATTTTCGTGATATTTTTCATTTTTTCATTTTAATCGTGGATTTTTGCGCTAACTTTGGTCGAAATCGATGAAGATCGTTTGGTTTCGGTACACACCAAAACTCCAGAACTTTGCGTTAAAATAGTATGAAAAGGCGGACTAATGAACATGAACTCCGGCAACCCTGTCAAATTTCTCAAAATTAACAATAATTCAGAAGTTCAAAAGGCTTAAAGCTTTGAATTTATTTGTATAAAAGTTTTTTCCAGACTTTTTTTTAATAAAAAAATATATATTAAAAATAAACAAGATAGATCATAATATTACTTTGGTTGCTACACTTTGAACTTTTGATCCAATTCGAATATGATGAATTGGCCAGAAATTTGCACGAAAATGTTTTATTAAATCTTGATTCATTTGACAGTAATTGGTGATGTAATGTTCGAAACTGAATTGACACAATGAAGCCATATATTGAAATGAGATGATTACATTTTTGATACGATCGAGCATCGAATTCACAGGATTATTAGTTTTGATTGATTCGGTTGATAGCGAGTTTTGATGGTCAAACATAATCAAACTTTTGTTTTGATAATAAAAATTGTATATTGGACCAATATGAACAATATCTTGTATGCCCGTATGATATTTTAAAAATAATATTAAATCAGTAGTGGGAAATTGATTGATAGACATGAAAATTAATATATCACTAGGACGATATTCTGTAACTTGAGTGCTGAAAATTCTCCATGATTGTCGCATTGATTCCCATTCAATATGACGAAAATTTTCACTAGATTTTCCATATTCATTAAATTTGATGGCATTGAGCAATGTGAATGATTTGAATTTGGAAAATAAACCATGATCGAATTGTGTTTGTAGTGAAAAATTACTAATTGATGGCTCAAAAATGATCTCATGTATGATGAACATGTCGATGAGTGGCAAAAATTCATCAAGAGTTTTGTAAAGATTTTCTAAATTAATCTGGTAAAGAGTATTATTCTGATGTTGATGAAAAGATAGCCAAATCAGCGACATTAATAGCCGTCGAGGTCTATTTAGTGTATCGATTTTTAGCTCGGAATCTTGCAACAATGCATCTTGAACGATTTTTGGAACTGAACAATCTTGACCAAAATAATTGGGATTACATATACATGATTGCAATCCTATGAGATTACTTTGAATAACCTGTGATCCTCGGCGTAAACAGGATCGAGCCGATGATTGTGATGAAGTGAGCTTATCTGTTATAGTTTTATTGAACTGAAAATAATCATCTTGAATTTTGTAATCATCCAATGAAGGTAGATGGAAATAAACTGTGGATGTTCCATTCTGGCGAATTTGGACGTTTTTCGTACCGACTCGATGGCCATGAATTATGGTTGCCTTTAGATTACTTGCAAGAAGATAATTCCAATGAAATTCATTGAGAAATGATGAATTTTGTATGAGCAATACATAGCAGCCAAATATAAAACAGAGAAGGATGAATAATTTTAATTTTGATTTAGGAAGACCACCACCGTTTATGCCTGGCCTATTTGTAAGGCACATTTTGAATTACAACTCATCAGAACTTTGATCACCATCAGTGTATATTGCTTGATGGATCGATTAGAATAAAAATTTTGATTCTAATTCTAAGAGAAAGCACACGTGTTAACAATTTTAAAAAAGTTAATTATTAAATTTTGAGTCCATCATTTATGCTAACTGACTGAATGTTTTTGTGTTTAATTTGTTTCTGTTATTATTGCCATAGCGATGAAATTGAAAAGGATTTGCACACAAAAAGTGTGACATACGTAAATTGTATGGTTTTTTATTATGAATTTTCAATTAAAATAATAATTTTTACATTTGCTTTTGATACAGTAATATTTTTCAAAAATAGTTCTAATAGAAAACTAGATTAACTTTCATATAAATTAGACAGAATTGGTATTGATGGGTTGTGAGACAACTGTTTTCTGTTGTCGTTGCAATTCGTAATTTCGTTTTCGTTCTTCAAATTCACGTATATAATCTTCATTATTATATCGTTCGATTTGAACCGGCTTACCAAAGGCAAAATTGGCTATGACCACTTCTCCGGGTTCACCTTTTAATCTCAATTTTTTATGTATAGAACTTTTATCAAAATCTAAACAAAAAATCAATAAAAATTGGTCAGTTTTTTTTTGATGAGGGTTCTTTATATGAATTTATTATTGTCAATTAATATATTACCTGGATAAAGTTCAATATCAGCTTTATGTTTATTGACTATGAATAGAGAATATGCGAATGCAGTTGCACCAAGACAAACATAAAGATAACGGGTTCGTTGATACCATTTTCGAGCCAAATTTACAGGTATCGGTTTCATTATGGATCGGAAAAAATTTCGAGCATGATGCCTTAAATACCACATGATGATAATAAGTGGTCAAAAAAGCAAAAAGTAATTCCAAATTTAAATTTTTATGAATGGATAACCTTCACCAACAAAAATAATATAGTCAGGTGATTCGTCGACGATCTGATTTTATTTTTCACATTTAGTAACAGTGTCTATGAACGAGTTGGAAATTTAAATTCTACAAGTTAACGAATTCGTAAAATAAAAATTCAAGCTTTTTCAAAAATTATATTTATTAATTCAATAAAGGAACGGCTTTGACAAAGACACCATATTTAGGCGTTTCAGTTATTATTTTTTGCTCAATTGTCAATTCATTTTCTGTACTTGGTCCCGGTACAAGTTTATATCGAAACAATAGTTTGGCTAGCGCTAATTTGATTTCATAAAGAGCAAAACGCATCCCAATACAATTTCGAGGACCATTGCCAAATCCTTGAAATGCAACCGAATCATAGTTCTTTTTATCACGAAATCTTTCTGGATCAAACACTTCTGGATTAGGCCAATACTCTTCGCAATGATGTAGTTGGTATGTCGGTATTCGAATGGTTGAATCTTTCGGGATAATCATGTCTTTGTAATGATAATCTTCTTTTGTATTTCTTGTAATGAAATTTGTTACTGGTGGATAGAATCGCATTGATTCATTTATGACACATTGCATATAAGCTAGCTTGTTTACAGTATTATAATCAAATTTTCCTTCTCGTTTAAATAATTCATTCACTTCTTGTCGAACTTTGTCCTGTATATCTTGACGAGTAACAAGAAAATGTGCGATAAATCCCAAGGTCGTACTTGTCGTTTCATATCCAGCTTCATAAAAAATGATTGCATTGGCTATGACCTCATCTTGTGTAAGTGATTTGGAATTCTTAAATTTCTCGCCCATATTTAGAGTTCCATTCTTTTCGGTGACTGCATTCATTTCATCATTGGACATTTCTATGGTTAAATTTGACATGTCTTTTTGTTTGAGTTCATCGTCACTAGCTTGAGCATCAAGCATAAGCTGTAATAGATCGGGTGTTTTCACTGGCCGATCTTTACGCAACCGGATAGCAGCTTCAATCAATTTGGATAAAATGGCAGAAGCAGATTTACCTCTAGCTTCACGTATGATTTCCAGTAATCGACGAAATGGGTACATTAAAATGTCCAATTCAGGAAAACAGGTGAATAACAAAATAAATCGAGAAGGTTTAGTGTCAAACACCATTTTTGCTGCAAGAAAAAATTCATTTTTGGGATCATATTGAACATTAGTATCGATTCCAAAGGCGGTTTTCGAAATAACATCAGCCGTGAGAAGTTGAAAATCTTCATAAATATTAAATTCGTTACCATTTTTTGAGTGTTTGTCGACTTTGTTGATGAATATATCAATTGCCGATTCTATAATCGGCGTAACCATTTTTAATTTCATTGCACTGAATGTTGGATTCAATATTGTTCGATGTTCTTTCCAACGAGCGCCACGTGATCCGATAACATTCTCAGAAAATCTTGGATTCGGACGAATACCGTGTTTCAGGCCAAATGTTTGTCGATCAGAAAATTTATCAAAATCTTTGATCTGAAATCGTTTGATCAATTCCAAATCGATGGTCATCACATTCGGTTTTGCGCCAACATAATATCCAGAAGTTTTACCATATTTTTCAATCAATTCTTGTGATCTTTCAAAGTTGGACTTTTTCAACAATGAAAATATATTACCAGCGATAAGATTTGGTTCAGGACCATGGATACCATTTCGTTTCAGAATGGACATTCGATGTTTACGAATCACATAAAATGTGATCAATAAAATCAAAACAAATATAATTGTACCAATCATTTTTATTTATTGAAACAAATTGTTAAAATGATTTGTAAAACAAAATTTTTACTGTTTATATTAGCCATAATCTGTCCAACTAAAATATGAATAGGATCGTTTCTAATTTTATCACATAAAAACAACGATTTATCAATTGTATTGCACTCGATTTGATTAATCAATTGACAACAGTTTCAATTTGATCAGCATATGTGGGATAAATTATATGTACTTGATCGGACAAAATTGATTAAATTTTCTGTGCCAGGAGAATTATATTCATTTTTCTAAAATGGGCAATGCTTTAACAAAAACTCCATATTTAGGCGTTTCGGTTATAATTTTCCTTTCAAGTGTTAATTCATTTTCTGTACTTGGTCCTGGTACAAGTATATATCGATGCAACAATTTGGCCAGTGCTAATTTGATTTCATACAATGCAAAACGCATTCCAATACAGTTACGTGGGCCATTGCCAAACACTTGAAATGCATTTGGATCATAATTCTTTTTATCACGAAATCTTTCTGGATCAAACACTTCTGGATTAGGCCAATACTCTTCGCAATGATGTAGTTGGTATGTCGGTATTCGAATGGTTGAATCTTTCGGGATAATCATGTCTTTGTAATGATAATCTTCTCTTGTATTTCTTGTAATGAAAGCCGTGACTGGTGGGTAGTAACGCATCGATTCATTAATGACACATTGCATATAAGCTAACTTGTTCACAGTATTGTAATCAAATTTTTTTTCATTGGCGTACAACTCATTCACCTCTTCACGAACTTTGTCCTGTATATCTTGACGAGTGACTAGAAAATGTGCGATAAATCCCAAGGCCGTACTTGTCGTTTCATAGCCAGCTTCATAGAATAGTACAGCATTAGAAATGACTTCATCTTCGGTCAATGATTTAGAATTTCGAAGTTTTTTTCCATTCATCATTCTATGATGGCCATTCTCAACGCCCGAAGTTTCATTACCATTTGTTAAAATTTTATCATCGTTTGACATTTCAATTGATAATTTAGAAGCATTTTCATTCTTGATTTCATCTTCACTGGCTTTAGCATCTAACATTAATTGTAACAAATCGATAATTTTAATTGGACGGATTTTTCGCAATTGAATAGCTGCTTCAACTAATTTAGCAATGGTGAATGGTGGTGACCAACCAAAACGTTCGTTTATAACTTCCAATAATCGACGAAATGGATATAGAATTCGATCTAGTTCCGGAAAACACATGAACATCATTAGAAATTTGCTCGGTTTTCTGTCGAACAATAATTTGGCTGCCAAAAAGAATTCATTTTTCGGATTGTATTGAACATTAGTGTCGATACCAAGCGCCGTTTTTGAGATGACATCCGCTGTGAGTAGTTGAAAATATTCGAAAATGTTAAATTCGGTACCTTTTTGCGCTTGTTGACCAACTTTATCAATAAAAATATCGATGGCTGATTCCATGATCGGTGTGACCATTTTCAATTTCATTGCGCTGAATGTTGGAGTGAGGATTGTGCGTGTTTCTTTCCATCGAAATCCGATCGAATCGACTAGATCACGAGCGAAGCGAGGATTAGGATGTATTCCATGTTTGATACCAAAATTTTGTCGATCAGAAAATTTTTCAAAATCTTTTATCTGAAAACGTTTAATCAGTTCGATATCAATGGTCAATATATTCGGTTTATGGCCAACATAATAGCCACATGTTTTACCATATTTTTCAATATACTGTTGAGATCTTGTAACATTATCGGCGTTGAAAAAGTGGAATATATTTCCGAATATCCAATGTGGTTTTGGTCCATTAATACCATTCCTTTCCAGAATGGTCATTCGTCGTTTTTGAATAGCATAGAATATAATAATAATGACAACTATGATTGTCAACAATGAAATAAAGGCAAACATTTTTACAACGACGATACTTGTTTTGTTCGAATCGAATCGAATAAATGTAAATATATTCAAATAAAAACTCAAAAAATCTTTATACATTTATACTAACAAGGTTTACCATTGATTAATTTATCACAATGTATCAAATTACACATTGATAATCAAATATTTATTTTTTTTCTATTTCGAAAATTTGTCGGGTACAAATGGACTTTCTATATGGAGATGGATTCATTATCAATTTCCATCTTTGTCCTTGTTAAGATAATGGGTTACATAATGGAATAGAAGATCGTAACAATATTTGTATTCAGTCTAATGGAAAAGAAAATCGATGTTATAATTTGCACTCAAATATTTAACAAGAAATGCACTCACCATATTTTCGACCAAATGTGGCCGATGTCGACGAACAGTACGTACAGCATTAAAAATGTCCACTTCATCATGTTGAACAACTTGTTCCATTGCAAAATTGGCTGCACAATATACACCGGCTCGTGATTTTCCATTACTTTTGTATGGCATAGTATAAATTATTTAAATGTCTAACATAAATTTTAAAAAAATACTCACTATGAAACAACAATTACCGGACCATAATTAGTTCGTTGACGCCAACGTTCGACCATATTCATCAATTCTACCAATGCATTGGTCGATGTTGGTACTTTATGATCTAATGGCCAACAGGTGATCTGAAAGAATTGTGTTGTTTTTGGTTCGGCTTTTACACCGGCCATCAATTCGGTCAATGATACTACTTTTTTATTTATCTTAAAAATCCATGTCTTAATTTTGGGATAATGAGCACTTGAAACCATTTCAACGCTGAATACTGGGCCATATTTTTGTTTCTTGTATCGTTCTAATGGCCAAAATAATGGATATTCCTATACATTGTCCATGCAAATAAATTAAAATTATATCCTCAATAGTTGTAAAATTGTAATTACATTTGGCATGTTTGGATTGTCCAATACGATAACTGAATTACATTCATGATCATAGATTAATGACCAAATATCCTGTATGGTACGTTTCAATGGCCATTCTGTGATGATATATTCTTTTGATCTTGTATAACCCTATATTGATGTGTTTAGTGATTTTTATTATTGGTTTTTCCATCATCATAATAATAATACAAATAATGTCACACTTACATCGACAAAAACGGCATTGATATAATCGGTATTATCATTACTTTGAAATGACGTCAAATACGGACGAAAATTGTCAGCTATCAAAGAAAAAAAAGAAATGAAAAAATTTTTACTTGCACTTGATAATCGATGATATATTTACGTGGTACTGTCGATACATCACGATTTTTTTCACGATTTTCCACACGATGTCCACCCGCACAATCACCAATAGTAGGCAATTTGGTCATTTTTTGTATTTTCTATGGAAAAATTTCAACTCAGATTATTGTATGCCCATTTAAAAAATAAAAAATAATGTAAACAAACTCTATATTCAACTTGATATTGATTCAATCCAGTCATTGTACATTTCTGTGATTTTAGTTTGATTTGTGTAGCTAATTCACCAACTGGAAACCATGTTTTACCACAAATATGAGCTTCCTCTAAAGTTTCATAAACAAATTTATACTGGTCCTATTTGAAAAAATTAATTTTATAAAAAAAATTGCTTTTCTTTCTTTAAGAAAACTAACGCGATTTTCAATCAATCCACGTCTTGCATGTTTGAGTCTTTTGGTATAACCAAAGACATCATACAGGCCATCCTCTTCAGCCAATTCAAGATTTGAATCAATGCAGAGATAAGCACCAGTCCTACCACACCCGTCACTTTAAAAAAAAAATTTTAATCCAATTTTTTTTTCATTTAAACTTTCATGAAAACGTACCTACAATGGACGATTGTTGGCCCAACCCTATCTCCTTCATCTTTGATCACTTCCTGTTGATAAATTCGTACTCGACGACGAAATTGCAAGATTGAATTCGGAAATGGACATGTATGCGATGACCAACTGTTGTAATGAAGCTGATAAATAATTCGTACATCATCCTCTTCAATTTCTTCTTCATATTCAATTTCATCATAAACAGTAGCTGTCGTAAAAGAGGCTTTTTTCGATTTAGTTTTTACGCTGCCGGTTGTCAAGGAATTTTCTGGTGAATGTTCATAATTAGAGATTTTTTCAAAAACATAGATTAAATTCTTACTGTTTGTACTATGAGATCGTAATGATTCCCGTGTTCCTCGAGTACCTAAAGAAAGTCGAGATCGTTTCGATTCACGGAATCGATCCGTTGATTCATTTGCAGCCTCTTGTTCTTGTTCATCTTCATCTAACATTTGATGTTTTTCATCATCAGTTTCTTTATGTAGATTATGAGGTACTAATTTTGTTCTTTTCACTTTTCGTTTGACCAATTGTCCGGGTTTTCGTATTCGCATTGTACGAATAACAAAATCGGCAAGTTGTTCTTCACTCAATAATATCACCTCTATAAGACCATACATTTCAGGTTTATGTTCTTCCATTGGCCAATATTGACAACATTCGACACGTATAAAATCGAATACTTTGGTCAACATAACAATCAAGAATGCTTGTTGTTCCCATATTAGTCTCCAAAAATCCGAAATAGTATATTCATTTGGACCTTGCGCTGCAATATAAGCGTTTGGTTTCAAAATACTCTATTTATATAATTAATTTCATTGTATCAACAATTTATCAGAATTTCAATCATAAATTAATAGATAGATACACATACATCGACATATGATGCATTGATATAATCAGAATCTTCTTCATCCAATGGATCTTTGGACAATACAACTCGATTAAAATCATCTAAACCAACATAGATACATTGATATAAAACAAAAAGTTTAAATGAATAAATTCATTATTATAATGATATTACATGGAACACGTTTCGGATATGTATTCTTCAATTCATTTTTTGGTTTATGAGCATGTCGGGTACCATGTTTGGTGTAAATTTCATTACGGGATGCTGCCTAATTGAATAAAATGGACGGATAAATTAGACAAATGATATGAACACATTTATGGCGATTTATGACCATACATCGAATTCAATTTTGATCAAACATTCATATTTACGTATCTCATTCATATGTTTTTCAAATGCATCGAAATCCATTGGATGTTTAGGCAAGAATTGATATGCATTATCTGGATTCGGTTCGATCGGTATGAATCGGCTATTGAATATGGACAGCTGAAGTTTTTTGAACGGCATAACGGCTGTTGTTGCCGCTTTTTTTAATGTAGGCTTTTTTCGTCGGCGATGATTCTTTGTCTTTTTCAGCTTCATTACCGATTTCATAGTATCCGAATCATTTTCAAATAAAACTTCTGGATCCATCAATTTGATTGAACGAACTGTATAACAATTTATAGAAACGAATCGCGAACTTGAATTAAATGAACACAGAATCTCATTGTGAATTCGGTCATAATTAAACTACTACAATTTATTCATTCATTCATTCAGTGCGTCAAAACAATTCACACTCATACACACACACGCATAGAATATAAATAAAAATTTCACCGCTTTAGAATATTCTGTCCTGTTTACTACTTCTTCATGTTGTACTTGTAAGCGTTTCCGATTCTTGTTTTTGTTATACGTTTAATGTTCATGCCACAAAAAAGTGATTTGCAATACAAACATCAACATTCTGATTTGTCGTCATTCTATAGTACATGATGCTATTAATAGCCAATGACAATAGTCATCAAGTTTTTAATGTGCTAAAGTAGATGTATTTTGTTTTCATTATGATTTTTTTTGATGATTTTTTTTCACCACCATCACTTTTCATATTGGATGATAATGACATATATTGCAATTATTTGGTGGCAAATTTATATTTGAAAAATTTTTCTTAAAAATAAAAAAAAATAAACTTGACTCGTATAAATTGGGCATTGGTGTTACATTTCATACAAAACAATGTGTTTATTTGATTTGATCACATGCATGAATTATTATTATTAATCTAAAAGCTATAAATAAATGTTTTTAAATTAAATAATCGATCATAAAAATCATGAATCAATCAAATAAAAATAAACGTAATTTAGGTCTTGATCAAAAATCAGATGATAAAAGTGATGATCCTGTCAAACGATCGAAGCAGAATGAAACAAATGACAATGAAATTGTGGAAGATTTATCCGATCTAGAAAAATCCGAAATTGACGATGAAGAAGAGTATGACGAAGACGAGGAAGATGACAAATTAAGTGATAAAGTAAGTTGAAAAAAAGGAATTGATCCAACAAAGAATGCTGATCAATTTTTTTCAAATGTAGGAGATATCGATCGAATTCACTGCTCACGATCCAATAGAAAGTGATTTTCATGGTATTCGTTGTCTGTTGCAACAATTGTGGCTAAAGGAAAATATAGACATTTCTGAACTGACCGAATTGGTCATGAAAGAAACCATTACTACCGTCTTAAAGGTAAACTTGGTTGATTTTGGATTGAATTTTTTTCATATTTTTAAAAAATAAATTAGCAATCAATTGACGAAGACGAATCACAAGATGAAGAAGAACACAATGGTGATGGCGATGACGATGACAGCGTATTTGGTGTTATATCGATCATACCATTCAACAGTCATTTTAATGATCGAAATTGTGTTCAACAACTTAAACAAGTATTATTATCATATTTACCAAAAGACAATGATATTTTACGTAAACTAAGCCATTCGAATACTAAATGTGCTTTAATCATACACGAACGATTCGTTAATCTACCGCCAAAAATATCTGTACCTTGCTATCAGCAATTATTATCCGAATTGAAACAATCATCAACATCCAACAAATTTGAATTTGATCATATTATCATGATCTCGAAACTTTCGAAATATCGAAATGATATAATCTATACAAATGCTGAAGATGAAATCTTTAGTGAACGAGCTGATGCTCAATTTGAATATTCAGTGGCCAAGCAATCGGACACTCATTCAATAGATTGGAATGATGATGACAAAACGTTTGAACCATTTCGAAAGCTACATTTATTAACCAAACAGCGATGGATTGAAACTATAAATGTTTTGAAAGATTTTGTTTAATTTTTTTTATAAATAAAATCATCATTCTCATACAATAATATTGATGTATCGATCGATTCTTTTGTGAATTTCGACATAATGGCTATTTTAACCCACAATCAATGTTAACATTTCAATTGAAAGATTTAGTTTAATTTTTATACACTTAAAAAAATAGGAAATTTTCGTACTTATTTTCTCTATTAAATATTCAAAAATTAATTTTCAACAATTCTTTTAATCAAATCAATGAATTGAAATGTCAGTGTTATTGAAAAATTTTTTTTAAAAAATTCCAAAATGCACTCAGAAAACTCAGAACACTCAGAAACTGTAATGATAACCAGGATCTGGTATGTTCATATATGAATTTAAGGCTATTATCGGCATCTTTGTGCAGAGGCAATACCACAAGCAATGAGCTTTTAGCGAGCTGTGGTGATTGCTAGTTGAAAACTAAACCCAATTCCCCGCCATTTGATCGTGAAATACCGGTTAGATAGGCAATTTTTGGAGGCCCATTGGCCTTTCATTTTACAAATATGAATAAAAGGTTGCACAATTGGATACAATTCCGAGTTTTTATTTGTATCAGCCTGGTCACATGTGTGTGTGTGTTTTATATATGTTCATCAATTTGATTTTGTAAATTCTAAATGATAAAAAAAATGCTTAACCTCTCATACGACGACCAACGTTTATCAATATTACCACAAGCAATGAGCTTGCATAAATGATTATAATTTTCAGTACATTTGTATCGTATTCTACGAACGGTTTTTGTATCAACCTGATCACATGTTTTATTTATTCAGCAATTTGATTTTGTAAATTCTAAATGATAAAATTCTCAAATAAAAATGCTTAACCTCGTACGACCAACGTTTATCACCAATATTACCGCTCGATTGGCTCAACAACAAACACAAGGCATTCTATACCAACAGGTACGGGAAAATGTTCGTTGGTATTTCGAACGATGTTCGGAGGTGAAACGTATTCGTAAACATGGATGGAAGAAAAGGATTTCAACACCAAGTGGCCGTCAAATTATTATGCGTCGTATATTGAAAGGACGTCATGTTTTATCTCATTGATTCAATTGTAATTTATTGATAGATAATACCCAAATCACCAAAATCATATTAAATTCATATTAAACAACAAAATAAAAATCCCCGTTGATAAACATAAGTAAATTATTTTCATTGAGAATGTTTAACGAATTTTTGATTGTTTAGCAGATCGATGATCAGTGCCGTTGTACATGTATTGTCCCAAATAGAGACAAGCGAAATAAACCATCGAATAGCCAAATAATGATGACAAATAGAATAAAGCAATAAATGTATTATTCAATTGAGCCATAAATGGATAGACCCAGAAACCAATCACCACACGAAGATATAATGACCAAATGGCATAAGTTGTAAAGAATGTAAGGAATATACTGTAACCTTTGCGTGTTGTTGGTGGTTTGTATTTTCCAACGAACAATTCCATTATGGTCAGAATGGCTATCATGGTATGCTATGTGAAAAAAAGGAATACATAAAATGAAAACGGAATCAATGTTTGTGTGATAAACTTACAGTCGAATGATTGAGCCATGGCGGATAATATGGGTCCATGATGATGGGCAAAATTAATTCACGATCGATTGCCCATAAAACCCAGAATGTTGATGATACTATCCATGATGTGGGTAATGCCAATGCATAAAAGATTAAATCGATGAAATTTTTCAATTGACGACTTTCAAAAAGTTGATTAATCAATACAAGAAAAAAGAAACCGGTCTGAAGTAGCTATTATATCCAAAAGATGAAGACAAATCAAATTTAGTAATTAACATTATGTCGATATATTTACCAAATTCCAATAAGTAAGAAATATAAATTGTCCAAATATTTTACGTTCAGGTGATAGGAATGGGGCTCGGACAATATATTGCCAATAGATGGAATATAAATAAATCAAAAAAGCTGATAATCGTATAATGGTCACCAATTTTCCTGCCATTATATCTATGTAATTGATTGTTTGATATTGATTCGATGAATAAATAAATTTATTATATTATTATTGATATTATAGTTGATTTTGTTCACGGGTACAGTTGGCAATTTTTCAGTGATTTCCACGAATTTTTTTTTCCTACTATCACTCGCTTGTCATGACTATATAATGATCAATGATTATATTATGCACGAAAAGAACCTTGTCCAATTCTCTCATTCGACCAATGTATATGAGGGAAAAACCTGTAATCTAAATTTTAGCTCCATCTTTTATCCGTTTTGAGTTAATTCTATTTTATATATCGGTTATAATGGTCTTTATTGAGTCATATTTTTTTTTTGCTAATTTTGGCTGTTGAACTAAATGTATACATGATGATAATTGAGAGCGAGTGAGAAATCATCATGGAGTGATGTGAAATAATAATAATAAAAAATAAAAATAAATGCACACATGTAAAAAAGTAAAAATATGAAAATCAAATCAATGTATTACATGTAATGTAATGTGGATAAAAAAAAATGTTTGATTCAATTTGTTTTTTTGTATTTTCGAGATTAGGGTTCCAAGCGGTTACGACGGAAACATTTATCTGGCAGAGATTGTCGAATTTTAGCAATATTGGCCACATCGGCAGATAATTTTTCCAATTCATCCTCATAATTATGTATGGATTTCTTTTGTTCTTCATTCAATTTTTCCAAATGCATCACACGGCTATCCAGATCGGCCGTACGAAATTCACGTTCAGCATCACGTAATCGTTGTTCTAAATCCGATAGATTATTTTCATCCATATCTTCCATTGAATCTGTGAATATTTTTTTTAAAATAAAATTAATTATTGGAATAATTTAAATGATGAAAAACATACTTAAATCTTTGAGTATTTTATCTACAGTATATGTTGCATTCTGAACTTTTTTGATAGCATCCATTGCGCTTGTTTTAGCCGTATTAGCTTTTCGTAAGGCATCATCGACAAGACTTTCATCTTGTTCAGCTTGCTGTTCATAGGATTTCATTTTGTCCGATGTTCTATCTACATCTCGTGTCAATTCAGCTGAACGAACCAGTAAATCATCAGCTTTAACGGTTAATTGTTTAGCAGTACGTAAAGCCATATTCGAAGCCTGTGATACATGATCAGCTTTTTCTTCAGCAACTTTTGCCGTCTCTTTAGCATTGGATGCTTCAATTAATGCAGAATTCAATGATTTTAGTGAATAATCCGATTTACGAATGATATCATCAATTTCTTTTTCAATTTCAGGCACACGATCCATAGCTTTATTTGCCTTTTCCTTACTTGATTGAACATGTATGTCAAACTCTTTCAATGTTTTCAACGTATTTTTAGCATCATCCAAAATATTATTACCACTCTGTACTGCTTCTTGTGTCATATTGTAAGCCATATCGGCACGCGTCAACAGGTCATCCAAAGCCTGTTGTTTACGTTCGGCATCCTCAAACAAAAGTCGACCATCATTCAATCGATTTCCAGTGCTATTTAGCAATTCTTCATGGGTTTTTAGCATATTATCGGCATCAATATGTGCTTGTTTAGCTTTGTTGATTATATGAATAGCTTCATCTTTATATCGCGAAGCATTCAGATCGGGAACAAAAATATTGTTCACATCGGCAGCCAAATTCAATGCATCTTGATTTGCTTTTTCGGCATCTTTGTGTACATCCTGTGATAATTTAATGGTCATTTGGTATTGTTCTTTCACTTCATTTAATTTATCTTTTAATTTTTCCAACTCTTCTTTATTAGCTTTTTGAGTGTTGATAGCATCTTTGGCCAGATTATATGCAGTTTCGGAAATGTTTCTTGCATCTTTAAATTTATTGATAATTCGTTCAGCTTCCGATTCATGTCCATCGGCCAATAATCTGGATTCACGAGCAATTTCTGACATTCTTTCCGACTGATGGCCATATTTTTCTGCACGCATTCTCGCCTTTTCTAATGATCGTCGACCATCATTTTCTAGATGATTACGTGCATTGTTCAGATCAATTTCAGCAGCATTGACAATCTCTTGTGCATTTGTTATGTTTTTCGTACCATAATTGATTTGATTATTGATGAAATTCATTTGATTTTCAATCTTTTTGGTCATATCTTGAACTTTTCGGATACGATTTTTTATCTGTTCCAATTGAGCCACTAGAGAATCATCATCGATTTGAGCATCTTTAGCTTCTTGAAGTAATTGCTTTACAGTGTTCATCACTTCATTTAATTGACGTTCAAAATTCGCATCTTCCACAGCCAATGGATTTTGTTCAATTTCATCCAATAAAGTTTTAAGGCCAGCTACTTTAACTCGATGGGCAGCGATGGATTCTTGTACCAATGTATAACATGGTGGACAATCAACACATCCGGCTTCTTTGTTGTATTTATTTTCCTGACAACGTTGACATTGTTTGCCTTCAACATTTTCACGACATTTACATTGGCCAGTAATAAGATCGCATTGCTGTTCTAACGAGCCAATCGGATCACAATCACATTTTTGGCAACCATTCGGACCGAAACCAAAATAGTTTGGTAAACATTGATCACAATGTTTTCCGGTGACACCCGATCTACAACTACATTGTCCGGAACGATTATCGCAAAGATGATTTTCCGAACCGATTTCATTACAATCACAAGCTTTACAGCCTTCGTTGGAATCCAGATCCCAATAACCATCGACACAGACATCACACTGTCGTCCAGCTACATTAGCTTTGCATCGACATTTACCGGTTACGCTGTTGCAAGTGAAAAAATTCTGTGTGGAAAAGAAATTCTTCAGATATCCTTGACGTTTTGCTTCTTCATAATCGAAATAATTATCTTCAGCGATCGTTCCAAATGGATAACAAGCACAAGCTTTACAATCGCCACGTGGAAAAGATAATGCTGATCCATAATGTCCGGGGAGACATTTCTCACAACTGTTGCCCCATGTATTGTAAATACATTTTAAACATTGTCCGGTTACAGAATTACAATTTCCAATGGCGTTCGGATCAATGTTTCCGTTACAATCACATTTTTCACATTTTGAATCTTCCGGACGCATTCGATAACCATCAACACATTTCTCACAAAGACGACCTTAGAACATGGAAAAAAATTGTGTTAGATTTTTGATAATAAGGAATTATATAAAAACATTTTGGATGGGAAGAAAGACCCCACTATAAAAAAGAATCAAAATACCTCCATAGCCTTCTGGGCAGTTTAGACAAGCGATCTGTTCGTCAGGAAGAATGGCGCATTCACCACCATTCGGACATGGACATGATTTACAATCATCTTCTGTACCTTGTAATGCATTACCATAATAACCTGGCGCACAACGATCGCACGTATCTCCAGCGGTATTATTTTGACAACTACATCGACCTTTGTCCCATCACCAGATGTTAGTTTGAAATTAGAAAGAAAGAACCGATTCCCAAGGAAATTTGGATTTTTTTTTTTTTGGTTAGTTGTACAAGTCCCAAATGGAAATGGAAATAAACCCAGAGTGTGATAAAAGTTCATTGAAAAAAAATCAAAGGAATTAAGAGAAAGAAAAGAAAATTCAGGAAAAAATTTCAAATATTTCGACTTACCTGATTCGCTGTCACAATATTCACCATGTTGATTACATTTGCACGGAACACATTTAGCAGCTTTTCCACCACGTGGAGGATCATGTTTAAAACCGGCAGTACATGATTCACAATGTTGACCAGTATGACCATCTGGACAAGAACATGTTTCTACCCACGTTGCCTGATTCGATCCTGGACTTGCAATAGCTGTTTCAAGCATCACTTCGTCAATAAATCCAGAACCCATGTCAGAATATGTAGCCTTGATCTTAATGGCCGTAATATTGGCTAACAATGCAATAAAATCACGTGAATTCAATTGTGGACTCCATCCATAAGCCATATCTTCGTTCAAACGGAATCGATAGGTTTGCATTCGAGAATTTGGTAATGGATTTCCTTGGGCAAAAATAGGCGATAAAATTTTGATGCCATTACCTTCGATAACGATATCTTCGATGGTTGAAAGAATGTTTCCTTTACCACCAGTGATCTGAAGATTAAATGTTAGATTTCGATTGTATGAATATTTCTTATCATCCAAGAATTTATGAGGAGCATGAAAATACAAGGTATTATCATGAAAACTTGATGTAGCTCCAATATTTTGTCCAAGGCTATTGTATTGGATGGATATGTCGTTGCCATATTTATCTTTGACGATCCATCGTTCGGAATCACGATTGAATGTACTTTCGATTGGATAGATGGAATAACCTTTTGAACTTGTACATTGATTCGAATGTCCATAACAGAAACAGGCCACACAGCCAAGATCATTGGTTAATTGTAGATCGAAAAATCCCGGTTTACAGCGATCGCATTTCTCACCTTCAACATTTTTCTTACAACGACACTTGCCTTTGTTATCACACAGCGGAACATTATCTTGGCTTCCTTCTACACTGCAACCACAAGGTCTGCAGCCATTATGGCTGAAATCAAAATAATTTGATGCACAGCGATCACATCGTTGTCCTTCAACACCAGATTTACAAATACACTGACCAGTGCTGGAACATTGAAGGCTTACTGAACCGATCGGGTCACAGTTACAAGCCAAACATCGATTCGTTTCAAGATCGGTATAATAATTTTCTTTACATCTTTCACAATTCGGTCCATCAGTATCATCGGCACAATCAATACAATGACCCCCGTGTCCGGTACGTCGCCATAAAACTTCATCGAAATAACATTTATTTGATCGGCCATTGCAGTTGCAAGCTAGAATCGATTGAATAAAATCAAAAAAAAAAAATTGTGATAATAATGCAAAAAAAAGAAAACCCTAATCACACAATACATTGCCATTGTTGACCGGTCCAGATTTTAACATCATATGTATTACTACTGGTAGAATAGGTTTTTGGCTGTGCTAATATCATCATACAAGTTGCACTAGATAGCAACAACAATAACAAATGGTGAATCCATGACGACATGATTATGGAATCAATTGACTTTGTTTTGGAATGAACACAATATTTTCACAAAAATATACTATTGAGAATAAAAAGAATTGAAAACATTCAATCTTTTGGGGTGAATTTTTCCATCTTAAAATATAAAAATCAATTCGATTGACTTTCCCTAAACTACGCTGAACAACTAAACATTCGAATACTTATGGCAATAGAAATGTTTGAAAAAAGCGTGGGTGATTATGGTCACCACCAACATATGAAATCCATCGCCATACATAGCCATGATTGCGAAGGCAGTGAAATGATCAAAAATCTCTTGATGAGATGAGCAACAGGTCTTGCTATATCATGTTTTTTCTTACGATTCATTTTTGTATCTCTTTATGGATTCATGGATTTAATGAATTCAGCTGATACTTACGTTGACAAGCATAGGCATTTTTGGTCGTAGCACGACGCCATGGTTGATCATTATAGAATGGTAGACATTTTTCACAATCCACACCATCGGTATTATGTTCGCATTGACAAATTAAACGTCGATGACCATCCTGATTATTGTTTGATGGTATAACACACCGATTAGAGTGTCCATTACATTTGCAACTGAAAGATAGGAATCATAATCATAAATCATATAATCATAATAAAAGTTAAACATGTATTCACTTACATCCCACCAATGGAAAGATCGGATATTGCATAATAATATGAACGAAGTACTTGTTCATCACCAAAGATTTCATCGCCGAATGTATTCATATTATCCAAAACGATAAGAATATCGGTGGCAGTTACAAAATCCTAACACACATAAACATAATGGAGTCAAGTTATTGATATAGAACCGAGAATAATCAATCATACCTGTAACCGTTCATTGTTTTCAAAATGGGTTGCATTCGGTCGACCTTCAAGTGTTGTGAATACAACATTTCCACCTGTCAATGGTGAAATGTCACTGAATTCTTTCGTACACATGGCCTGAGTTTCATCAAAGTGACTAGAATATGCACGATCAGATACGTTATAAGTTTGTAAGCAATTCGAACTATAATATTGGAATGGCATCCATGGTCCATTTTCAGTAGTACGTTTGTATATAGCGAAACTTTCAGCACGCGGTGAATAAAACAAAAGCCGTACATATGTAATTTCGAATGCTTTTCCTAACGGTATGGTAATGTTCACCTGTTTGACACCTTCCATCATTGTTTCACTTTGCCACCAGGTTATACGATTCATTTGATCTACATCGATCATATATTCGGGTGGATGTGCAAGAGCCACATTTTGTGCATCACAAATTTCACATGTTTTACGAGTCGTTCCAGCCGCTCCGGTTTGAAAACAATACTGACTAAAACCATTCAAACCACAAGTATTGGTCGCTTCAATCGGCGCATTATAGGCTGCATTGACAAATTCTGGTGCACATTTTAATGGTCGATTTAATCGGTCATAACAACTAGAACTTGGATTCGGTACAGGACCTGGATATCTCAGCTGTGGAAATATATTATTATTGTTGTTATTATGATAATTTGTGATTGAACCAGCTCCATTTCTATAGGGTTGATTTGCTTGATAATATGGTTTCGGATATGGTAAAGGATCATAACGTTTTTGGCCAATGACCAATGAATACAATATGAATAATAATAGAATCAATGTTTTCATCAACATTTTGGTCATCTGAAAATAGCCACACTTGTCACTTAAAAAGAGATAATTAATTAAGAATTCGATGAATGTTGATGAAGCAATTTGAATTTCAACATTGATACATTGTTTAAAAAAAGAATTTGATCGATCAATACGATCTTTGAACGGAAATGGCAGTGATTGTATCGAAAATCAATTATTCAGATTGATTCAATTTGAAACCAAAAAAAAAAAAAAAAAAATGAAATGTCTATGTGTGTGCGGGAGAAAGAAAAGAGAATCTTAATTTTAGAGAGGGAAAAAAAGATAAAAACAAAGACAAAAGACATTGATCATTTCGAATACAAGTAGTGGTCTAATCATTGGCTGGTTGCTGCTCGGTCTAATCATCACCAAATAAATTTAGACAATTTTCGGTTCCTAAGAAAAGTTCGTTCATTAGAACATAAACACACAAACACCAGATAGGCCCATCATCTAAAATTACTTGTTTATGTGTCTGTGCATTCAGTATCCACCGATATATATCATGGGTGCTGTCATTATACCACAATCCCTCTTTGAACAAAAAAAAGTTCTTCTCTATTTGACAATCAACTATAAATGATTGAATGATTAGTAATACTAATCAAATGTCTGAGCCACTCCTCTGTTCATTTTATTAGGGGAAAAAATGGTAAAAATTTATTCAAAACCGAATCGAATCATAGTTTTCTGAAAAAAAAGATTTCCATCAAAAATCCAAACCACCACCTCAAACTATACCACAATGTTTCACACACACACACACACACCCAGATGCTGATTTATCCAGTTATTTTAGTCAAACTACCCAAATGATCTTTACAGTTGCCGCCGACAAACGAATAAATGAACGCCCCTAACACCAAAATAGCTACACTAGTTATCTTCTTGAAAGTTTAATGTATACAAATGATAGTCAAGTTATGTCAACAAACTAATGATAGACATATGGTGGCCACTACCATCATCATCACCCAAAAATAGTAGATGATAATCAACCATGACCAACCAGATGTATCATATCGAAAAAAAAAATTAGAAACAATGTTACTAGGAATAGATTTTTCAATCATTTTCTTATCGAATTTTTGCGAAATCAAATTGTAGAATGTCATTATCGATGATGATGTGGTTCAAGTCCAACATTTAGATTAATTTTTCTAATTAAAATCAATAATGATCATGATTGTGGATAAGATGATTCGATCAAAATGGCAATATGGCCGGAAAGCCTGTTGCACATTATTTACAAAAAGCGAAAATTTAAATTTTTTTTCCAATCATAACATTTATGAACAGTTCTTGTATGACGTTGAATTGTTGATGATGATCATTCGAATCAATCTGATTTCTTTGGGATATTTTCTTTATTCCATTATTATATTATTATAAATTAATAAATTTATATATCTCATTTCATTCCATTTTTTCTTAATTAACTTTGCGGCAATCATGATTCACAGCCTATTTTTCATCAATAATTCTGGGTAAGAGAGCAAATTATAATTTTCATTTCAATTTTTCTTTAACAGCTGTTTTCGGCTCAATTTACAGTGATATATTCATTGAAAAACATTGGAAAAGCGTCATACCTCGATCTGTTTGCGATTATTTTCTTGATGCACAACGTAAAGTAGATTATTCATCCAATATTAGCCCGGTAATTGCCACACCTCATCATATATTGATTTCAATTCATCGATCTGGATTATATTTTGTTGCTGTTACTACGGGTGAAATTCCTCCCCTATTTGTGATCGAATTCCTTCATCGTGTTGTCGATAATTTTATTGATTATTTCAATGATTGTACAGAATCTTTACTCAAAGAACATATTGTTGTAGTGTATGAATTACTCGATGAAATGCTCGATAATGGTTTTCCATTAGCTACCGAATCGAACATATTAAAAGAATTGATAAAACCACCGAATTTTCTTCGTACCATTGCAAACACTGTCACTGGACGTAATAAGTAAGTAGTGATGACTTTTAAAGAAAAAATTATATAATTTAAATACCATATATTCAGTGTCAGTTCCACTTTACCAACTGGTCAATTATCCAATGTACCATGGCGTCGTTTCGGCGTCAAATACACCAATAACGAAGCCTATTTCGATGCAATCGAAGAAGTGGATGCCATTATTGATAAAAGTGGCTCAGTAGTTTCGGCCGAAATACAAGGATATGTATGCATGTGATTTGTGTTGAAACCTTTAATATTATTATATTAAATTTTATTCTCACCTATAGATCGATTGCTGTGTTAAATTATCCGGAATGCCTGACCTATGTCTATCATTCGTGAATCCAACACTATTTGACGATGTTAGCTTTCATCCATGCATTCGTTTTAAACGTTGGGAATCGGAAAAGGTTTTGTCATTTATACCACCGGATGGTAATTTCCGTTTAATGTCCTACCATATTGGCGCTCAAAATATGGTCAACATTCCGATTTTTGTACGTCATCATATTTCATTCAAAGAATTGATCGGTGGTAAACTGGAAATTCAAATTGGAGCTAAACAATTAATGGGTAAAAATGTAAGTTTGAGACAAAGAAAAAGTTGGCCAAGAATATTATGTTTTATGATTTTGTTTGGAGATAGTTAGAGAACATATTCATCGAAATGATCATGCCAAAAAACGTTCTTAACGTAAATCTTGTACCGAATCAAGGAAAATATACATTTGATTCAGTAACAAAATTATTGGTCTGGGATGTTGGAAAGATGGAAATTCACCAAGGTAAAAGCTTGCCAACGGTTAAGGGTAATATCGTTCTACAAAGTGGTGCACCGATACCAGATTCGAATCCAAACATATTAGTCAAATTTAACATTTCTCAATTTGCTATATCCGGATTAAAGGTTAATCGTTTGGATATGTATGGCGAGGTATGTGTTTGTGTGTGTATTGATTGCTATTTTGTGAAATGTATAATTGAAAATTTTGTTTTTCTCTCCCCCTTTTTTTCTTTAACAGAAATACAAACCATTCAAAGGAGTTAAATATATGACTAAAGCTGGTAATTTTCAAGTTCGAACCTGAAAGAAACATGACAGAATTTACAATGACTTAATTGAATTTGAATGATAAAAATAAATTTTCTATTGATCTATCTATAGTTTAATTTTTGTTTCATTGCAATTTTCACAAATTTTCTAATCATCTTGACCGGTAGCCGTATGACTTGATGATGATGATGATTCACTAGATGAATCTTGCCTTGCTACTCCAAACCATTCATGATGTAAAACTTCATTCATGTTAATCCGTGTTGATGGATTAGGATTCAGATGTTGATTTAATAAATCTTTAATCTGTGGTGATAGGTTTCGATTGAATTGATATTTACGATCCATTTGACTTTTTAACAATTCTTTATTGTCTCGATCAGTAAATGGTAATCGATTGCTAACCAACACGAACAATACGACACCCATGCTCCATACATCGCTTATCAAAGGATTATATGGCTGTGATTGTAGCACTTCAGGCGCAACATATGCTGTGCTACCACAATATGTATCGGAAAGCATTCGTTGGCCAGAATTACGCTCAAAACAGGTGCGTGCAAAGCCAAAATCAGTCAATTTCGAAATGGTTTTAGCTCGATTCAATAGAATATTCTCGCATTTGATATCACGATGTGCAAATCCCAACGAGTGCATATAACGCAAAGCATCCCCAAATTGAAGATAAAAATATCGTGCACGATCTTCGGGCAAAGCTTTAGTCCGATGAAGTAGATCAAGAAAATCGCCACCTTCTGCCAGTTCCATGAAAACGATTACTCGATTGCCCACGACCAGTATGTCCATTATATCGATAAGATATGGATGTTTAAGTTTTTTCATTGTATAGATTTCACGTGGCAAAAATTTCAACCGATATTCTTCTGATGTTTTTTCCAAATCTATCACTTTAGCAGCGATTGGCTCCCCTTTGTATGTTGCACGGCATACACAGGCAAAACTTCCACTATTTAATGGTTCGCCAATTTTGAAACCACGTTTTTCCAACAATTTTTCATCGTTTGGAGCCAATCGAATTCTTTGTTTTGATTGCATCTTTATTTGATCAACAGCAAAAACGATCAAAAAATAACGGCCAGAATCAATAAACGAAACATGAATGAATTTAAACAACCTTTATACGCCGTCAGAAACAATCAAGAAAAAAAATTCGAATGATTAAGATTTATTGTAATGTAATTAGCAATTATTATAACATATAAATGATTTATTAATAATTTTATCAATAAACAAAAAGATTCGGAAATCTAAGAGCAAACAATGGAGGTGCTCGTGAATTTATCTGACTAATGTCACATAATGACAAAAGAGGATTATCGTAAACATGACAATTTCCTTCGATTGATCGATGATTGACAATCGAAATAATGTCTTGATCATGATGGTCTAATGTATCCAAACTATGTTTGCTGGGATTTTGGATCATTTGATTTTGATGTACTTTTGTTTCTTGTGCTTGAAAAGATTTATCGATAGTGTCCAAGAGAATTTCTTGCAAGCTTTTTTTCTAAAAAAAATAAACAATTTAAATTAAATATAATGCATTTTAATAAAAATATAAATCATACCGATTTTGGATAATTTTCGACTAAATCTTCAAATTTACTATTTTTAAAATTGTTCAACAGATTCATACGGCGACGTAAATCTTGTTTGTGATCACGATTTGGATTTATCAACACCTCTTTGAAAGTATTGAAATTAATCTCTTGTTCAGGTACTTTCTATAATTTGAATGAAAGAAAATTAATATGAATGATGATTAAAAACGTGATTAAGAAAACTTACACGTACGGTTCCAGGTGATGAATTTACACTATCAATTTCGACCGTTATAGCATTCAAATCGCTAGTACTGCGTGTAATCGATGAATCAACTAATAATTTAAAAGAAAAATCAAATTTTAAATCCGAAATATAAATATATACAACAATTTCATACCATCACAATTCGATTGGAAGGGTGTATTCAATGCAAGCGTATCATGACCGGTTGTCTGAAGGGCTTCAGATATGACTTGTTTATTGAATAAAAGTTCATCAGCAACTAGATTATCTGCACTATTCTGTCGGCTAGGACTATTCTCTTTCGATTTGTTGTTATTTTCTCGTTGATTATGGCCATTCTCGGAGATAAACAATTCACCACAAGTATAATTATTAGCTAAATGACAATATTCAGGCAACAGATATTTTGCTTGATCAACACGAGTTTTAATCACTTGTTCAACATGTGTACAGATTGCTGGAATCGCTTTCAGATGACTAAAAAGATGAAGAAACCCAGCAACAATACTATGGATATAACATCGATGCGAATCGGATAGATTGAAATTTCTCGAGATGGCCATATCTTGCAGAGCAAATGTTAACCGAAGTAAATCGATGAGCACTTCATCCGAATTCATTTCTACACAAATCAAGGACATGGTAGTGAAAATACTATCGAAATTTTCTTTTGTATTGGATTCTATCTGTATATTCCTATAGATATGGACAAGAATGTCATGGCCATGTTTACGCATAAAGTTTATATCATAACGGTCGGCCTTTTCAATGGTCAATGTTTCCGGTGGAACAACAGTCACCGGTTTAATGAGACGAGGTAAATTTTTATGACGATCAAGTAATTGATGGAAAATTTTCTGTACTGTTAATCGAGTTTTTGGATCCGGTGATAGGGCACGTGTCAATAATTGATTCAACAAGGTGGATGGAAATGTTTGTATCATGCTCACTGGTTTATATTTGGTCGTTACTTTAAGCAAACTTTTCAATATGATATTCTGCAATTGTTGTTCAGTTGCTGATGTACATAAAGCTGGTGGTGCTTTATCAATGATGAATATCATTGTTTCAATTTTCTGATAATCCGGTAAATTGGTTGTAAATTCACCTAAAGTATTGATTACCGCTTCCTGAAATTGTTTCTCCTCTTCAACAAATTGTGTTTGAATATTATTGATCGAATCATGCAGATGTTGAAGAAGTGAATTAATCATTCCAAGAACGAATGGACCAATTGTATCGGCAGGTATAGCAATGATTTCATTCAAAACATTGACAATACCAGTCTGTACTTTTATTTTATTTTCTGAAGCACAATTTTCCAATTCACGTCGACCTTTGGCCACACAATCCAAATGATTCATGAGAATCTGTATGACAGCTGGTTTTGATTGTATTGAATACATTATAATTTTGAATGTTTCAATAGCAAAATTATCGCCCGTTTGATCGGCTGCCATTTCCCAGAAACGATGAAGATCGAAATGAGTAATGATAGGTTTAAGAATATTGTGTAAATGACCAAAACTAGCACGATTGATTAGTTCACGTAAGCATTCAGTAGCCACGTCATTGGGCATAGATGATTCCAAATCATTTTCGGTAAATCTTACAGCACCCGGTAGCAGCAGACGTGTCTGACTATCTTTTAATTTTGAATCATCTTCGAAATCTTTGCTTTTCATATTGAACAATAGTGATGGAATTATCTTGCCCATATTATTATCAGCCCAGATATTCACTTGCATATCATCACTAACTGCTTTTAATATTAATCCTTTAATGCCAATCAATCCGGCCATACGCAAACGTCTACGAGTGACTAGATTTGGATGATTATCGTGACAAAGTGAGGCAAATTTACTGACGAAAAAATCATAGCTACGATGATAGGCCGGTGTATCTTCTTCAATTTTTGCAAATTTAACAAACTAAATGTGAAATTATAATGAAAAACAAATGCATAAAATTTGTCGCTTTTAGTCATACCGATTGTGTAGCCAAAATTTGTAATTCTGGATCCTGACTTTCCAGAACTAACTGAACGACTTTGAGAAAACTTTCCATAAATAAATGGAGAGAATTGTGACATGTTTTCAGCAATTGATCCATAGCTTCAACGGCTATTAAAACAAAACCAAATCGATGTCTATATAGATCACGACCAATTCGTTCAGCTAGATAGGCGCCAATTTTATCCAATTTATCCGGTGATGACATTGCATAAAAAATCAATTTTTCCATATTTGATTTGACCAAGCCATCCTATAAGGGCAATTCAATGAAAATATAAATATTATGATACAAATAAGAAAAAAACCAACCTCTGCATTCGATGGAAAGATGGTATCGACAAGTCTTTTATATCTTGGCTTAAATGGTGAACAACAACAAGCACAACAACCTAATGAAAGGAAAGAAAAAAAAAGAAAAAATTGTAATATAATTTCAAACACACAATGATCATGAAAAAAGGTTCATCGAACTTGGCCATCCATTTTTTTTCAGGAATAAAATTTGTTATTTGCTTATTTCATTTGATCCAATCCATATGTAAATTGATCCATTACGAATAAACAAATACAAAAGGAAAGCAAACAAAAAAAATTATCATGACATTTGCAGGTCATAATTTTATTTCATATTTCTATCACCATATTGATAAAAAAACAATTGAAAAAATTTATTCAATCTATTAAAAGATTATAAGGGACACCTGGCAGATTGTTTGTCCTAGAAAAATTTTATTTTGTCATTTTAGGCGAAATATGATATGAAAAACAAAAAAAAAGTCCTTGTGTATTGCTATATGAAAAACGAAACAAAAACAACAAAAAATACAATGAATCTCAAAGAATAAATAAAATAAAGAATAAATAGCGGAGAATACAACACAAGGAATTTTTTTTCACAATGTTTAAATTGTTTTTGCGTAGGCGGAAGTGCCAGATTTTTTCCTATGAAGAATGATGAGACAACAATTTGGCCTTAAATTGCTTTCATCATCATAATTATTATATATAAACCAAATAAGACAGGGAAATCTTTCTTATAAATTATCCAATTTTATTATCCAAACAAACAAACAAAAACAAAAACAAAAATTATTACATAGAGATTCAAACAAACAAACAAAAAAAAGGAAGACCATCTATCTATCTATGCTATAGTTATAACTAGAACTTACATTGATCACATCGATTAAACCATCCACTACCGCCACCACCACCACCACCAACACCACCACTACTGCTGGCAGTGCCACCAATGCCATCATTATTGCCATTTCCCGCATTGGAAAGTTGAAATAGATTCTCCAAATTGAAACAACAAACGATCGACATTTTTTTTTAGAATCGTTTGTCGTCTTTTCTTTTTTACTCGACAAAACACTCACACACACACACACACAGTGATATGATCAAATTACATTAACAGAATAATAGCGGGATATGAACAAAAAAAAACCAAAATAAAGTAAAACAAAAAATAATGATAAACAACAAATGAAACAAATGTGTAATTCGAGAACAGTAAACAATATTGGAATATAGACAAAAATTCAACAATTTGTTTGTGATTGTCAATCAGTAGAAAAAACGACTTTTTCTGTGGGTTTGTTGTGTTTGCCAACAACAAGGAAATGTGTGTTTGGTTAATAGATTTTTTTTTTGTTGTTGTTGTTGAATAATGATCAAATGAGGGAGATCGAAATTCAATTTTCATGTACAAAAAAGAAAAAAATTTTGTTTTTTTTTGTCTCAAATCAGTCATTGCACACATACAAACACACACACACACACACACAGCAGTATACTTTCAAGATCAATTTTGGACAAATTTTCAAGTTTTATCCAATGAAATGATTGTTTAACAAGAAAAAGATTAAATGACAGGTATATAATTTTTCTTTGTTTGTCTTTAATTTTTTTCGAACATATTCGTTATTTGTTTATTTGTTTTTTTTGAAATTTGTAATCATTATAAGTATTGTGTGTGTGTGTGTGTGTGTATACTTTTGTTTTTGTTTATGTATGACAAATATTGAAATGAAATGAGATGCAAATTATTTTTGAAATTTCAAATCTAATTGGTAAACTTGAACCATGTAGTTTTTTTTCTCTATACAATGATTATTTTTTTTGTGTGAATTATTATTTTGAAAAAATTTCAAATTAATTAATGAAATGAAATATATGATAACAATATTAATATAATAATAATTAAATGGCTAGAATTTGTTGATTATTAATGTTGTTGTTGTTGTTGATAATTGATTAAATCAAAGTAGCTGTGAATAACGCCATGTAGCACAGATGCTGGAAAACCAGCATGACATTGGCCGTCTACATGAACGGCCAATGGCCGTTGTAACCGCCGCTGTATTGCTTCTCATTGTATTTGCAACATCTTCCGATGATGTACTATCCGATGATGATTGTTCTTTATTCTTTTTCGATGATGCTGGTCGTGGCAACATTTTTTTTTTTGGTTTGGTTTGTTTAAATTTTTCAAAATTTTCAAGAACAAAAAAGAAAAAAATTCAAAGATGTACCAAAAAAATTAAACACAAACACCGTCAATTGATTTGTTTTGTTTATATGAGACAAAAAAATCGTTTGTCGTTGTTAAATAATTGTGGTCGAAATGAAAAAAAAAATTACAGGTCAGGAAAAAAAATAAAGAGAAAGCAAAGAAAAGAACAGATTTTCAATTAGTTTTTATCAAATGTAGTGTCATTTTATAATGACAAAATCAAGATAATTTCACAATATATAAACTTATTATTATAGAAGGATGATTATTAAGAAATATGGAAAATATCAATGAATTTAATCAGTAGTTTTTCAGATTACACAAGGAATAGAAGAAAAGAGGTATATATGAATGTGTGTGTCCAATGTCTTCTGCGTGTAGATCATCAATTAATAATTAAATCAAGAAAAAAAAAAAAATATGATCATTTCAAAGATATGAAACAGGTTTTATTTGTCGTTGATTCAATTGCTCAGGTCAAATGGTTGTTATCGCATCGATCAAATCAAACGATTAACGAAATTATAATCAAGGGGCAAAAAGAGAAATGATTCAATTAGCACTTTGAATTATTATATCTTCTTTATTTTTTTTTTTTTCTTAAATGAAAACGATGTTTGAGGCAATTTCTGGTTTACACAAACACACAACTCTACTATATTTGAGGCACTTTTAATAATCGGATTTTTTTCTGGAGATGAATATTTTGAAGAATCTAATTGTCATTCCACACAAATGAACGTTAAAAATCAAAAATTGTTGAATTTAAAATTTTGGAAGAATTTCCACTTTCAACAACATAACAATAATAACAACACCATACAAACACAACATTCGAAAGACAATCATTTGACTTTCAATCGCAAACATGACAGTCGCAAAAAAGTCAAGAATAATAACAAAATAACAGACAGACAAGTCAGTTGGAGTAAATAGAAATGTCCGATTGAGATTCACAATATTATTGAGAAGATATTCAGTCAGAAATTATAATAAGGGAAAAAAAGAAACGCCATCAAACACACATACACACACACACACATAGAAGCATTAGATGATGGTGAATGAAGCCAAACAAATGCCGATGACAACGACATACATTTGCGTTTTTTAGTTGTTTGTTTCAATGGAACACTATCCATCTAGCCATCAACAGAAAAAAAATATCCAACCAACACGCCATGCGCTATGTATCAACAAAATAATATATCGTTTGTGTGTGTATTCAATTTTTTTTTTGATTCTACAAAGAGCCAGCCAACTATCCAGCTTTTATATATTATTAAATCAATGAAAAAAAACTAACAGACAAAAACTAATAATTTCATATTCATTTATTATTATATTTCAATGTCGTCTCAAATCGATGATTGACAACACCACAACGAATGAATGGTTGTTTTAGATAAATGGGAAAAAAATTGCGGCATACAACAACAAAAAAAAGCTGAATAGAAAATCGATGGCACCACCAATATGATGATGAATGTCAAAAAAAAGTAAGGACAGATTCAATCGAATTATTAGCCAATTATCAGCTCAGTGGTTGTGAATTTTAATTGATTAATTTTTCTGTTTTTTCCCTCACAGTATTTGTTTTTTCATTTCATCAATCAAGGATTCGTTAACAATATTTGAGACCCATTTTTTCAGTTTAGTAATCCTTGATTGTCAAGGAAACAAAAATTATTTTTCTCTCAAAATAATCATAAATCAATCAATCAATTAATCAAGAAAAAAAATATGCACCCAATAACCATAAAAATCAATTAAACAATACGAATGGTATAATTGAATCCGGAAAACAATTTTTTCAAATAGATTAACCAAAACGAAAATCATCAATATTGTAGGCTAGATATATCTGGTTCAATTTAGGTGGACAAAGAAAAAAAAGGTAGGCTACACTTAAATGCATTTATTCTGGGTCATCCAAGAGGCAGCAAAACCAAACATTTTATGGCACGATATTCATTAGTATACTTGACATCAATTTTAAGCAAATATTTTGATAGATATCATGTCAATAATGATAATAAGCTTAAGCTTCTAGGATTATCAATTAATTGATAATTTAGTCAACAACTTGACATTGTTTTTTCGACAATCTGCTATGAAAGAAAAACGATTTTTATCTCATCACATTCCACAGCAAACAATGCTTATCATCTAAAGAATCTTTAAGCAAAATGAAATCAGATGCTTATTTTTGGAAAAATCAAAAAATTCAAAAAAACCTACTACCTTCAAGGCAAGATTTATGTGGTTGAAAAATGATTGAAAGTATATGAGAGTGGCAAAAAAAAATTTCAAATAGAATCAAAAAAAAAAAAAAAAAAAAAGTCAAGAAAAAAGGCAATTTTTTATGATCATGATGATGATAAGAACATTCAAACATACCTGACATTTTTCTTTTTATAATTCCTTTTTTTTATTGATTAATGATTTTTATAAATTTTGCTTGATGAAATTTGATTATTATCAATTTTAAAGGTTTAATTAGATAGGTTTTTTTCACAGTTCGTTCGTAGAAAAAAAGCTTTCGACAATAATTCGATTATAAACGTGGCTTGTTGTTGTTTTTTAAGGCCAAAGAAGAAAAATGGACCAAATAATTTTTTTTTTAAATGTACAATTGTCAGATTTATACATCTGGTGGTTGTCTTTATCAATTAGTTATAGAAAATTCATTGCCAGCTTTAAAAATGATTAAGATGATTATTTTACAACAAAGAAATAATTTTCTTTTTTTGTTGTTGTCGATAGACTTGACTGGCTTGTTGTTTGATTGATGATTGAGATTCACCCTGAAGTGTTTGTAGTGGTGGTGATTGATTTGAAAACAAACAATATAATAGATTTCATACACAGAAAAAAACACCCAAACAAAAAAATAAAATTCGAATAATAACTGAAATGAAAAAGAACGTAGTTAATAGCAATCGTTGACTGTTTTTTTTTATTTATTTAATTGTATCTCACGTTGTTGGTCGCTGGTGGTGGTGGCGGTGGTTATGGCATTTGTTTTCGAATCACAACAATAAACAAAAAAACCACAAATGGTTCAAATTTGAATTTGAGATTGTTGTATGAAGATGTTTAAAAGATGATGATTCAAATGGATAGCTTTAACTAAACGATCACTTATCATAACGATCCATGATGATGATGATGATGATGAGAGAGGATAGCTTCAATTGAGTGAAAACAACAATAAAATCCAGATGTAGCATCAACAATGGAATAAACAAAAGCCAAGAAACACAGTGTGTCAAAAATCATGAGCAGTAGTAGTTGTTCCAAGCAAAACAAAACAGAAAAGAAATGAAAAGATGTTATACATCAAACTATATATATTCGGATGTTGTTCATCATCTGTGTAAACAAATGTTATCCATAAAAAAATATAGCAATCATGGAACAAATTGTAGCCGTTAGATTATGATTGGTCAAACAAAAATGTGGCTTATCATTTCGAACAATTTCTATATATGAAAACTAGCAAAAAAATTGATCCGCACTGCAGTGGAAAATATTTTGAGCTAACACCAGAATACATGACAGAATTCGACAATTCGAATTCTTTGGTTACGATAGAATTCATTGCAATCATGATGATCAAAAAAAAAAAAACAAACACAATCAAGAAAGAAATGTGAATGAAAAAGAATGTTTCCAAGCTCAAACGTTATTATGTAATAAGGAATCTGCTTCGACTGCCATCTAGTGTCGTAGAAATGACAAAATTTGAAAATTTTTAAAAATAAAAATTCATGCATTTATCATTTTTTGTTTTTGTTTTTTATTTTATTTAAATCAACTCAATCAATTGATTATTATTTTTGGATATTTTTTGCAAAGTCGTTCACTATTCAAAACAATTCTAGGAATACATTATTAAGTTCATCACCATATGAAAAACAAATATCCAACAAAACGGACGTTATTCATTGATTTCCTGTTTAGATTTCCGTATGAATGAGAGAAAGAGAGAAAGAGAAAAAAAAATTATCAATGATTAAAGCTGAAATTTTCCAATGAATTATGGAAAAACACACACAACAATAACAACTACGACAAATTACGGCAATCGAATTGACGTTTAACCAGATCACGTCTTTTTATATGAGTTGTGGTCTTTGCTTGTTTTTTTTTTTGTCAATTAATTGGATAGAAACCAATTCAATTTGGTAATCATTGTGGATGGACATGATTTTTAAAAAAATGATAATTTCAATGATTAAAATGTGGACTTTTTTAACAATTCTGGTATTATTAATAATTCAATCACAATCAACGATCGCCATTGAAGATGAAAATGTTTCAGATAATCAAGAATCATCATCATCATCATCATCATCATCATCAAGATCAACAACGAATGGAATGCATATTGAATGTTTGGAACATTTTACATGTTTATCATTACAACGTAATAATGACCATTTACAAGCATTGAAAATGAATTCAACATTACCAAATTGGTATGAACTTTGTAATTGTGATCCTTATTGTCATGTATTTGGTGATTGTTGTTCGGATGCACCGGCTATTGATAAAATCAATTTCGATCATTGGTCATTTGTACGTGTACGATTTAGTTCGAAGATTAATTTTCTTTCTTTAATGAAAAATCGCTGTCCAATTGATTATCGACAAAATGAATTTATTCGTATACAATGTGAACATTCATGGTACGATCAGATCTATAATTATTTATTACCTGAAATGGAACAATATCTATTGTTTGATCAGGAAGAAGAATTTAAAAATTGGCATGTAACAAGTCGAAAATCATTGATAACATATCGAAATCTATATTGTAGTATATGTAATAATGATACAGAAATCGATTCATGGAATCAACGATTAATGTGCCAAAATGAAGATAATGACAATGATGACAATAGCCGCCGTTGTACGGCCATTCATCATCAGATGGCGCCGGAAATTCTTGGAAAAGAAAAATTAAAACGAACACCATTACAGAATAAAGTATATTCAAGCTGTAATCTTGGATGGTATAAAATGAATTATTTAAAAGATCCAAAATCTACTTATGTAATAATGAAAAAATGTCTAATATTTTATGCACCGGTTGCCGTGAAAGATATGAAATCAAAAAAATATATTATATTCAAAAATGAACATTGTGCCCATTGTAATGGATATGATTCAACCACAATTGAATGTGCACGTATGGCTGTTGATCAACCTACACAAGTACCACATTCATTTAATTCGATTGTAAAATTAGATACGAATGGAATTTTCGTTGATAATCGTGATGAAAATCGACAATGTCCAATCATGTCCATTTGGAATCCTTTTATTAATGAATGTCAAGAAATAAATCAAGCCAATAATAATGGTATCCAACAGAATCAATTTCGTTATCATAATCAAGCATTAAGAATGGATTGTTCATTATTTGAAATAATGATTTTATTGATATTGGTATTATTATTATCATCATGTCCATTATGAATTTATAAATTAATTTTTTTGAGAAAAAAAAATTTAAATTTTTTTTTTTTTAAGTATTTGAAAATTTTGTCATTTGATCATTTTCTTTGCGTACAAAATATCGTTGTAATGGTGTGATTAACAGATAGATTGGATTGCTCATGACCACAAAAGCAATTGCCGTATTCACAATATTTACCTAATAATAAATAATAAATAGAAAAAAAATAGATAGAATAAAAGAAGAATATATCATTTAAAAAAGAATTTCACTCACATAAATGACGTTCGATTCAGAATTCTTTTCCCATGAATATAATGGTATCTGAAGTAATGAGATCACAGCACTAACCGAACTCATTATACCTAATAATTGATTAAAATGATCGGCATGAAATCGAATTCTTAAAAATGCTGAACCGACAGCTAATAAAAATGAACGATAAATAGTAATAAAAACAATGGATGCATAGATAAATTCTTCACGATCAAAATAATGGCATACAACACAAATAAGCAATGTAAATGATGTGATGAATAATGGCCAGAATCCGGATTGTGCTTGTCGTATTCGTTTTTCCAATGGATCTTTTTCGTCCATTGTTTTACTCAATTGCCAATCCATTAATAGACCAGCAATGGGTGAAACAACCAGAGCAAGTACTTGAACAAGTCCATATATGTTAAGAAATAATGATTGGCTTGAACGATCTTCTGTAACACGTTTAGTCCAAAGATCTAATGATCCAACATACATAACCATGTAGGTGATCATCCAAGAGAACCAAAGCTGATGAAGATTATATGGAAATGTACGAAGAGAAATACGAAGTGGTGGTGTTTTTTTCAATACCGGTGATAATGGATGCGATTGAGAATTTACAATTTCAGTCGATTGATTTTGATCAGGTTCAAATGCTTCATTCACAAAGCTTGCATTGATTTTTTTCCTCATCAATGTAGGTGATCCAAGTGGTTTAAAATTCTGTAACTGAATTGATGGCTTAATCTCTACAGCTATTGATTTTTTATTTGGAAATAATAGACCATCAATATTTGCAGGATAAATGATATTATTACGTTGATCGTGTTTATAATCAACATTCGTAACTTTATTGTTATTCGGCTCTCGAACCTTATCGTTTGGCAATACGAACAATGTGAACGGTATTGTAGCCAGACTTAGTATGACCAAAATGAATTGTACCCAGAAAAAATGTACACCACCAGTATCATAAATATATTGTAAAATAACATAGATAATTGATGATGCACTGAATGCACCGGAATATATCGATATGATTGTCGATCGTTTTGATGGATATAGATTCGATATCTGCATATTGGCTATACGAATCGGTACACCACTTAACGACATTATTAATAAAGCCGGAAATAGTAGCCAATCTCTTCCTTAAATATTGATAATAAATAAAAATTTTAAAAAAAATTTATTTACTGAAAAAAATTAAAATATCGGTATTATTGTCCTTGACGTTCAAGATGGCTATACTATTAGAATTTCATCTTTTTCAATTTTTTTTTTTTTTTTTTTTTAGCCTAACTATAAACTTCATTGAAAATACAATGTGACAATTTTAATTCGAAGTCATTGCCTTTACGATAAATACATACACATGTATTGTCACATACATACATACATCTCATAATGATCATTCACATTAACATTGAATTTTTATCACTATATATATTTTTTTTGTAGTAATTAAACTGACAAGCTCCAATAAATGTTTGTAATAGACTAAAAGAAAAGAAAATTTGTCTTCCCTTCACATGTTTTTTTTTCAATAGCAAAAATAATAATAATCAATTTGATTGTTGTTAATTACACACACACACATCAGTTGTAATTGGTTCTAAAATGAATGTATGTCCGGTTTACCTTATGACTTACCTCTAGCAATGAAACAAAGAATAAATGCGCCTAATGCAAACATGGCACTATCAGATATATAGAAAATATTTCTTTAGTTTTTTTTTACTATTTAATTAAAGAAAAACATACTTGATTACTAAACGAACGATTCGTAGGCCTAGTTTTTCTAGTAAAAATCCCCATATAAATGCAGCAGCACCCATACAGAATGATCCAATAGAAAAGGCAAGATTAAGTGTCACTTCTTGTTGTTTACAACCATGATTCATTATCGTTGATGATAACTATTTTAAAGATATTAAAAAAATAGATTAAAAAAATTTGAAAATGATGAAATCAATCCATCAATCAATCAAATAAAAAAAAACATACTGATGGCTGAAAATTTTCTCGTAAATATAAATCCAAATAATTTTCAAATGTTGATTTCGATTTAGATGGATCGGTTACCAGTTTGATGACACCAAAATCATCATTAGCATTGGATTTCAATATCAATGATGAATCATTCAATAATTGATAGATGAAACTATGGTTATATGTACCTTGTGTTTCAAACGGTATGACTATAACAGTTTGATGATGATCATCATCATTATCATTAATATTCGGTGAATCATTATTGACTAATGTGAAATTTACTTTCAAAGTAAAATTTTTTGGTAATCGTTTTAATGTTGATGATGATGATGATGAAAACAATTTATGATTGATAATGGCACTATTGATTGTTGATGAATTGATAGCTTTTGTTTGATTACGTGGTCTATAAGGCAACGGGATATTTGATTCGGATGCCATTAACATTTCATCATCATTATCAATAATGACCGATGATGATGATGGCATTATTTTTGTTGTAGATGATGTTGTATCAGTAATATTATTATCATCACAAAGATAATCATAGATTCCTTCATTTTTAAGCATCAATTTTAATGATGTCCAACCAAGTATCGTACCACTGAAGATAAGTATCTCTAATAGGCCAACAACAACAACCAAGAATCGTTTCCATTTAGATTCGTACATTTTTTTTGTTTTGTTTATGGATGTTTATCGAATCAAAGTAATGGCAGCAATGGTGAAGAATTGACTGTTGTTTCTTTGTTTTTTTTACACACAACCAAAATCAAATTAGAAAAAAAATCAATATATTACCTTGTTTTATTGGTCGCCGTCATTCAAGACAAGGAATAATAAGCAGACAATCATGAGAAATCATTTTTGGTTCAAATAACAAAAAAAAAAAAAAAAATTCAACTCAACTTTCCACCATTCAATTCAAACGATGAAATCGTTATGAAAAAAAAAAAAAATGGAAAACCAAAGTAAGCAAGCAAAAGTTGTTTAAGTACCCCGGCATTTATCAATTGCTGTAATATGTTATTTTCACTATTTCCATGCACACACACACACACACACACACACACACACATGTACAAAAAAAACACAGGTATTACAAATCGAATAAAAATATCAAATGAATCAGAGATTTAGTGATTATATATACTATATCATTATTATCATTTGTGTGTGTGTGTGTATAATATGCATGAATCGAATAAACTCACATGGTTGTTGTTTCGCGCGTGTATTAAAAACAAACCAAAATTTAAAAAAATGATGATTGAAAAGAGAAAAATCAGCCTTTTCATTGATTTTATGTTTCTCTTTTTTTTTTTTTCTACGTACACAGACAAACACACACACACACACATACGATTCTAATTGATTGATAGGAAATGAATAAAACGAAGAAAAAAAAATTTACCTGAGGATTTTGTCAGCTGTAGCTATAATAGCAGCCGGTCGGTCAGCCGTATATTATAATCACCAATCACTTTCTTCTTTTTTTTCTTGGTTTTTCCTTGAAAAGTTTGTTTTATTTTTTTTTTTAATGGGATAGATAATTCTGGTGAATTCAATGGATGATGGTAACAAAAAAAAGGAATAGAGAATCAAGAAAAATGTTTAATATGAGGGTAGGTGGTCGAAATGGTAGGCGAACAAAAAAAAATGAAATGATTAAAAAAATTGACAAAAATTTGCATATATGTGATTTATGCCCATACATGAATCATCAATAAAGATAAACATATACCAATTTACTAGCAATAATTAGTCTTGATGAGAAAAAAAAATTGGCTAAACAAAAAAAAGAAGAAATTATCGTAATTTTTATCAAAAAGAAAAAAACAATTTAAAAGATTTGAATCAAAATTAATAAATGAAATTCAATAATGACCATTGTCATTGATAAAATTGATTGAAACAGTGACCAAATAGGAGAGAAAAAAAATCGAATAATTTAAAAACGTTTTTTTTCTCATTCTCAATTTTCAAACCAGGTTTATATATTGACCTTGGATATAAATTACTACTTACCCAAAAAATAATAAATTTTTTTCTCTGATTAATTCGATGAACAATAAAATAACAATTTTTTTTGTGTTGATCTGGTGATCACACACACACACACACACACACAAAAACAGAATTACAGATCACTTTATTTCATGTTTAATTCATTTTGATGGATGGATAGGCTGACCTTTTCATTTGTCATCGATGATTGATTATTGTTGTATATTTACAACTAAATAACAATACGGTAGTCGGCTTGGCTTGAATGGATGGCTGTCATCAACCGAATCAATTTAATCAACAGAAAAAAAATATATATGGTTACTGTCTCATTTATCGGCCGTAAATTTGACATTGATCATTTTATAAACGATTATCTGGAAAATTAATGAATGATGATGAAAAACCATTAAACGACAAAACAAAAAAAAAAAAAAATCATCTGACTTGATAATGATGAAATGTGGTAATCTTTTTTTTTCTTGACAATATTTCACCGTATTTTTTTTTATATATTTGTCAAATATAATTGATGATGAAAATCAAAAGAAGAAAAAAAAACTTTCATGCTAAAAATTCGATTCAAAAGTTAACAAACAGAAAAAAAACGTTAAAATTAGTGATGGTCGATTAATCGATGATGACAATTATGATATTTTTTTTTTTTTAAAAAACAAATTTGCCTGAAGAACTATTATTTCATTTATCATTACTGATTATTATTATATTATTATTATGATTAGCAATGATAACAACAGAAGAGAGAGAGAGAGAGGGTCGTGGTCGTTGTTGTAAGACGATAATTTTAAGCCAAATTCTTATTGGTTAATTATTAACAATTACGACTAAAAAATTACCTGCGTATAGAGAGGTAATCATCATAATAATCATATATATATAAATTTTTTCTTTATGCAACTTTTTTAAAAACTTATGATGGCAATATAAAATTCAGAAAGAAAAAAAAATAAAGAATGAAAATGAAAACAAAAATTCCCATAAGACTATTATTACCTGTTGGAAAAAAAAGAAAAGAAATCACGGAAAGAAAATCAATCATATGTTCGTAATAATGGCCAAGACATTTTTCAATGTTCAATATATACAATTATTGATCAGATCAATTATGATCTTGAAAATGGATTTGTTCCGTTTTGGTTTTTTTTTAATTTTCAAATTTTATTTTGACACAATGAATGAAGGATTTGTTTCTTTTTTTTTACTATTAATTACAATATATGTTTATGAAAAACAAAAACAATAACACAATTAAATTGTATATATATATTGATTGATTTTGAAATTTACAATTTGTCAAACAAAATAAATATAAACATGATGATTTATGAGGAAATGGAATTTGGTGACAAGACACAAAATTCGTTCATGATCATTGCCATTTTTTATTTTGGCAGTTACATTGCCATACGTTGAATCAATGTATCCGTTGCGCTTGATTCTTCAAAAAGCCAACGTATTTGTGTTCCTGGACCATAACCGTATTTATTTTGTGAAGCAATTCGAAATATGATGGCAGGTTTCGGTCCAGGTTGAATATGTGCCATTTTAATCAATTGTTCACTAATAATACAATGATTTTGTGCACCTTCGTAAACTTTTAAAAATGGCTGATCTTGTAATTGGTTTTTGCTTGGTACTTTTTCCTTATCAACAGCCATGAATACAGAATGTTCGATTATTTCATTTAAATCGCCGGATACTATATTAAGCCATGATATATGCACTCCTTCAGATACACTATAAATTTTTACATTACTTGGTGCAGATGGTAGGTTTGCGGCACAGGTTTGAAAATGACCACGTATAGGTCCTTCACACCAAGGTCCTAAACCATGTGCATTAATACCAGCTACGCGAATTTTGTATCGAGTTGCCGATTCTAATTTTACTCGTTTAAATTGAGTTGAATCATTATATTCATATTCTTTGTCAATACGATTATGAGTGGTTAATTTTTGAGGATTTTTTGGCACAAAATAATGTTCAATACAAAATGATGGTTTGGAAAATAAACCAACATCATACCAAATATCTTCGATAACAGGCGTAATAGATGTTGTTAAAGTACCGGACGTTTCGCTATCATCTGGTCCATCACTTTGTGGTATCTTTGCCGTTTCTAATGACTTAGTCTTTGTAATCGAATCTCGTCGGCTTTCGCTATCATTAATAGCAATTACATCGCTTGTGGATGATGAAGAGGATGGAGTTGATGGTGGTGGTGGCGGCAGTGGTAACATTGCTGTCGTTGTAGCCGATTTATTTGAATCCACTGACCCGGAGGTTGAAGTCAAAGCTGTCGCTGATGTTGTTGGTGAATTAACTGTGTTTTTTGATGCTAGATGATTTTTGACCATGACCAATAATTCTTGTGGGGTTATTTTTCCATTATTCCTTTCAAGAACTTGTTTGATTTCAGGAAAACGTTCCACTGGAGTTTCAGTAAATTTTCCAGATTTTTTATCAAAAATTTTGACAACAATCTTTTTCCCAATGACTTGATTTGTGGATGTTGTAGTTGCTGGATGATTGGTCGCCGTAGTCGGTAGTTGATTTGATGAGGATGATGTCGTGGCCACTGATTGTGACAATGATGGCTTTGTGTTTGGTATCGATTTAATTGGTTGTGTTTTATGAACGACCTGTGAAGTTAATTTTATTTGAACCAGATAACGTTCGATATTAATATCAGGATCGACGGTCAAAAAAAGTGAATCGAATGTTGATTTGATTAATTGAAGATTTTTTGGTGCCAATGGACATTCTAGATCTATGTACCAAAAATCGCGACAGCAAACCTGATTATTCCAGGCTTTTCGATATCCATCTCGGCCTGACCATATATAAAGTCGCGAACCAATAATGGCAGATGAATGGCCAGCTCGAGGCTTTGGTATGGAATCATCACTATCGTCACTTTTATAAATCTTCGGTGCTATCCAATGCAGTTGATTCAAATCTAATATGGCCAATGTATTCGAACATTTCCAATATTCTTTAAAGTTGGATTCCGAAGCTTTTGAACTAGCATTGTTGTTTGTCGATTTATCCATCAAAGTCCAACCGCCAAAAATGTACATTTTGTTGCCGACAACATTAGCTGTATGCAATGAACGAGGTTCTGGCGCAATTCCAGTAATTTGTGGCGAACTCCATGACATTGACTGTAGATCCAATATCCAAACATCACTAAGACGATTATTATCCATACCACCATATATGAGCATTCGATCGTGGCCAGTCGTTTGATGTTTGTGTATGATTGCTGTATGTGATTCACGTGGACTGGGCGATTGACCTTTAGTTACCGGTATCGACCATTTATAATTGCTAGAATCTTTACCAATGTCTAGTATGTAAAGATCATTTAGATATTTAGGACTATGATTAAGTGGGTCATCTTCATTTTGATTGAACATTCCACCGAAAAGCAAAATCTTCTGTCCGGATGTATGCATAACAAATGAATGGCCAAGTCGTGCACAAGGAGATTCCTGATTCTTTTCTACAAAAGGTATGATTTTTTTCCATTCCCAATTGGTCAATTTTAATTGATATAAGGATGTCGAATATCGACAAAATTCCAACATTCCACCAAATACAAAAACATTAGTGGCATTATTTGTCATTCCATAGGCGGCAAGACCAGGTGGTGTATCGCCAGTCATCTTAGGCCATATCCACTTATTTTCATCTGTAATCAGAAAAAATGTTTCAAAAAATCTACAATGTATATGCAATGTACTTACTGGGTATATAAACATGAAATTCATCGATGATGCCATCATTGCCACCACCGAATATGAGCATCATATTCTTGATGGTAATGGCACGATGTCCATGTCGGGCTTTTGGCAAGTGACCAGAAGAATTTTCAATTTTGCGCCATTTCAAGAATAAATTTTTCTGTACGGACATTTTGATTGAACATCGAAAAGTATTATACATCAGTCATATATACAAAGTATATCCACACACAAACTCTTGTGGCTTAAAAAATGCGCGCATACAATGGATACTATTTTCTATAGGGCGTGGCCAATGTTAATTTCCAATTTCGCAACCTCGAAAATTTTTCTATGAATCTAATCGTATTAGAATTTTTTTTATAGTTTTAAAATTGATGAAAAATAATTATTTTAAATAAATCAATGTCAGTAATCATCAGAAATTTATATTTTTTTTTAAAGCCGGAAATTGTGTTGGAAACAAGCAAAATTAGAATGTTCCTATCATAGAAGACGTATTGCAAAAAGCGGCTCAAATTTTTCTTATGAATATCGATGGTGAGAGCATCGATTGTGTGTTTGTGAATGTGTGTGTGTGTGTGTGTGGCAAGCATGCCACTTAAACTTCCTTTTCTTTGCTGTATTGGTCTGTGCGTGTTTTTGCTTTTGTGGCTTGATCCAAAAAATTTAATAATTCAAGATGTCTCTAATTATTCCGGAACGATTCCAACATATTCTTCGTGTTATGAACACAAATATCGATGGTAATCGCAAAGTAATGTTTGCATTAACTTCGATCAAAGGTATTGGTCGACGATTTTCAAACATTGTTTGCAAAAAAGCCGATGTTGATTTGAACAAACGTGCTGGTGAATTGTCCGAAGAAGAAGTTGAACGTTTGATCACCATCATTTCCAATCCACGACAATTCAAAATCCCTAACTGGTTTTTGAATCGACAGAAAGATATCCGCGATGGTAAATATTCACAGGTTACATCGAACAATTTGGATACAAAATTGCGTGAAGATTTGGAGCGATTGAAAAAGATTCGTGCTCATCGTGGTCTTCGTCATTATTGGGGCCTACGTGTACGTGGTCAACATACCAAAACAACTGGTCGACGTGGTCGTACTGTTGGTGTCAGTAAAAAGAAGAATTAAAATACAAAAAATGAATATTTGTATCGCTTTCAAATCTTTTTTTTTATTATTGAAAAAATGAATAAAAACAATACAAAATTTTTAATTACAATCTCTTCTGCTTTTTTTTATTACATTTGTTCGTTTTTGATTTCCATAAAATTACGTTTTTGATTTCCATAAAAAAATAAAATTATTTTAAAAAATATCAAATTTTAAAAAAATTATCGATTGTTAATATCGATATTCATGTACGATATATCCCGAACAAAAACCATCGTCGAGATTTGGAATCAAACGTTGGCCACGCCTTATTCAACAATGTTTGTGTTGTTTGCACCATGATTTATTCGATTGTTGAAAATTATGATTTTGTCATATAATATAATATAATAATAATAATACATTTTTAATCTTGATAAGATCACCATCATTAATTTCGAATAATTAATTAGATAAAATCGACGAAACTGGCGATAAAATTGTTCGAGGATTCCGAAATGTCCTCGATGAAAGATTCACTATTATCCAAATGGTGTAGAGTAGAATCACCGGCAGGTATTGCTCCAAAACCTCGACATGGGCATCGAGCCGTTACTGTCAAAGATATGATGATTGTATTTGGTGGCGGTAATGAAGGAATCGTTGACGAGTTACACATCTACAAGACTTGTAAGTTTCAAGTTAATTCAAATTTTCGATTGAATTTTGATCGATTCAAAAATGAGTAGTAGAGACATTTATTTTGATTGTGAATTTTTTCATTCTTATAAAAATACAAAAATATCCATTTTTCTAATCATAGCATCAAATCAATGGTATAATCCAGCATTGAAGGGTGATATTCCGCCCGGTTGTGCTGCTTATGGTATAACCACCGATGGTAATCGAGTGTTCATTTTTGGCGGTATGGTAGAGTATGGAAGATATTCAAATGATTTATACGAACTAAAAGTGACAACATGGGAATGGAAAAAAATTAGAGCACGGACAGCTAAAAATGTGGAATTGCCTCGCGCTCGACTTGGACATTCATTTACCATTGTTGGTAATAAAATTTTTCTATTCGGTGGACTAGCAAACGATAGTGACAATCCCAAACAAAATATGCCAAAGTAAGTGCTCTCTTGATTCGTCTGGTGAATTTTTTCAAATTATTCATGATATTCATTAGATACCTGAATGATCTATATGTATTGGAATTGAAAAATTCGGGTTATCAATGGGATATGCCAAATTGTACGGGTGAACCACCTACACCTCGCGAATCACATACGGCCGTAACATTCACACCACGAAACGGTCCTGGTCCGAAATTATTAATTTACGGTGGTATGAGTGGTTTTCGTCTTGGCGATATCTGTATCTTAGATATACCGTCCATGACATGGAGTAAAATTGATCCTTCAGGTAAGCCTAAATTATTTTCAATCAAAAAATCTGAAATTCCAATTTCTATCAGGATCAATACCATATCCACGATCGTTGCATACGGCTACAGTAATTGATCAAAAAATGTATATATTTGGTGGCTGGGTGCCTGTATCCTGTAATACTGATTCGGCTGTATCCGTTGAAAAACTTGGCCAACATCAGGAAAAAGAATGGAAATGTACTAATACGCTTGCAAGTTTAAATCTGGACACGATGCATTGGGAATTTAATTCTGTCGAAATAAGCGATGATAATAATGTACCGAGAGCTCGTGCTGGTCATTCTGCCGTAGCAATAGGTTCAAGACTTTATATTTGGTCAGGTCGCGATGGCTACAGAAAAGCATGGAACAATCAGGTCTGTTGCCGTGATCTTTGGTATTTGGAAACAGAAAAACCATCTGCTCCTGTTCGGATTCAATTGGTCAAAGCAACAACGTCGACATTCGAAATCACTTGGGGATCGGTGGCTAATGCCGATTGTTATATTGTACAGATACAGAAAATCGAATCACCCGACCAGCAGACAACACCAATTGGATCGACAGCGGCAATGAAAAAGCCTATGCTTCCTCCAGCGACAAATCCGTTGCCAACATCCGTTCCCACTACAATGGCAACAACACCTGTTGCTTCCAAGGTTACTCCTGCTGCAGTCACACCTACAGCCGTATCGATTGCAGGAATCAATCCACATGTGCCAGGTACAGCTGCTGCTGCTGCTGCTCAATTGTTACCAAATTCAAATCTTTTGCCAACTACACCTACTGCATCACCAATCAAAGTGTATACAATTCCAAAAACACAAGCTACTGTTCAGAATGCTCTAGGTCATAATGCTCAGATTGCTACAGCTTCTAGTACGACCGTGCCAGCACCAACGACAATGTCCGGTATGGCTGCATTGGCTGCTGCTGCAGCCGCAACTCCACGCATAACAACAAAAACTTCGGCCGTTTCAACTGCAAGTAATATCCGGATTGTTACGCCTACCGTACAACTTCATCCTACCACATCATCATCTCCTGCTACTGGTATTAAAGTGACACCGGCGGCTAGTACATCTACTGCCGCGACATCTCAACAATATCGTTTTATTACAACATCATCAGTTCAATCTGGTACCAAACAGATTTTCATCAAAGGCAATACTGGTGGTTTACAAGCATCACAACTTATTTCGTTGGCTAAATCATCAAATGGTACATTACATTTTGTGGGAAAAATTCCCAACACTGGTGTTACTGGACAAGGACCACAGCAGATTGTCAAAATTATTACACAGAATCCATCCAAACCGGTTACTGTATCAGTAGCTTCAACATCATCTACGGCCTCAACTTTAACCACCACTGATTCTACATCGTCAACTTTATCGGTTGGCACAACAAACACGCAGCAAACCAAGATTATTAATACACCAACAAATGTAAAAATGATCGTATTACCTAACTCATCCAGATCGGGACAACAATTAGTCATTGCACCACAAACTAGTACATCAAGTAATGCCCAGACTTCAGGTTCCACTCCTATGGTATTGAACAAATCTATTAAAATTCCCGTATCTGCTATTCGCAATCAAACGATACAAGGTGGCACATCCAAATTGGTCATTTCCGGTAGCCATTTACAATCCAATTCAATTCGATTGATTCCGTCTAACAATAATCGGGTAGTGTTGGTACAATCCACACAGCCAACAATATCAACAACCGGATCAACTATCATAACCACTACGGCTGCTACTACAATCGCTCAACCAATCAATACAGTTGTTACAGCTACAAAAATTCCGCAAAGTGATGGGCCCGAAGATGAAGAACCAAAAAATGAAAATTCTGCCTTAACTACCTTCTCAGCAGAAGACGATCAGAAGCCACCCTCTATTGATCAGGATGCAACGATGATTGATAGTCAGAAATCAGGAACGAATAAAATGGAAATCAGCGAACAAACACCATCATCGACCGTCACAACCACAACTACGTCAACCATAACGACAACAGCCACTGCTACAACTGTCACGCCTACAATTACCAAACCAACCATTGTTGTTACACCATTTGGTATAAACGCAAATAAAAAGGCTGAAAACTCAACTTTAATCCATCGTCCTTCAAACATTGCGATTAATAATAATAATGATAATTATCCTGTTCAGCAATCATCAAAATCGACATCTCATCAATCGCTACAACAGCAGGATAAATGGTATGATGTTGGCATATTTAAAACAAATAATTGTTCTATTACGAATTTTTTGGTACCTAATGATGATACTGTCAAATATAATGCCGAGTCGGATTTTGATTCAAAAACTTGTCCACAATATGAAAAATTTTCCCGTGTCTATCTTGAACCTGGTACATCATATCGAATTCGTGTGGCTGCTGCTAATCTATACGGTCGTGGACCTTGGAGTTCAGCTATTGCATTCAAAACATGCTTCCCTGGATTTCCACCTGCTCCAACATCAATTAAAATAACCAAAAGTTTAGATGGTGCTCATATTTCCTGGGCTATACCACCATCAGCGTCGAAAGATATAACCGAATATACTGTTTATTTGGGTGTCAAAACTGTTCAATCGCAGAGTGGGGATTCATCATCACTCAATCCATCACCGTTTGCTTTTGCCAAGGTATATTGTGGACCACAAACGGAAGCTATGATACCGAGTCGTGTGTTGATCGATGCATACATCGATCAAGAGGCCTCGAAACCGGCCATTATTTTCCGTATTGCGGCTAAAAATGACAAAGGATATGGACCAGCTACGCAGGTTAGGTGGCTACAGGAAACATACCAATCACCAGGATCATCGACAGCTGGATCAGCATCTTCATTGGCAAATAAACGACCATTTTCTCAAAATAATGATTTTACTTCGTAAGTATTATATTTCTTTTCTCTAAATTTATTTAATTTGTTTCATGTTTTCATTAATTTTTGTATTTATATTGTAGGAACAGTAGCAAAAAAAGTAAAATGTAATAAATTGTGTATTGTAAACAATATGGATTATTTAAAGACCACTAACATTGTCGATCATCTTCGTCGCTGTCCCATTTAATCATCACATGGATTTAAGTCGAAATTTCCTCTCTATTGTAAATACATTAAATTCGAGAAAATGACAAGAAATTTTATTATGTTTTCACCCCGATCGCCATTCATATAAACAAATTCTTCATCACCATCCGATCCATGATATTCTGCGCTTTGCTTAAAAATTTTGCCATCATCATCAACAATTGTCATCGACACATTTGTTTTCGTAATCATATATGAAAAATATAAATAGCAACAGACATTGGAAGGAAATGTTTGATTTTAAACTGGCAAAGAAAAGAAAATTTTAAAAAAATTCACTGTTCATTTTTCCAACATTCGATTCATGTTTTTTCAATATGTGCTAGCTCACGTTTCAGTTTTCTTCTCTAGATCAATCAATCGATCTATAGCATTATAATTCACTTATATTAAAATTATTTTATCATCTGGAATTCTGATTATTATAATATAATATTCACACAAAAAAACCATACACACAATTTTTGGATCCTATCACATTATATTGACATGTCGACATTGATATAAACACATTTTTTATTATTATCAAAATAAGTAGCAATTTTTTTTTGATTTTATGGATAAAAACTTACTTACACACGATTGCAAATTCACACATTTAACCCAACAATAAAGATTGCCAAACATTTTGTTGGCTTGTTTGAATGTTCATATTATCATCTTGTGACACAAACATATTCAATTCGATAAGATGTATTCATTGCACACTTTCATTTTCTTCATAAATTGAAATTCTTTTTGACCGATTGATTATTATGAATTTTGTATGAATGTTTGTTGTTCTATTTCTCTCCGTTGATCGATTCGATTCGAATGATTCAATTTTGTGTGTTTGCTTACGGCTTCAATCGATTTGGTCTGTGTGAATGAAAAAGGATAAATAAATATTGGTTTATAAAAAAAAACATTGATCGACGACGGATTTTATATACTTTCAATTTGATACATAGTAATCGACCCATTAATGTATTCATCTCGTCAAATTCAGTATGTGTTTCATTCAATCCATTCGTTTTTTTTCATGCGAAAATTTGTTTTGATTTAGATTGACTTAGAAGATTCTATTTCGAGAATCTAGCATTTTTGTTTATTTTATTAAAGAATTCCAACCTCTGTCGATTTTTGCTTGATTGCCGATTTGACTATTGAATATTCGATATTTTGTATGCGAACATTGTTTGAATGTGCGTGATTCATTGTTCATTGAATTAATACAGCATAATGTATTTGTTATCGAAAATTATCATCACATTTATCTGGTTGATGGTGGTTGCTTTGTATCATTATGATTGTGGCCCATCATACACTTATGATCCCGGTAATCTAATTTCATGTTTATAAAAAAAATTGTTCCGATTTTTTAACATATTTTTTATAGATTTAGCAAACGAATTACAAAGTTTATTGCAAACGAATCCGAATGATTTAAACATTTTTTTTCGTTGGGCATACACCGTTCAAGAGAAAAAAACAATCGATGTCTTGTTTGAATTACGATGCGATCTATACAAACTACGCGTTCTCTACCATTATCCAGAATCTCGAGTTATATTGAAAAAATTACCTAGTAGTAGAACGAAAAGTTCGTTACAACGAGATTCATTATATTCAAATTTTTCCGTACAAATTTATTTTTATCGGCGATCTGATGGTAGGTTATTATTTTCAGTGATCTTCCTTCATTTTATAAATCAATTCTTTTAATAGATTGTTTTGAAATCGGTCATTTCATCATACCTATACGTGAAATCGATCGAATTGGACGACCTAGAGGTTCAATCGATATAGTTCGTAATCGAAAATTTTACATTGAATTCAGCGATTCCAATTATGGACCTAGAACTGCCAATTTTCGTTGTTCATATCAAAATTCAACCTTATCTACGACTACGACTACAACTACGACAACTGCCGCGCCAACAAAAACTGTGACAATTTCCTCAAAGTCTCAATCAATAGCAGTGATCAAAGCAAAAAGTCAAAACCCATTGTCCAATGAATATTTTGATCATATTAATTCGATTCTAGCTGAACATACAACAATTCTGACCGAACAACGCCAACGAATCATTATGTTGGAAGAACAATTATCCAAATGTTGTCAAACGACATGTGATAACATTTGCGTCTCTATTAGCCACTGCCATGGTCATCATCACCATCAATCATCATATGCAAATTGTACATACATCGAACGGCCACAGCCGCCACCAAAACAAACTTGTGCTCATAAACCATGCTTTCAAGGTGTTCATTGCTATGATGATCCTACCAATGGCTTTCGTTGTGGACCTTGCCCTTCCGGCTTCAATGGTGATGGAATACGATGTGAAGATATCGATGAATGTCGTTACTATAATCCTTGCGATCCGATGACATCATGCATGAATACGGCACCTGGATTCTATTGTAAAGACTGCCCTAGAGGATTTCGTAGCCCATTGATTCGCGGTATAGGTCTTGAACAAGCACAACAATTACGACAAATTTGTCAGGATATTGACGAATGTCAAGATGGCCGTAATGGTGGCTGTGTATCTAATTCTTATTGCATCAACACAGCTGGTTCATATACTTGTGGCGATTGTGTGGATGGATATCAAGGCAATCAAACTGTTGGTTGTCATGCAAAATCGATCGGAACTGTAATTTGTCCGGATGGTTGTATCTGCCATCAAGATGCCTATTGCGTTAAACGTAAAGGAATGATTAGATATGAATGTCAATGCAAAATCGGTTGGGCTGGAGATGGAAGACTATGCAACCTGGATAGCGATCTTGATGGCTGGCCTGATATCGATCTTGGTTGTTCCGATATAAGATGTCGAGCGGATAATTGTCCTCATATACCGAATAGCGGTCAAGAGGACATAGATCATGATGGCCTTGGTGATGCTTGTGATCCGGATGCCGATAATGATGGTATAATGAATTTCAACGTAAATATTTGATGTGAAAAAATGACATCATAATCATGAAATTTCTTTTGTTTTTAGGATAATTGTCCATTAGTTTATAATAAAGACCAACGAGATAGAGATTATCGTAATAAATCCACTGCTGATAAATACGGTGATGCATGTGACAACTGTCCAACGGTGCCGAATCCTAATCAAATGGATTCAGATAATGATGGCATTGGTGATGCTTGTGATGATGATGCTGATAATGATGGTATCCCAAATACAATAGATAATTGTCCATATGTTGCCAATACCGATCAGAATGATCGTGATCGTGATCGTATCGGTGATCTTTGCGATAATTGTCCAACTGTTTATAATCCTGATCAATTGGATGCTGATAAAGATTTTGTAGGCGATGCTTGCGACAATAATAACGATAAGTAAATATTGAAAATTTCATCTGATTTGAGTCTGAATTAAATCATATCTATAGAGATTCGGACGGTATTCAGGATAATCGAGATAATTGTCCAGAAATTGCCAATGCTGATCAATTGGATTCGGATGATGATGGTCTTGGTGATGTATGTGATTTCGATAAAGACAATGATGGTGTATTCGATCATCAGGATAATTGCCCATTAGTATATAATCCTGATCAACGAGATACAAATCATACAAGCGTTGGCGATGCTTGTCGTGGTGATTTTGATGGTGATGGCGTTCCAGACATATTGGATGTTTGTCCAGATAATCGTAAAATTTATTCTACAGATTTTCGATCCTATCAGATGATTGCATTGGATCCAAAAGGTACATCTCAAGATGATCCCGAATGGATCATATTCAACAAAGGTGCTGAAATATTACAGACAAAGAATAGTGATCCAGGATTGGCAGTCGGATTTCATGCATTCGGTGGTGTCGATTTTGAAGGCACCTTGTATATTGATGAAGTCGAAGATAATGATTATGTAGGATTCGTATTCAGCTATCAAGATAATTCACATTTCTATGTAATGATGTGGAAAAAAGCCGAACAATTATATTGGGAATCTAAACCGATGCGAGCATTTGCTGAACCGGGTATTCAGTTGAAATTGGTTCATTCACCATTAGGACCAGGTGAATATCTGAGAAATGCTTTATGGAATACGGATTCAACACCCGGTCATGTGAAACTATTGTGGAAAGATCCAAGAAATATTGGTTGGCGTGAACGTACTCCATATCGATGGCTACTATTACATCGGCCAAAAATTGGCTTAATAAGACTGCGTGTTTTCGAAAAAGAACGCCTTGTTGCCGATTCTGGCAATATATTCGATGTTTCTTTGAAAGGTGGCAGATTGGGTGTGTTTGTTTTTTCCCAAAAAGCTGTCATATGGTCTAATCTAGTGTATCGATGTAATGAAGCTATCCCAGAATTAATTTACGATCGATTATCAACGGAATATCAGCGTCAAGTAGAAATCGATACAAGCCGTACGTCAATCATGATACAAGAAGATATTATTGGTAATCATCTTTAAATCTGAATTTGAATAAATGAGCCAACTCATAAAAATTTAAATTTGATGCAAATAATATGTTAGGAAAAAGTATGGACTTAAACGAATAATTTATTCAAGATTTTCAAAAAATTCAATTGATTAAAAATAATTTTGACAAATTATCTATAATTTTATGGTTTTACAGTGGTGATGCTGATTACTGAATCCAAATCAGTAGTCATGAAGTTATTGACTTTGTCCGTTTCGTTCAAGACAAATTCCGAATTTGTTGTTGGTGAAACGGTTACCACCTCATCATCTTCGGATCGACCCATTATTATTGGATTGCTACTTTCAGTAGTTGATGTAATTGTTGAATTATTACTCTCCAAACTGTCAGCTATTGTAGATGTTGTGGTGATCATAATTTCTTCTGATTTTGATAAATTTATATCTGCTCTTATCGTTGTAGGCATGATGTCTTCAACCATTTCTTTGTCGTTGGGAGTTTCATCCACATTTGATGTAACATTGATCATAAGTTCCTGATCATCAAAAGATCGTCCTAATGAATGGCTATTTGATTCTGTTGTGATTTCAATGTCTTCGATTTTGACAGTGGAATCCACAATCTTATCATCGTTGATGCTAATCGATGTTGATGTTTCTATCGAATTAATTTCATTTTTCGGGACAAATGTAGTTGTGTCGATTTCGCTGTCCAATTTTCGAAAATTGTTGGGATCCGAATCAGAAATTATTGATTTAATAGTGGTTTTTTGTGATGAGGGTGAAACAGTAATATTAGTGCCAACTTCAGAATGTGGTTCGACTATAGCGGGTTCAGCATTATCGGCGACAATAGCAGGTACATGATTTGGCAGAATTAATGACCCTTCAATGGTACTCGAATCAACAGGTGGTTGTGGTGATGAAATTTGAACATTAGAAATGTTTGTTCTGTGAATGAATTCAGGCATTCGTTCGGTTATTAAACCACTGGGTACGATACCATATTCTGTTCAAATAGATGTATAAATATAAAACAATCAATTTCAAATCATTGAAAGACATACCTAATGGACAATGGTCATAGCGCGGACAACATTCTCCTAGTACATATTCCGGTTCACAATCAAATCGAAATTGACAATCGGCTAATGAACAGGTGATTGAACTTCCTTGACAGTAGCATGAATAGCAGGGGCTTTCAGCATTGTGTATTCGTTCGCCATCTTTATAGTATTGACCATTATGTTCACATCCTGGAATAAAAACGCAAATTTCAAAGATGTTCAAACGTTTAAATTGACATACCACATTGATATGATGGACAACATTCACCAACATGACGTATGGCACGACATCCAGTTTTGATTTCACAATGTTGAAGAACACAGATGAAACCGGGCGGACGACATCGGCATGTTTCACATGGATCATCGGTTGGTATTGGATCGCCATCTTTATACATTACATGATCAACGGTACAAGCTATTTATCATATGATAAAATGTTATACAAAAAAATTACGTAATTAAAATCGATTTCATTTGAAGAAAATGGCAGCTTTCACACTTACCAGTATCATTTGCAATGTAAGAAAATGCCCTTTTCGAACGTAGAAATGGATAACAATCTATTTTAGATTAATGGAATGATTATTGATTCTTAAAAAATTGATTGATTTACTCACGAATATGATTGATTAATATTGACAATGTAATGATAAACAAAACAAACCGATGCCAATGGTTGCCCGAAGGTTGCATCTTAAACTTACTCTATAAAAAAACACTTTGACCAGCAAATCAAAAATGTACAAACGAGAAAAAAATTAAAACATCAAGCATTTATTGATGCAATCAAATGTGATCGGATTGAATGACGATAGAGACAAATTTCAATATTGCTGAATAATTATAAGCGGGTGTTACAAAAATATTAATAATTAGATCCCCGACAAGGCTATTTTTCTTTATAGAAAAATTTTCTCGTTTTAAAAATTTGTATATTTACAGAGAAAAGAGATCCGAAAATCATCAAAAAAAAACTTCACTTTGACTCAATGTTAATGTGACCATAAATGTATTTGGATCATTAAACGATGAATTCGATCATACGTTATAATTGCTAATTTGCAATTGTAACCGATTCAAAATCGAATGAAATCGAAAAATTTTTCAAATACCTCAATGTTCTCAAACAACCACAAAAAGTGAATGAACATATCAAATCAAATTGGAATTGATTTTTTCGGTCAAATCACAGATCAAGAATCTAATAACTTTGAAGTGCTAGAAAAAGTGGAGAGGAATCGACCATCAAAAATCAACAAGTGGCAGTATCAAAGAACTCTCACTTTCAGCTTCAGAAAGTTTTGTCGATTAAGATAACTACACTCTACCACTCTCCTTTTTTATCAGTCCATCTACCTGCTTTTTTTCGGTCATAATTTTCTTTCATTGCTGGTTGTTTTTTTACATAACAAAAGCAAACGAAGCATGAAAGACCTGTTCATTCAATATATTCATCTTAATGACTAGAACCAGGTTTTTCTGTATATACCGAATGGGCTACATGTCATTACTATAGCTAAATGTCATAATCATCATTTTGCTTCGGTATACCTTAATTTGAAGACCGAAAGTTCGACAGTGTACCTTAAGGCAATCGTGCTGAATTTATTGATATTTCAATTCACATTATTTTTATTGATCTTGTCCTCGGTAGTGGATGAGATTGAACATAAACGAAATAAGCAAAAAAAATATACACATGAATGTTATCAATTACATCTTGTTGAATGAATATTTATTTATTACAATTTTAGAATTAAACATATTCAAATCAAGATATATATTAAGGCGCGTTTCAATACATGGGCGGGTTCAACGAGTTGATAGATAATTTGTAGAATATAAAAGTACAGATATGAAATGATTGCTATGAAGCCTGTATAGTTTTGGCACGAGCAACAATAAATGTTATTTCAATTGAATCCGGAAAATTCTGTAACAATTTCATATTGGATGCAAAATCACCACTCATCAACTGTTCACGTAGTATTCTGTATGATCAGTGAACAACAAATAAAGAAGATAAATAAAGAAAGAAATTAAACTATTGAAACTTACATAATCATTGAACAGCAGAGTTTAAGCAGAAAATCGAATCGATTCTCATCAGAAAACATATAGTCCCAAAGACGAAGAACATCAGGCAATGGAAACTCTTGTGATAGCAACAATGTGATCCATCGGAATGCATAATAATGAGGTTTGATTCCTTGAATCAAATTTATCTGTTGACATAACTCCTGATCTTCTTTGCTCAGTATCTGTACTAGCCGATCCATTCGACTTACAATACCCGATGAACGATCAGAATCGGCATGCTTATTAAAGATGTCCCGAATCTCGCTCATTAGATTGGTAAAACACCAAAATGTATCGGCTTCACTGTGATTACGCCATTCCAACTTGGAATCATTTGCAAATACATAGTATATCGGTCCAATGATTTCGTTCATTCCTTGCACGTAACCTTGACCGGGATTTAGTTTAGCGTAAATAAATAATATTCGAGCCACAACTTGCCAATGGAATTCACCATCATTCGAATCAGCTGGCATGTTATCAATAGATTGATTTTGATCATACACTTTGTTCTTACGTATTTCGGTCATTCCAAAACAATCCTTGATCACATCGATACTATGAGCTGAATTATTCATACGTCCGGAAAGAATATCACAGTCAGATGAATTGAATTTGCGAGCAATTTTTTGCTGAAAAAATGATATGTCCGGATAAAGGCGACGGACGTCTTTGTCACTGAAATTTTTGGAATTCGGTAAACATAATGGAATTCAAAAAAAATAAAACTCACATTTGTAGAAGAATTTCATTCTCACGAAAATAGTTCTTCCAATTGCTATTTGGATCAGTGTTCAAAGGCTGTTTTTTTTATAAACATACGTCATTCGTAAATTTGAAATTTTTCTTGCAACTAACTTACATGATCATCTTGAGATTGGCCAATATTACCATTCTCGATTATAAGATCACGAATAAATTCTTGGTAAAGTTGACGTTTTTGTTGCAAACATTTGTTCCATTCATTTCGGTTGATGGGCAAATAACTGAGTAGTAACTAAATTGCAATAATATTAGAATTGTTGACGAGAAATTGAAGATGGGCACAAACCTTCCATGCAATGGAACGGATATGTTTATCATCATCGGGACAACCAGATTCGAAACAAATTTTTCTTAATCGGCTGATGTCAAGAGCCGATGCTACCTCCAATTGTTCTTCATAGATCAGATTATAAAATGATTGTATCCTGTAATGAACAAAATATGAATCATCATCCATACAATTTTATACACATACAAATCAATCAAGCGTTTTTTATTTTGATGAAGTAAGAAAGAAAAAATATGTTCTAACAATTATGGCAAGATTTACCTTTGTTTGAAAGCCATTCATTAAGAGAAAAAAACTGAATAAACTTGATGATTGAGCAGAAAAAAATATGAGATGCCTATTATTTTAGAAAAATTGGCGTGATCATCATCATCAACCCAATTGTAGTTTCGATGACAATGATCGAATACACCTGACAATATCCAATTTGACAGTTATATTTATTATTTTAAAAAAAAAATCTATGGAATTACAAATTGAAATATGTTGAAATCATAAATGATTCAATGGGATGGACGAATCAAAAATTGAGCCTCTATAGTAGCGGCTATAGAATCGATGTATCGCAAGAAATGTTAATTCATACTCATAAATTATTTCATGGAATATTCTCTGTCTTAGCTGTTATTATTCTCCTTGAATTTTGATCCATTAAGAATTTAAACAAGAAATAGAGTTGTTTCTAAATTGAAAAAGTAAAATTACATCAATTATCTCGCAATCGCCCACACAAAGATTTGGCAGCTAAAATTGACATTCATGAACTTTTTAAAAGATGTCGTTCCAAATCAAGAAAACAACAATAACCTTCAGAAATTTTGAGTAAATCATATAATGAATGAACTTTAATTATGAGAGATCCAAATTTATATTAAGTTTATGCCTTTGTTTTCGACTAACTTTTTGATTATATTCTTTTGAACGAACGAATTATTATTTCAATATCGGGAATGTTTTATTTATTTCAACATTTCTCTAAATATTTGTTCATGAAAATCATCATTTTTTACCATAAATAGAAAATACAAGTGATCGAAATTTTTTTTTTTTTTTGGTATGTGTATAAACGATGAAACGTTTTTTCTCTCACTAATTTCCATAGCATACATAGAAATAGAATGTCCAGCCAGGTGTGTGTGTGTGTATTATGCCTGTCTTTCTATCTCTCTCTCTTCGAACTTTCTAAAGCTTGTCAAACTTGGTAGCTCGTATAGTAGTTTATATGGATATATTATGTTGTTGCCTTGATCGACAACGAACAACATAACCAAACATACACACATACTCATTCATTGAGAGATCCAACATTTCTTTCTTTTGTTGAATGCTATCAAATCGTTTCCAGGCAGCCATCCATTGTGCGAAGCTAGCATCCTTAAAAACATCGTCATCATAACCATTGAGAAAAGGTGCGGTGTATTGTATATGTCGTTTTTTTGTGGTTTTTCTGGTGCATATAACAACATCATATCAGACAGAAAAAAGGGCCAAATATCATTACAATTAGTACTGCGATTAATTTTTTTTTTTCATCGAAATCTAATCAAATCGAAAATAACAAGTATCAGCCTTTTGATATATAGCGACAACGCCATATTTTTTTTCTTTGTATTATCACAATTCTCATTAACTTCTGATAAATTGATTCATCGATGATTGATGTGGTATTTTTTTTTTGGATTGTCACTTTAATTTACAAAATCAATTTTTTTCAAGATTGAATTAATCAGTTTTCAAATCGAATCATAAAACAAATATGTCGTTGGAAGATCCATTCTTAATTGTTCAAAAGTATTTATTATTTGTTTTTTTTTCAAATCGTTCTCATATGATTAATTGTTTTTTGTGGACTTTTTTTTTACTTAGTGAAGTATTCGATGCTTTACATAAGCTTCGAAATAATTTTACTCGATGGACCGAGCTGCAATCTAATCCAAGTCAATTATCCCGCGAAGATTATTCAGCTTTTGTTACTGAATTAAAAAATGGCCTGAAAAGTATCCAATGGGACCTAGATGAATTGGAAGAATCTCTTGGTATGTTTGGCCGAATCGATTACATTTCAATGGATTAATTTTGGATTACTCTATATAGAAAATAGTGAAAGAGCAACAACATTGGATGGTACTGAACTGACAAAACGCAAATCATTCATCGATAAAACTCGTGATGAAATTAAATCAATGACCGAACAGCTAACAAAAGGCAATAATATATTTAAAAAAGTGGATTATACAATCAATTTTGGTTCACAACAATTACCAAAACAAACAAAATATTATCGTTTGATTAATGAACCGGATAGTTCTGCCAATACAAAACAGGTGTTCGATGATGATGAATCACATAAATCACCTTATGTACCAAATCATTCAATGTAAGTTGTAATATATTAATTATTAATGAAACAGAAAATATATATATTCTCTCCCTAATCAACAGAACATTAGACGAAGCTGACCATACAATTAATGTCATTAATGCAAGACCGAATAAATTGGAAGGAATCAGACGGCTCTGGTTGAACATTGGTAATTTTAAATTAAAATTAAATTAATTGAATAATAACATTTTTTTTTTAATTATCATAGATGATAAACAAAAAGTCATCGCCGGTTTCACAGGAACGGCAATCATTGTTTTATTAGTATTTTTCTTTTGGTAATTAAATTGATTATTACAATATATGATGGATTGGGCCATGACGCAAATGCCGCTGTATACAATATAAAATTGACAAGATGATAATTTATTAGTAGAAAAATGACATTCCAAATTTTTTTTTTGTAAATACCTGAAAAAACTGTGACAAACAAAAAACAATTAATCAAGGTTTTTGGCTAATGAGGAAAATAAAATATAAAACACCTACAATTTTTTTCATGTATTAAAAGTTTTCCTTTTACGTTTTATGAATGGAATGAATAAAACAAATATTATCCGCCATGAAGTGTTGATATAAATGAAATCTGGTCATTAGTTTTTAAATGATAATCTTTATCACCCAATAGTTCCCAATCGATATCATTAACAAGTACAAGAATTCCAGGTCTCACTGAATCACCTGAACAAAATAATTCTGGTCGCTCTTTAAGATGTTCATCTCGAAGATGACCAATCAATCGTTTTATTGTCCATGGATGTTGTTTCATATCATCGTCATCATTGGATAATGTCATTTGATGTTTTTTTACATTACCGAATAATAGTTCAGCACCACCTGTAAATTCGACAGTGATTTCCATGATTTGATTATCGAATAGAATTTGTTCTAAAATTTTGCGAATAAAAATCAAAATGTTTCAATGAAAAACAAATTAAAAATTAACTGAAAAATTGTTCAAAAGTTACAACGCTTGCTGCAACAATTCAATCTGTTTTAACCTATCCATATCTGTTTGTCTATTATGACCGTAGAGGAATGTTACTGTCATGTCAATGTTGTAAGAAATTTTTATTGTTCGACGGCAATATTTGCATTTATTTTTTCATCATTAGCATTATTTATATTGATTCTGGTTTTATTTTGTTTCAACGAAACTCATCGCCATCAACGTCATTTACGTCGCCAACAACCACAGCAACGAAGATGTTTACCGAAGTAGATGTATTCATCGGTAACAATACATTAATTGATCCTAAAATCTATGATTATTGGCTTGATGGTTATCCTGGTAAGCAAAAATCTCGTCTTTTAATTTAAAAATGTCATTAACCATTCTGTCAATCATTTTAACATAGCCCAACAAGCAGCAAAAGAAGTTCGTGAAAAAGATTTTTTAAGCCTAAACAATGTACACGAAGATCTTATTATTAGCTACGTACTTGACCAATATCGAACCTTTCAGATGTTGGAGAAATTATTGCACATTCCCATTCAATTGTCCGAACAATGGACATTTCAGATGACACCGGTTACACAGCAAATGTTAATTGAAAAGTATTATGATTTTAAAGATACAGTTGTACGCGAAATTCTAGGTAAAAAATTATCTGCAAGAAATCGAAAAGAATTGGACGAAGTAAGCGAACGTACCGAAGTGTCGATCAAAAGTTGTCGACGACAATTTGACAACATAAAACGGGTGTTCAAAATGGTAGAAGATATTCCCGGTAATCTGTGCCAAAATATACAATCTCATTTCTTGTTACCACCGGATTTGGCTAAAAAATATGCAGCCATCGTTTACATAGCAAATAATCGTTTTGAAACATCCAAACGAAAACTTCAATATCTTCAGTTTACCGATTTTTTACACTGTTCACTTGAAATCATGAACAATTGGTCGTGCAATAATCCTGATTGTAAATATGAAGAAACAACCATGGATATTGATCGAGAATTTCTACATGAACTACGTGATTTACGAACACTGTTGGACAAGGATAATTTAGAAGAACATCGTCTATTGGTATTGCGAATGTTGAAACCAAATTTGACCGAGAAAAAATTCAATGATATTGATATGGCTTTCAAAGTAAGTTTAAAGTTTTAAAGAATTGTTTCAATTTTCAGGATTTTTTTCCATTTAGAATATTTCAAGAAATATTATCAACATTGCCTATGGCCTTAATCACAGCAAAGAGATCCGTGACCTTTTTCTTGATATAGTAGAAAAAATCATAGAATTATTCAAAGCGATTAAATTCAATCAAACGGAAACAACATTGTTCCTTCAGCATTACAAAGAAAGTCCACAGTTTATTGAATCATTCAAAAGGTAAAAAAATGTTCTGTTTATTGCATTTTGAGAAAATTTAATATTCTCTTTTTTATTTAGCAATCGGAATCTGTTTAAAGTTTGGGATCGTTTTATTACCACATTCAATAGTTGTGTATTGAAAATGTATTACTGATAATACTTATTTGTTATTCGAAATCATCATCAAAATCTTTTTGTTCATAATCAATAACCATCTTATTAAAATTATTATTTGAATAAATTTGATTCTCCAAAAGATTAATTTGTTTTTCAATAATCTCTAATTTTTGATTCAATATTTTCATTTTCGTTTGCCATACAATACCCATACGGTTCAATTTATTGGTAAAATTGGTAAATAGGTCGGTAATTTTATGCATAAATTCACGATTCTTCCAATCATCGATGATGTCTAATCGTAAACATTCAGAATCAGTAAAACTGTCCATCGTATTTGTCGAAAACAAGAACGAGAGTAAACAATATGATGATAACTCGAAACTAAAGCCAGGATGTAAAATTTCCGGTTCGAATTTTAATGAAATGATGATGATGAAATGATCTTTAAAGGCTGCTATATGCATAAATAGAAATTACAGCTCATTAAGTTGGATTGACAAATAATTGAATTCACTCATATGGCAAACAACTCATTTAATTTAATTAATAAATTTAAAGCTTGTTCGAAAGCAAAAAAGTTTTGAATTTTTTTTATCATTTATTATGAATATACAATATGTTAATGAAAGAAATCAATCAAAGTCATTCTTGTGGTGGTTGTTTTTCCTGTTGTTGGAGCAATTGATCAATGGATTTTAATGGCTCATTTTTTAATAATTCCAATGTCTGCTTTAGGTCATCGATTTCTTTTTCCTTTAATTCATCTTCTATTTTTGTTTCAAGTATCGCTTTGTTCATCTCTTTAATTTCATTCATATCCTTTGTGTGAGAAAGAATATAAGTCAACCGGTTCTAAAATATTGAGAAAAAATTAAAAATTACTTACAGTTATGATTTTCACTATTTTCTGGATAGATTCATCGTCCATGTTGTGGTCCAAATTTTTTTCAAATTTGTCTTGAGTTTTGATCACTTCTAAACGTGAATCTAGTTGTTTCTCTACCTTGGTCTTTTTGAAATAATATAACAAAATTAGCATATAAAAAACCGTTGAAACACTTACCATGTAACCATTGTATTTTTTCAACATTTTACCAGCGTTTTTTTCAAGTACACCGACATTTTCATACAGTTTCATCTGATCAAATTCTTCGCTAAAATTTTCCTTCAAATCGACTATAAGTGATTTGAAAATGTGTTTCATTTCGTTTTGGGCACTCATGATTTTTTTTGTTTATTGCAAGATATCTTGAACAATCAACAACTTTTGAAAGCGCGTGAAAATTCAACGAATAAAACGAATAGTTTATTCATAAACAATGTAGCTAATTGTTAGGTGGCAGCACTGAAAAATTATGTTTTTATTTTGACATCATCTATATATGTTTGATTAAATCACAGAATTGCGTCAGAAAACAATTAAAAGTACAATTTTTTTCACCTCTCAGTAGAAAAATGTCTATTTTCGTAAGAAATCCGTATCTTTTCAACTGTTTACGACACACAAAATTTGTCGTGATCACTACTAGCGGTTCTCCAAAGAATGGTACTTCTTTGTTCCAGAATGTTCGATTCTTTTCCGTTGGACGTCGAGGTACTCGAGGTGGAACAAGCACACGATCCATTCCGATTACCAAGGATCGTCGATCATTTAAAGAGATTCTTATGCAACCGACTACTGGTGCACCATTTGCATTTGGTTCATCAGCAGTTGCAGGTGCTTCATTGTTTGGTATTGGTGCACTTTGTTATTATGGATTTGGTTTGGCTAACACACCTGGAACATTGGAAAATGCTTAGTATGTATCATTTATTCAAATCATATAACAAAAAATATTCATTTTCACCCAAATAGTGCATGGCCTACATATGTTCGCGAACGTATCAAAAGTACCTATTTTTATTTTGGATCGGGATTGGCCATTACTGCTGGTTCGGCAATTGCTGCTTTTCGTAGTCCTTTGGTGATGAATTTGGTGACGAAAAATTCAATGATGGGCATCTTATTGACTATCGGAGCTATGATAGGTACATCAATGGTGGCACAATCAATACCATATCGTGAAGGATTCGGCAGCAAACAATTAGCATGGGCATTACATTGTGGAGTAGTTGGTGCTGTAATTGCTCCACTTTGCATATTGGGTGGACCGCTCATGTTACGTGCTGCTCTCTATACTGCTGGAATTTCCGGTGCATTATCGGCCATTGCTTATTGTGCTCCCAATGATAAATTCCTAATGATGGGCGGCCCATTAGCCCTTGGCTTAGGTCTCGTATTTGCTGCATCAATGGGCTCAATGTTTCTACCACCAACGACAGCATTGGGTGCATCCCTATATTCGATCAGTTTATATGGTGGTCTTTTATTATTCTCTGCATTCTTACTCTATGATACACAACGAATTGTTCGTCGTGCTGAAACCCATCCACCATATGCAATGGTACCATATGATCCAGTCAATGCGTAAGTTTACAAAAATTCAATTGAAATAAACAAACTAAAAAATATGACAATTACTTTCTATCCAGCTCGATTTCAATCTACATGGATGTCATCAACATTTTCGTTCGAATAGCAACAATATTGGCTAATGGATCAGGATCGAAAAGACGTTAAAAACACTTTTCATAATTAAAATTGTAGATTTTTCTATTTTTACTCAATTATCTTTACAATACAGTTTTAAATTTATTGATGATGCTTAAGTTTATTATTATGAATGAAATTTTGTATCCAATATTTATGTGAGAACAAAAAAAAATATTAAAAGAATAAAAATCTCATTCAATTTGACGATTGTTCTTGCGTAACAAGAAAATGTATTAAAGATTCATCATTACGAACATTTTTGATAGAATATTCGGATTTTGGAAGAATTTTAAAATATGACCCACTCTTTATGAGAACGTCATCTTCATCATCTACTTTCAATATAAATGCTCCATAAATGACCATGAAATATGTAGTATAGGAACCATTACGACCTTTCTTTTTCGATGCGAATGATTCAAATCGCATCATACCGAATGCTCTTCCTCGATCATCTTTTTCGATTAAAGCTGTATGAATTCCTTTAGACTTTTCAGATGGTTTAAAATTGAGCGATGGAATATTTTTTACAAATTCTGGACAATTGATCAATGATTTCTGTGGGATTTTTTTGGATTGAACCGATAGATTTAGAATGTCCTGTAATTTTGTTCTAGCATTTGAAGAAGTTTGCGTTTCATAACATTGATGTTCATTATTGTTGCCATTGTCATCCGCATTGTTATTTATATTTCTTTTGTTAGTTTTTTTATTAAACCGACGTCGTTTAATGACAGGTTGACATGGTTTAGCTATACCAACAATTGTGGGCATAGTCACAACTTGGTCATTAATTTGTTTCTGTTCCATTTTATAAATTGGACGTTGACCACGCCAATAATCCAATGGCTTTATACGATTTCGTTGTGATCGGCGCAAATTATTTTCATAATTAACTGGAGCAATATTATCATTATTTGTAACGATTTTCAACATTCGATCAAAATAATTTTTTTGTTTCTGTTTCTTATGACGTCGTATAATCAATTCAGGAGAACTAGAATCTTCTATTCTATTAATGTAATCAGATCTTTTGGGTGAACTTGATACATTGTCTTCATGATACTGATTTTCTTGTTCGTTATCAGATGAAAGATTGGCAAAAAAATGATTGGAAGGCATTTTTTCATGTTCATCATCAATACGGTCATCATAGTGGCAATCCATTAATTCATTGAATTCAACATCGCTATCATTATCGAAATGAATCGGCGATAATGCAACATCCTGTAAATGGCCAATTTCATTTTTGTCAACATTTGAATCATAAATATCTTGGCTTACATCATCATCAATATTGTTCGAATGACTATCAATGGATGGGCAATGAACAATTTTGTGTAAAGAATTACCAAAAGAAATGTCCTCTTCTGTTGAATTTAAATCGTATGGTACCAATAAGTTCATTTTTTTCTTTGATAATGATAATTTTTTTTGAACTGGGCTATTTCCATTAACAGTTGAAGATGAACTTTTTTCTGAAGGTTTTTCTTTTGCCGATTTATTCGAAATGTCAAATGTTTGATTAAGTAAACATTCTTTTTGTGTTTTTTTGATGATTAATTGATTTTCTGGTGGTGACAATTCTGGCTGGAAATCATTTTTATTATTCATTTCTGCATACAATTCGTGTTCCGAAATTATTGATGGTTCATTTTCTTTTCCGTGAACAGAAACTTCGGGTTCTTCAAAGTTGTCCATTTTATCCATTTGTTCATCATTAATTGATTCGAAACCATCTGTTGCATTATTTTCCAATATAAATTCATCGATTGATTGTTCCATTTCAGAGTGGTTGCCTTTACCTTCTGGTTGAATTTCATTTTCTGTTGACTTTTCGCTGATTGATTTATCCTTATGAAGTTCTTCAATTAGATCGACTATATAATTTCCATCCTGCTCATCATCATTATCCCCATGGATTGAAACAATTTCAGTGACCAATGTTTTCGGTGGTTGATTTTTTTCAATCAAAACAACTCCACTTGACAATTCACGCGTATCTTCATATATTTTTTGAATATCATCATTAAATAATGGAATACTGTTTATTACTTGTGAATCATTACGTCGGCAAGCTTCTATTTCAGTTCTTGAACGATAGAATGTATTGGTTTGGTAGAAAGTTTTGGTCATACAAAAAAACGATGCCTGTTTATCAAGATTACGGATGACATTTGGTGTACATGGTGAATTATATGGTGAATCCATGTTTTTTAAGATAAGATCAGTCAATTCTTTATTCATTGTTGTCTTAGTCTCATCAAACGGAATGTTACTTGGACGCGGTTTTTTGGAAAATTCACTGTTGAATATATCATCATGTTCTGTATGAACAATAGCTATTATTGAATTAATTATTAATTTTTTATTTTTTTTTAAAATAAACTTACTTCTTTTAGTTGAATTATGAACAGTCTGGCCAGCATCATTTGGAGAATTTGTTTTGATATTTTCAGATAACGAAAGGGATTTATGCGACGGTTGTTGTTTATTATAAGATTCATTTTTGGCAGCCAAAATGGTGATATTGGATAATTTGTGCAAAGAATCTATTGTAAAAATTTTTTTTATATGAACATGTTTTGCATCTAATATATTAAACTTACAATTGGCCAATGTTGTTTTTTGGGAAGTTGAACAGAAAATTTTATCATTGTAACTACTGTTACATGATTCTATTGATGGTGATTGGAGTTTATTCGACAGTGATTTCGAACAATTTTCATCACTTTCATCGATATCTATGTTAGAAAAATCCAAACTCGAAACAGAGAAAGAATCATCACTTATAAAAGCACGTCTTGGTTGTTCTGTGGTTCGGTGTAAATTCACAATCTTGTCCCAAATATCGTCCCAATTAGTTTTGTTATTATTAGCCATTTTTTCAAACAAAAAAAATTAATTTAATAATTGTTGCTAATAATGTGAAAACCAAAAAAAACAAGACCAACTGATTGACCACAACTGAAAAAAAGCGCAAAAGAAAAACCGTTGTGAAATTATAAAGGACATGCGCAGACGGTCTTGTCTGTTCTTGTGTTTGTCTATTTTCGTTCTGCAGAAAATCAACCAATCATCGGGCAGAAACAAATGTTGGTTTGTTTTTCAAAGTGGTCATTCATAAACTATGTTTTCAAAATTTTCAAATCAAAAATGCCATATTTTTAATTTTAATTAAAATTAAAATACAATAGAATGATCTATTTTTATAGATAAATCTTATTTCGTTAACATATTTACATCGATGAATAAGGAAAAGTGGCTAAAAAATTCCCATCGAAAAAAAATGGAATAGCATCGTATGAGAAATGCAGATTAATATATGTTGTAAAGTATAGGACGATTTGGAAGATTTGAATCTGATTACAGTATAATTTAAATAAAATGGTATTATATGAAATGGCAAATGCTCGATATGGAGCGAATATATTTATATATATAGGGAGAGATCAACAACAACAAAAAAGAGAGAGAGAAAGAAAGATGATTAACATATGATTGGATTTGGTCATATATGAATTAACGATTGAACAGAAATAAATAAAAAAACAGCAAACCAGAATCCAGTACATTTTCATTTTACCCATTGACTTGGTATCCATTGTGGCTCATGATCTAATGCATTGATTTCGGTTAATAATTCTTGATAGGCACTCTCGATATCGGTCATCTGTAGGACCATATCAAAAAAATGGCCAAATTTTATTTCGATTTCGGTCGCTTCATCAATGATAGATTGATAATCTGCCACGGTAAATGTGCTGCCTTCGCTTGTATTTTTTAATGCCAATAACCGATGTAAGTTTTCTGGTTGTGTAGGTGGAGCTACAAACACAAAGAATGGTTTCAATTTTGCACCTATTTTTAAAGATTTAATTAGTTTTTACGAAACAGATATATTATTGTATTTAAACACATACCAGCTTGACCTTGACGAAGTAATGGGATAGAATGAACATGAAGATTGAGAACACAAATTTTACCCGAATGAACTACCGCTTCGATCGCAGCAAAAGATGTGCCATAATAATTTTTCTCATATTCACCATGTTCAACAAATCGACCTATATGATATTTATAAAAAGATAAGTAACAACAATTGGCATAAAAATGGGTAGCAAAAACTTACTTTCTTTAATGTCATGCTCAAACATTTGTCTTGAAATAAAATGATAATCGATTCCATCGAATTCGCCATCTTTTCGTGGCCGTGATGTATGAGGAACAGCTGCAGCAAATCGATCGGTATCTTGCATTAATCTTTGCCTTAATTCATGACGACCAATATTGGCCGGTCCAATAAGAACAATGGGACGCTAATCAAATAATAATTATTTATATTTGAGATGATTATGTTGATAGAAAAGTCATACCTTAAAATTTGGCCGTGGGTGATAGTAGCATACTTCTTCATATGTTAATATTTCTTCATGTGTTAATATCAATCTCTGTTTGGAATTTTTCTTCTTTTTTCTCTCCAAAGAACGTTTTCCACAATTGAAAAGCAATGATGGTGATTTAGGTTTTCCATTAGCAAATCGAGATTTTCGATTCGATGTATTCACAGTTGAGTCATTTAGGATGGATTGTTTCATTGCTTCACGCCTGTGAGTGAAAATTTTATTACTTAATATGATTATATATATTATCAACTAAAAAAACAAAATACATACTGAATTTGGAATTGTATGGAAGGAATTAAACCGGCCAATGATTGATCATGTTCATCACCTTCACGATATGCTTGCCACCAATTAATATCCGATTGATCGATGACATGTAAAATGTCACCTTTGTTAAAACAAATGCCCAATTCTCGACATGGTATATACAAGTCTTCATCTGGATCATAATCGAATAAAGCACGTAAATGCAATACTTGATTATTAGCGGCTGCCACAGTTGCACCCATTAAATGAGGATTAACACGCATCAAACTATCACGTATGGCTATCACAAAAGTTAATGTACCTAAATTTAACATAGAATTAAATGGATTCAATTGACCATGACATTTAGCTTACCAGTCATTTCGGAAAGCAGATCGCAAACTTGATTGACATTACGACCTTTCATTTCGATGCCATTCACTTCAAGAATTTCATCACCTTCATGTAGCATGCCTGTTAACAAAAAATATTAGGGTTTCCAGAACAAAACAAAGAACTAGCACAGAAAACCATACCTGATTTATGTGCAGCACCACCTTTGATAATTCGACCAATGATAACCGAACCATCCGGTTCATTGCGAACGGTAGCACCAAGCGGTTCACATGATGTTTTTTCAATTTGTACAACTTTCACTCCAGAATGCAGAGTGTCGAGCATTTCGATTTCGTGTACTTTATCCTCTGTAAAATAAAATCAGATAAATGATAACCAAAATATGAATAAAAAAAATCCTTATTTACCATGAATTTCATCCGGCAACAATGCTAACATGTTCTTTTGGCTTTCAGCCAATACACGATCATAAGCATAGCAAAGTGTTTCTAATTCAAATCTAGTCAATATTTCAAGTAACTCGGCAGCATCCGGGTGTATCAGCTAGTAAAAAAAGAGGAAATGATAAGATTTATTTATTGAAAAATTTAATCAAATGTGAAATCTCTTACATTTTGTTGCAATGTATTGATAGTTTCCTGCAATGAGTCACTAGCTATGGCATCATTGTTACAATTGTTTCCGCCAAATGGCAACACATTTGATGGATGATGGCTATAGCCATGAACAGGTTGTGGTGGTGATTGAAGATTCAATATTTCCGGTTGATGATGATGTATATGATGCAATGACTGCGATGGGGGATGATTCATTGGTCTTGTGATTGAATTATAGCTCGGTGGCCGAAGTGATTGCTGCGAATCAAGATAGGAATTCATTTTTGAATGTTGATGTTGCATCAATACCGAATAAATGGAAACCAAATTTTTCAGTTTACTTTCCTGTATTAGCTCTTTAAGATCAGCGTTCAATGATTGTCGTATGTTTTCCACAATCATTTCCAGATACGGTAATGGAAGCACTGCATAACAAAAGAAAAATCCCATTGATATTCAAAAAATCAAAGATTGACAATAAGCATCAAACAAACCTTTATCGGATTCTCGTTCCATCCGAATATTAGAAGACGGTGGCTGTTGTGTTGTAGCAAATGAACCATAACCATTATTTGAATAGGATACCATAAGTTGTTGCTGTTGTTGATCATCATCTGGTTCGAATGCAATATTCACCATTGGTTCAATCATATGATGACCATTATTATTTTGTTCTTTCAGTTGTTGTAACTTTGTACTTGATCGTAAGCTCGAACGAAGAAATTCTTCCTCTTCTTTTTTCCTATTAAATTCATCGGAATATTTCCGATATTTATCCGTTAAATTTAAACGCTGATCTGTAGTCGTCGTTACAGAGTGTGCATTTGCCGGACCGGATGAAGATGATGTCGACGTGAATCTTTGCGGAGGTTGGGGTGGTGGATAACGTGGTGTTTGTTTGACCACACCTACAAATGAATCTGGTACATCGACTGGTAATTCTCGATGTATTTGAAATGATTGATGTTGCTGATGTTGTTGTTGATGAGGATGAGTATGGTGATGATTATGATGATGATGATGATGATGGTGATGTGATTGTTGTGAATTCAATTCAACTAATTCCATTTTGTTTGATTCTGGTTGCTGTTTTTGTTCTTGTTCGACAATGATCGTTTTATCATCAGAAGTTTCGGCGTTTAAACAAACTGATGAAATAGAATAGCCACTTTCGGATGTAAGTTTAGCGTATTTAAATGATGATGATGGATTCACATCAGTGGATGTAGCAATGACTTTTTGCTGTCGTTGTGTATTTGCTATAACTGAGGATGATGATGTCGTTGTAATCACTATAAAATCGGAAGAATTGTTCGATGTAGAATTTTGTGTGGAATCACGATTCGATGATGATTGATTAGATGATGTTGGTGATAAGGATTTATGTTGTTTGAAAGATTGTATGACTGATGACGGTTGTTGATGTTTGATTTCAACTTGTTGGTGCTGCTGTGGACGATTGTCTTCTTCGTCTATTTTATCAAAGAAAATTAAATTGTTTGAATCATTAAATGAATAATTTATGTATTGGTGAGGATTAAAAAATGTCAATATAGAACAACAAAAGTAACTTACTTAACAATTTAGATAGCTCGGCAATGTCACGCGGTTTGATCACTTTGGTGGGTGTTTTACGATTTTTATTTGGTGTTGATGATGATGATGATGTTGATTTATTTGGTTTATTTTCAATATTATTCTTATTATTATTATTTGGCCAATCACCATCATCATCATTATCAATGTTATTATTATTAACAATCTTATCGAAATGTTCACGGGCACGATTACCAATGATGAATGCATCAATCGGTGAGGAATCAAGTTCTATTCCATTGTAAATGATAATCATTTCAACACAAATCGATGAAAAGAGAGTCAATGAACATTGGGAAAAAAATGAATGAAATGAAAAGAAAAAAAAATGTTTTTCACATTAATAAATGTATCAATTTATCAATCGAATAGATAGGATAATGATATATGGCATTCATTAATTCAATGATTGAGATATTATTATGACCGCAATCAAAAAAAAAATAAAATCATGAATCAACAGAAAAAAAATTGATAATGAATTCATTTTCGATCAATGATCAATATTTTTTTTCAACATTAAACATTTAATAACAACAGTAACAACAACATCAACAACAAAACTGGTCAAACGTCATTCACAAACCATACATCAATGATCAATGATCATATTGAGTGGCGAATTGAACTCAAAATTTGAAAAAAAAATTGCCATTCACCTGGAGAGGCGAAAAATGCAATCATTCTAATCATGCATATCTGGCGATGAAAAATAAATATTCTTGCTATATGTATGAAGCCAAAAAAAAATTGATGCTAAAAACGAATCTCAAGTGAGAAAGACAGACTGACATAGACACATACAACAACAACAACAACCTAACCTAACCAACCTAAACCAGTCATGCAACACTACCAAGTTCAAAAGTCGAGATATCATGATTTTTTCGAATGTTTTATTGGAATCTCTTGATTGGCCGTCAAAGAAAAAAAAATCAGTTTTATTCGAAATCTACAATCAACAGCAAAACGGGATTGTCTTTTTCGAAAAGCTGCAGCTACCATTTTTTTTTTTTTTTTGTTTATTATAAAATACACCGGTATTGTCGATGCAATTCGTTTTTCTCTATAGAAATTTGGTTCAAATTTCCAATTGATTGATCTTAATTTTGTCGGTTTGTTTTTGTATGGTATTCACAGTTTGTAATTTGCTAAATGATATCGTTTAAAAAAAAACTCACCCAATTTATCCGTATTACGACGTTTAACTCGTAGACATATGGTACGAGATTTGATGCACTGTGGGGAGTGGGGGTGGGGGTGAAAAAATAAAACACAAAAGAGAATCAGTGAAAAAGAAAGAAAGATTAAAAAAAAATCAACGTAACAAAACATTCAGGGAAAAAGAGAAAGAATTTTCTCATCTGAGAAAACAAAAATATAAATCATGTCCAAAAAAGGCAAGTAAGAAGAGAAATTTAAATTGCTAAACTAAATTGCTTGACAGTAGCAGTATAAGTCAGTAGCCATCTTCATTTGGTCAAATAATAAAAACTCATCTTACTTTGGTGGATAAAAGTTCCAAAAACAATGGATGAACATCATAATACAGTAGTAATAATCATGATGATGATGATAAGAAAAAAAAGAGATGATCTAGAATAAAATCTAGATCGTATGAATTCAAACGTTTTTGTGTTGAGAAAAAAAAATTATATTATCATCATCATCATCATCATGTGGGTGTGGTGTTGTTAATAAGAAATGAAAACAATTAAAACAATGATGATAATGTCAATGACAATTGACTTGTATGTATTCATGTGTTTGAATTAAATAAAAAAAAAATAAGATCATTATTCATTTATCACATGAATCCTGAATTCTCTGTTGAACATCATCAGGTGAAAATCATCGATGGATGACCAGAAAAAAAACACCGAAAGACAATTGTAAATGGAAAAAACAAAAACAAAAAAAAAATTTCATTTCACTTTTGTTTATAATTATCGTTTCTTTTGTTTTGTTTCTAAATTACTGATCCATATATAATTGCCATTGTCGTTGTCGTGATAATAACCGACTGAAGCCGAAAGATACATTATATACACATCACATACACATACACACACACACATTGCATGATGATGACCGCAAATTAGATCAACACCAAGTAATTATTATATTTAGTATATGTCCCAAATATACTTACGATAATTTATACATATAGTACAATAACCGAAATGAATGAATAAATAAATGAATCGATTGAACATCAATGATGATATACATGAAAAGTATACACAAGCATACATGTATACATTTACACATAACATTCCATGTATTTAAATTTTATAACTTAAAATACAGGTATGCAATATGCAATATAAAAATCGATGATTACATCGTCATCATTCGATGGAAACCATCATTTGGATGGATATAATTCACACCTTTTAAAGGCAATTCATATATACACACATATTAATGATATTGATGTATTTTGGCATTGGGCGATGTATGTTTTTCATATTCATAGGCAACATCAATCAATAGATTTGTTCACTCAAGTGATAATGATGATGATGATGGTGGTTAGGTTTCTACGGTGATTTTTACTATTCATCCTGCCATTATGATTAACAAACTAACAATCAACAACAACAAAACAACGGTTTCCAACAAGGAAATTATATTGGCTATAAAAATGTTAATGATTATAATGATGTTTAACAGCAATATGAACCTTTTGTAAATATTATTCTCAATTGACAAATGACAATGAATGTTAACAATTACATGATTGACTTACAATTGCTGATGGTTAAATTCAATTTACTTTCATTGAATTTTTTCAAAATAAACACAAAAATTGATCAATGAGATGAGGAATGTCAAGAATGTTTGATGATGATGTACAACAAAGATGGCACAAATGTAAATCAACACTATGTCATTTAGTAATTCATTTCAAATTGTATATATAATTACATAAAAACACAATGATAAGCTCGTTCATAAGTTTCTAGTGAAAAGAATTTTCAGAAAAAAAAAAAAATGATGATGATGATGACTCAAAACAAGCTCAGAGTGTGTTTGTGTGTGTGTGTGTGTGTGTGTGTGTAAAAATAGGACAGAGAGTCCCAAGAAGACGTAGCAAAACAGCAAGCACAACAGTGTGGCCCCAAAGTCTAATCTGCTTCTTGAATTTGATAAAAGATGACGACAACGACCACATAAAACAGGCATATAAAGACACCACAAGAATGTGAAATGTTTATGTATGCCGAGTATATGTTTTTATTGTTGGTGTTGTCGCACCTGAGGATTGAAAAAAAAACCTGGCTGCGGTAGTGGCTACGTGTAAAGAGGGAATAACCTGTATAGGTATGAAGCATCTTTGATTAATATGTTACGAATAGAGCATGCTCTGTTAGAAATTTCGAAGTTTTTTTAAAAAAAATAAAGAATTCACATCATCATCATCATCAGATTTTATTCGGATAATGATTGTTTTTTTGGATTTGTTGGATATCAATAATCTTACCTGATGTATGTAATCAATGATTTGTTTATGAGACATATTGTCTAAATTATTGCCATTTACTTCAAGTATTTCATCACAATCTTTACGTTCGGCTGGTGAGCCTGGGGTTTGATTGATTTTAAATTATGAAAATTAAAAATTGAAAAAAAATTCATTAGTTCTCATTAATTTCATTTTTTTTGTTGATAATGAATAGAGAAAAAAAAAAGAAAAACTTACCAAATAATTTGATTTTATCGTCACGTTCGACGAGCACTATCACATAACCACCAATATCGACCATTTTTGAAAAATTAATTTTTAAGTTGAAAATGAAATAATTATTGAATGAAAATGTTGAATACAATGGACACAATGTATCAGGACATCGATAATAATAATCATCAATTAGACGATAATAATAACCAATAACCAATGGTAATGTCCATAATTGGACAAGAATTTTTTTTTTCTTCGTTGGTTTAGGATGAACACAAAAATGTTCTATTCAGATATAAATAGTGATGATAATAGAAAGGAAAAAAAAAATATTCGAATGCATGTGTGTGTGTGTGTTGTGTCCGATGTAAGGACATAAAAATCCAAGATTACATGGATTTTATATTTGTACAAAAATCGATCGATGGCTGAATGGATTTATGTTTCTGATGTGTGTGTGTGTGTGTGTGTGTGTGTTACGGTTGAAAGAATTTTTATCTAAAATGTATCATGAAAAATAAAGAAAGCCAAAACATCATCACATTAACACACAAAAATTTTTCATACACTCGGGCCTCTCACACAAGGGATCCACTCACAAAAGACCTTGTGGATTGAATATATGAATCAAAAAAAAAGATGCGGCCATCAATAGATACAGACAGAATAATAGGAGAGGGAGGAGTTGTGAAATCTACAAACATATTGCACATGTGTGACTGTGTTTGTTTTTTTTTCGTGCCAGCCAGGACCCCAGAACCAGGATACAGAACAATATATGCTATATAGAATTCCAAAATAAATAAAACTTTTCAACTTGGAATGATGCTGAATCAGCTTCCAGAATTGTGAAAATAAATAACGAATAGAATCATTCATAGTTATACAATAATAGAAACAAAAGCAAGTTTCATTATATGAAAATCGATGAGAATTAAAATGAGCATCGACGACAAATGAATCTGTGAATTCTCATCAGATCTATTACTCTATAGCTTTCAAATGGTTTGTAATTTTTCATTTAGAATTTGGACAAAATTTTATTTGATAAAATAAATTAACAATGATTATGATGATGATTATTCAATGATTCAAGTTTGCATAATTATTGTCATGAATTTAATGGCGCGTTTAATTGATGAAATTTTAAATGAAAATTTTCAATCAGTTGAAATAGCCGTACGATATGATCGAGTCGAAATAGTTAAATGTTTAGAAATTGAACAGAGTAAACGCTTTGTCATTCTTGACTGACTGCATTTTTCTATTTGGTTTGAAAGCCTATTCATTCAAATTTACAAAACGTATTTGAAAACGATTTTTTTCTTTTATTTTTGTTTACTTTAATCGATCCATTTATTCATCTAAAGATGCATCAAAAATTGCATCTCACATCCGCTTCTGGAATCATATCATTGTTGGATGATTCACTATGTGAAATGAAAATTTTTGCCCTCGATAAATTGAATGGAGTTGTGGATGAATTTTGGCCCGAAATATCCGATGTTATCGGTAAAATTGAAGTACTTTATGAAGATGAAAATTTTTCCCACCGTAAACTTGCCGCATTGGTTGCATCAAAAGTATACTATCATCTGGGGTCTTTTGAAGATTCATTAACGTATGCATTAGGTGCTGGAGAATTATTCAATGTGAATGCCAATAGTGAATATGTTGATACAATCATATCGAAATGTATTGATCATTATACAAAACTTCGTGTGGCTAATGCAATGATATCTGCATCCAATTCAAAAGATTCAATGCAATCAATAGATCCACGACTAGAAGATATTGTCAATCGAATGTTTCAACGTTGTTTCGATGATCATCAATATAAACAAGCCATAGGTATTGCATTGGAAACACGACGAATGGATATGTTTGAGAAGGCAATCCTACTATCCAATGATCTTACCGGAATGTTGGCATATGCTTTCAAGATAACCATGTCATTAATAGATAATCTTCATTTTCGTAATGAAGTGCTAAAAATCCTGAATCAGTTATATAAAAATCTTAATGTGCCGGATTATATTTCAATGACACAATGTTTGATCTTTTTGGATGACGATAAATCATTGGCCGAATTGTTGGATAAATTGACCCGAAATGATGACTCTGTCCTGTTAGCCTATCAAATTTCATTCGACCTTTATGAAAGTGCTACACAGCAATTTTTATCACGAATCATGGAATCGCTACGATTAATTGCTCCAATTTCTAGCCTATTGGTCAAACCATCGCCACCACCAGGTCAGTCCAATGAAGAGAAAAAAGAAGAAGAAAAAATGGAAACCGATCAACCTGCAACAACAACAGCACAGACAAAAGAGGTGGCTGAAAGTTCGAAGCAATCTGAACCGAAAAAAGAAGACCTTAGTGAAGAGGATCGAAAAAGACAGGATCGTATCGAAAAATTGGCTAAAATTCTAAGTGGTGATGTTTCAATCGAATTGGATCTTCAATTTCTTATCCGTAATAATCATACGGATTTACTCATCTTGAAGAATACGAAAGATGCCGTTAGAAATTCTGTTTGTCATAATGCAACAGTTATCGCTAATGGTTTTATGCATTGTGGAACGACATCCGATCAATTCTTACGAGATAATCTCGATTGGTTATCACGAGCTGTTAATTGGGCTAAATTCTCAGCTACAGCTAGTTTGGGGGTGATTCATAAACGACACGAAAAAGAAGCCCTTCATTTGATGGCATCATACCTTCCACGAGATAATGGCCCGGGTAGCGGTTATACCGAAGGTAAGTAAATTATCATTAATTGTTTTGATATCGAGGGCTAAAACAATTTTTTTAATACTAAATTAGGTGGTGGATTGATGGCACTCGGATTAATTCATGCTAATCATGGTGGGCCAATTATCGATTATCTCCTCAATCAACTTAAAGGGGCTACTAATGAAGCTGTTAAGCATGGTGGATGCCTTGGTCTTGGTCTTGCAGCCATGGGTACCCATCGAAATGATGTTTATGAACAATTGAAATATAATCTATATCAGGACGATGCCGTCACCGGTGAAGCAGCTGGAATTGCTATGGGCTTGGTCATGTTGGGTTCAAAATCACAGATTGCCATCCAGGATATGGTTTCATATGCACAGGAAACACAGCATGAAAAAATTTTACGTGGTTTAGCCATTGGTATATCGTTGATCATGTTCAGTTTATTGGAAGAGGCTGATTCATTGATCGAAACCTTATGTGATGATAAAGATCCATTGTTACGACGATCCGGAATGCATACCATCGCTATGGCTTATTGTGGAACTGGCAATAACAAAGCCATTGAAAAATTATTGCATGTAGCTGTATCAGATGTGAATAATGATGTAAGACGTGCTGCTGTTGAAGCACTAGGTTTCTTATTGTTTCGTACACCTGAACAATGTCCAAGTGTCGTATCACTACTATCGGAAAGTTATAATCCTCATGTTCGTTATGGATCAGCTATGGCTTTGGGCATTAGTTGTGCTGGATCAGGTAATAAAGATGCCTTGTCATTGTTAGAACCAATGACCAATGATCCGGTCAATTTTGTTCGACAAGGAGCTCTGATTGGTACGTCGTTGATTCTCATACAACAAACCGAAGCTTTATGTCCCAAAGTAAAAGATTATCGTGCTATGTATTCAAAGGTCATCTCGGATAAACATGATGATGTCATGGCTAAATTTGGTGCTATTCTTGCGCAAGGTATTATCGATGCCGGTGGTCGTAATGTTACTGTTTCATTGCAATCACGTACTGGTCATACAAATCTACCGGCCGTAGTCGGTATGCTTGTATTCACTCAATTCTGGTATTGGTTTCCATTGGCTCATTTTATTTCGATGGCATTTTCTCCGACCGCATTAATTGGTTTGAATGGTGATTTGAAAATGCCTAAAATTCAATATCGTTCGAATGCTAAACCTTCTGCATATGGTTATCCACCACCATTGGAAGAGAAGAAAGAAAAAGAACGGGAAAAAATTCTTACCGCCGTTCTATCCATTACAGCAAAAGCAAAGAAAAAAGAAGCCGAAAAGAAAAAAGAGGAAAAAATGGATGTTGATGAACCAGCCAAAGAAGATGAGAAAAAAGATGAAGATAAAAAAGGCAAAAGTGATGATGGTAAAAAACCGAGCGAAGAAAAGAAATCTGAATCATCAGAAAAATCGAAGCCTGAACCAGAAGCAACAAATGAAATTTTATCCAATCCTGCACGAGTGATGCCATCTCAATTACGTGTGATTCAAATGGTAGATAAAAGTCGTTATGAGCCAATTAAAGATATTAGCATTGGCGGTATAATCCTGATGAAAGATATGAAAACATCCGAACCAGAAGAATTGGTCGAACCGGTACAGGCTGGTGGTCCGAAAATTGAAGAAGAAAAAGAGCCAGATCCACCAGAACCGTTTGAATATGTTGAATGAATTAAAATTTTTGTAACATAAACAATAAAAAAAATAATGAGATGATGATGATTTTTAAAATGAATAAAATTTAAATTTTTTAAAAATAATTTTCACACTAGATGGCTTTACTGGCGTAATCAGCTTTTCTATATAAAATTCGAAATTCTTCCTTCGATTCATGCATGCGAAGGGATTCAATTAGTTCAGTGATCGACAGCACTGATTTTTAGGATTTTATGTTTATGTCGTTTTTCTGAACAACAACAACATCAGCAAAATGGATGCGTCTGATTTTTTTTGTTCTGTTTGTTTGTGAGAAATGTGCGATAGTATATAAGAATTATGTGCCATATGCGCGCCAGTTTATTTCATCCAATTCAATATTATGTTCATCGGAGAATCTATTTTTGGTTTCAAATCAAGCGAGCAAACAAAACCAGATGCATAAACTCAATGATGAAAAATGATGATGAAGACGATGATGATGTTGATGATTGCGACCAACACAACCAGACATATAAATCCAAGCTTACTGTCTTAAATTAATTCAAGCATGAACCAGTATCATGTCCAAAATTGTCGTCCCACCTCATCCGTATGGATGATATGACAAAATTGATTTTTGACTAGAATTTCATTTTATCATGAGGATTCATTCAATGTCTTTGTCGTGCGACTGAATTAATCGAATAGTTGAAAGCCAGTTGTTGATTTGTAATCACACACGGGTAAAACAAACGATTTTGTACTCTGATTTTGTTTATTTGCTGTATGAATGTCATATCTAATCTTCCGATTATCGTTATTTCTAATGATTCTTAATGTATTTTTTTTATATTTTCAGAACGCTTTAACTCTTATCGATGAAAAATCTCCACTCAAATCACAGCAGCTATAAAAGATCAAATTTCAATGTGCCAAAATCTTTCATGATCATTGTGAATTTTGATCAGAAATTTTTCGCTTTTGCAATCCTATAGAAATGTCCAATTTAAGTAGCCATAGCGGTGCCGGTACTAGTGGCTCTGGTGGTCATGGCAATCGATCATTCAATCCAGAATTTGATTTATTATTTTCAAATTTATCAACCATCGATAATGAACAAATTTCATCATCTATGTCTTGTCAACAATTACAGCATTCATATAATCCAAGTGATATGTTAATCAACAATACTTATTCTACAGCAATCAATCATCATCAACAACAACAGCAACAAAATTATAATATGAATTTCAATGCTATTCGTGAAGTATTATCCATGCTAAACGGTTTAAATGTCGAAATGATTAAAAAGAATCCTAATGATCTGTTCATGTTGCTTAAATATCGCAGCAATAGTGGTCAGAATTCGAATCCAAACAACAATCATGGACAGAATGATATTCATTTGGATGATGCATGTTGCCAGATGATTATTCGCATCGGAGGAATTGGAAAAATTTTACTAAAAATTCTCAACTATCTCAATTATTATACAACGGCAAGTAAAGAGAATTCTTTGTTTGCTTATCCAATGTTCGATGATGGTGTCACAGAATCAAAAACATTGGGCAATATAAAACAATATTTCGTCAATTCTATTCATTTAGAAATCAAAGAATATCATTATCATTTGTTAATGATTGAAAGTCGATTTCGACAATTACGAGTACATTATTCATTTGCATTACGACGGATAATGTTATGGTCAACACAATGGTTAGAGAAATTTCTGTTCATTATTGATCTGTTGAAACAGTGCATTGATTATAAAGGAATTTCATTATTGAATCAGATCTATGATCATTCAAGAAATGGTGATCACAATGTACAAAAGATGGCACGTTCAATTCTACATCAATCACTTAAACCATTCATTTTCATCATGTTTGATTGGCTTCTTTACGGTGAAATTAATTCGGAAAAAATTGGTCAAGATTTCTTCATCTGTATCAAAGATAAATCGAATATTCTGGCAGAATTTCCGCAGCCACATAGAAAATCCAAAAAATCTAGCGATTCGAATGATGAAGAAAAAACCGAAACGTTTGAATGGAAATCCTATGAACTAAATATGGCCATGTTGCCATCATTCATGTGTCAAAGACAGATACAGAAAATTTTTTCTATTGGAAACGCGATCCGTTTGTTACGATATACAATCAAAGATGAATATGATCAGAAAATGGTCAATGAAATTTTCTCGTCATCGCAGATTCAAATTAACTATGATATAATCAGAAAATTCTTGTATAAAAATATTGAAACAATTAGTGAATGTGATCGTTTCTTTTTCGAACATGGTCTTGTCGAAGATTTTGACCTGCTACTTGAATCCTATTATGATGTAATCAATGATGAAATGTTCAAAGTATTACAGATGAACAAAATTAAAGCCGAATTTGAATTATTATTAGCCTATGTATTGATACAACGTGGCGATTTCTACGAAAGTCTAATTGATTATCTTCTACCATTGTTTCGAAAACCGGCTACTGAAGTGATTAATACTATTGCCAATGGAAATTCAACCAGTAATCTACATCGCATATTCAACATGTTCATGATCAATTCAAAATTAATCGACATGCATAAAGTATATAAGATTGATTCATTACTTTATAATAATTTTGAATTGAATGAAAACCTGGTGTTTACATTTACAAAAAATGTACAAATGATCGCACATCATCTTGGCTGGGATTGTTTTATCGTACGTTATACGTTCAGTAAGAATGTCTATCGTGTTATGTTCGATGCTCAACTGATCCGATATGAACGTCTTTTTCGTCAGCTATTCTACTATAAACGGGTTCTGTATTCCATAAGAAAAGCTCAACATCAGATTATATTCTATCGTCGTGATTATCGACCTAAACATCCCAGTCAAACAAGAATGGAATCCCGAAATGTTCGATTGATACCTGCTGATATGATAAAAGTTATTATACACATGTTGAATACGTTACATTTTCTTTTCTTTCACATGTTTGGATTCTCTTCACGAATGTATCGATATTTTGGCCAACAAATTGACACGTTATGGTCCACAATGTTCGAGGTGAAATTCTGTGAACCACAGAAAAATGTGGAAAAATTTGTTTATGCACATGAAAAATTCCTTCGTTCAATTGAACGTGTCATATTTTTCGGTGAAAATATTGAGCTGCTCACTGCTTATGCAGCATTAAATGATTCGATTATTGATTTTTGTGAATCATTCTGCGAAATGGAATTCTTTCCCACCATTGTCCGATTGATGACCAATGATGGCTATAATTATCGAAATCATGATCAAACTTTGATGAACAAATCTAAACCACGAAATCATCAACAACAGCAACAACTTTTACAACGACAAGGTCTTTCCGAACAATTGTTTAAGCTTCAATTTAAAATCACCGTAAACATATCCAAATATCGATGCTGTATACGTAAGTTCATACAACTTTTACAACAGCCACTGCAGTCATCATCGTCTTCATCAAAATGTGCTAGTAATTTTGAATTTAAATACGATCTGCTCACATATCAGCCATGTTTGGATAGTCTGTTTCGTCTGTTTTCATTCATACGACACCAGAGTCCTGTACCCGAAGCAGATGATGATGATGATTCGAGCATAGAATTTTATTAAAGTGCCAAAATGATTCTTGATCATCTTATATTTATTTTTATATCATAATATAATTGCACCATTATTATTTTATCGGTATACTTTTAAGGTGGATCCATTGTATATTATATTTTGTTAACTACTATCAACAATTTCATTAGTGGTTGCTCCTTTTCTCTCCAACAATGTTGTAAATCAATTTAATAATTACATCATTATTGATATAGGAGTTAATAAAAAAGCAAAAATTAATTTAATTGACGAATTTAGTCATAATTCGATTTAGACTGATTTATTATTTAGGTAAGAAGTAGATTAAAAAAATCGTCAATAATGGCAGAGCCAAAAGGCTGGGCTAAATGTCCTGAAATCGGAGATCTTGTTGCTGGTATGAATTATTTTTATTTGTTTGTGTTTTTTTTTGTTTTGAATCGAAAATTCTATACAATTTTTTTTTGAATACGATAGATAACTTTGTCCCATTCAAAGTTCCATTTGGTCCAAGTTTTACACCCGAATATGTAATTCGTAAATTTCGTCAAAATAATGTATTTGTTGTTCATATTGATTAATTTCAAAAACTTTCATCAATATTTTTTTCCCTAGCTCAATGTTGGTCTATGGATTGATTTAACAAACACTAGACGATATTATCGATCAGATTTGGTCAAAAATCAAAATATTCGTTATGAGAAAATTTTTGTTACTGGGTGCGTTTGATTTGATTGTTTTTTTTCATTTGATTTTTCAAGTCGAAATTTTTAGCCACGGTGAATGCCCTTCGAATGATCAAATAAAACGATTCATTCAAATATGTTCGAATTTTCTTCGCATGCATCCGGATCAAGAAATTGCCGTACATTGTACACATGGATTTAATCGAACTGGATTTATGATCTGTGCCTATATGGTACGTGAACTTGGTTGGTCAATTAGTCAGGCAATTGATCATTTTAGTGAACGTAGACATCCCGGTATTTATCGGCAAGAATATATCGATGAATTATTACGAATGTTTAGTAATGGTGATGATGATCCCAGAACAATTACGGCTCCAGCGAAACCGGATTGGTCTAGAGATAATAATCGACGCAGTTACAATCATTATCATCGAAGAACATCATCAAGTGATCCTGACAATTTGATCGGACGTATGAATAATCTACGGATTTCACAACAACCAGTTATTGACAACAATTATAACTATTATTATGATGATGACTACTAAGACTGACGCTAACACTTAATAGTTTTATCCGAAAGTTTAATTTTTTTTATACTTTCATTTTTTAATCAAATTAAAAATTATTGAATTGAGAATCTAAATTTTCAAAAAAAAAAAAAAACACCTCATCTATGAACAGGAATCCGTGTTTTTATTCCGAAATTTTAATATTTTTTGAGTTTAATCATCGTCAAAGTCAACATTGACGGAACACATTCTTTCATTAAATTAAAAGGGACGGTATTTAAGATAATATAAATATAACTTTAAACATTACATAATGAGTAACGAATTGTAGGACATCTTTTTTCAACATCAAACCAGCAATAATGTCGTCAAGAGGAGGATTGCCACCTCGTTGGAAAAATTGTCCAAGATTCGGCGAAGTTGTCGCTAGTATGTAGTTCTTTACCAAATTCAATTTATTTTAATTTTTTCGTTTTTCTTGATCAAGATGTTTTCCTGCCGTTCAAGGTACCTCTTGACGATTCTTATAGTTCTCTATTAGCTCCGAGTATGTATTTCACACCGACAATGCTTGTTAATTATGGACGACATAATAATGTAAGTTACATCATTTCATTTTGGGATTTCTTTCTTATCCTTCCTCGTTTTTTGTGATTTTTCAGATAAACATTGGTCTATGGATCGACCTGACATTTACGGATCGATTTTATGACAAAACATTGGTGGAAAAAGAAAAAATCGGCTACGTCAAATTGAAATGTAGAGGGTCAGTACTATTTATTGACCTCATGATCGACTCATGTGTGTGACAAATCCAAACTTATAATTAAAAAATTTTAGTCATGCGGAAACACCATCACCCGATCAGACACAGACATTTATTGATTTATGCTCAAGATTTTTGGTGAAAAATCCCGATAAAATAATCGCTGTTCATTGTACGCATGGTTTTAATCGAACAGGATTCTTAATCTGCGCTTATCTGGTAGATCAAGAAAATTGGAGCATCGAAGCAGCTATTAGTGCGTTTTCACGTTGCCGCCCTCCCGGGATTTACAAGCAGGATTACCTAAATGAATTGTTTCGTTTATATGGTGATGGCGATCAAACGGCTATAATTCTGGCACCACCCTTACCCGAATGGTGTAATGAAGACAATCACTATCAAGATGATGAAGCTTCTGTCAATGAATCATACGGCCCAGGTTCATCTTCAGCAAATGGCAACCGGCAACAGACAAAAGTAGCTGATCCATTTCTTGAAGGTATTGATGGTATTGTTATGGTCTTTGAACAGGATAAAATCACAACCTTACGGGAAACCTGCACGGATATGTGCAAATTTAAATTGAAAGGTTTTCCTGGTTGTCAGCCTGTTTCATTAACACATCAGAATTTAAATTTTCTACAAGAAGAATATATGGTTAGCTGGAAAGCCGATGGTAATCGCTATATGATGCTCATAATGGATTCCGATCAAATGTATTTTTTCGATCGAGATTATTCCATTTTTCAGATATTTAATCTGAATTTTTTACGTCGAAATTCAAAAGAACGTTTAACCGAAACTCTATTGGACGGCGAAATGGTTGTCGACGTAGTCGATGGACAGCGTTTTCCTAGATTTCTTATCTATGACATTGTCTATTGTGATGGACAAGATGTTTCCGAACGAAATTTTCGTGATCGTTTGAACATCATATACAAACAGATCATTATGCCTCGTGAATCAGCCAAACGAAGCGGACAGATTGATCGTAGTAAAGAACCCTTTGGTGTGCGAATGAAAGATTTTTGTGAACTAAAAAATACGTACAAATTTTTTGAGCCAAAATTTCAACGAGATTTATCACATGAGATTGATGGTCTAATTTTTCAGCCTGTTCATTTACCATATATAGCTGGTCGTTGTGATCGAGTGTTAAAATGGAAACCGCCAACACATAATTCAGTGGATTTTTTACTAAAAATTGTTGAAGAAACACGGCCTGGACGAGTGGAAAAATATCTTGGCCAATTGTATGTCGGTGGAAAACGGGAGCCATTTGCTTACATAAATGTTACTCAAGAATTACGAAAACATAATAATCGTATCATTGAATGTCGATTTAATATGCAAAAAAATGGTTGGGAATTTATGCGTGAACGAACGGACAAATCCTATCCTAATGCCCTATCAACGGCATCGAATGTTGTATATTCGATACAGTATCCAATAACAAGGCAATATTTACTGGATTATCTACATAAACATAGCTTTAAATAAAAAAAAACTTCAAGACTTTTCATCAAAAAAATCGCCATCCATCAATTCATCTTAATCATCTTTATCCGATTTATTATCAGCCATCATTTTTTCGTTCATCTTTTCATGTGTGATATCCATTCCAACAAAAAAAAATTTTTTTTTGTCACTTAACTAATTGTACTTGTATAATAAATATATGAAAAAAATTGAACATTTATATTCATTGAGAAATTTTCTAGGAAATAAATCGCTTTTTTCTGAACATAAAAATTTTTGCCGTAAACATTATCAAAATTTTTTTTTCATAACAGGTCGTGTCAGTGATGATCGATTTAGGGTACATATGATATTTTTTCAGAATTAATCGGGATAATTTTCTGGATATTTATTTCATTGTAAATTTTATTTCACTTGGAAAATTTTTTAAAAACCGTGAGAATGTCATTGAAAATTTTAGTTGGTTGCAAACGAGTCATTGATTATGCAGTCAAGGTGAGCATCAGTATTTACAATTTTTATTTTTATTCATGCTATTTTTTTTCTTCCTAGATTCGAATTCGTCCGGACAATAAAGGAGTAGTTACACAAGGTGTCAAACATTCATTGAATCCATTCGATGAAATAGCTGTAGAAGAGGCAGTTCGAATGAAAGAAAAAAAAATGGCCAAAGAAATTTTGGCCGTTTCAATTGGACCACAAGCGTCACAGGATACACTACGTACAGCTTTGGCAATGGGCTGTGATAAAGCCTTACATGTTAATGTGGATGAAAAAAGTGCTGAAACATTGTTGCCAGTTCAGGTATCAAAAATTCTGGCAAAAATTGCCGAACAAGAAAAAGTTGAAATGGGTAAGAATATTCTTGTATTGAAATTACAATTGGTGTGATGTTTTTTTTTTACTTTTGATCAGTGATTCTGGGTAAACAGGCCATCGATGATGATTGTAATGCGACAGCACAGATGACAGCAGCTCATTTGAATTGGCCACAGGCGACGAATGCATCTAAAATAGAAAGTAAAGATGACAAAACAGTTTTAGTTACCCGTGAAATTGATGGTGGTCTGGAAGAAATTGAATATAAATTGCCTATCGTGATTAGTGCTGATCTTCGTTTGAATGAACCACGATACGCTACACTGCCCAATATTATGGTAAGCATAGCGATTGTATTGAAAAAATCCTAATTGTTCAATTATTTCTTATTTTTTTCAATAAAGAAAGCAAAAAAGAAACCGATTGATAAAAAAACACCTAGCGATTTAGGTGTTGATATTACACCGAAAATGGAAATTCTATCCGTACAGGAGCCAGCAAAACGTGAAGCTGGTACCAAAGTTGCCGACGTTGACGAATTGCTGACCAAACTTAAAGAAGCTGGTCGAATCTAGATCATATGAATGAAATAAAAAAAAATTTTTATCATCAAAGTATTTAATTTTTTTATCATTTGTTGGAAAAAAAATTTTACCATTGTTTTTTTAAAATATTAGAATCTTGTTTTCTATCATTATCAAATTCGAATCGACTTTATTTTCCAACATCAGATGGCGTAGCTTTCGTCCGAAATTAAATTCGAATCTATAGATTTTATATTTTTTTCTTTTTATGACATTTGTTAGATTCTTAAGCCGAGCATAGAGGTACTATTAACCGAGGTACTAAATGTTGTAATTAGAAATCTTATCTTATTTCTTATATTATTCCACTAATTATAAATTCTAGGAATCTTATTATTCATTAAATCTGAATAAATTTTTTTTTTTTTTTGCAAAAATCGATTCGACACACACACACACATTTTATAATAATCAATTCTATATTGATTTATACAAATTTAAGACATTTTCAAGGCCAATATATCATTTCGTATTTATCTTAAAAATATTCTGATTATTACAAGACACTGATATCGTTTGACAAGTTAATATAGTATCATCATCATAATCGAAGCAATGTTCATCTGGTTTTCTTTTTTTCTTTTCACATAAAAAAAATATATTCTTCTGTCTGTACCAGTCATATAAGAAATATATACAGAGAAATAATACTTTCGATTTCTTCGAAAAAAAAATTTGTTGTATTCAATCGATTAATGTTGGGTGTAGAAAAAAAAAAATTCACATAATCTTGACAATATTCTAAAAAAAGATGGTAGTGGTGATGGTGGATGGTGAAATTTTTTCCAAAATGAATTCAACCAATTTTCCAATAACAAAAACCTGATTCGGTAAAAAGTCGTAAAAAATGAGTGAAAAGAAGGGATTTGAGATGTATTTTTTTTTTTTTTGCTTTGGTTTTTATCCAGAAGGTGGTGGCTAGTAGTAAATTGAGATGAATGTCCATTCTTTTTTCTTGTTTACTTGTTCTTAGTTATCTCAATTTTTTTTTATAATTTACGTAATGAATCTGTTTTTTTTTTTTTTTTGAAGATTTTCTCAATTTTAATTTTCGAGAAGATGTATTTTTTTTCTTATTTAGACTGGTCAAAATTATCATCATCATCATCATCATCATCATCATCATCATCGCAATCATCTTTTTTTATTCTTATTATTATCATTATTGTTATACACACATTGAATATCTTGTCCATGTACTTTAAGATACGTTTAAGGTAAGATTCAAGATGAGAAAAAAAAAGAAAAATTCAACGTGATTGTGATTATGATGATGATGATAACGACGACCATCATCAAACATCCGACGTAACTTTGAAAGAAAAAGAATAAAATAAAAAATGATGATGAAGAAAAAAAGACAACCTGAATGTCGATGAACTCTTTGGTTATTCGTTTTAGAAACATTTTTGTATTCGTAATTTTTTTTGCATCGAGTGCATCAATAAGAAAAAAAACAGAGAGGTACAGCCACAACGAAAAATAGAAAAAGGATGAAGAATTTTTCAAGAAATCGAAAGTCGCGATACGAAACTCTTGAACAATCATTCTAATTTGAAATTCAATAAACGAATCGATTTCGTTTGCCAGCCCTTTTTTTCTATTCGTTACCTATTGACTTGACTAGCTACATCATCATCACTATTATCATTTGATTACAACAATCGATCAAGATGATGAAGATTAGAATTGAGAATAAGAGAGAGAGAGAGAGAGAAAAAAGTGTGCAATTATAATCAACTACTATAGCGAACACAAAATTCTAATGCCAATATGTGCCCATCATTCGCCAACGCTCATTGAACAATTGCAATGGCAAGTGGCATTTGGAAAATACATTTCTTTTTTTTCAAGTTGAAAATAGCAAGAAAGGTGTGCATTGTGTATTTATGAATCATGTCCAAAGTCATGATTCACACACACACACTTGACATGAATACAACACAAATCATCATCATCATCACGATGACGCCATGATGATGATGATGTGGTATCATTGTGCCGATGGCTCCCATAAACATTGATGCATCGAATGAAGAACCAAACAAATAAACGACGTAACAAAAAAAAAAAAAAATAATAATAATAATTCGACCGGATGGCGCCCATACATACTGGTTTTTTTCACATATATTCAGGTTGAACAATTATCTTTTGCTAGTTAAAATTGTTGATGATGATCACTTGGTTGTCGTTATGAATTTTGAATTGTAATGGAATTCAATGTATACACATTTAAATACACAAACAATGAATTAATTGAATGAATAGCAACGTTATATATCCTGTTTTTTTTCAACCAAAAATAAAAAAAAAATTCTTTGATGCAACCATTTTTTTTTCTAGTTCTTCGAATCGATTTATAATGAAGATCATGAGCTCATGATGATGATGATGATGGTGATCATGGTTGGATGATCATCATCGTCACATTTTTTCATCCATCCATGACGACACAATTCCATAAACTCTGAGGTTACATTTAAAAACCATTTGTTGTAAATAATAGTAGTGTTGTAATTGATTATTTGAACTGTTTATGTTGTTGTCCACACAACGGATTTGACACAAAGATAACAACATCATTCTAATGGAACTATTGGTTATTTTGAGAAGCAAAAAAAAATCTTAAAACATTCATGGATTCTGTTTTGTTTTGCTTTAGAATCTAGTAGTAGTAGTTCCATATAATTTGTAAATTGAGATGATGAAATGATTTTTTTTTCACCCTTTCATTTCAATACATTGTAATTCTATTTTTTGTTTCTTTTTTTCTGGATTTATGATGTTTATAACATCACGATCGAAATTCGATGTGTGTGTGTGTGTGTGCTGATATATTTCTGTTATTATTATGGTTATATTCATTTTTCCCCCAAATATAGATTCAAAATCATTTTGTTGTTGTTGTTGTTTTTTTTTTTTTGTTCATTCGTTAGTTCGGTCCAATATGTGTGGTGGTTTAAGCTTCATGGCCATAACCAGAACTTGCCAGCAGCCAAACATTATTTTGTAGCTGGCAAGTTTTAATCTAAATCGTCCTTGGAATTTTGTTTTTCATTCTTTTTGTGCTTATAGGATCGAAAGAGTTATATGGTCAATAATAAATGTCAACATGTGTGTGTGTGTGTGTGTTGGTTGAATGGTTCAAAGTCGAAGTTTTTCTTCTTCTACTTTTCTTTCTTTGAAAAGGTTTACAATTTCGATGGGTATCGAAATTCTAATCGAAGGCCATCATCAACAACCATCACCAGCCTAAAGCAATTGTGAAAAGAAGAAAAAAAAAATACGCGCGCCAAAAAAAAAACAAACGTTCTTTTCTCTGTTCAAGGTCGGCCATTTTTTTCGTATTTCGGTTTCTTTCGAAGATAATGTTTGTTTGTGGCCATGTGGCCCATTTCGTTTGTCTAATTCGAATCGTGATAGAAGATTGCTTGCAAAAAAAAAAGTTTTCTTTTTTTTATTGCTGCAATACAATGTATACGATATATTCTTCATCGTATATATGAATAATGTGTATTCAGGAAATCACAGCAAGTTCTTGATCAAGAAAGAAAAAAATAGAGAAAATCCTCTTAAATTGAAGGGTATTAACGAAAACGAAAATTTTTTTTTTTGAAACAATAAAGATAAATTCCCTTAGTGTTTTTTGCGCTGAAATTTGTGAAATTCCATAAAGGATATGTTTTGAATATATTTCGTCAATTTGAAATCGAAATATCAATATTTTATGTCAAAAATCAACATTTTTTGTATGTTTGCATCTCTCTCTATCTCTCTCTTTCTCTGTGTGTTTTGATAAATTCGGATGTTGTTGTTGTCCGCCTATTTTACAGTGATATTTACCAGGGCGTAAACATTCGTTTGTTGTTTTGAATCGACTGATTCGTTTGTATTTTTTTTTTTTTTGCCTGTCTAATGAAACGAAACTTCAATGATTCTAATACAAATAATGATTTGACATTTTTCACAGAGTAGGATTTGACCGTTTGATTTTGTATTTTCATTTTTTCATTTGACCAAACAAAAAAAAATTGGGCTTAACCAACTTTTTTTGTTTTGTTGTTGAAACATATTTTTCTCATTAACCGATTCGAATGGTTCGTTGTTGTTTTTTTTTATTGTCCCCAGCATATTAGCGTCCTAGGCCTAGGCCTAAAAGTATTCATAATTATACTACTGCAAAAAGTAAGGACACAAACACAAACACAGTAGGAGAGTTAGGCTATGAATAGAATTTGCACAAAAAATTCTATATTTAAATGTCATCGATGACCATGGTGGTTTATCATTTTATTCTGTGTGTTCGAATCGATTGACATTTGGCCATCATAATCATCATCAATGGATTGATTTTGGTCTTTGGTGTTTGATGATCGATCACTCGGTATTGGAAAAATTTTTGATCGTTTAAAATTTTTCACGTTACAAGAATATATATGTTATGTAAGTTTATATTTTTTTTTTTTTAATTTTGAATTTGTTTCTCTTTCACATTCGATTCTGAATTTATCCGATTTCTCAAAATTATTATTTACCGAAAAACGAAAAATATATCTAACCAAATATAACCAATATAATCAATGTATTATTAGTTATTATTATTTTATGACAAAATTGATTGATTCGAACGCATAAAAAAAAAGCAATAGGCACATGCATTGATTTGTGATCAGAAAAATTGATCATGCGTAAATTGAATGAAAATGGCGCGCTATAACATTCATGATGCATTCTTTATGATGTCTATGTTTGAGGTACGCCCAAATACTTTTCCCTTTTAAAACTAGTGGCAATGTATAAGCATGTTTGTTATATAGCTAAAGCTTTAGTTGATAGAAAAACCGGTTAGTCAATTGATTGAATTCTATTCAACAGTTGTCATAATACTACTACCATACACACTTGTTTTATTATACCAATAGAAAATGACCAGTCTGACTGGTTATATGTATTTTGTATTATTATAATGCACACATATGTATGGTAGTGACATTTTAGCCAATTGAAATGAATTTTTTTGATTGATTGTCATAGTAGCATAGAATAAAATTATGCTTCTACTACGATTTGAAAGCAACAGGCATTTTTTGTTTTTTGTTTTTGGACAAAAAGAATTTTATTATCAGGAGAGAGGATCCACTCCGAGTGAAGTAAAAAAAAACAACTCACACCACCACCACTATAATCATTTGTCCGTTTGACTTCGATCGATAATGACTTCACTTTGTTTGCTCGTTATTTTATTTTATTTTTTTTTTTACTACTCTCAAGATGGCTTTCGCCCTATTCTCGCGTTAGATTGTTTGCTCTTTGAGAGTTTCAAATTGTTTCTGATTTCTTTTTTTTTCAATATGAATTTTTTTCCATGTTGAATTTTTCTTGTGTCATGATTATGATGCTAATATGTGTGGCTATTGATGAACCTGTTGCCAACCGCCGCCATTCATTGATCCAACTGATTTTTTTTTCCATTGTAACGTGTTCCTCATGCATCGATTTTTTTTTTGTCATTCACTTGCAAATTGTCATCGTTTTGTGCAATTGGTCTGCAAGAAAAATCTTTTTTAAAACAAACAAATGGCAATCTGTTGATGCTGTCAAGAGATTCTTGAATTTTTTGTTTTGTTTAGGAATTTATTTTTCCAAGTTTGTCTGCATAATTCTTCGATGTGATTGTGTAATTTTTCCCCTTTGCTTTTATGATTTGTACTCTCTATAACGCGCGCGCATACTTGAATCCTCCTGTATGATTTTGGCTGGCTATAAAGGATCCTTTTCCCTTGGGAAGCCTGTTGCTTCTGATGATCGTTTTATAACCAAGCGATTTTCACCAGGCTGATGCCGTTTTCACACACCAACACACATCACATACACATAGCAAATAAACATATAGACGTGTGTAAACTGAGTGAGAGAAAATCGATTCGAATATCTGACGACGATCGCCATGGCACTTGTTGGTTTGGTTTGATTATAACTGCATGTCGTTGTTGTTGATTTTTTTTTGCTGACTTTTGCCATTGGTTGGTTTGAGTTTTTTCTGGTTTTTAAAATAATAATAACAATGAACCATAGCCATCATTGAATCTCAAAAAAATCAGGCATCAGAAATACGTCAAACCAGGATTTCTTGTTGCATTTTTTTTTTTTTTTTTTGATGAGATTCGATTTGTTATATTTTCATTAATTTATCATCGCCATTCGTCGTTCAATAGCTCAATAAATTTGAATTCCATTTTTGTCTCTTTGAAAATAATCTTTCCTTTTTTTTCATAATTTTTCTTTGATTCTTTCTTAATATTTTAATATCATCATCGTTGGCAACTTGAATATTCGATTTTTGTATCATCGAATGTGTTTGTATAAATGTGTGATCGTGTCATCCAAAAAAAAATGGTGACAACCAATATTCTATCAACTTACAAGTCGAATGTTGATGGATGACTGTGCGTCTAGTCCTGTTGTCAATTTGATGTCCAAATCATCACCCGAACACGCCGCCATTGATAAATCGAGTCAGGCTAGGTGTTGATTCGATCATCATCATTTTGATTAAACAAATCATTACATGACTAGATCCACACTCATCCATTACGTTACGACATTTGAACAACTCATCATTTCACATTTTCAAAAAGAAATAAAAAAAAATAATCCACAGTGTTTCAACATGATGATGATGATGAATCCTCTCCTGCTTTTCCTCAGTTATCGTTTGTGATCAAATAATTATCCGCGCGCTTGCATTGATCCAATCTATCCATTTCCTTTTATTTTGTTTTGCTTACCATCGATATTGTCGTTATTATCGTTATTATTATTATTATTGTTGTTGTCATACAAAATCAAACATCCTCATTTGAACATTTCCTTCTCAGTATTTTTTTTTTATTATTTGCTTTGTTATTATTTCCTTTGATGATGGTAGGAGATTGTCGAAATTTTTGTTTTATTTTTTTATGGATTTTTGAATCCCGATTTTGTTGAATATTTCGAATTTGGCGATTGATACAATGAACAAATTGAACCATTGGAGATATATGAAAAAACAAAATTTTTTTTTTCGCAAGATAAGTCATCATTCTAAGACCATTTTGATAACAACAAACGAACCAAGAGCAACAACAGCGTGGAAAAAACCGTTGAAATTTTTTTTTTCTACATTCAACAATATTGCTTGAAGGAATGCAGCAACGGCTACTACAAGCATTTATTGTTTGTATGCACACACATTTAGTTGCCGCCGGAGCTCGATTATACTTCCTTTACCTTGTCTTTTTTTTCTGTTCAATAACAAAAAAAATGCCAATATTATCTGAATGTCTTACCTTGTTATTGCTGCTATTTCACATGATATATGCATAGAGAAAAAGCTTGTCTTGATAATAGTGTGTGTGTACCCCCTGCTTTGTATTCGATTTGGGTTCACCTGCCAACAAGAAAAAAAAACTAGCTCTGTTCAAAATAATTGTGTGTGTGTGTGGGTATATTTTTTCATGAATATGGCGAATGAATAGTTTTTTTCTGGCTTTCTCTTTTTGTTGCTTGGCCGTATGTGGTAATAATCATCATCATCATAAATTATATTCCAATCTGTATGAGTGGTTCGTTTGGTTTTTTTTTTGCTGTAAATATTGTGCATATGTACAGCCGTCGTTGTTTTTTTTATGAACGACAAATAAAAATGGCATACCAGCCAGGTATACCTTTTTGGTTGTGTTCAAGTATACGAAGCGAAATAAAGAAAAAAAAACTTGTTTGGCGGTCAGGTTCTTTCGTTTTTTTTTCTTCTTCTTCAGATTGATCATCATTCAGAGTTCTTTCTGATGATTACAATCACGAACATGATGATGATGATGATGATGATGATGATGATGAACAAACATAGATGATGAGCGATGAGATGAGAGAAAAGAGGGACTCTATCTGTCTGAAATTTTTCTTGTCTTGTCTTTTCAAATAAGAATTGATGATGGTGATTTTTATTTTTTCATTTTATTTTTAGAAATTCAAAAATGTGTATAGTCAACAATAGTATTTTATTGAATTGAAATACGCTTGCGCTATGTTTTTTTTTCTGTACTTTCGGGCGGCGGTCATTTGAAAAAAAAACTTTTTATGGCACATTTTAATGGGCGACTACTTTAACATTGACCACTTGTTGTTGTTGTTCTATAGAACCAACATATTATATCTTATAAAATATGACGACCTAATTGGTCGAAGAAAAAAAGAAAAGCAAACTAAGAATCGATCGATCGTTCAAAATGTATGAAAAAAAATTTGGGCAAATATAGAAATGAAATGAAATTTGTATTGAACGACCGAAGAAGAAAAAAAAATTAGAAAATCAAACAAGGCTCCGGATCATTATTTTGCACGATAAAAGGAAACACACATTACACATACCATAAATACATGTTATTAAGACCAATATATTTGTGTGGATTTCGGATGTATCAAATCGAATGATTATATTAGTTATTTATTTTACTTAGCTTTGAACACGTTCGATCAACTGATTGATGTGATCGTCGATAGTGTTCTTATCATTTGTCTTTTTTTTTATTATTTAGCTTTTATAAGATGATTAACACAATCACCACTATGATGATGATGATGATGATTATGAATAAAACCGATTCAATTAAGGATTAAGAGAAAAAAAACATGATTTTGTTCTTGGAGCCGATGAATGTTCCTTGGTGCTGTTTTTTTTATTGGTTATATGACATTTATTTAGTTGAATGTGTCGATATGTTCGGAACAAATTGATTTTTGTTTTACATCATCAATCTAATATGTTCCGAATGTTATTCACATCCAATTTTAATTAATTGTCATATTATAATCATCACCGGGCTAGCATTCATCCGGTTTTTTTGAACATTTTAAACAACACACATCGAAACAGAATTTTTCTTAATTCCAATTCAGTAATGTCATCTTGTGACGAAAAATATTAATTTTTATTGACAAAAAAAATTAAGAATAAACGATAATCATCCATCTGGTGACAGTGATCATCGTTAAACAATCAAATTTCCACGTATAAACACTTGGTTACAACATTCTTCAACAAAAAAAATTTCGTCTGTTGGTTGTGTATTAACTAAAAATGTTTGACATTGGATTCCAAAAAGTTAAAGGTAAAAAAAATTATCAATTTATACTGATAAGATAATAATTTTTTCAATCTTATCAATAATCATTTTTAGCAAAATCGTATTGAAACATATATAAAAGGAAATAAATAAATTCATTGTTGGCCGTTGACCGAATTGGTTTTATCGGAAAATCACCATTATCAGCTAATTCAAAACAATCAATCAATCTGTTTTATTATGTGCTGCATGAATTTATGAATAATTTTAATGAATATGTAGAAATATTTCCTTGAATGATCAAAGAAAAACATCCATCAAGTGCTGGCTATAAATAATGACAGAACAAATCTTACATCTAAGCTATCCATAATTTTTTTTGCGAAATTGAATACTGATTGAGCACTGAAATTCATTTTTCCTTAGCCATTCAGTCAAACATCCATTCATTTATAAACGATTAGAATTTTATACGCCAGTCATTTTGATTTATTTTTTGTTTTCTTTTGTAACTGCATACAGCGTTTACAGCTGACAACAAAATGAAGAAAAATCATTTCTGGATGCTACCGTTGTTCTTAGCTCTAACCAATGTATTGGCCTGTTTTGTACCGTATGCCATTTCCGTTCATACCGGATTTGTGGATCCAATATTACCTTATGTTAGTGATGCGGGTTCCGGTCCAATTGCCGCTCATTATTTTGGTTTATTTTTGGACATGTGTGCTTTTTTAGGCAAGTTATTCAATGAATTTTTAAAGTTATTTTTCTAATAAACATTTGTTGCTTATTTTCAGTAATGATCATCGGATGGATTCGTTATAAACAGTTAAATTTTTATTTTGAAAATATCAAAACCAACGTAATCAATGTTGATTGCGATATGGCTAAATTGGAAACTCTGAATCGACGATTATTATATGCATTTTTTCTTACTGCCTGGGGTTTGATTGGCGTTGGGAATTTTCGTCTATCCGAAACATTTTATCTGCATTGGATGTTTGCCTTTTTGATCATTTTTCCAACTTCATATTACTTGTATTTTACGTGTTATATGTCACGCATATTGTCTCGATTTGGTATCGAATCGTATCCTGTTTCATTAATTATTCTTCTTATATCGCAGATTATAATTTTCATTCTTTTCGTTATTATGATCATTATAGCGCTATACGCTGGTGATGGTGTAACGTTCAACGCTTTTTTTGATCTTTCATTTCGCTTACATTGGCCAAAGAATCAGGCCGGTTACGTTTATCATTGTTTATCCAGTGTTTTCGAATGGTTAATTTTTTTATCAAATGTAATATTATGTTTTTGTCTTTCAAATCGATTCCGTCAATTCAAACAATGGAATCGAATTGAATTCTGATTTGTTCGAAAATTACCACACACAAACAATCAAAATACTCATTCAGTAATAGTAAATAAAACGCATCAGTGAATAAAAAATTGAGTTTAATCTTAATCAAACCGGTCATGTTTGTTTTGCATTCTTATATATTTTATACACCATAATTATTACCTTCTGATAGATAATCAATGACTGTTAATGAAACAAAATGATAATCAGTTAATCAATGATTTATGGATTAAATGGAACACAAACCTTCAAGAACGTATTCAATGATAATGTACCATGTCGATAATAGGTAGGACCATAACGGTTTTGTGTATGAAATTTTTGAATGAAATTTACCACTTTAAAATGCGTTTGAAACGAATCAAAACGTGCACGGGCATTTAATGATAATAATCGTGGTACATTTTTTTTATGGATATGTTTTGAAAATGATGCAATCAATAAATGAACACCAAATAAACCGATAAATTGTTGAATGATCATCAATGAAATCATAATTAGTTCAATGTTATCCTTTCCAGATGCAGCAAATAATGTTGTCATAATAAGAAATACATTGAAAGGAATATTGGCAAATATATAAACCGTACATGGTAATGAATATATTCTATTCATTTCGAACATCAATCGAATTGTTTCTGTATGTGAAATGAAAAATATTCGTAATTTATACGGCGTTAATTGATGAAAATAATCTACAAGAAATTCATCAAGTTGTCGAAATTTAAATAATCCAGCTGCACAACAAGAGATGACTATTATTCCTGCGTGACGGACATAATTGAGAAATGAATAGAATGATGTCAACAAAAGAATTAACATTAATTCAGATATTAAAATTTTGATGACATTTACGATTAAAGAATTATTTAAATAGAATGATTCATTCTCTATAATCGAATTGATTAATTGAATATGCCAAAATATGTTAACAAAAGTTAGGAACAGAAGAAATAATTGTCCTAGATAGTAGATATATTTTTCAAATTGTATGGTCAGCTTCCTTAAATTGGCTGGTGATCGACCAGGTCGATATTTGATTGATATATTAAAGAATTTGTTTGTTTTCAAATCAAAGTACGACTTATCCGATTTATCCAAAGAGTTGATTATAATTTTTAACACTCTACCAGAATTCAATCGAAAATAATGAGCATGTTCAAAGCATAATATTACAAATATTAACAATGCATAAAGAACATTCAAGATTGGATCCAATTTCATGATGTAAAAAATATCGTATAGAAGAATTCGATAATTATGTGACCATTGTATAAAATACAGTTGTATATGATGAAAGATTATAATGTAGAAAATTAAATTTATAGTTTGATGTGTCCATCGTGCACATTTTCCATGTTGCATTATACAATTATAATAAAAATTTATATGTTTGAAACTTCGGAATGGATTTATAGTATGTGATATCATTCGTATCAATGTAAGAATCATTTCCATGACTGAAATATTTTGGAATCTACTATAGTAGTTCTATACGAAAACAAAGAATGCAAAAGAATGATCAAAATGAATCTAATTCGAATATAGGAATGTAACAATTTTAGTCAAAAAATTCGATTACAAAAAATTAATGATAGAAATATGCTGATTGAGAATAAATGAGAATAATACTTGACGATTTGCATATATGAAAAATGAATATATAGTTTTATTTACTTTATGATAATTACAAATACAAGATGATTACTGAAATTCTGGACATGTCCGGACCTATGGTAACCCTTAATAACAAAACAAAACAAAAAAATTCCACATTTATTTTGATCGATTAATCATTAAGATGAGTTTATTCATAATTGCACAATAATTTCAAGAAATTCAACCGCGTTTTTTATTTATTTGAAATTCATGACCATCACTTTTTCAAATGCATATTACAGGTATCTGAAATTCAAATTGATCAATTCAAATTGACATTGCTGTCGATAATGTGATCAGCTATGTGATAATGTTGATCGACGAAACATTTTATATACCATAATAATACCTTTATTGTAGAGCATTAGACACTAAGAGAGAGAAAAAAAAACATTATTTAAAATATTTATTCTATCGTGACAAACCTTAATGAATGTGTTTAATGTTACTAAATTGAGTTTATAATAATGAACTCCATAACGATTTTTCGAATGAAATTTTTGAATATAATTTATGACTTTCAAATGAGTGTATGCTGATCGAAATTGAGCACGAGCATTTAATGATATTAGTTTTGATATACCTTTACGGTGAATTCGTTTAGGTATCAAAGTTAATATGAAATGAACACCAAAAATACCGATAAATTGTTGAAGAGCCATTAATGATAATATAAGAATTTCAAGTAATGTCTCCTCTGAATGATGAAACATCATTGACATGACAAGGAATACATTGTATGGAATATTTGATAATAGATAGGCAGTGCCAGACCAAGAATAAATGCGATTAAATCGAGCTATAACATTGACGGCACCAGTATGTGCCACCATAAAATTTCGTAAATCATCCGATGAAAGATTTTTTAGATTGTCATCAAGATATTCATCCAATTGTTGAAGACGTAAAATACTTGAATAAATACTACCAAAGCCCATCATAACAAGAATGAGAAGATAATTGACCAATGAATAAAATCCACCAGATACACTTAACAGCATTATTTCGGCACATAATAATTTGAATGGAGTGAAAAGCCAATTATCGAAAAAGAAATGACTATTTTGCCAAATTAGATAATATAATTGCCAATGCCAGAATAATGTTATTATATCGATTAATAATAGAAATCCTTGTACCAATTTAAAAGTTATCCAAGTAAATTGTTTGAATCGTTTACATAATTTTTCCGGTGTTCGATCCGGTCGATATATTTTACGACAATGATTGGTGCTTGGAAGATGAAAAAATGATGTATCATTTTCGAAAATGATCTTATATAAAAGTTTTATACTATATTTATCTGGATCTTTATATTGAGTACTTTCGATGGCTTTCATTGCCAACAATAATAAGGTAAACAAGGCATTAGTTGTTGATTCCATTTTGAGTAGATAGACAATATCGAAAAACATTATACGATATTCTTTTGGCCATGGTATAAACACCAGTAACCAATGTCGTAATACGGCAAGCCAAAAATATACAGTAATTACTTGGTGTGTTAGATGAGTCATATAATCAAATTCAATCATAGATCGACAATATTGTTCCAGATAATTTAATCGTTTGAATGGGTTAATCACCTGAATGTACAGTTTGAATAATGGTATTATCATTTGTCGTACATAATTATCGAATATCATGATTGTTTATGAGCTACACACTAGCTGTTTATATTTTTTGAAAAACAAAATTCAGACCATATGATGAAAAAGTGTGGCCGACGTTCATATTTATAAATGACAAAAAAAGGAATGTGATGAAAATGAGAAAGAATTTTTTTTTCTTTAAAAAAAACGTTGAATTTTTTATTTCTATTTTGTTCAGTTTTTTGATCACGAAAATCCATCATCAGCGATGAAGTGGAAATTATGAAAAAATTATGCTGAGATAATTCGAGAAATAATTTCTTTTTTTTCAAAGAATAAACAACTCAATTATAGCATAACCAAAAAAAAAAAAAAATTGAAGAATTCGATTTTTTTTCTTGTTAGTGACTACAATTCTTTCAATCGGGCAATCATTTTTTTTTTTTTTTTTGAATTTTTCGTAAATATATTTCAACCGTGCCTCCAAAAAAAAAAAGATAATGGTAAATATGTGATCGATAATTGTTGGGGGAATTGATGAATGTTTAAAATCATCTAAAATTTAATCGATATACAAAATGAATAAAAAGTGAAACGTTCAAACATTTCTACTATAGATTTTCTTTTTATCGGAAATGTTTGTGGCACATTTTTTTTTCTTCAAATACAGTAAACAACAAAAACAACAATGAAGGCAATGAAAATGATGGTGAAAACAAATAGTGAATGCGAGAGAGAGAGAGAGGATATTATTTTTATATGATAATAGAATAGATTCAAATAAATGTATGAATAATGAAACAGAAATGATGATGGAACATGAAAATGAGCATTGATCACAATTCAGAATCAGAAATATGTAAATATAGATTCATTGGTCATTAATTCAGGGAAAAAGTTGGTTTTTTTCCAAAATCAAGCAGCAAACAAAACAAAAATAAGGAAAAATACGAATAAAACAGCAAATACTTTGATTATTAACCAACGATTATTTGTAACGGATGTTAAATATTGTAATAAAGAATCATGTGCCTGTTCGACATTCATCATTGTATCGGTGACATTAGCATCGATCCTAGTAATCATTTCTTCTTGTTGTTGAACCATTGTAGCTAATTGATTGAATATGGTACCAAGTTCTACAATGGTCGATTCAATCGATTGCATAGTATTGGCACGATCTTCTAGATATTCACTTGTCTGATCGGGAAATTGTAACAATGTTTGTGTCTGAGCCAATGATATGGAATTATTATGACGATGACTGCGATGATTATGTCCATTATTATCAGTATTGGCCATATCACCAAAATCGATCACAGTCGTTTGCGATTGTTGTTGTTGTTGTTGTCGTAGATTTGATGCCGAATATGAATGTGGTAATGATCCTTGTTGTTGTTGAGCACGTGATGTTAATGGTGGCTGAATGACCGTACCAAACGAGAATTGTTCACGCCGTTTTTTAACTTTTTTTATAGTTTGACTTCGAACTTCTAGAGTATCACGGAAACTGTTGGATATTGATGCGAGTTGATGTTGAAGTGTAAGAACAACGTTTTTCGTATGTGATCGTACATTATGTCCACTTGAATTTGATAATGATTGTGTTTCTAATTGAAGTTGCCGCAATTGTTCTATCTGATGATTTAATGATTGTATATCCTGTTTGATGATGTAGATTAATTCATTAAATTCTTTGGATGATTCTTCATCATCGAACATGCTCTTTTTCTGTGCCATCATATTGATTTTCTCCAATTTTTGATAGGTTAGATATAAATCACGAGCTATAGAACGTGAACCGCTCATGAAACGTGAAAACTACATACACTCAATTAGTCCAGCAAAATAAAGTGTAAATAGCCGAAATACTCGCCAAAATCGCGATTACTCGCGGTAATCGTGTGTAAACAAAAGTTTTCGATTGTTTAATTTGATTTCGATGTTTAACATTTTCATTTTTGTTTGGATACGGAATTATTTCGAATCATAAACTAATGGATTAGAATTATATCGATAAAAATGGTAATTTGGTACAAAACGATCCAACTATTCCAATCCAAAAGGTCTTCAATGTGATGGAAAAAAGATTTCACATTTCATTTTTCTGTAAGTTGAATATGATATTTTCGTGCAGACATTTATGTTAATAATAATGTTGAATTTTATTTTATTTTAGTATTACGAAGGAAATCTTATAAATTCAAATGGCACATTTGTGCCGGATAATTATGAATTCCCGGTATTTGATGATGACTTAAACGTATTTTGCTGAATCCGAATTCGATTGCCAGCTTTAAGATATTGAATTCAATTATTCTTTCGATTATCAGATCAATCGTTAAACATATTTGCGGAACAAGTAACGACTGCTTGTATATGACAAGCATTCCTAAAAATACGATGCTCATCATTTTAAATAAAATAGACGCCAATTACCCAATTTTACCCAAAAAATATAATGAACTAAATTGTGATGCAAAAAAATGGAATTTGTATTTCATGTATTTTTTCAGAAATTTTTATGGTACAAATATAAAAATATCAAACGGTCTAATGACTAAAAAAAGAAAGACAAATGAAAAAGAATCCTTTATAAATTAAATTGTATTTTTATAAGTCAATTATAAATAAAATGGTTACATTGTTTGAGCTTAATCGTTCATGACTATCATGATTAAGATAGAACAAGAAAAAGCGATGAGTGTCATACGATATTTTTGTCCGAGGTCGACTATAAATTTATTTAATTCTAAGGAAGAACAAAGTGATAACTCTTGGTCATCTGTTGATCAATTCTGTTGTTTTGCTTTTTGTTTTAAAATTGTCCATATTGTTGTGATTGTGGATTCGATAATGGTGATGATCCATTTAGATGTATTTGATTTATCCCTTTACGGGCTCGTAATTCCATCGGAAGATGAGAACCAGCCGTACCATTTAAGTATTGAGGTTTTCCAGCCATCGATCGTACGGTGACCATAAATTCAGATGTTCGATCACGAACCATTTTTAAATTTTTAATTTTAAATTTCACGATTGATCGAAAAAGAAAATAATAAATAAAATAATGTAATAATTTATTATGAAAAATCAATTGATGACGTTGAATTAAAAGAAAAATTTTTCAACTCTCAGTAAAGCTTTATTGAGTTATATGCTACAATACAAACTCTTGTATTTTGCATTGCATCAGCTGCTCGTCGACCATTGAGGTGGATATAGTCAATCATTTTTTTTATTGGTTTTTTTCCATTCGAGAATCGTATAAATGAAACTGATTTCAATCAATTGATTAAAATTCTCATTATATTCACCATCATGAATGATTCGAATACTCAAAATGAATCAAAACAATCTGTAGATTCATCAGTGAATAAGCGAAAAAAACAAGACATTGATGATAAAGATGGTAAAATTTTCAAAAAACCAAAAAACATTCGAAATTCTCGTTCGAATGAGATATTGAAAACAAATGGCTCTACAACAATGATGATAAATGAATTTTCAAATGATGAAAAACCTCGTCAAAGAAATTTCCACTCACTTGATCAATATACTCGACATAAACTGTTGATTAATTATTATTGCCTTACACATCCTGGTAGTCGTCATCAAGTTTTTCAACGAGATCATTCACAGGATAAAAGTGACCTGCAGATTTTGATTGAAAATCATCGATTTATTTGGCCAGACGAAGATTTACAATCAAATCAATTAACTTGGGGACAACGTGTAGCAAAAAAATATTATGAACGTTTATTCAAAGAATATTGTATCATCGATCTTAGTCTTTTCAAGCAAAATAAATTTGGAATGCGTTGGCGAACCGAACCTGAAGTAATCGGGGGTAAAGGTCAATTTATTTGTGGTAACAAGCACTGCTCGATACCAACCAATTTAACTTCATGGGAAGTGTTATTTGGTTATGTTGAAAATGGAGAAAAACATTCAGCATTGATCAAAGTAAGACTATGCCCCGATTGTTCCACGAAATTAAATTATCATCGACAACATAAAAAAGCAAAGAAAAACAAAAAGAATGAACGAAAATTGAAACGGAAAGAATCAAAGAATCAAAAACAAAGTATGGTGAAAGTGAAGGAAGAAATCCTTACATCGGATGATGAAGTTGGTTTTTCCAAAAATCCGGGATCATCATCTTTGCAACATGATCATAATAATGATGATAATGATGATGATGAAACTTATGAACAATTGATCGATAAAATATGGCGACAACCGATAAAATTAGAATTTGACAATGATAATGATCAAGAAGAAGGGAAAAAATTGGAAAATGAACTTGATAATTATTTGGATGAATTTTTCCAATAATAACGTTTTATGTGTGTGTATACATAACCATTTAGACAAGATTTCACAATGCTGAAATGTGTGCGTCGGTGCAAACTATTTGGATATTCTGTTGTCAACATAATCATCAACAAATCTGGAATTCTCTCATTGAATTTATTTACATAGCGATGAGTTTTTGACATTATTATTGTCGTTTGAGCCAATCACAAGAGATTACAGGTAAACAAAATGGATAATTGTTTTTAACTCATTATATTTAATATATAATATTTTTGTCTTGGATTTAGGATCGATATGGAAAAAATGAATGAACAACAAAAAACGCAAAAAAATTTCAAAGAGGAAAATATTTTCCTCTTTGTTCCAAATTTGATTGGCTATGCAAGAATCATTCTTGCATTGGCTTCATTCTATACGATGCCGAATCGACCAATTACAACTCTTGTCTTGTATTTTCTATCTGCTTTTTTGGATGTATTCGATGGTTATGCTGCTAGACGATTTAATCAATCCACACGATTTGGTGCAATGCTCGATCAACTTACGGATCGTTGTGGAACAATGTGCTTGTTGTTTGTAAGTTTGTTCATTTTAAGCCATTCAATTTAAAATTTAACAAAATTTAAAATTTCAGGTACTTGGTACTTTATATCCAGCTTATCTTTTCTGGTTACAATTATCGGCTGTAATTGATATTGCGTCACATTGGATGCATTTACAAGTATCATTGATGTGTGGCCGTACTAGCCATAAAATGATTTCATTAGAGGATAATCCCATTCTCTATCTGTACTACAATAGTCGTCCGATGTTATTTTTCATGTGTTTCTTTAACGAATTATTTTACGTTTCGCTTTATATGCTTTATTTTTTTGAAGGACCTACAGGTAAGATGAGAGAAAAATTTGTTTTAAATTAATAATCATTGAGAATTTACGTTAAATTAGTATTAGGATTTGGATTATTTCATTTGGCCACCTATGTATCGATGCCGATTGCAGGACTCAAAGCATTGATTAGCATATTACAGCTAATAACCGCTTGTTATAATTGTCAACAATTGGATTTGGATGAACGTCGACATTATCAAATGCGCAAAACAAATTAAATATATCTAGTCTTGTTGATAATCATATCCTTCGAAACATTTGATTCATTATATGGACCAATTACAGCAACAGCTATAGAAATACTACTTTAATCATCATCATTCCTTAGCCAAAATAGTGTGTTCATTTATTCATTCATTCATTCATTCATTCATTTTGTTATTTATTACGATTAAATATTTTTTGTTTGAAAAACGATGGAAAAATGGGAATTTATTTCTAAACAATTCCGTTCGATTGATGGCATTACTGTCGTTATTGCTGTTATAATAGCCACTATTGGTAGGTGGAGCAGCATGTCAAGGTGTGTCTTGTCGGTTGTCTGTCCATCAGCCTTTCTGTCTGTCTGCGGTATAATTCGATTCAATATTTTGCACCAACCCATCAAACCGATGTGTTCAAGTTGAGTTCGCGTGTATATGTATTTTTGAGCTATTTTGTCGTGTTGTATCCACTGGATTTTTGTTTGGATAAAAAATTTTCATTTATTTTCGATTCTTAATCTAATTTTCGGATTTCGGATTTGTGATTAAAATTTCGTGATTCGTTTTGGCTATTTCTATTATAATTTTTTTTTTTTTTTTATTCCGATAGTCGGATACAAAGTATTCTTTTTCCGATATTCGTGCTGCTCGTTTTTCTTTGTGTGACTGTGTTGTGCTAAGCACGTGCTCATCACGCATCTTACGTTTTGGATAATTCTAAAATATAAACTGATTTTTTTTTCTTCTATTATTGAAATGAAGAAATCTAAATGAAATTTCAAAAATGACTTCTAAAAATAATAATTCGACATCATTGTCATCTGCAACAATGACACAGCGATCATCACCGCCATCATCATCAATGTTTTTGGCTGTACATCCATTACCATCAAACGATGATGAATTAAATGACAAGTAAGCTCAAACAACTTTTTAAGGTATCATTAATTTATATATGGAACCCATAGAATCCTTGAAACTGTTGAAAAGTTTCGATCACAAACAAATCCAAATAATCCTCCTAGTTCTGGTGCTGGTGGTTCAAATTCTCATTCAAATGTGCCTGTTATCAATTTTGCTGGATCAAACATTTCTTCTGCTATTTCACAAAACGAATCATCGACAAATGGTGGTGATTCATTATCGATGAAAATGGCACAACAGCAACAATCAGCAGGTCAAACCGTTCTGCAATGTGTTGTTAGCCGTAATCATGTGGCAGTTTTGCTTGATGTAAGTTAAAATGTAAAAGGTTATTTTTACTTAATGTACATTAATATAATTATATATATTGGCCCACATAGGATCATCGTGTTTGCCGTTATCCATTCAACATCTATGCTGAACGCATCAATGGTTCGAATGTCCAATCTGAATCATCATCATCTAATACAAAAAAGTAAGCCATTTCAACCTATTCCAGATGTTTTATTTCCATAATGATGATATATTTGCTCATTCTAGAAGTATCTATGCGTCCACATTAAATTCTGTTAGCGGTGGTAATAATAATGGTACCGGTACCAGTGGTGGCGGATCATCATCACCACGATCAGTTCCTTCGCGTCGACGTTTAGTACGTCGTGGTGGAAATCGTAGTTCAGCATCAGTAATCATGAGTCGTAGTCATATGATACCGGCTCAATATGTTCCGGAAGAATTGGTAAATCAAGCACAAGTTGTGTTGCAAGGAAAATCGCGTAATGTCATCATACGTGAATTGCAACGAACAAATTTGGATGTAAATTCGGCTGTAAATAATCTATTATCACGTGACGATGAAGATTTTGATGATGCGGACGATTCACCTGAACAGTTGATTCATTCAGAAGATCTGATCTCATTGTTAGACAGTGGTTTTGCCAGTCAGGATCATTCAGTAATAATTGATCCAGAATTTAGTGAGGAAGCAGTTTTTTCATATCCAGTGAGAATTCGTGGATCTCCATCAATTTTTCCTCCTAATAATCAAAATCAATCGACTTCAAGTGGACAAAGTGGCAGTGGCAATAATAATTCCGGTAGTACTGGTGGTGGTTCATCTTCGAATACTAATGTCGGTGGTAGTAATGGAAATAGCGGTAGTTCAAGTAATCGAATTCGATTACGTGAGGAACCATATTCATTTGTTGAACGTGAACTTGGCTTATCACCACATTCGCAAACGTTAAACGGTAAACGATGGTATTCGGTCACACAAGAATCTGTTAAAAATTTGGAATCTGGTGGTGGTGGTAGTGGTCTTCGTCATCAATCGTCTACATCATCATCGTCAAATAAGAAAAAATGTGATCAAATTCAATTGTCACCCATATCGTTCACTGATCAAGAATATTGGCTCGGATCCAATGACAGAAAATTCATACAGATAGCATCATTGCACTCCGAATTGGTCGCTATTAATAATCAGGGTCAATTATGTCAATGGCGTTGGCAAGATTCGGAACCATTCAAATGTCAAATATCCGATGGTATTTATTATTTTCATCCACGTGTTCCATCATTGGGACTGTTATCTGAAAAAATACAACATCTTTCCGCATCAGTAATACGTGCAACCGTTGTAACAGAAACGAATAAATTGGCTACCTGGATGGATGAATCAATTGCTGCTGCTGCATGGAAACTCGAACATTCAGCCACGAATCAATTGTTTACTGATACATTATCGGCTGCTCTTTCTGGATCATTTAAAATTACTTCATTGTACGTATCTTCACTAATGTCTTGCGTACAATTGTCATCTGGATCATTGTTCTGGTGGGGTACCCCACCGTTTTCACATCGGAAAAAAATGGCCGAAAAAGGGCAAAATGAAAGATCAAAATCAAAATCGAAATCATCATCATCAACATCTCAATCAGTATCGAATATGAATAGTAAGGACAATGAAATTGTTCAAGGAACATTGGTATCCATGCGAAATTCTCCCATTTATCAATGTGGTGCAATTGGTTTTACAACCGTAGGTGGTGTTCCAAAAGTTGGTCAACTTATATCGGCTGCTTGGAAAATCTCTGATTCATATTCGTTCAGAATTTTAACTGCACAAGAAATTCAATCCAGATTACCAGCTAATTCTGGATCAACATCATCCTCAACACCAACGGCTATACCGGTTGTAACTAATAATCAAACAGTAGCTAATAAAAATCTTGAACGTGCAGAAATGCCACCACCACCATCACCAGCATCGTCAACATCATCTGAATCATCAAATACGAATGCTCCGGTAGTTAAACGTGCACGTGGTCGTAATCTAAGCTCTTCTTCCGGACAACAATTACAACAACAGCAATCATCCAGTAATAATGAAGAACGAAATTTAGATCGAATTGAAACATGGAATCTAAAAGATGTTGTTTTTGTTGAAGATGTTAAAAATATGCCAATAGGTCGTGTTATTAAAGTAGATGGAAATTTTGTTGCCGTCAAATTTAATGCTACTCTTTCGGATAATCCAGTATCATTGAACAAGAATCAACAATTACAAGAACAACAGCAACAACAGAGTCGTCCATCTGGAGAAACAGATTCTATTGAATCTTACATACAAGACTGTCGTCTATTACGTAAAGAAGATTTGATTGCTGTTCGTGCGTTTTCATCGACATCATCAGCTCCTTTAACCTTTTTCAATAATTCAATGATTGTTGGTAACAAAGCTTATGATTATGTTCAACGTACACCAAAACGTGTACCACTTGCTGAACATATGCAAATCCTGACAATGACATTAACCAATCTTGGATTACATGCCATCGCTAAAATGGGTGGCTATCGCCTATCTTATCTACAAATCAATATTGTTTCTGGCCGTATTGAACATGATAATAAACTATCGATTGAATATAGCACATTTTTCGGTAGCGGAACAAATCCAAAATCATCATTGATACGATTGTTTAGTGCTGGAGAGAATGAACAGACCACAGTCGTATTATGTCGTGATGGTAATGGAACTTTGTACCCATTGGCTAAAGATTGTACCAATATGGTCATAAGAGAACCGATATCATTGAATCTTGGTCCAATATCAACGATTGGTTTGGGTATTTTTTCATTACAAAATATCAATGGCGGTGGTGGTCTTCCGTATTCAACAACATCATCCTCATCTCAACCGATGAAAACTCATGCTGCCATTCTGGCTTTAACGTTAGAACGACAATATCTCATGCCAGCCATTTTAAATTGTGACCTGGATGGTGTTCGACAATGTCTAGCATTGTTGAATACCTATCCAAAAGTATTTTTCCCAATGATAAGCGAAGTTTGCGATGGCAATCATAATATTATACATGTAGCTGTCTCGGCTTGTTTTCCAACCAGTAATAAACCACGACCATCTACAGATTCTGTTCAAATACACATTCAGTTGCTTGGAGATGATGATGATTTAGTCCAACAAGATCCACGACCAACATCATCATCATCATTGCTCAATGATACCACTATGAATGATAGTTCAGATGCAACCACATCTAACAATCAACAACAACCTGTCCAGAATCAGCCATCAGCAACATTTGGAAATTCAAGCGAACCTTTATTGGATCCAACCGAACAGAAACCAATAGCTCATTCTATCTTATGGACATTATTGGATTCTCCAACCCTGTCTGGACATTTGTTTGATTTACTTTCGGCACGTGATTACCAAGGACTAACTCCGTTCATGTTGGCCATATCAGGTCGTGCTTATTCAGCTGCACAGCAGATATTTGTTATAATGCAACGTGTTGCACGTATGATTGCTAATAATGAAATGGCCAGCGGTTCTACACAGCAACAGCATGATCGATCATCACCATCATCATCTATAACACAAGATTCCATCTATCAACGTACATTCATTCAGATGCTATATCCTCGAGGTTCATCGCCAGATCATTCCCCATTGTATATGCTATGTTCGAATGATACTTGTACTTTTACATGGACTGGTGATGAACATATTAATCAAGATATTTTTGAATGTCGTACATGTGGCTTAGTTGGTTCTCTTTGTTGTTGTACTGAATGTGCACGTGTTTGCCATCGTGGTCATGATTGTAAATTGAAACGAACAAGCCCGACTGCTTATTGTGATTGTTGGGAAAAATGTAAATGCAAAGCATTAATTGCTGGTTGTCAACCTGCAAGAAATAATCTTTTGAAAAAACTACTTGAATCTACGAATTTATCGCAACGAGTTAATGCACGCGGTGAACATATTCTATTGTTTTTGGTTCAAACAGTTGGCCGGCAAATTATTGAGCAGAAACAATATCGCCCAACTAGACTCAGGGCATTTGCTGTAAGTTCCGGAAACAACAACAGTGGTGGTCGTTCTAAAAATGAACTAAATGATGAACAGTCCAGTGTACCGGAACATGATCTTGAACCACCTAAATTTGCTCGGCGTGCATTGGAAAAAATGCTAAGCGATTGGCCAACAGTTAAATCTATGATTCTTACCGGTTATCGTTCGACTGAAAATGTAGCTCAACAACAACGAAGACAATCATATTTATGGAATCTTAATGGAACAGCAAATGCCTATTCATATGAAGAAGAAAATTCCTATTTATCCTGTCAGAATGGTTCAGCATTATTAGATAAATTCACCCATTCATTATTAAAATTGAATTTGAGTGATCCTATTGATCGTATAACTGGAACCATTTTACAGTCATGTAAAACTCCAAGTATCGCTCAAGAAGGTCGTATTGTTGCACGAAGATTTGTACGATCTGTGATACGTGTCAGCCTAGCTGTTTTGTTTGAAGCAAATCCTGTTCAATATTCAATGGCTTATGCACCGTTGATGGAAACATCATCATATCGGACATATTGTGAACGTTATCTATCGGCTCAATCTACATCGACGTCATCTTCGTCATCATCATCACCATCGTCGTTGCAGAAGAAATCAAACTCAATGATAACGATGATGCGTAAGATTCGTAAAGTTTTTGTTTCATTATTACCAATTGCAGCGGAAGAATTGTGTGAGGTGGCTGAATCATTAATCGCTCCAGTCAAAATGGGTCTTGCTCGGCCATCATCATCGTTTATGATGATGGCACCATCATCATCATCATCATCAAATACTTCAGATCTTGGTGGTTCCATAACCGATGAACTTTTCTCAGTCGATACATCTGTTTATTCACATCAACGTGATTTTCTCGATGCTACGTTTGGTCTTCATGATCCAACCATGTTGGAACCAGAACCGATTGGATCCGTTTCACAAAATCACAATTCACACCATATGCTCTGGAATTCTTATGATCAATCATCAGCTGATCTTAGTGCTGCAGGCGCAGCCTCCGCTTCACAATCTTCTGAATCACAGGCAAATAATAATAATAACCAGAATCAACAACAACAACAACAACCATCACAACATGAATCACAAACAACTAGTAATGATGATGATTTGACGTCAGCTCCGATTCCATCATTTCAATCACTCATTTTTAGTGAACAATCTACCGAATCATCAACAGCATCTGTTTCTGCTTCAACTAATCAACCACCAGAAATCGTTATTGAAAGATCTGCAAATGAAGATAATAATTCACAAATTGGATCTGATCAACATCAAAGTAATCTAACATCGGCTGCATCCGATGCCGATATAGACATGCTTGTTGCCGGTAATCAAATGATGAGCGAAGCAGATGATAATTCAAATGTTGGCGGACGTTTGGATACTGAATCGGATTCTGAATCCAATCCAGATGATGGAGCATCATATTTAAGTAATGCAGATAATGCTTCTGCACAACGAAGTGTTGTAACCGGTGCAACAGCCGGCAGTGATGTTGGAGTTGCCTCTTTACCGTATGATGATGAATCCTTGAATTCAAATGCTGATGATGTCGACGACGATGATGATGATGAACAAGATGTTGAACCGGATGATGATGAATCATCGGATTCTGATGATGCTTCAGATACGGCCGAAACGGAACCAGACACAGACGTCCTTTCCAGTTTCATCAATGATAATGTTGAACGTCGTCTAGGTGTGATCGGGGGATCATCATCAAATGCTACTGCCGGTAGTAGTTCACAAACTGCAACAACCGGTTCAGCTAGACATAATATTTTACAACATGTTCAATGGGCATTACGTTCACATCGTGATCAAATGCTATCATCAACAGCACCAACAAATCTTACTGAATCATTCCGTCGTAGTGCCATTTCGAATGCATTAGTTTCAATGGAAAATGTTGTACAAATAACGAATTCAATGGTTGGCCTAGCTCGAGCTTTTTCTATCATAATCCGTCATATTGCAGATTTGATGGTCATCATACGCGAAACAACAAACGAAATGGGCAGCATTGATTTCCCTATTTATCATATTAATTCAACAGAATCTAAACAATTATTGCAGATGATTGAAGATCGTCTTCTTAATACCTGGAATTGGTTGATCAATTCTATGGACGCAACGGAAACTCAACTACGTTTTGGATGTGCATTATCGAATCGACGTCTTACCCCAAGCGTTTCTGGTGGAATAGGTTCTTCAACTAGTGGTTCTAGCAACGCTCTATCGTCCTCTGGATCTGGTAAAGCTGATGTTGGTGTTTCAAATTCCAATTCAGCTAGTGCTTATGTGGCCTCATCAAATCCACGTTCACTTCGATTAAGAACATTTCAAAGTCAAGATGAAATGGCTATGCTACCTACATTTAACCGTAATAGTTTACGTAGTCGAACTGGTGGTGGTACTGCTTATGTTTTTACTCGTACATCGGCTGGAACTAATGCAGCTGCACAGGTGGCTTCCGGATCGGCCGTTGCTGCTGGATCAGGTGGTTCAAGCGGAAACGGTGGTTCAAACGCTTCATCCAATGAATCAAACCAAGCAGCACATCGTGATTTTCTTAATTATGCTATGTCATTGATGCGTGCACATTCGAATGAACATTATGATTCATTACCGGTGTTGGATGTATCATCACTTAAACATGTTGCTTATATTTTTGATGCATTCGTTTATTTTATTCGTCGTGGTTTCATTACGATAGATTCTCATCCAGAAATTATGACCACTGAAATTATAGATTCATCATCATCAATAAAAAACAAAGATGAACTAATATCGTCAGGCCGAAATCATCTATTCTTTAGACGATCAAATTCGACATTATTTCTGGGATGCCCAAGACCTGATCCATTTTCGGCTCCCTATCATGAAGCTTTGCCATTGGCCAGTAAACCACAATTACTACAACCAAATGCAAGACGTGAACAATTGTTTGGTATACCTAGACCATCTAATGCAATGGAAGCTGAAGAAATGCTTGAATCATTACCATCACAGATGAGTCTTTCGAAACGTCATCAATGGAATTATAATAGTTCAATTAGATCGCCAAATCATCTACAAATATCGCCAGCTCGATCCCATTCAGTCATTACCGAATCATCTACGTCATCTTCCTCAAGAGTATCGATCATACAACCTAATAAATTATCAGTGATCGTTATGGCCGGTTCGGCTAAACATCAACAACAACAAACAACTTCGCCAACAAGTCAGAATTTAACTAACAATAATCAATCTTCGGTGATAAAAATTTCGGCTAATCACCAGCAACAAAAGCATGTAAATTTTTTTGGAAATATTCAACAGCAAGATGTACTTTTAGGCCGTTGGCGTTTAACACTTGAACTATTCGGTCGGTTGTTTGTTGATGACGTTTCGCTTGAACCAAATTCCATCATACCTGAATTGACTGGTTTTCCTATCAAAGAGAGTAAATTCAGACGTGAAATGGAACGCCTAAGAATCAGCTGTTCGAATGCAGCTGCAAATCAACGTGATTTAAATTTCTATAAATTAGATCGCGATCGAAATCAATTGCTCATACAATCATTTAAAGAATTGAATTCGGTTTTCTCACCCATTACCCGACGGTTATCATCACAAACATCAGTTGCCCCACAATCTTTGACCATTACTCGTGTGAAAGTAACTTTTAAAGAAGAACCAGGTGAAGGATCTGGTGTTGCACGTAGTTTTTATACAGCATTTTCTGAAGCCGTATTAGCAAATGAAAAATTACCGGCAGAATTGTTAACAAATAATTGTTGTGGTGCAAACAGTATGGTCAATATTCGTGGTGGTGGTTCTAGTGCAAACTCTTCATCTGGTACTGTAGCAGGAAATTATGAAGCCTATTCTAGTTATGCCTTCCGTTTACGTAGTCATAGTAGTAATAACAACAATTCTAATGGTTCATCGTCTGGTCAACGTAATAGCGGCGCTACTGGTTCTGGTAGTGGATCTGCTAATTCAGCATTATCAAATTCTTCGTCACCAGTAAATGATATTCTTGCATCAAATAGTAGCAACAGTAGTTCTATGCGAAGACCACGTTCTCCAGCACGTTATAGACCATTTTATCCATCATCATCGACAGCCCGTCGTACGCAATTGATTGAACGGATACGAAATATGCATGAACCACGGTCATCAACATCGACAACATCAAGCGGTGGTTCAACAACATCAGCGCCGTCTTCCTCTTCTACATCAAATTTTCGTCGAATTACATCTCAGCTTCGATATGATGCACCATCGTTCGTGCCGACACAAATGATTAATTCACATCGCCATTCACCAATCGTACCTTCAGATTCAAGAAATGGAATCGGTATTAATCTTTTTTTTTTTTTTTTTGATAAACGATAGTTACAATTGTAAATTACTAATTTGATAATAATTTAATTGAACATATTTTTTAATTTTAGGTTTAAGAATTTATAATCGTGTATACAATTTACATCCGGGGCATGCATCGAAAATAACTGGAATGTTATTAGAAATTCCTCAAGAAACGCTAATAAGCTTATTGAATAATGAAGATGAGCTTCGTAATTCTATCGATTGGGCGATGGAGATAATTCATACAAATGAAGCTCGAAATCAATCAAGTAGTGGTAATCAATCAACGGCCCAAACAACAGCCAATAATACAGCGCAGGATGGATCACTTCAAAGAGATGCTTCTAGTTCGAATGCCAACATACAACAGCAGCAATCTTTATTTTTACCATCATTTTTGACGGTCGATGCACTCATGTATGAAAATTATAATGCAGATCGAAAAATTCAGCTCTCAGTTCTAAATTCGGGTGGTTATAAAACGATGTCTAATGATTCATCTTCAACAAACGCAACGATTTTGCAATTAGAAAATCCATTTTCGGATGATGATGATGCTCCATTGTTCTATCAACCTGGAACACGTGGAATTTATTCACCTCGTGCTGGTCGTGCTAGTGAAAATCGCTTGAACGCATTCCGTAATGTTGGTCGTATAATCGGTGTTTGTTTTCTACAGAATGAACTATGTCCAATCACATTCAATCGACATGTAATCAAAATGATTCTCGATCAACCTGTCAGATGGCATGATTTAGCATTCTTTGATTCGGAACTATATGAATCATTGAGACAATTAATTTTGGACGCCCAATCCAATAATAAAGAGGAAATACTGGCTGAATGTGATTTCCGTTTTGCCATTGATTTACCACCGGAAGAAGGTGGTCACGGTGTTGAATTGATACAAAATGGCCGTAATATTCGCGTTACACCACAGAATGTTTATGATTATGTACGAAGATATGCGCAATATAAGATGGTAGAATCACAAGAGAAAGCAATCAAGGTGAGTGTACTACAATAAAGATTGTCAAAAAATGCTCAAAATTTATCTTGTTATCTTAGGCAATACGTGCTGGCATATGCGACGTCATTCCCCTGTTTTCATTTGATGGCCTTACTCCCGAAGATTTTCGATTACTATTGAATGGAGTGAATGAAATTAATGTTCAACAATTGCAAACATATGTCACTTTTTATGATGGTACATATATATAATAATGAAGTTTATTTTGTTTTAATATCAATTTGTTTCATTCCATATTCGATATAGAAAGCGGAGATTCTGAACCAATAACAAATATCCGTAAATGGTTCTGGTGGGTATTAGAACGGATGACCAATGAAGAGAAACAGGATCTCATTTATTTTTGGACCGGTTCACCGGCATTACCAGCCAGTGAGGAAGGCTTTCAGCCAATGCCAAGTGTTACTATAAGGCCACGCGATGATTATTATTTCGTTACCGCTAATACGTAAGTTTATTGATTTTTTTTTTTTTTTTTTACATTCTAACCATTTTCATTTTGAATTATACATTTTATTATTATTTATAGTTGTATTTCTCGTTTATATATTCCATTATATTCATCGCGAAACGTATTGAGACAAAAATTACTCATGTCGATCAAATCGAAATCATTTGGTTTCATATAGAATCAAGAATTATACTTGATCATCATAAATAAAAGCGTTGACGAAAAAAGTTGTAAACAATAATAATACACACTTACACACACACACACAAACATATGTTAAAAATGATAGATTCGCGAAATTTTTGTTTTAAAAATCTCTTTAGGATTTTCTTGAAAATGAATTCAATATCCGAAAAAACAAATCCACATATTCTCAAAAAATAGATTTAATACAATAATAAAATGTATATTTTTCAAAATAAATGTCTATATCATTTTTTTCTCAAACATTTGATGTTTATGGTCATGATTATTCCGTTTTCTTATCATAGTTCCGACTACTCTATAATTTCAGATCGAATTGAGATTAATTTCAGTTTAATTTTGTTCATCTTTTTTTTCTCGCTAAAAAATAACGTTTTTTGTTTTTGTTTTATCGGTAAATTTTGGTATACTTGTTGAAAAAATGATCTAAATCTCACTTATCATGTCAACACTTTTTTCGGCTTAATTATGAATTGGATGGATTGATAAATTAAATGTTGGCATTTCGTTGTAAAAGTCGGTCTGCGAAATCTAAAAAAAAAAAATGATTCGAAGAAAACAGAATTATGGCCTTCATGTTGAATTCAAAGTAATGAAAAAAAAAAATTCCATTAATTCATTCGATTATTACAATCCTTGAGAAAATTTTGGCATTGAATATGTAACTAATTATATCATTGAAATTAACCGTCAAAGTTAAAAAGTGGTGAATATAGACATTGATTGCAATTTGCCCAAAATATTAACCTATTTTTCTCATTTTTTCTAGATAGATATATGGAAAGATTCATTCTGACCACATTCACATCATTTTGAATGTTTGTTTGGTTTGACAATTTGGTAAATTCAATTTTTTTCGATAGGCATATAGTTCGATGATTACACAAAAATTTGTCTTTCTGTTCATGTGGTGAATTTTTTTTTTGAGAGAGGATTTGAAAAAAATATTAACTAAGGCCGAAAATGAATTATATTTGTAGTATCTATTAAAACAAACAAGATAGGAAGGTTATTATCCATGATGGAAACGTTGATGATTTATTAATTTGGTTATTATTGTTATAAATTAAACGAAAACACCGGATTAATTAATTTTTTTTTCTTGACCTTCAATCGATCGATCAATGATTATGATGATGATGATGAGAATAACATACATTGATTATGTCGAACGATCATCTACTTTATCAAAAGGAATTTGATTCAAATACCTATAAACACACACACAAAAATGAATTAAAACAAATCTAAATCAGAAAACCACTCTTACCTAGGATATGATGATAAAAAATAATTGAAAAGCAAACATCAGAGGGGTTGATTAATTATTTTTCATTTTTCATTCACTCTTTCATGATCAGATTTTTCGAATGTTTTCGAATGACAAATTCGATCACCAAGCATATACATTCATGATGATGACCTATTCGGTCGATGGCTACAACTTGTTGCATCAAAAAAATAAATTAAAAAACATGTGTCTAAATTATGATTGCAAAAGGCTAAATTTAGTTTTTTTTCAATATATTTTATTTCTGCATTTATTTTGGTTCAATATTTTCCATCATTGAGCTACAAATTTAAATTAACATACAAATCAAATGATGAAAAGATGAAAATGTTTTTTCACTCTATATCTATTAAGAGACAATAATCATCATTTAGTTAAGTGTTTAATTAAATTTATAGCTACATTTTATTTTCGATGAAAGATACAAAGAAATCAATTTCGAACTAAAATTACTTTTGTTAATAATAGACTTGACTATGAAATTTTTTTTTTTTTGAGACAATATAGTGGATAAATGTTGATTCACGTAAAATAAAAATTCGAATCATGAATCCAATCAATAGATCCGATTCTTATTACATTGGCTGCTCAATAGGATGATCAGTCATTATCAAAACCATTTTAGTTTGAAAAAAATCAAGATCATACCTTGTCTTTTGAAATATCGTAGAACTAGTTTTTATTTTCATGCCATCATCATGATAGATTAATCGATCATTTTTTTTACATATTGAAAACATGAAAAAAAAATTCAAAGCTTCTTTCAAAGTATCAATGATGAAAAGGATATATAAAGAATTGAACAAAATTCATTTATTGAGAATTGACTTGCATTCAAATGCAATTTAGATTAAAATTGGATTTTTTGTTTGGATCAAATGAGCCAATGTAAAAAATCCATACAATAGCTAATAGTGATAACAGTTTCATTGATAATCCGGATCAATCAAATGAAATTCAGCTCAAAATAATATCTCATTATATGATGATCTGAATGAGAAAAAAAAGTTTTCAGATGAAAAAAAAATGAAATAGGGGCCATCATCATCGAGACACATCGTAAAATAAAATAGACATTGATTTGAGTTGAAGTTAAGCTTAAATCGCACTTTCGATCAAAAATCAAAAAAAAATCATTGGAATTAACGAATTTTCATGACTGATGATAAATTATGGCAACTGATTTTGGTGCTACTGTTGTTGATTCAACGAAATTGATAATTTTTTTTTTTTTTTTTTTTGGAAACACGAATTAGTTTCTTTTCTATGGATGAATTGATTCTATTTTTGACTGAATAAAAAAAACCAATATTTAATACAATCTTGAACAAGTGAAAGAAAATTCACCTAAATTTAGAATATAGGTTGAAAAAAATATTCGATTTGGCCAAGTTTTTTTTGTGGTGGTGATAAATTAGAGATTATCACTTGATATAATCCCTCATGCCCGTCACCATCATCAACGTCATCATTAATTTTCTTTGCAGATTTAAGGTCGAAAAAAAACTCGTTCAAATATTAAACACCTACAAATCTACCAATTTTAGATCAAAAATCATCAACCTAACACCATTAGTTGTCCAGTTCAGCAACTAGCCAATGGTTTTAACATGGAATTGGCTTAAGAAAAAGTTCAACTAATGGTATTCAAATTTACAAATAACGTATTATCATCATTTGTTCGATATCCGTTCATTCTAATCGAAACCTAATTCCAATTATTTATTTATTTTTTTGATTTTATAATTTCAACTTGCATTTTGCCCAAAATACATCAATATTATCTTGATCACTACTATAATCATGATTATCGATGATCATTTTACAACGTTTTACAATAGGTACATCATCGATTTACAGTAATAACCAGTAAGTAGCAGGTTGAAGCTTGTCTCTTTTTCTTTTACTATTCATCCACATTCGATAGATCTTGATTCAACATTTTTCGACAGCAGCCGGCTAGTCAACTATTCGCTAAAATTCAAACTTAGTAAAGAAAAATAAGAAGAAAAATTATTATTTGAGTAGCCTTGACCTCAGTTGATGAACGAAAAGAAAAAAAAAAGATATGTGTGTATAACGGTACAACCTCCTACTTGTTTGAACCAAATGTGGATTTACAATGCAAAGAACGATGATGTAGTTGATTAAATCAAATATGTTTGGCCACCTAGTCAAAAGAGTCTTTCTCTCTCAACCAAAAAAAAAATTCTTCTTTGCTTTGGGTCTAGAGAAAAGCGTCGGATCAGATTGAATCACAATTCGATTCGATTTTAGTTCTTTCATCCAATCATCACCATCATTGACGATCAGTCATTTAGTTACGTTTGGTATTCGTCGAAAGGTCGACCAACTTTTTACTCTCCATTTGGTTTGGTCGTAAAAAAAACAACATAATTTTGTGTCATCAAATTTAGTTCTGCTGTGTGTGTATGTGTGTGTTTCGGCGAATAACAACACAAACAATTTACAAGATAAACAAACAAAATCAAAAGAAAAAATTTTACAGAAAACAAAAACAAAAACAAAATCAATTGTTTGTTTGATCAACCGTTACAAACATTGTCACATCTTTTTTTTAACCATTTTGAATATATCTTATTCACAATTTCCTCTTACTTTGCCTTTGATCTGAGGAATTCCAGTCATCCAAAATAATGTCATCCATACAATTATGTAAGTGTTTTCAAAATTTGTTTTTGTCTTTATTTTTAAGGTTGGACGAAAAAAAAATTTTCTTTTGTTTTCAAATCTAGATCGATTTATCGTCTTTTGGGCGACGTTTATATCGATTACATCTGCTATTGATAGTAGTAGTGATGATACATCATTATCATCGACGACTGCTGTGCCATTATTGTCATCATCAGGATCATCATTAGCATCGACAACGGTATATTCAACGCCCAAGGCATCATCGTACCGAAGTAATCATCATCAACAAGAGCAGAAAAAACCATGGCCAATACAATCTGGTCCGATCAATTATTATCAATTGGTTAAATCATATAATTATCCATCTCCATTACCAGCAACATCGAAATCATCACCGAGTCAATCATCATCGATATCATCGCTAATGTCAAATATATTCAGTCCATTCAATAAAGTAATGAGTCGCCGTGTTGCCGGAGGAAAATTATTCTCATTAGTCGATCAATTTAATAGTCATGGAAACAGTAATAATGTTCTTGCTAATGCTGCTGCTGCTGCTGCCGCTGGTTCTGGCCTTGAATATCCCGGTTCTGTTGGTAATATAGAAGCATTAAATGAAGCCGTAAATAATGTCATGATGGGATTGAATGGCTTACAACCGAATCAAGCTAATCAACTAGCCGGTCAATTGGGATCTTATTTATCAGCTGCTGCAGCAGCAAGTGGCATCGATGCTAGTACTAAGAATGGAAAGAAATTATTTGATTTTCCTAAGCAATGGTATAAATTATTAAATGAAAAACTATCTGGAGCATCCGAAGCTGCATATTCTGCTACGGTACCTTTAAAAGAATCCTTAATGAATACGGTGAAATCATTCTACAGTTATATTAAGCCAAGTCGATCACAATCATCTTCACCATTTGGTGACGCAACTAGTATGATAGCTGAAGCAGCTGCAGCAGCCGCATCACAAGATTCTTTGATGACAGCGGCACAAAATTCACTTACTTCTGGCCAAAACCAGAATAATCCAAAACGTCGTCAATCCGATTCATATTCTGGCTATTATTACAATAATATTAATCATCCAGGTAAAATGATTGCAACATCTCAACAACAGCATTATCAACAAGCATATGCTCCACAACAACTTCCATCGGCTGCTGCTTATCAGCAATATTCTAATGGCAGATATGCTTCACATAACGGTGAATACTCACCACAATCATCCCTTGGTTATTCAAACGTCAAAGCCCAACCAACACATCAAACTTCTCCAGTTAAATCGATCAATGGTGAAATGATTGTCATGGAATCACAGGTCAGTCCATCAACCGTCCACAATTTGAAAAAACAATACATTCAATATATGGGCAAACAACCGATCGCTGCCACAATGAATCAACCAGTGTTTCAGATGCCAACACAATCATCTTCATCATCTTCGGAACAACAACAATCGGCAGCAAAATATGATCAAATGTTAAGTCAAATGATTCAACAATCTATTAAACAATCTCAACAACAATTGTTGAATACCAATTCACCTGTCTCTTCCGCCTCTACTCCTGCTGCTGCTATCGGTTCTAAACATCCAAATGCATTGTATCAAAAATCAAAAGAAATTATTTCAAGATTTACGAAAAAACGTATTCCATCACAATCATTACAGTCACAACAACAATATGCTGCAGCTACATATAATTCGATACCAATGATGAACGAATACGGTGTATTTGGACAAAGACTTCCAAGCCAAACGATAGCAAAAGTTGCCAATAAACTTCCATCACTTCCATTGGTATATAATTCGAATAGCCAACAACAACAACAACGACAACAACAACAAAAGACTACATCGCAACAAAATACCAAACAACTTCAGTTCAGTCAACAACAACAACAATCAAATCGTATTGAATCGACACAAAGTTTGCCATCATCAGTAGAATCACAACAGCAATCGAAAGCGAAGAATTCTCAACATAGTTACTATACTCAACAACCAATGAATCAAAGTCCATATGGAATTCAACCGGTATATCCACCTCCACAGCAACAACAACAGCAACATACATCACCACAAGTAATACCATCATCAAGTTCAACGGTATCACCAATGATTACTAGTACATCGGTATCAATATCAATGCATCATTCTATTAGTTCACAATATGATGATCATGATGCGGGCGATCAATATGGTGATAATATGGAACAACAACAACAGGTTCAATATCAGCCACCATCATCAACAAATATTGATCATTTAAAAAGCTATTTAGATGTTAATAATCAAAATTCAAATACCGGTAGTGATATAAGCGTACAGAATAATCAAGGATCTGTATATTATTATTATGATCAACCACAACAATATCAACAACAACAACAACAACAACAACAACAAACACCAACAACAATCAGATCAACAATCATCATCACAACAACAGCAACAATTAGCACAATCGGATTCACAAGATGTACAACAAAAAAAGAAATGAATGAATGAATGAAAACATTAATTATGAAATAAGAATTTACATAGTCGCTATATACATTTTCGATATATATTTATTTATTCCATCCATTTTGCTCATCATAAACCTGCCTAGAAGATTTTTTTTTAGCAAATCCTGGATTCTTTTTTACACATATTGTTCATATTTGTATGCCAAAACTTCAAAAAAAAAAAAAAAAAAAATCTTTCATGGATCTTTTTCAAAAATTCTTTAGTTATTTCAAAAAAAAAAATTTTTTTTTTTAAAGCATCAACTTTTGTTCCTTATATTTTTTATCCTTATTCTAGAATTTTTTTTTCTTCTTTTTCATTGTATTTCATAAATTTTTTTTTTTTTTTTTGCATCTTTTATTTATACATTAATATCATCATCACATTTTTTTCTGCTTCTAATCATCAATTTTACAAGAAAAAAAAAAAAAAATTAAAATTGAAAAAATATAATATTCTTATCATGTATTTCATTTTGTTGTATGATTAAATATCGAAACAGTAAATCAAATTCTATGTTATAAATGTGATTCATTTGGTTAAATTCGATTGATTTGTTTTGTTTTTCGATTAGATTGGCCATTGATAAGCTCAACAATTTTCGATCGTGACCATTATAATAACGTATATATATAGAGAATGTTTTATAAAAATTCAAATTCTCCAATATAAATCAGTATTTCCATACTTCATAGATTACAATCATTATTATCGATCAAAAGATTTCAGATGAATACTTGAACTTGTTTTTATTAAATTGAATCATGTCGGAAAAAAGGGGTCTTATGATTGTGGTTTTTTTTGGCCGATTGGTTTTTTTTCAACAATATACGATAATGATCAGAATGAATGTGGTATGATCGTTTGAAGTAAATTATTCGTATATGGCCAAAAATTTTAATATCGGACTACCGAGAAAATGTCGACCGGTTTTTTTTTCAAGTCTAAATACATATATGACACACACACACACACACACATGCACAGAAAATTATCAAAGTTGACTAGTTCATCAATCTGTGTGTGTGTGTGCTTATAAAACGGGATTTTACATTATTCGTCAATCTTAGTCTTGTTGATGATTTCGGTCAATAATAAATTTATTCAATAACGATGATGATGACCATTACCTGAAGAAAAAAAAAGAGGTACCCGAACATCATCAACATCGAAAAGCAAAGGCCTTTAGATAGGATAGAAAGGTAGGTTGGTAGGTAGGTAGGTAGGCTGATAGATGGATAGCATTATGATAATGATCATGGTGATGTAATATATATCCCAATCACATAGCATCATTGAACTGGTGAATATGTGATAGACTAGAGAAATATTGTGACTAAGAAAAAAAAACATGTGAATATTGAATTATATAATACACACATTGTGGTGACAGTATATAGAAATGTTTAATTTTCTAACCATGCCATGTCGAAGATGTTAAAGCAAAGAAGAAAAAAAACACCTTTAACATATTTTCCAATGAAACCAAAAAAAAAAAAAAAAAGATTCCGCTTCTTTTTCCTACCTCTCTCTCTCTCTCTAGTTCACCTCAATCAATATGTTAAGTTTGTAAAATGAATTTTCTTCCTTACAAATTAATTTTTTCAATTATTCAATACGAATAACAGTATTATCATGGTGTTGATGATGAAATACCGCTATCCGGTTAATGATTATCAAACGCCATTGAATTCATAGCGAAAAAAAAGAAAAAATTTTTTACCATTTCAAAAGAAAAGGCAGAATGAATGAATGAATCGTACCGGCAGGTGACAAACAAACAAGGTCAACATCATCAACCAACCAAAAAAATAAAAACATCCGTACATGATGATGCTCGATTCAAATCCTGAATGAATGTGCCTGATTGAACTAATTCATCATCGATATTGTACCTTGTATATAATAAAAAAAACAGGACAAGATTAACTGCAAAAATATGTTGGAGGGAGATGCTAATTATTTGTAAAAAAATTCAAAGAAAAAAAACTTCAAAATTTTTTTTTTGATTCAAGCAAAGGCGAAATTTACAATATTGACATATAACGAATATATAATAATGAAAAATGTGATAAAAAACGAGTAGCGATATCAAGGAATTTCTTCAAAAAAAAAAAAAAAAAAAATGCAAAAAAAGGCTTTCTGGTGAAATTTGAGAAAAGAAAATGACAAATGACAAAATTTGAATCAGGAAACGAATTTCTTTTTATCATTTTGGTCATTGATATTACTATATAAAGTATATAGTATATATATGGTCATATAAATTTTTAGCATAGTTAATATATAAATATATTGAATTAATTCGGTGCATCCTTCAATTTTTGATGATTGGAGGGACAAACAAAAAAAAAATATTGAGCTCTCTAAGAACACATTTCTCTAATTATATTTGATTATCATCATCATCATCATTTTTTTCCCTGTTGTATACAACAACCAGTTAGTTCAATGATTAACAATCTTATTGGTGTGTTTTTATTTTTCGTTAATTTTTTTTTCGGTTTACTATAGTACCTATGATGAAGTATTATAATTCTGTGTTGATGTTGTTGTTCGCAATTTGTTATTTTGCAACCAATAAAAAAAAATATTGAGTAATTAGAGTGATAGAGAGAGAGAGAGAGAAAATGTTGTAATTAAAACAAAAAAAAAAATTTTTTTTTACGTAAATTAATCATCTATATAGATATAGATTTATAGGAAATAAGATTAAAGCTGAACAAACTAATTCCAATGATGATGATATGATGAGCGATGGCAAAATATGAAATTTATCAAATGTGTGAATTTCAAAAAATTAAATGAATATATAAATCTGGCCATTATAATTTCAAAAATATAATCCATACAGGAATAAAGGTTTTGCACAAATATCAATCCGGAAATAAAAAACGACAGGAAATAGACATTTTATAAGATAAGATATAAAATAAAAAAAAAGTTTAAATGGCATTTACCAAAATGAGATGAGATAAAGAAATAACAACAACAACAACAACAAAAAAAATTCAGGTGTGGGTCATTCAGGTTAATTTTTTTTATATTGCATCAATTCATGAAATATGTATTAATTCAACACCAATAAATGATGTATAAAACCAATAACCGATCATAGGCCAGTTTCATCAAATGTTGTTTGTTTCTTTAACCTCTTAAATGTTTGAACAAGACAAATATCATCAACATGGAATTCAACATATGATCAGATTTATGCAATTTTAATAGAAGAATTGATCATCATCAAACAACAACAACAACAACAACTTGCTATAGCAATCAAGCTATGAACAATTATTAAAGAATACAATTCAGGTATTCAGATAGTTATTTTTCGAACATACGTGTGTCGAATATTTTTTGAATGTTCATTTTATACGGATAAATCAAATATCGATAGACAATAATCAATCAAAATACAAGTTGTATTTATTATTGGCGATGATATGATGATGATGATGATGATGATGACCTTCCTTCTAAAAAAAACATTTATTTATTTATTATTATAGCCATTGATAAGATTAATATATCTATTTGATGATGATCAATCAGGTCAATCATTGGAATGGTTGTTTTGTTGTTTTGTTGTTTTTCTGAATCAAATGATAAATAAATATGGCGGCCTAATATAGTAGTGGAATAAAATAAATGGCTGCTATTGCATTTCGATATATTTGATATGGTTATGGTTATTATTATGATGATGATGATGATGATCATGATCACAAATGGGCAAAAACCAAACCAAACGCTAATTATCGGCTATTTATTTTTCCTTTTTGTGTTTTGTTTTACTAGCTCAATTATGATAATTTTATTTTATATTTTTTTCCATTTTTCTCCAAAAAGATACAGATCAAACAATCGAATTGGTAAATTAAACAAGGAAGAGATTGCTGATTCGATGAACAAATGGTGATGATGTTCGATGACGACGACTATGATAATAATAATAATGATTATGATGACCTATTGTCTTATGATGAACAATTCTGGTTTTCATTGTGATTTTTTTTTCTATTTTCATATCGGCCAATTTCAAGCAAGAATCCGAGTACAAACACACACACACACACACATACACTGATTAAAGCATTTTTTCTTGTTAGAGCCAATTAAACTATGAAAATTTTTCTTGTCGATATACAGATAGATGCAGTAGAAAAAAAATCCAGATTACTACCCCCAAACACTCAATTTATTCGTGGCTATAATAACTGAAAAAACGCGGTCGTGATTTAATGATTATCATCATCCTCATCATCAACGACGTTAGAAAGATTTGATCTAGTTGAGGAGGTACGGCTAGGTACCGTGTCGATCATTTTTTTTTTTTTTTTTTTTTGTAGATCTAATGATAATTACATTGAAATCATAGGTTGACATTCTATGACGAATCTTGGTAAAAACGGTATTTTCGTCAAAGATCGTGCCATATATATGAAAAAAAGTGTGTGTTTGAAAATTAAACCAAAGTCAACAACAAAAGCGATGATGATGTTGATTTGATTTAAATGTGCTGAAAATTGTGTGGTAATTTTTTTTTTTTTTTTTTTAAATATGAAAAAGTGAAATCAATGATTTTTGTTCCCTAAACCTTGTGCTGCCATCTAATTTTCAGATTATAATAGTTTTATATATAAACATCGGATAAAACTTGAGATTTTCAATGTTAGATGGCAGAATAGTGTTTTTTGTGTTGAAATTTATTGAAACAAATTCTCATTCGATTTCAAGAAAAAAATTATTCGAATTATTTGAAAGAGATTCTTGTTTGTTTTTTTTTGAGATACTAAAAAAAATCAAAGATTATGTTCGTAACTAGATTGGTTGATTATATTCTGGTTTTTTTTCATCATTATCATCATCATAAAATTGATTGTTTATTTATGGTGATCAACCCTTATGATAATGAACGTTGAATCTATCGACATGATGTGTGCCATTCTTCTTTAATGATGATCGTTATCACAAAAAAATGATGAATTATGAAAAACAAATACATACTCAAAATGGTGTCATATGGTTGTATTTAGGTTATGATTTTAAGAAAATTAATGATTTCTTAATAGTTACGTCAACCTTTTGTTGTTGTTGTTGTTGTTGGAAGAACTTATGAAGAATAAAAGCCTAAAAGAATGAATGATCTGATTTGTAATCGTATATATCTAAAATTAGAAATTAGATCTAGAGAATGATGATGAACAATTGAATTTATAATCAAGAATGAAAGCATCAAAGTGATAATCATCAGAAACCAACGAAAAAAAGGTGTTAACCAATTGAATTCGTGCTTTTTTTTATAAAATCAACCAATGAACAACCACTGCAAGTGTTGAAATCTGATGATGATTTTTTTTATCTGATAAATCTTTCTAGATATAACAAATAAACAAACAAATGAAAGAAAGAAATATTTGAATGAAAAATTGAAAGCAAAACCAAAAAAAAAAAAAATTGTAAATATGAATCTAAGCAAAAAAAAAAGACACGCGAAACAAACAAACAAATTCAAACATTCACAAGTGGCTACAATGGGTACCTTTTTTTTGTCGATGATGATACTAGGCTTTTGGCAGGTATACAGGTATACCTTTTATTGTTGCCTTCAACTAAACTACTCACTGACAACATCTTGATGATCATGATTTTTCATTATTATAATTTTCAAAATTGATGATGATATGTTGTTTTTATGAATATACAATAACAATCCCTCTCTCTGTGTGTGTGTGTTTTTGTCTGTTCAAATTCAAATTAATACTAAAGAAAAGTCTCTAGTTAAGATCCAATATTGTTTTTACATACAGACATACATTTTCTCTGATCAATCTAGCTAATTTGAATGGAAAAGTAAAAGAAAAAATCCATATGGATCCCATCCATTCGTGTGAGTGATTGCCATACTTTGATGATTAGAAGACTTGTTTTTTTTCGTTCTTTGGTCAAGATTGAGATGTTTTTTTTTGAATGTTCCAGGTCGTTGTTTTTTTATTTTATTTTAGTTGATGATGATGATGATGATGATATATGATGAGGGACAAATACTATCACCACAAACTCTTTATATGCATGTGTAGATTCTATTTTTATATTCCATCATCATCAACAAACAGTTGTTGTTGTTGTTGTTGTTGATGTTGATGTTATTTTCAATAAAGTTTTTTTTTCTATGATATTTTGAATCCGTTTCGGTTTATCGTTTATTTTTTCAGTTTTTTTTTCGCTCGATAATTTTGATTTGTAAATAAAATCCTAAAATAAAGGTATGATCATGATGCCGCAACGTAGTGATGAAATGGTGATGTTTCAATCAGTGTCAGTCAAGTGAATGGATTCGAATTGTTGTGAATATACAAATGTACAATGATGATGATATTGGTAGAATCATCAAATGATTCAACCTGAAAATGATCATTTTTCAATGTTTTTCTCAATAAAAATAATAAAGTCTTGTGTAATCCATCATAATCCGACTTGAGAAGCTTTGATCTTGAATTAGCAATTTTTTTGTTTTTGTTTTTGTTATATGATTCAATTTTCGGCATTCAAGGTCCAATTTTTTCATTGATTCAATCTTATGATGATTATTTTTGTTGATAAAATAATGATTTATTGATGATGATTGAATTTCTTTCTTTTTCTTTTTTTTTGTTGGTCTTAAATTACCTGGTTCCGGGATCTTGAATTCAAATTATTTTCAATACGAATCATTAAAATCGGCCACTTTAAATTAGATCATCAATGTTAATGAGAATAGGTGACACATATAATAATAGTTGATCAATGAAAAAAAAACCAAATGATTCAATTCAGACTGTTAGTCGTGGCCAAAATTTAAAAAAAAATTTAAAAATTTCAGAATGCGTGAAAAAGTTCACCATTCATTAATGGTGAACCGGTGGTGGTGGTGGTGGTAGTGGTGGTAATTAATTCGAAAATTTTCACATAGTAATTGACATGACTAACTGGGCTGAATGATATAGGGATGATTTTATGATATCTGATATGATTCTAAGTCCAATTACATCTGTGAATTTTTTTTTCCTTGTCAATTAATTAGTCTAGTTTTTTTTTCTTCTCCAGGATTTTTATCATTCGAAAAATTAAAGTCATCTGAGATTTAATGAAAAAAAAAAATTTCATTTTCATACTAATGACAACAAAACCTAATCAAATTCAAATGAATTGAATATCGCCATCATAATCATGATCATCATCAACCAAAAATTTGAAATTTAAGATAAAATTAATAATAAAAATAAGTCAACAAAATTTTCCCTTACGAAATCGTAATCAAAAAAAAAAAAAAAGAAAAAAAAAAAAATTTGATTTAAATTACATTCAAAATTCATTCGATGACACCCATTGACACCAAACATATATATGATATATGAATATATTTCCGCCGAATCGTACCGAATGGGACCAATAAAAATAATGGTAGCCAAAGTAATCAATGAAATGAGGACCATATAACACATTAACTAAAGAACATAACATTCAACATTAATTTATCAATCATTAACCCAGAAGAAGAAGAAGAAGAAAATTTAAAATTACTAAACTTATCTGATCACAAGCTTGAACACAAAATATAACATCAATCAGATGAGAAAAAAAAACACAACAAAAAAATTCAAGCTATTTATAGGTGCCATGTATCCATCCCCACATTGGATAAATTTTTTTTCTGGCCATCAATTTGGCACCAAATTTTAAAAATTGATCAAGAAAACTAAATAGGAATGGGAAAAAAGCTGTAGCTATTACAAATTGAGTAAAATTACAAAGTTTCTGGAACGTCTTATTGAAAAAAAAGTTCTAGCCTCCTTGTATATATTAGATATATAAAGATGAAATGATTGATCAAATGAGTGACAAATATTCTATTCATAATCATGTATATTGGTGCCAATCGGTAGAAAAACGATTTTGGCCGACTATAAAACAATTTACGGTATACTACTACTGACACTACCAGGATATGACACTGATTTGTGTGTCATGGCTTAATCATTCCAGTGGATGTCAAAAAAAAAAAAAATATTGGCTTAGTGATGTAAATTATTAAGTGATAAGGAATATATTGAGATTAATAATGCTAAATTGTGGATTCAAGTAAGGATAAAAAAAAATAACATAAACATTTCGCAGTAATGTTTATTCATGATTAGCTATAGTGTCAATAACAAGTTGAGCATTTTGAAAAAAAACCACATAAGGATTATCATCTAACAAAACGAAACAAAGACAAGTTTGGTTTATCATGAGGAAAAAGAGAACA